TACTTATACTATATGACGTCATTGTTCATGACGCAGCAAAGTTATAAGGATTAATATACGAGGTGTGTCATAGTGGTTTTATTAAACGAGTGTCAGAATTCTTGTATTTTCCGAGCGAGCGCGACAAAAATTCTTACACAAGTTTCGTAAATAACATTACATCATGTGGGCAGTGGGTAGAGTTCAGTGAAGTTTCTCTGTAGAGTTTACCTTTCATTCCTTTCTACGTCATTTTCATTTACTTCATTGCCATAGAATAAACTACTCGACAAACGGATTAAGGATTATCTGTCCCTCGTGAATGAATGCCAAGGCGCGGAGCTTACACTCAGGACAGTTAATCCTCGTTCCTCGTTGATTATGTTCTAATCCTTACACATAGGCGCGGGGACACGAGTGGACCAGTCGTCTAAGGCGCCGCTATTCTAGATGCAGAGTTGCGTCCCTTAGACGTGTCAGACACCTATGCTCTCGGGATTGAGACCCAGTTCGACCTGGTCATGTTTCATGGTTTGTCAGCATCATACCCCAACGAGGCAAACGTCTAACGTCTAACCATGCTTAAAGCGGCGTTCAATCAAACTCACTCATTTTAATTCTTACGCATATTCTTGTAAAAGTCGTCTGATGTTTACTTTTGCATAAACAGTCAACATTCGGTGACTAGCTGTAGTTGTAGTAGTAGTTATAGATGCATGAGCAAACAGACGCCCCAACACAACACTTTAAGTTATACTATATATCCATAATATGACCTGGGCACAAACAAAAGGAAAGGAAAAAAGAAAACATACAAAGTAAGAAAAAAATAACCATAGTGTTCAATGTATGTATACAACGTGTAATCTGTACACAAAGAGAAGAAGTAAGCTGGTTCCCGCATAACAGATCCAAATGCAGTTCAAAGAGATTTAACATTGATTTAAATCAACAAAATATTTAGAAAACTAAACTAGGCACGACAAACTAAAAGCTACATACATGGTCGATTGAACAATGTCATCAAGATAAAATAATATTTAATTGACAGTCCATGAGTGCCCATTGGACTGAACCACTCATGGCGTTTGGATTTTAATTGCAATTTCCTGATCATTTCATAAAGCAATAGGACAGAGTTCCGGGGACAACACTGTCACAATTTCCACATCCTTATATATCATAGCTTTAGAGGCATTTCCACAACAGCGAGTCGGATTAAATCACATCTGATCAGCCTTCGTTCCTTTCTGCGAATACGACAGTGACTGAAGACCACACGAGTAACGTCCCCTTACCGTGTAAACTTATAAAGTCAGAGAAACGTCATAAAATTATGAGAGCACTTACATTTTGACATTTAGCTCCATTGTGAAGCATTTGATTTTGAATTTGCGTCACCTCAAGACCCCGTCACCGATGACATACCACTGTACACCATGAATGTACTGGTATCTACAACTGTATTATACCATGTCTGTACCGCTTTATCAGAATATCACGCGTGGTGATGGTAGCTGTCTAAACGGCAAGTCGCCGTCTTGTAAATTCCTGTAAATTCGGAGGACCAACCTGTTTTGTTTGTTGTTTGTTGTTTGACGCCGAAATCAGCAATAGCCCAGCTGTATGACAGCGATATGTAAATAATCGAGTCTGGACCAGACAATCCAATGATTGACATCATCATCATCGATCTACGCACTTGGGATACGATGACACTGGCCGGCCTGTACAGATATCATGACGTCTTAATGTTTGAGTTGGGTTTAACGCTGCTTTTAAAATTATTCCAGTTATATCGCGGCGCGTCAGCTTAATGTGGCAGGAAAGCCCGAAGTGATGTAGGTTTAAGACGTTTACCACTTCGGTGAAACCCACGAGCACAAGTATGGTGCTGACAAACCTAGGAAACAAAATTGGGGCGAACCGGGATTCGAACCCACAATCATAGGTCCATAGGTCATGCCCAAGGGACGCAATCGCGGCACCTTAGACGACTGGGCCACCCGTGCCCCCGACAGTAAAAGATTAAAGAACAGAAGATGTAAAAACCAAAAATAAGCATGGAACGGTAGCATGCAGAAGCTGATACAGGGTATTCCGTATGTGGCATTAATTTTACATCCACCGTTTTACTGAGTCAAGTCAAGGATAGTCTGTCACATCACCTAAAACGAGTTTTGCAACTTGTATTGACAAATTAGTTACATGTGTCACTAGCGGGGTGTGGGGCGGTGGGGTCGCCCAGTGGATAAAGCATTTGCTCCTCACGCCGTGGACTCGAGTTTGATTCCCCACTTAGGTAAAATGTGTGAGGCCCAATATTGCTGAAAGCGGCATACATCCACTCACTCACTCACTACTGGGGCTGAACGTTCGTATAGACGGCCTACAGTGGGAGGCATGAACGCTTTAATTACTTTAGGCTACTGTCACCAACATCTAATAGTGACGATTGAAAGTACAAGTACGTTTGTACAAGTTCCTTCAGAATAGGGAATTTTGATGGCAGGGTCGGCGAAAAGCCTTAAGATATAGACACATCTTGAAAACGCAATTCTCTGATGTCTTTAGGTCTGTGATAGTAAATGATTAATTTTGTTAGTTTGAGCAAGTACATATGATGAAAACGTAGACGTTTACAATTCCAGTAGTCACTTCATATATCTTATCCTTCACAGGCAGACTTCTCCCCACAAGTCCATGGAAAGTGTCAGTAAAAGTGCTCAAATATGAATTCAATATTTTCAAATTCAGACCATCATAATTCAACATGTATTTTAGCTTTGCGAAGGTAGTTTGTAGTTCACTGGCAACAGGATTAATGCGAACAAGGCTTAATATATTGCATTATATGACTACATTGAGTGCAACGACAAACCAACTTCTACTTTAAGAAAATAAGACCAAATTGAGTATTTGTCCAAATGTGCCTGCCACAGTCAACAGTTCTAAAATCACCGATAAAGTCCTCAAGGCTTTTATTCCTTCGTTGTGTCATGTGGTAATTTGCTTAGGGTTAGGAGTGTCACATGCTAAACACTAACACTAATATTTGTTTCAAATCGTGATAACAATTTGTCATCAAAGAGTAATATTTTAATACTTTTGTAAATAACACTCTGTGGAAGGCATGACATCACTGCGTAACACGTGTGTTGAATTTGTGCAGCAGCTCCAGGGTTCAGTCTGAGACTACTGCAGCTCCAGGGTTCAGTCAGAGACTACAGCAGCTCCAGGGTTCAGTCAGAGACTACTGCAGCTACAGGGTTCAGTCAGAGACTACTGCAGCTCCAGGGTTCAGTCAGACACTACACACTACTGCAGCTCCAGGGTTCAGTCTGAAACTACAGCAGCTCCAGGGTTCAGTCTGAGACTACACACTACTGCAGCTCCAGGGTTCAGTCTGAAACTACAGCAGCTCCAAGGTTCAGTCTGAAACTACAGCAGCTCCAGGGTTCAGTCTGAGACTACTGCAGCTCCAGGGTTCAGTCAGACACTACACACTACTGCAGCTCCAGGGTTCAGTCTGAAACTACTGCAGCTCCAGAGTTCAGTCTGAGACTACACACTACTGCAGCTCCAGGGTTCAGTCTGAGACTACACATTACAGCAGCTCCAGGGTTCAGTCTGAGACTACTGCAGCTCCAGGGTTCAGTCTGAGACTACAAACTACTGCAGCTCCAGGGTTCAGTCAGAGACTACAAACTACTGCAGCTCCAGGGTTCAGTCAGAGACTACTGCAGCTCCAGGGTTCAGTCTGAGACTACACACTACTGCAGCTCCAGGGTTCTGTCTGAAACTACAGCAGCTCCAGGGTTCAGTCTGAGACTACAGCAGCTCCAGGGTTCAGTCTGGGACTACTGCAGCTAAAGGGTTCAGTCTGAGACTACTGCAGCTACAGGGTTCAGTCAGAGACTACTGCAGCTCCAGGGTTCAGTCTGAGACGACAGCAGCTCCAGGGTTCAGTCTGAGACTACAGCAGCTCCAGGGTTCAGTCTGAAACTACAGCAGCTCCAGGGTTCAGTCTGAGACTACACACTACTGCAGCTCCAGGGTTCAGTCTGAAACTACTGCAGCTCCAGGGTTCAATCTGAGACTACTGCAGCTCCATGGTTCAGTCTGAGACTACACACTACTGCAGCTCCAGGGTTCAGTCAGAGACTACTGCAGCTCCAGGGTTCAGTCTGAGACTACTGCAGCTCCAGGGTTCAGTCTGAGACTACTGCAGCTCCATGGTTCAGTCTGAGACTACACACTGCAGCTCCAGGGTTCAGTCAGAGACTACTGCAGCTCCAGGGTTCAGTCTGAGACTACTGCAGCTCCATGGTTCAGTCTGAGACTACAAACTACTGCAGCTCCAGGGTTCAGTCAGAGACTACAAACTACTGCAGCTCCAGGGTTCAGTCAGAGACTACTGCAGCTCCAGGGTTCAGTCTGAGACTACACACTACTGCAGCTCCAGGGTTCAGTCTGGGACTACTGCAGCTAAAGGGTTCAGTCTGAGACTACTGCAGCTCCAGTGTTCAGTCTGAGACTACTGCAGCTCCAGGGTTCAGTCTGAGACTACTGCAGCTACAGAGTTCAGTCTGAGACTACACACTACTGCAGCTACAGGGTTCAGTCTGAGACTACACACTACTGCAGCTCCAGGGTTCAGTCTGGGACTACTGCAGCTAAAGGGTTCAGTCTGAGACTACTGCAGCTCCAGGGTTCAGTCAGAGACTACTGCAGCTACAGGGTTCAGTCTGAGACTACTGCAGCTACAGGGTTCAGTCTGAGACTACTGCAGCTCCAGGGTTCAGTCTGAGACTACACATTACTGCATCTACAAGGTTCAGTCAGAGACTACACATTACTGCAGCTACAGGGTTCAGTCTGAGACTACTGCAGCTCCAGGGTTCAGTCTGAGACTACACATTACTGCATCTACAAGGTTCAGTCAGAGACTACACATTACCAACACTAAGCATGTTGCATCCTTCCAAGGAGGTGGGAAACACCAGAAGCTAAGTTTTGGAAAATCTTTCAAATTGTAATGTCTGTTAAATTCATATTAAACATGAACATATTACAGCAGTGTCTTAGCGAGCATTCAAATAGAACTGAAAATACCTCTTCCAAGCAAACATCACTTCAGAAACAGTCCCGACAATGACATGAGTACATACATATGTCAAAATATTTACATGAGATTAAATCATGAACTGAGAGATTTTCCTTAGGTTACCATGGTTACTTCATCTCTGCACTGTGTTGTGACAATCACTGAACTGTTTTGTTAAATTCAACATAAAAAAACCATAAAATAAATATAGTCCTTGTAAATTCTGATCCCGCTGTTCCATATTAGCATTAAGAGTCTCTTGGCTTCGGTAACATTAATAACACTGAATTGTGTCTGTCATATATTCCATGCCATTCAATGTCATTCCCACTGGACACAATGTGCAAAGAGATTGTCAATTCCTCTTTATGATATAACCATCCGTATATGCCAGAACATCCAGGCTATATCATCTCCTGCATCTGTTAAGAACAGTATTGTCAATTGAAAAGATTCAAGTGTTGTCGCAGTCAACCAGATACAGACCACAAGAGTTTAACTTGGATGATTAAAAAATGTGTATGGACAATGGACTGTTAATGACAATGTTTTCTCATAATTATGGTTTTTAAACTCAGATCTGAATAAGTAGGTTGCAATATTACCATTCATCTGAAATGAACTCAGAAGTTACCTTTATCATAATCACTAAAGATTTTATCCCTAATATTTCACAAACAGATGTCTTTTTGAGACTAGAACAACCAAACAAATGCTAGCCAACTGACTGACCTACAGGTCTGAACAGGCATTTCAAGGGTGCTTCATCCAACCAAGATGTCTGTACAGTTAACCCAGGATACAGAACAGAGCAGAGTCTGACTGATATAACACACTACACTGCCCTCACGGTCATCTGAGGAAAGAGGCAGACGTCTGACTGATGTAACACACTACACTGCCCTCACGGTCATCTGAGGAAAGAGGCAGACGTCTGACTGACATAACACACTACACTGCCCTCACGGTCATCTGAGGAAAGAGGCAGACGTCTGACTGATATAACACACTACACTGCCCTCACGGTCATCTGAGGAAAGAGGCAGACGTCTGACTGATATAACACACTACACTGCCCTCACGGTCATCTGAGGAAAGAGGCAGACGTCTGACTGACATAACACACTACACTGCCCTCACGGTCATCTGAGGAAAGAGGCAGACGTCTGAAAGTCTCCATCAGTCTTCAAAATGTCATGCGTCTGCTTCTGTCTAGAGTCTAAGATTGATGATGTATGTACAGCTGCTGACTGTGCCGAGTCCTCCTTAGAAAACAAACACATAATTCCCCAGTCCTCTGAACTGCTAGATCTGCTGTGAGTGTCCATAGTCCTCAATGCGTTGAGCATCTCACTCTGCAGTTTGATGACCTCTGTTGGCGCCATGCTCCGACTGACGTTGAGGGTGATGTCTAAAGGGTTCTCTATCTGCATGGCACTGTCACTTGTCTTGTCAAAACTGGTGCCCGTCACAAGAGATATCCTCCGTCGTCGGAAGTTGAATTTAGTGTAGAAAGAGAAAAAACCATGAAGTAATTCCTCTGAAAAAATGAAACAAATGTCAACATACCCTGTGAGATCAAATACGTTCTGGGGCACAACAAGAATCAGTAACAGCATTCGATGAGTTTACAGTGTTTATTCTGGACTTGTTAAAATGATAAACAATTTAAAACTCTCAAATATCTTTGATCGAAGCAGACGAATGGCGAGTACTACATACTGCCGGCATCCACACAACGTCACAACCACTCCTCATCATCCACTCACCTAGCGTTCTTGTGTCTGTGGGTTTGGGCAGACTGTCCATATCTCGCACAAAGTAGAAACTTTCTCCACCATTTAGAAACTCACTGTTGGAGTCTGGAAGATTGATGCAAAAGAACAAAAATTGGTTAGCAAGAGAGTGAGAGAATGACTAATAGAATGTGCATGGTGCGTGTGTGTGTGTGTGTGTGTGGTGTAGTTTGTACACTCTGGAGACAGCAAGCCACTATATATTTCAGCGGTTGAGCTTAACACTACAAGCATGTATGTTGGTTTTGACACCACGTCAATTTCATGTGGAAGTAAGCCAAGAGAGATGCAGGCTCTAGATGTTGACCAAAGTATCCTTGTATGACCAAGGGATGCAACTCCGCACAAACAGATGTGTTACAAGGCATCATACATTTAACTCACCGATAGATGCATGCAGAAATAGCCATGAAAATGTGTTTTCAAAACATGGGGGCACTTATTGGAGCAGATTGATTAATTGCTTGTTACCGACATAGTATGTTGTTCTGAATCCATCAGTTGTACCTACCTGGATTGATCATGATGTGTTACGATGCATTTAACTTTCCAGTAGATACAAACAGAGTTATTGGAGCGGATTTATTAATCATGTTATTTGCTTGTTACGAACACAGAGTTCATCTGAATCCATCAGTTGTTTTGTTTGTTTGTTTTGTTTGTGTGTTTGTTTGTTGTTTTTAATGCGGCACTCAGCAATATTCCAGCTATGTGAAGGCTGTCTGTAAATAATAGAGTCTGGACCAGACAATCCAGTGATTGACAACATGAGCATCGATCCACACAATTGGGATATGATGACATGCATCAACCCAGTCAGCGAGCCCGGGCACCCGATCCCCTTAGTCGCCTCTTATGACAAGCATAGTCGCCTTTTACGGCAAGCATGGGTTGCTGAAGACCTATTCTACTCCGGATCTTCACAGGAATCCATCAGGTGTACCCACCTGCCATAACCTGCATGGCGCCGACGGTGGGCAGCAGCTCCTGGGTCTGCATGTAGAACACCACCATGGCCAGGAGGATGAAGTTGGTGGCGTAGCGCCCCGGCATGGGCCGAGTGATCAGCTTGTCCCGCGCCCACTGCTTCACCACACTCATCAGGGGGTACAAGTCGGGGTTGTAGCATCCGTACACAAACATCAGCTCCGACAACTTGTGTGTGATGCTGAAACCCATTGTATTATATTATGGATAGTGTTAATGACGCAATAAAACAATCCGATAAACTTGGTATCATGATCTGATATATATGCAAATGAGGTCACCTAGCGGGAACTACATCGATGCTGTGATGTACGTGCCCAATAAACTACTGACTTAAATTCCCAATAACTAACATTAGTGTTTCGGAAGGTTTGGTTTTCCCAATGATGGCAGCAAAGCATTTGACACAATATATGACAAATGGGGCCATGTGGGGTGTGTGTGGTTGCTTGTACTATTCCGATCTGATGCCGACTGATAGTGCTAGCCCACTGAGGTACCATGCCGCAGTTTAACATGAATACCCCACTCAGATACAGTATACTGACTCCAGATGACGAGTCCTTGTTTTAGCCCCTTAATGTCGAGCGCCAGACAGGGTAAGAACAATTACCATCTTTTAACGTCTTATTGTATGACGTGGCTGGGGATCGAACCCCGAACCTTCCGCTCTCCGGGCGAACGCTCTACCTCTAGACCACAGAAGCGGTCATTTTAAGAATGACATACGATGAAGAGATTATTAAAGTACAGCTATGAAATTGAGATTTGTTACAGATATTGACAAAATAACATGAATTACTCTCTGAGTTTAACTCAGATTCAAAACAGAGTTAGTAAATGGTGTTTCTATCAGTTGGAAATATTCAAGCTATATCACCAGTTTCCATTACACATTCGAACCAGTGGATGACAGCATGAACAACACATGACATTTTGGTAAAACAAGGTCCCCAGCAATCTACTGTAGGAGGTGACTAAATTGGAGGGGTTGTCCAGCTTGATGACTTGGTGGATACACTGTCATCATACCCCGACATGTGATGTGCTTATAACACCAACCCCTGGTTTGTCATGCCCACACTAGATGTCATACAGGCGGCCATTGTGACTACAATGGAATATTGCTGACCGCAACATTAAGCAATATTCACTTTGGAGTCACCAACACACAAGGTCCGTACAGTGACCATTTGATCCTGATTTGCCATGACATTTAACTTGGTTGGTTTGTTGTTTAACGCCACACTAAGCAATATTCCAGCTACATGATGGCGGTCTGTAAATAATCGAGTCTGGACCAGACAATCCAGTGATTAATATCATGAGCATCTATCCACGCAACTGGGATCGATGACATGCATCAACCATGTCAGCGAGCCTGACCACCCGATCCCGTTAGTCGCCTTTTACGACAAGCATAGTCGCCTTTTACGACAAGCATGGGTTGCCGAAGATCTATTCTACCCCGGATCTTCACGGGTCGACATTTAACTATAGTAATATGAAAGAATCGGGTGTTCTTCAACTTCTTTTAAGTAGTATAATAAGTCATGTCTTATGACAAGAAAGGGGTATCTATTCTGCTAAGATCCGTGTAATAGAGTTTCGAACAGAGAAAATGAAAAGACTCTTGTATCTGAAGAAATAGCCAGAAATTGAAAAAATATATCTTATCAGACACGTCAGACTTTGTGTCCAGAAAGCCATATAAAGAAATAAGCTTACCTGTCATGGTAACTGAGGTCACATCTTACACCTGCAAGGCCGTGCCTGAACCTGACTATTGGCACACGAGCCTTCAGTATGTTTTGGAACTCTGAACACAAGGGCACATAACTCCTCAGTGTCTGACTCAGGCTTTCCAACACCCTCCGACTCCTCTGATCTTCTGACAACCTGGCGTACTGCTGTTTCGCTGAGATGAACTTCATGTCTGTTCTTCCAAGTTGCTATTCAAAATCAACATTAAATCAATGACAGACATGATGAGTGAGTAAGTGAGTATGGTTTTACGCCGCTTATAGCAATATTCCAACAATATCACGGCGGGGGACACCAGAATTGGGCTTCACACATTGTACCCATGTCGGGATTCGAACCCGGGTCTTCGGCGTGACGAGCGAACGCTTTAACCACTAGGCTACCCAACCGCCCGACAGACATGATGGGGGTGTTCATATGAGATTAAGTTTAAAAGGGTCAGGAAAAAATGACAGTGAAAGAGGGGGTTGTCCAAGTGAACAAAATGGGGGGATGAACAAAATGTTACATGATTGGTTGGTTGGTTTGTTGTTTAATGCCGCACTCAGCAATATTCCAGCTATTTGACAGCGGTCTGTAAATAATCGAGTCTGGATCAGGCAATCCAGTGATTGATATCGATCCACGCAATTGGGATCGATGACATGCATCAACCAAGTCAGCAAGCCTGACCACCCGATCCCGTTAGTCGCCTTTTACGACAAGCATAGTCAGTTTTTACGGCAAGCATGGGTTGCTGAAGACCTATTCTACCCCGGAATCCACACGGGTCAAATGTTACATGAAGTGGGGGCGGGTTGGGCATAAAAAATGTTACATGAAATGTGGTGTGAGGGGGGAGAGAGAGATATATTACAGTGCCAAGAACAATCTCACCACACCCTATGATAAATGACCAGTCCCTTACTGTATTGTTGAACTGGAACATGTAAAGTATCCACACATCCCGACCTCCTGCACAATGAACTGTCTGATCCTTCTAACCCTTTCTTAAACCTGAATCAAGTTGTTCCAAATCTTAGCCCCCAACAAAAACTGAAACTGTAAACATGATGAAGAGAAATACATCTGCTTTAACTATCAGTTACCATAGCAACTTACAGTATCAGGTGGGAAAATATTACAAGTGAAGTCCAGATCACAGTCAGTCCAGCCAAAGCCGTTAATGCACGACCCGAATGGCTTGATCTGGCAGTGGGGTAGCATGCCTGACAAGGCTTCTTCAATGGCAGACGCAATGAAGAACCGCAGATGTTTCTCTTGCTGAGTAAGACGTTTGCACTGATGGAGGGCATCCATTTGATCCGAAATCTAGAACAGATGATGACAGTTAATAAAAATTTGTTCAAATATTTCATTTTTTACCAGTGTTTGAACTAAGCATGAAATTCACAGGGTCCTTGTTGTAATGCAAGCGCAGGACACATGTCAAGGCAAACCTTTTGGCTCCAAGGTTCTCCTGAATTTTGAACACTAGATTTTTATGCTGATTGATTATAATGGTTTAACCACAGAAAGATGTAACCAGGTAACAGGATTACAAAATATCAGTAAATGTGACTTAGCCCACATTTGACACAAAGACACAATATCTTGGTCTTAAACCATCTTTACTCTGGAAGTAAACGTGGTCCACGCACGTGTGGCAGTCAGTATCCTCAGCGCCATCAATGTAAGTGTTCTACTTCACCATTACAAGCAGAATAACCCAGTGGAGACTCCGGGTTAGAACAGGTGCGACGCAATCTATGCCGGTTGTAAGAGGTGACCAAATGGATCAGGATGGACTGGCTGACTTGGTTGATTGAGTGTCTTCATACCGACAGGTCCGACTGTTGCTCGGAATACTGATTACTGGTTGTCTGATCCAGACTTGATTATTTACAAGCTACCAGCATAGAGCCGGAATATTGCTGAGTGCAGCATTAAACAACAAACAAGCCTCCACCTCTGCTGGTTATGGCAAACTGTTCACAATACCTTCCTTGCCGGCTGCGCAGTCCACAACAAGTACCGACAGATATCTGCCATTAAATATTGTCGCAGTCTGTTGCCTCGAAGCCATATACAGTCAAGTTCTGTTAATCCGACATGTTTGGCTGCATATGATTATGTCTTATTCCCGAGTATGTCGGATAAACAAAATTAAGCACTATTAACGTTCGTGATTGAAAATCGGACAGCTACACGATTGATAATGATACCTAATAGAAAAATGAAATCTTCATATTGTAATGTTATCGGAATATGTTTTCTTATCATGCAACCTCAAAAACTAAACACAAAACTACTGTTACGGGCTGTATGACTGACTCAAAATACTTCTGAAAGCAAAGTCCGGAATGGAGGTCTAGTGCCGCAAAGCTCAAGAAAGTTGCTTTCTTAGTGGCTAATGTTGACTTCCTGCTACTCATTTAATAGGTTGGTCAAAGTTCATGAAAAGGTCGTTCAGACGTGACCTGTAATGGGATGACCTTCAGCGGTAGCGAAACTTATATCAACGAAAGGTAATCTAAACATGTGACTAATCCTGTTTTGTTTATTTAACTAAAGCATTAATTGTTTATTGTTAAGCAAGTTTATCTCTGCAACTGTTGTAATATGCAGCTACTAGCCAACAGTTTCGCATCAAAACACGGGCTGTGTACTTGTGGGTACATAACCACAGTGTACACTGATCACTGAGTGATTTCGGCAATTCATTGCAAATTAGGTTTGTCATAGTGAGAGACTGTCGGATTAACAGGTCTAAGTGGTACTGAATAAATCAGTTCTGATCACTAGTGTCAGACAAAGCCTATTGTCGGATTAACAAGTGTCTGATAAACATGACTTGGCTGTAATTTGGGAATCAAGTCCCAGGTTGGAATATACTGTAAATCATGAAATTAAACCGAGCGGGAATTAAATGCAAAAAATGCGAGTGGTCTTTGCTCGCATTATTAAACATCGCATTTATATAAACAATAAGACATTTTGTATACCAGAAATACCAACTTAGACATATGCTGAAAACAAACAACTATGTATTCCACATCACTGTTTATTGAGCAGCACTTGTAACAAGTATATGAACAATGTCATTCAAACACTAATTACATCCTGTGAATTGTCACTGCTGGGGTCAAGACAACAGTTCTACTCACTTATGTCATCACTGATCACACCTGCATGTCCAGACAGATGCCACCCGCGCAACACAGTCTTTCTGCTCTTTGCGACTGCATCAAAGGCCTACACAAGCCAGCGTGCATGGATGGATGGGCTTCATCACACTAATTTTTAGATGGACAGCCTTTGTTTTGTCACCCGCCTTCAAGTTTGTTGAACTTCTTTAATGCCAGTCAACAGAATAAACACAAAAAGTATCTGTTGTTCTTAGAAAAACACTATTGTTTTAGAGGAAGTACTTTACTCAGCGCTAATAAGCGGTGCTATTTGGTGTGTGATTGGATTAAGGTGAGGATTCTCCTGTAAACCTGACAGAAGACATTTTCTTTATACATAATTCCACTGATGCTTGAGAGGAAGGGGGTGTCGCATTCATATTGAGTCGCATTTTTGGCTAGGGGCATTCTTTTGGAGGCGCAATAATTTCACGATTTACAGTACCCAGTAATGTAATGTATACAGACAGGTGATGGACGTTACACACTTCTACTTACTGACACGCATTCCTTCAACCTTGAAAGCACATGTTCATGTGAGGTAATATCTTTTTGAGGTGCTCTTTTTTTCTTAATACTGTGTTGGTTTAGGAACATCACTCTGGATCTGACTGGGAACTCCCCAAATGAATAGCCGGTGTCCACCATCAAATCAGCCACCGATGTCCTCTCCTTGTACTCCACCATGAAGAAAGACTAGAAAAAACAAGTACATATTGTCACGGTGATAGGATCTGGGAACAGGCAAATCTATACTAATGTCAAATAAATATCATTGTACAAATGTTTCAATTTTGTATTCACTGCATAAAAATGTCTTAAGTGCCTCGCAATTATGTTCATCATGTAAATTGTCATGACAGAAATTTCAAATGGAAAGTTCTCATTTGCAACCTGTTGGCTGACGATTATGATAGAATACAAAACATTTATTCTCCACATCACTTGTTTGTTTATTCAATTGTAGACTGCCTCTGTGGTGTAGTGGTAGAGCGTCCGCCCGGAGAGCGGAAGGTCTGGGGTTTGATCCCTGTCTGAGTCAAACCAAAAGACATTAATAGATGATATTGTTGTTACCCTGTCTGGCGCTCGGCATTAAGAGGATAAAACAAGGACTGGTTGGCTCGGAGTCAGTATACTGTGTCTGAGTGGGGTATTCATGTTAAACTGCAGCATGGTATCTCAGTGGGCTGGCACTATTAAATCGGCATCAGTCCAGACTAGTACAAAGTACAAGCAGCCACACACACACACACATATGTGCATGCACATCGCTATATAAGTGCAATAATCTTGGATGCGATGTTAAACACCATTTTAACTCACTTATTCAATTGTAACATTACATGAAGTGGAAAAAGAAGTGTTAATTGTTGAAAGAAAAGAAAAATATCACATCCATTCCACAAACATAAATGTAGCACATATATTTCAATGGTGACCTCCTAAAAAGATAACATAATAATCTCTTAGTATTACCTTCCTTGCATGATGGAACTGCACAGCGGACTCGATGATGCCATACTGTTGCAGGTGCCGACGCACCTGGTCCTCATCTACCCCCTGCACCACCACGGTGCGATGTGCCGCCTCCCTCCTTCCTTCCACTTCTCTCTCATATGTACTCAAGGATTTCCTCCCGTCATGTTTTCTGCCTACTCTCTCATCTGCAAAAAAGTTACACGGCATGGACAGATCATCAGCTGCACATGTCCCTAGCATTGGGGGGTCTTCCACATGGTGTAAATGATATGATCATCTGTATTTCAAAAACTGACTGTTTTTTTTACTTTGTGTAACATTTATCTTTTTGTTTTCCTTTTTTGTTTTCCTTTTTTGTTTTCCTTTTTTGTTTTCCTTTTTTGTTTAACACTGCATTGAGCAGTATTTGAGCTATATGATTGTACTCTCTAAATAATCAAGTTTTGACAATCCAGTGATTGACATCATGAGTATAGATAAACACAATCAGTGACAAAGTCACCGATCCTATCAATTTAGTCACCTCTTACGGCAAAGGCCCTGTCAGTCTTATGAAATGTGACAATACCAATATGTTGGACACAGTAAGAATCCAGCTTTATGACAGTGGGCTGTAAAGAACTGAGTCTGAACCAGCCGAAACAGTGATGGACATTATAAGCATTGTCCATATTGGCGATATATTATTTTCAAAAAGGAGGGGTGGATAATCCATGAACACACACTCCCATAATGTGGACAACCCCCACCAAACATTACATGCTACATGCTTACTGTAATCATTGTAATAAGATCATGGCAATAACATGACATACATGTATGGATACATTACGTTAGCATTTAATATCTATTGAAAGGAGTGAGTGAGTGAGTTGGGTTTAACGCCGCTTTTAACAGTATTCCAGTTATATCGTGGCGTGTCAGCTTAATGTGGGAGGAAAGCCCAAAGTGATGTAGCTCTCAGATGTTTACCACTTCGGTGAAACCCATGAGCACGGGTATGGTGCTGACACAAATCTTGCATGACTATTGGATTCTTAGGGTTAGTTACCTCAGGGTTACCCCCAACTTTATCCTTAGCCCTTGGATGCCCTTACTGAACAAGCAACCCAATACGATCGTTTACTGGGGTTAAGTACCCCTTTCTCATCAAACACTGATCATTTGAGGAAAATCTGTATAATTTGTGTCTAGTTTGAAGTATTGCAGATAATATTGGGCGCGTATCAAGGTTAACAATCTGGTGATGATCAGTAGGTATATGAGCACTAGTCATTTTGTGACAGCGCCTGTGGTCCCGTGGTAAAGTGTTGGCTAACTATATTAACTCATAAGCCTAGTTTATCTTCAAGATCGCAATGTGAGTTCCAGCCTCCGTGCAGTGCTAGCTGAAATCTGAAAAAAGTGAGACCAGACTTGTTCAGTAAGTACTCCCATCAAAGGTAGCTGAGTTTGAATAAATCAAATTGTGACGTTTTATAATCAGAATACAAAAGCTGCATATGAACACATCGGATTGCATCATATAGCAAGGTTAATTATGCTATGGCAACCACACACTACCACAACAATGGTCACAAATTTGTGGTTTAGACAGTGTCATCCCCTAAAGCTTGCATCAACAAACATGACAGGATATTTTGTTTTGGCCAACGTTCTCAATTATGTTTGAATTGCAGCCGATGTGGTGTATACATAAATGGAAACAGTTGTCGCTAGTGACAATACAGTAGCTTAATTTGTCCCCAATCCCTCTACACATGAACTATACAAGACTCGTGCATCTAAATGGTCTAGGCTACTCTGGGCCTATATTTAGGTTCAACATGATTGACAGGTTGAAAGAAGAACTGCCTGAACACCGTGATCGAGTGCTCTACCTGCTCTGTGTGAGCCCCCCGGTCTAGATCCGTAATTTCGTGTACTGAGGCGGTGAGAACAGATGAATGGCCATTCAATGCCTAATGACATTGGATAACGTCTGAGGACATGCCGGCGAAGCATGTTTGGCAGACAAGTCGCCATATTTGAAGCTATTAACATCCGGAAAATGAATATTAAACTTACAAAGTTAGTATTCACATTATGGTATTACATTTGTTAATGTAACCAGCTTTAATAATAGTGTATAGATCGAAAACAAAATGTTTGTTCTATAACAAAAGTTGTACCACAGCGTTTTATTCATATGCGATTGCATTTTCCGCTAAACAGCCTGGTTAGATAATCCGTACGGAAACTCCACACGGGACTGTATGGTGTTAGGAGTTTATCACCAAGGGGTCGTAACTCCGACGTGTTTCTTTGCGATTTTCCGCTTTTTTGCTCCGGTTCTTCTCATATGTTTCTACGTTTTTTCACATGGTTTGTTTCATAGATTCCACACGCACACTTAGTACACTTTGACGTAACCGTTATGTTAAAGTAACTGACTATTCAGTTGTAAACAATACATACACTAACTATTTTCATGACATTAGAATTGGCGGTGCATCGAAATGTATAATTGGTGTTATTATGAATGTTCCAGCCCATAGTTAAGGTTTAAACACTAGTAGGGCCATTTACTGTCCAGGGAAACAGCAAATGTCGCCATGAACACTCTGCAACCTTTTCTGAAGCTGCCATTAATCATCATAAATGTATATGTTTGCTGTTTTTGGATGAAATACATTGCCGAACCCGTAAATCGTTTGTATTATCTTGCTTCAGACCAGAAGAGGTAGATACATGTGTATTACCTGCCATGCTTGTTTGATGCTCCTGATAAGTATGAATCATAATATCAAGTGAATTTATAAATTAGTGTTACTTTAGGATTAGGTACCCCTTTCCAATGAAACATCCCTTTATGATCCTTAGGGTTGGGCACCACTTGCTAGTCAAACACCCCTTTACAATCCATAGGGTTAGGGAAAGCAGATGCTGAAAGTCATTGCGCAATGTTGTGTCCCTTAGCTGCCCGAACAATATGATCCAGGATTTACGCCCAGGGCATGCTTGCACAAAGCGTTCTTAAGACGATTGTCTTATACCACAACTCTCATACCTACAATAATCGTAGGGCTAGGATTGCTTTGTGCAAGTGGTCCAGATTTGCCCTGACAATGATCCTTGCCATGTCGGCACTATTCCTGTGCTCATCAAGTTTTGCAACATTGATTGACTTCTATGACCCGCATCCCGTTTTTCTTTCCTCCTGCATTAAGCTATCAAGCTGTCAATAAATATCACCTTGTCAACAACCATTATTTCCAAGTTGTCCTTCCAGTGGGGTAGCCTATAGTTGTCTAAGCATTGGCTCATCACATGGAAGATCATGGTTCAATTCATCATGTTGGTAAAATGCATGAAGCCAAATCATATGTGGGGGGCACGGGTGGCCCAGTCGTCTAAGGCGTCGCGATTCGCTGTGCAGAGTTGCGTCCCTTGGGCACGCCAGAAACCTATGATTGTGGGTTTAAATCCCGGTTTGCCCCAATTATGTTTCTAGGTTTGTCAGCACCATACCCGTGCTCGTGGGTTTCACCGAAGTGGTAAACGTCTGAGACCTACATCACTTCGGGCTTTCCTCCCACATTAAGCTGACACGCCGCGATGTAAGTGGAATACTGTTAAAAGCGGCGTTAAACCCAACTCACTCACTCACCCATTCATATGTTATTCTCCATATTCTTAGTGACTTATTAACCATATTTAAGACTGTTTGACTAAGAAAGCATTTTATTTTGTCCATGTTGTTTTTATACTAATATAATAAAACATTTCACTTCGTAGCTTACTTTTTTAGAATGCAAATAGAAAACATGGCTGTCGCTCATCCCTACAATTTCTATTAAAGTCTGTCACTGTTTGTGTCTTCCAGCTGGTCATAATGGAACAAGATGATGACTTTGTGTTGTATGTTTCAGGTTATATATTTCTGAAGCCAGGAAACATGGTGATTCAGTGTGAATACTGTATGGTGACTGTTCCTTCAGGTAAGTCAGAAGTGTTTGCTGTCAACAGGATTACCAAGATCAAAGCACAACCGTATGATGAGTTTGCAAAGAATAAACATTTACCAAGTTTAAGCAAATTTCTAGGACCATTAGCTCCAATGATAATAAACAAACAGTGATAAACCAAGGTTTCTAGTAGTACTGCTGCTGCTTATGGTTTAGTTGGAATGATTCATTTAGTCATCCTCTTCACTGCCTGTGCCTGAAATTATGAGTTCAAAATAGATTTTACTCATTAGTTATGGGCTATCTTATGCTGAGCTTATTACCGATAGACCAAAAATTTTTACTAGACTAGGATTTCAGACCTGTGAAGATCCAAGTTAGAAATGGTCTTTTGCAACCCACGCTTGTAAGAGGCGACTAACGCGATGGGTGTTTGCTGACTTGGTTGAGGTGTGTCATGTATCCCAATTGTGGAGATCGATGCTCATGATGTCAGTCACTAGACTGTCTGGTCCCGACTCAATTGTTTACAGACCACCATCATATCATGCATATAACTGGCATGATTGACACATTCATGTTTGACATTGCTGAAAATCAACAGATTATATGTAATAGTCAATACTTGAAGACATTGTAAATTAGATTGGCATATCATATCCAATATTCACTTGATCAACAACACATATTTTAACTACATGGAGATTATTTTGTGGTGTTTTGTTTTGATATTATTTTACTGTCTTCAACATTTAATACTGCTAGTTAGCTTAGATTCATCGTCAACAGGTTAACAGGTTTTGTATACTCTGCATTCATCCATCCTGTGAAGTCGTGATGGCTTCTCTTGTTCTGGAAGACTATTGAAATGTCATACTCATCTAGTGATATGACCGGTGACAATTCGTCCTCAGTAAAAGATGCTTGTCATAAGAGTCGACTATGATGAATCAGTCAATCAGACTCTAACTTGGTTGTTTTGGGCGGTCGGGTAGCGTAGTGGTTGAAGCGTTTGCTCGTCACGCCGAAGACCCGGGTTCGATTCCCGACATGGGTAAAATGTGTGAAGCCCATTTCTGGTGTCCCCCGCCGTGATATTGCTGGAATATTGCTAAAAGCGGCGTAAAACCATACTCACTCACTCACTCTAACTTGGTTGATTAGTGTATGCCATCATGCCCTGATGACGTAGATCGTTGTTAATGTTTTCATTCAATGGTTTGTCTGGTCCAGACATTATTATTAACAAGCCACTATGATATTGCTTGAATATTTCTGACTGCGGTATTGAACAACATTCACAAACATGAAAAACACTGTTATATCTAAATTGTTTTGAAAAGGATGCACAAAGTCAATGATATAGTCGGTGTGGGTAGTACATGTAATTCAGAATGAATGTGACTGTGCAGAGGAGGCCATGAAGGACCATGTGAAGGGGAAGCGCCACATCCGTGTGATCGAGGCCTGCAAGCTGCGGCAGAAACAAGCCAGCCTCACTGTCTTTACAAAGGGCTTCAGCGATGACACCACTGAAGACGAACTCAGAACATATTTCTCCAAGTTTGGCAAAGTGGAGAAAATTTTCATGGAGTACAAGAGGGTGAGCAGATTTGTCAGATTTGTTGAAGAATATTTCATGTAAAGAAACATTTTGACCTGCTGAAGAAACAAGATTTTAAACCAAGCTTTTAAACCTGAGGGTTATTGTTGACTCAAAAGATATGTCACATACAATATTTGGCTGAGTTTTCAATACATGCCACTGCGCCCCGATCAAGTAGATCATTGTTCGTATGTTCAGTCAGTGGCTTTTCTGTAGATTTTTGCTCTTACAAGACTGAACAGATTTTTACTAGACTCTGGCTTTAGACTAGTGGCTAAAGTTATTACTTTGCAGATGTGGCTTGTATTTCACTGATAACGACCAAAAAACAAGAAGAGCTTTTAACATATTTAATGATTATTTTTTCATTCTTGATTTAAATGAAATATTAAAATACCCCTGAACTTTCAGAATATTTGGACTTTCAAGAAAATCCCACTTTTGAACAAAATTTCATCATTTCCGAATTTTTCTGTCAAGGGCAATAAATTGGGAATCCTGGATACATCTGTGCCCTGCATCAGGGAAAGCCCTGTCAGCCATCCAGAAACTGGTCACATTGACAGCATGATCAACTTAGGGACTTCCTCATTATCTTAGACCTGTTTCCGACCCTCCCTATGGCTGTTACAGGGCCTGTTTGCCATGGTTGAATATGCTGAGGAAGAGTCTGTCACAGCTGCCATTGCTCACACTGAACATGAACTGAAGGGGGACAAGATCGTGGTGAACCCCCGCAAGGTGAACCAGACCCCCCGCTGGGTGCTGAAGGAGAGGAAGATGAAGGCCAGACAGAATGCCAGGGTCAAGGCTGCCAAGGAGAACAAGAAGGCCATTGCTGTCAACAAGGAGGAGCTGTTGCTGAAACTCAAAAGTGCTGAATCAGTAAGTTTGTCAAGAGGAAAAAAACTAGGGGCTCAACAGCTCTGAATCAGTAAGGTGGCAGAACCAGGGGCACAGCAACTCTGAATCAGTAAGTTTGGCAAGAGGTCTAAACCAGGTGTTCAACAGAGCTAAAACAAGGGGCCCAGTATCTGGAAAGGTTCCTTGTTTAACACTAAAGGCAATGGTCAAAACAAAAGCAAATCTGGAACACACACACACACACACACACACACACACACACACACACACACACACACACACACACACACACACACACACACACACACACACACACACACACACACACACACACACACACACACACACACACACACACACACACACACACACACACACACACACACACACACACACACACACACACACACACACCCCACACACACACCCCAATTAGGCCACGCCCACTTTCGGACTACTGTTTCTTGATTGGCTGAAAATAGAATGGGTGATGCTTGTGTTGCATTAATTTCACAGATTGATGATTGTCGTCAGTTTTTTGTTTTTTAATAATTAAGTTAGTCTGTGAAGTTATAATTGTTGACATTTGTATTTCAAGAATGTGTTTTTGCGCTTTTTGAGTTGGATTTATTCAGTATGCACGCAGGTTTTTACAAATAGGTTGAAGTCAGTTTCAGTAAGTCAAGATATTCCTTCCTTATGGTGGTAATGACATGATGCTGTGTGGTACATGTGACTGCCATGTTTCTGCAGATTGTGGACCAGATGCGGGTGCTGGCGGACTTTGTCCGTATGACGGATGAGGAGATCACACAGAAGCAGGGCATCTGTGACATACTCAGTGCAGCGCTCACAAAGTTCTTTCCAGGTAAATCATGCTCGTCTTAACATTATTCAACTGTGTTTTCAGATCAGGCAATATGTCATAACTATGACTATCCTGATATGACGATGTGCAGTGTCATTCTTATCTCTGATATCCACAACACATCACATGAATGCAGCCAGGAAATCGGTCACCTACACAGAGTTATCTGTCCTTGAGCTTCCTCTTGCTTCAAAACACCCATGTACTAGAATGTTTAGTTTGGTTGGATCGTGTGATGTCCTTTATCTTCCTTTTAAAAAGACCTTGTTTGTGTTAGAATTTGGCTGTGTGTACCTTACTGTTTATTTGTGAGTGGCTGGGTAGCCTAGTGGTTAAAGTGTTCGCTCCTCGTGCCGAAGATCCGGGTTCAATTCCCGACATGGGTACAATGTGTGTAGCCCCTGTCTGGTGTCCCCCGCTGTGATATTGCTGGAATATTGCTAATAGCGGCGTTAAACAATACTCAAAAATTGTTGTATTTTCGTCCACTTTTCATGCAGCATTTGTTGCCTCTACTTTGAGGAAAGACCAAGGGCAGCTAACTCCGAACTTGTCATGCCTTCGTGCCATCTGCTTTTACTCTGTGCTATGGATATCAATGATAAGAAGAAAATTGCACAGATGGTACTTGTTGTTACCCTGTCTGGTGCTCGGCATTAAGGGGCTAAACCAAGGACTGGTCGGCTCGGAGTCAGTATACTCTGAGTGGGGTATTCATGTTAAATCATTTCACCTCACCTATTAATATCATGTACAGAATACTCAGATTGCAGTAATTTCCTCTAATACAGGCAAAGTCTGAACCAAATAGGAAGAATAGATTGAACACAGTATATACTATACAAGTAAAACAGTATATGAATGATCCCCATTTAGAATTCATATAATGACTAGTCCTTTACCTCTTGCGATACTTCAGTCACGACATACTTCAGTCAGGATATTTGAATTGCACCCTTTTTGCAAGAAATTCTTATTATCCATGTTACCAAGCTAATAAGCGGTTGTTGCTATCAGCCAGTTTGTGTTTAACTCCTATGACTGGATAACTGAGGTGGATTCTACCAGTATTGTGCGATCAGATTTTACTTAGTATTTCGTTCATGATAAGCAGTAATGCTGTAGCTGGATTGTGACACCTACTCTATTGTCAGAGGTGTAACGATACAGTGGGGTTGCGATATGACTTGTATCCCCATACAGTTCTTTTATTTCAAAGTTTATATTCTTTTCTTTTGCAGTTGAACCACAACCCTGAATCATTTGTTTTTAAATTTCAGAAATTAAGATGGGATATTGTAAGGCAGAACCATATAGGCAAGAGGGCACTGTGAATGTTATGTTATTTATAGCCAGTTGGATAATACTAGAGAATCTGTGTAAGCTGGTTGGCAAACAGTTTTGTTTACCATCAAATTTATTATTAGTCACATGTTTTTACACCAGTATAACTTGTAATGTGATGTATCGTATGTATCGCAATGCAGGAGTTGTAAATGGATGTATTGTATCGTGGCCCCCGTATCAGGATACAATACTGTATCACCGTATCATTATACCACTATATATTGTGATGATATTTGTTCCTCAGCCTGCTCTGTGCATCAGTTTGGCTCCTCTGTGAATGGGTTCGGAGTGAAGGGTTGCGATGTTGACATATACCTGGACTTCCATGATGACCAAGAAGAGGCCCTCAATCTCCCAGATTCCCAGGTACACTAGACATGATGTGACAGTTGTGTGGGTTTGTTGTCGGCTGCATGCAGTGGTAGAGTGAAATAAAAAGATTGAAGTAAAAATAATGATGACTTATTTCTTTCCGCTAAAATATGTCACCAAAAGATGTTAAAAGATGGTACTTTTTGTTACCCTGCCTGGTACTAGGCATTAAGGGGCTAAAACAAGGACTGGTCAGCTCAGTGTACACTGTGTCTGAGTGGGGTATTCATGTTAAAAAGTGTGGCATGGTATCTCAGTGGGCTAGTGCTATAAAAACAACATCAGTCCAGACAAGTACGAGCAGGTGCGCGCATGCATATCACTATTAGTGCACTAATGTTGAATGCGATGTTAAACCTGATTTCACCTCACCTCTTCTGATCATGACTCAGGGGTTGATTTTACTGCTGCCTGTGGCCAGTTAAAATTACAAAAACACCTCATGGCCTCCACCAATTAGTTGTAGGCCAGTTAGTTTGGAGAAGGGCCAGTAACTTTTGAAAGGAGCAAGCCCTGCTGGCTACATTTGTTCTTTAATCTACCCCTGATGACTTGGTATTAACAGTAAGTTGTCTGATTAGCTGAACCTTTTCATCATCCCTGAGGTCGCAGGAATGGAAGTTTTGCCATTCAGATCTGACTCCCTTCAGTTTAGTGTGCCAGTGTCCTATAATCGTGGGGTAAAAACTCAGCATCATTAGTTTGTCGGCACTTTCTGTGACATTTGGGTTTCATCAAAGTGGAAAACAGCCAAGATCTACACCATTTTGGGATTTCTGCCAACAGAAAGCTGACACACCCTGATACTGCTGATATATTGTCAAAACTAACTCACTCACTCACTCACTCACTCACTCACTCACTCACTCACTCACTCACTCACTCACTCACTCATCCCCACTCACTCACTCACTCACTCATCGCCAGGCCCCTGTGAAGCTGCCGTACCACCGAGACATCCAGTCCCTGAAGAGGACCGAGGGCCCTCTGACCTCCGCTGACCTCCAGCTGATGACAGCGTATGACAAGGTGAAGCTGGTGTCCCGCATCCTGGTGGAGCATGCCCCCGGCTGCAACAACATCATCGTCATCCCCAGCGCCAGGTGTCCCCTCATCAAGTTCACTCACGAACCTTCGGGCATCAAGTGTGACCTCTCCATCAACAACAAGTGAGTCAGCCATCTTGGCACAGTTATTCTAAACATGGGAACACTACAGAAACAGGCCAGTGATTCTAACTGGATTTTGATTCTTTGTCTAGTTATGCATCTTCATTTCATTATCATAAGTTATCAAAATTCTTGACTTTCACTTGCCCAAATTTAAGTTAAGTTCACCTCAGGACTGTAAACATTTTGTTTGTTTTTTGTCAACACTGATATTGTACAAATGAGTCAGTTTACATCTTGTACATTCAAGATTCATTGAAAGGTCTTGAATTTTCACATCACTTTGTTAATATACTACTCAAAAAGGTTAAGGATCACCCATTTCTTGCATATTACTACAGTTAATCAGTCATGGCTGTTATGAAAGAATTGGGTGATCCTTAACTTTGTTTTTGTAGTATAGTATGCAGATACAGGACAAGTTGGTCACAAACACCTATGAACAGTTGACACCACCTTATCAGTCACCCAGTGTCCGAAATAACTGCCTGCCCACCTGCCCGTGGCCAGTAACTTTTTTGTCGGGCTGCATGAAATATTCCTCAAGCTGCCCGACGGTCAGATAATTTTAAGTCTGCTTGTGTATCAGTTTCATTAGAACTCCTTTTAGCTTCTCAAGTTGTTCTTTGAAGTATTTCAACTGAATCAAGATGCGATTTGTCTCTTAGTTTTGGCGATTTTTCAATATTTATAATGCATGAGTACGGGCAGGTAATTTTGAAGATGGGCAGGCAACACTTTGGGCCACCTTCCTGACTGTCTTGTTGGGTTTTAAAGTTATTTCAAACACTGCAATCACCACCTCACTTCCCCTACAGACTGGCGTTGCGTAACACTCGGCTGCTGCAGCTGTGTAGCCGGATCGACGAGCGTGTGGGGCTGCTGGTCTATACTGTCCGCTACTGGGCCAAGGTCAAGGAGATTGCTGGAAACATCAACTCAGGCCCTCGTCTGTCCAACTACGCTCTCACATTCCTCGTGGTTCAATACCTCCAGAATCTCGCCACTCCCATATTACCAACAACCAGTAGACTGGCGGAACTGGCAGGTAATATATACATATCAACCATGTTAACATTGATATAGGATTGTGTATGTCATGACCAGAGCCTAAACATAAACAAATTGTTGTTTGGCAGTATGGCAAAAACAAATACTTCGCGTCTGTATCTCGATTTGTTTTCAAATTCGTGGACAGCTTTTTTATTGTCTAAATATTTGTATTATTATTATTATTATGTACTTCTCGTCACGATATGGCTGAAATACTGCTGATGTGGCGTTAAAGCTTAACTCACTCACTCAAATTGTGGTAAATTATATACATGGTGGTAAGTTAAATGCAGTTTATCCCTTGGGGAATATAGATTGATGTACCCTCAGATGATGTACCCGTGCCCCACAGAGGGTACATCAAACTGTATTCCTCTAAGGATAAGACTACAACTTACATTGTTATACCTCTCTTAAGAATCTTGCAATTCCATTGGTTAATCCGTACCATGTGATGAAACAGTACATTTCAATGGAGACCCTTAAATCATGTTCCCGACACTGACCTCGCATATTGACATGTTACATGATCAGTATTGACCCGTCACATGATGAATATTGACTAGTCTGCTAGAAAACAAGTTGGAGTCTGGTTTGAACTTTTCACAGTTCACAGCTAAGTTACTGTAATGAATCAGAGGATGGTTTAAAGACATCAGAAATTTAAATGTGAATTTCGTTATAACAAAACGAATGATTATTCTTGACGAGGTTAATATACGAAAACAAGGACCCTCGGACCTGACCCCTTCGGCCGTCAGACCACCTCAGAGTTTGTGTCCTCGGTCTTTGTTTTTGCATATTGACCTCGTTAAGAGTACTTACCGTATTTGACGTAATAAGCGCCCCGCTCTAATAAGCGCCCACGGCGTTATTTGCTAATATATTGGCTAGTGAACAATCCCAATTAGCACCCCTTCCGATTGATCAATGAACACAAGACTTATTTATTCGTGTGTAATACGCATTCGTTTAATTTGTTATATGCACCCTTAATTATGGGCAATTAAATTCTCGAAAAATATATCTATCGTGTATAATACTAACAGATTCTTCTTTTATATCATTCCAGGCTTACCCAAAATTTACAATCTTTCAACCTCGTTTTAATCTCACCAAAATCATATTCTAATAAGAGCCCCCTATTTCTAATTTTGAGAGCGCCCTGAGCGCTTATTACGATGAATACGGTATTTGTATAATATTCAGCCCTCAATCTAGAACACATAACTCTATTCTTGAATCAAGCCCTCTAAGTTCCCACAACTCGCTTTGGGAGTTATGTCCCTTTGCTGCATGATTTTAAAAACCAGTTTTGCTGCAATCCTGATCATATCCATCAGTCCATACTCATGTCCTTTGACTTCACAAATGTGGTAACTCTAAACATTTTCAACCTGAGCGTTCGAATATAAACATGGAAATTAGGGGTCCTTGTCGTAAATCTAAGGTCAAATACAAATATAAATAATTTAGTGGTCCCTGGTTTTAAATACGATCTCAAGGACCCCAGGTCGTTGTTGCGCTAAGATCTCTGTCGGATATGACCCTGTTATGTATCTGGAATGCTGAAGTGCCTTTAGACCCAACCCTAACACACTGTGCTTTGTGAACCAGGCAAGGAGAAGGTGGTCATTGATGGCTGGGACTGTTCCTATCTGGATGAGCCGGAAACATTCACATCATCGGCTAACACGTGGTCCGGAGGTGAGTGGGAAGTGCAAGTGAGGTGTAGTTTCATTAAAGGACATGGAAAATGGCGTGTGTAGTCATGTACTTTGCGTCAGCTTGAAGTAAATTGGCCATGTTTGTCCCCCTAAAGATTTTGTTGATCCTTGGTGTCCCATGACTGCTGAGGAGGCTGAACACTTTATTAGTTGAGGTACTGGACACTGTGCCAGTGAAAGTTGAGGTAAGACTTCCACCCGTTCCCTCCCACCCCCTCAAAATATATAAATTTACCATGATTGAGCGACAATGCATACACATGCTACTTTTGGTAGGGGATACGGGCAGAAGTCTTTCCAAAGTTGACTTTTGAGTTGCCCTTTATGAATATCACAATTCCAGTAATGAAATATGTTTCAAATATTCATGTAATTCAGTGGTAGAACATAGTGCTGGTGATCGGAATTTGTGTATCCTGGATCAAGCAAACTACCGTGTTGTAATTATGATGGTAGTGGATAGTGTCTATGTTTCACTTGCAGAGGATCTGTTGAGGGGCTTCTTTGAGTACTACTCCAACTTGGACTTCAGCACGGTCGTGTTACAAACCCGCACTGGTCACATCCTCCCAGTACAGCAGATGCTGGAACAGCCCAACACCGAGTCACAGACATTCAAGGTACGTTTCAAAGTTTGAAGATTTTGAATCACTTTTGTTTAATTATTTGTTTTTATCCCCCCTGTATGTAATATGGGGGTATATTGTAATCAGCTTGTCTGTCCGTCGGTCTGTCCGTCCATAATCATTTTTGGTCCAGTTCATGTCTCTAAAACTAATAAGTATTCTTTCATGAAACTTTGCAAGCACAAAAACAAGGTTGTTCTTTAGGGATTTTTCTCATTTTTATTTTCCCCGTTTCCATGGCAACGAGTTTGACTTTGACTGTCCATATTGTGTTTGTCTGGACCATATCTCCTAAACTACTTGATATTCATTCATGAAATTATGCGCACAGAGAGATCAGAGAGGTCAACTGGTGCCTTTTGCTATTTAGGGATTTTTAGAAAATTCTTTTTTCCATTTTCATGGCAACAAGTGTAACTTTGACCCAATTCAGGGGCATGTGTTTTTGCAGAGCTTTTCTTCAAAACTGCCAGTTTTCTTCAGTATGCGCACACCATGACCAAATTGTAAGCAGCTGTTTGTAATTCTTGACAGAATTTCAATTATTTGTTACGCCTCTGTTTCTTTACATGATTATTCATATTTACATCTTATCCCAATTTCATGGTATTGTTTTGAAAGCTCAATAACTACTCTTGTATACAGACAGACAGATTTGATAGGGATACTCTCATCAAGTTGCACAGATTTCTCTTGCAGGACTTGCTGGAACAATCAGATGATTTGTTGTTTAGAATTTGTGGGAGCCGGGAGGATTTGTCATCTTCTGATGGCTCTTGTAATGACATTGTCAAAGTGAGCTGTTGTCATGGGTCTGTGGGTCAACTGAACTGAAAAGAAATATTATCAAAAGCTCAAAATGACTACAGCCTTTACACCAATCTCTTCTCCTTCAAGGTTATCAGACAAATTGCTTTCAATTATATGGAGGATGTTCATGCTCACTGTACTTGTACGATTTGTTTTCTACTTCAGCAGACCCCTTCTAAATGAAGGCTGATCTACCTAAATGATTGGCTAACTTTGAGGGTCAAGGTCACTACTAAGGTTACAGAAAGCTAATGAGCCCCATACCCTGGGATCTGTTAAAATCCAATTATCTTGCAAAATTCTAAGGGGAAAGGAAATTCTCATGTTTTCCTTACCTAGATTTCAGCACAAGAGAGGATTAATAATTCAAGTTTAGGCAATTAAATCTGTTATGTCCTGACTCTAACTCAAAACTTTTCTTCAGGGTATTATAAATGTCAGCACAACAAGAAATGAGTATGTGGAGTTCAAGTTCACAATATTTCCTAATATCCATCCTGTCTTTGAGTTGTGAATTGGGTTTAGCACCGCTTTTAACAGTATTCCAGTTATATCAAGGCGTGTCAGCTTAATGTGGGAGGAAAGCCCGAAGTTATGCAGGTCTCAGACGTTTACCATTCGGTGAAATCCACGAGCACGGGTATGGTGCTGACAAACCTAGAAACATAATCAGGGCGAACCAGGATTCGAACCCACAATCATAGGTTTCTGGTGTGCCCAAGGGACGCAACTCTGCACAACGAATCCCGCCACCTTAGGCGACTGTGCCCCCTCCTGTCTTTGAAGTGTAGTACAGCTATTTTGTTTATAATGTGCACCATTGCAATGTCATAGTTTTAGTATTTCAGTACAGTTGACAATACAATGTATGTCATGTCTGTTTTCACTGCCTCTCAGATTGGGCCAATCAGCATCCAGGACCCATTTGTCCTGGACCACAACATTGGTGGAAACGTAACTGAAAAGATCAAGCAGAAGATTTCGGAGGAGTTCCAGATCGCAGCCAAGAAATGTGAGCAGTGGTCCAACGTGGTGGCCGAGGTACAGTTGGGGCTGGTGGACCTGCTCGGTGTGGACGTACCAGCGGAACTAGAGGAGGAGCTGACGAGGCTGCGAGACCTGGATGAGGAGAAGGAGGATGACCACAGCTTCACCGTCATCTTGAAGGTGGCGCAGCTACCAGCTGAAGCCTTCAAGAATCCCCAGACACCTGACTTCCGACTGAACTGGTGTTTTAAGGTGTGCCTATTCATACAGCGAGTCCTCGAGACCATTCTCATGTTTGAGACTGAAATTCTCGCCCAGACAATATCGGGAGACGTGCCCACGGAAAAAATGGAGGTTGATCCAGAGTCGAAAATGGATAATTCTCAAGCAAAACCAACTGTAAAAAATACTAGTCCTAAAAATTCATCGGAGCAGAAATCAGGAACTCCCAGTAAAGGAGCTGCAGGGATGAAGGAGCCCATGGTTGCCCCAGGAGTGAAGTTGGAACCAGGCATGGCTCCCCTCGGATCTCCCCAGTCCCCAAGCCTCCACATGGAGCTGATGTGTAGCTCCTGCTGCCGGACCTGGAGCGGGCGGAAGACGCTGAGACGCGAGGTGATGGAAGGTGAGCTGGACGGGTTGGAGCTCGAGCGGGAGATCTCCGAGAAGATCATAGAGAGCGATGGATTCTCACCGAAATATGTAGTGCAGTTCCGTTGTGACATTGACACTGTTGTTAAGACATCCAAAACAGCGGTCATCCTAAAACTCGAGCCCACCGACGAGGGCAAGGAGTTCTCCTGTTTCTACCCTTTCTTCAAGACATTGATTCGAAGGTTGGTGGATAAAAATCTGTATGAAACTTGGTAGGGGAAGGTTTCAAGTTTGGAAACAAGTTGCTTCTCAGAAGAACTCTGAACATAGCTGTTCGTTTCATTATTTCACGTTGATCATGTTGATGATGATTGAAGGCTCATTATTGATGTAGGAAAACATCCCTTTATATAAAATATGCTGAAGTTTTCATTTCGGTCATTATTTTCATAAACATATCTCATTTAAGACCTATTTTCTTATTTTGACATTTATTGAAAGGTTGAGATTATGGAGCCATTGTGAGTTGCATGAGGCTCACGTGGCCTCATCTTCCCAAGGCAAGCACGTCCACTAGCCTTTTATCAAAATTTAGTTTTCACCCTTGCCACATCAAGCCCACTTTCCTGTGCTAAATATCATTGGAATATCGCACATATTGGTAGTCCAATCAGAGAATGTTTCACATCACCATCCATGACTGGTTCACCTTCGTATGAAAGTGATTTACCGCTGCCTGTCTTTGTTGACACGTCTTCTTCATCTTTTAAACCAATGTTTTTGTGTTGGGGATGCAATCGCGAATGTTTTTATCATATGATCGGCTAGGTCGTCGCCTATGGTAGTCGCCATCTTTGTACAGCTATATGAGATAGGAACATCGTTCTGATTGGAAAACTCTTTTTCATTACAAGGGGCACAATTCGTAATCTACGCGAGGTGGCGCCAGGGTCGAGCTAAGAAAAGTGATCTCGATGTGGCAAGGGTAGAAACTAGGCTTTGATATAGGCTAGTGAACACACTTGCCTCGGGGAGGTCTTTGTTGTAGTTGTGACTGAAGTGGTTATGCAAGTTGTTCTCCCAGACATGTCGTAGATATGATTATTAGAATATCTTATACCTGATTTTGATTCTATGATCTGTATGTTTTTTTAGGCTGAAAAATATGAAGGCTTGTTGATTCATTAATTTGAAACTGATTTTATGAGGATCTTTTCGATGTGCATTTGCATATGTATCTTAAGAGAAAGAAGAATTATTTTCAGAATGTGGAGGGCACTTCTGTTACTGATTTGGAATGGTTTTGAATAAGTTTACTAATGTTCTGATACAGATGATATATATGAATTGTCCTCCACATGCAGCTGTTGTGTCACTTGCAGATGATCATATGTAATTCTCAGAGCTCTGATCGCAGCTGATCATATGTAATGCTCAGAGCTCTGATCACAGCTGATCATATGTAATTCTCTGAGCTCTGATCACAGCTGATCGTATGTAATTCTCAGAGGTCTGATCACAGCTGATCGTATGTAATTCTCAGAGCTCTGATTGTAGCTGATCATATGTAATTCCCAGACCTCTGATCACAGCTGATCATATGTAATTCCCAGACCTCTGATCACAGCTGATCGTATGTAATTCTCAGAGGTCTGATCGCAGCTGATCATATGTAATTCTCTGAGCTCTGATCACAGCTGATCGTATGTAATTCTCAGAGGTCTGATCGCAGCTGATCATATGTAATTCTCTGAGCTCTGATCACAGCTGATCGTATGTAATTCTCAGAGGTCTGATCGCAGCTGATCATATGTAATGCTCAGAGATCTGATCGCAGCTGATCATACGTAATTCCCAGACCTCTGATCACAGCTGATCATATGTAATGCTCAGAGCTCTGATCGCAGCTGATCATATGTAATTCCCAGACCTCTGTTCACAGCTGATCAGATGTAATGCTCAGAGCTCTGATCGCAGTTGATCGTATGTAATTTCAGAGCTCTGATTGCAGCTGATCGTATGTAATTCTCAGAGCTCTGATCGCAGCTGATCATGTTCAATGCTCAGAGCTCTGAACAATATTATCTGTGGAGGTCCGTTTCCGAAGGGATATTTAGATATGTATTTTAATGTTTAATGATCAATGTAAAACATTTAAAGGATGAAATGTGTGCCTGTAATATTTCTGTGACCCCTTGCAGATGTTTGTTCTACCCTTAGGCATGAGGCAAAGGGTATTTTTTTGTTTCAAAGACATCTTACTAAGGCATAGCAATTAACACAAGGCCTAAACTAAGTTGCAGAAATCCACCTGTGGAGATTCCAGATCAGAATAGGCCCAGTACCCCATGCTTGTCTCTTAATGGAGTTTCCAGATCAGAATAGGCCCAGTACCCATGCTTGTCTCCTTATGGAGATTCCAGATCAGAATAGGCCCAGTACCCCATGCTTGTCTCCTTATGGAGATCCTAGATCAGAATAGGCCCATGACCCCATGCTTGTCTCCTTATAGGGGTTTCCAGATCAGAATAGGCCCAGTACACCCTGCTTGTCTCCTTATGGAGATCCTAGATCAGAATAGGCCCATGACCCCATGCTTGTCTCCTTATGGAGATTCCAGATCAGAATAGGCTCAGTACCTCATGCTTGTCTCCTTATGGAGATTCCAGATCAGAATAGGCCCAGTACCCCATGCTTGTCTCCTTATGGAGATCCAAGATCAGAATAGGCCCAGTACCCCATGCTTGTCTCCTTTTAATGATTCCAGATCGAAATAGGCCCCAGTACCCCATGCTTGTCTCCTTATGGAGATCCTAGATCAGAATAGGCCCATGACCCCATGCTTGTCTCCTCATGGAGATTCCAGATCAGAATAGGCCCAGTACACCCTGCTTGTCTCCTTATGGAGATTCCAGGTCAGAATAGGCCCAGTACCCCATGCTTGTCTCCTTATGGAGATTCCAGGTCAGAATAGGCCCAGTACCCCATGCTTGTCTCCTTTTAATGATTCCAGATCAGAATAGGCCCAGTCCCCCATGCTTGTCTCCTTATGGAGATCCAAGATCAGAATAGGCCAAGTACCCCGTGCTTGTCTCCTTATGGAGATTTCAGAATGGGCCCAGTACCCCATGCTTGTCCCTTATAGGGACAAGCTTATAGGGATTCCAGATCAGAATAGGCCCATGATCCCATGCTTGTCTCCTCATGGAGATTCCAGATGAGAATAGGCCCAGTACCTCATGCTTGTCTCCTCATGGAGATTCCAGATGAGAATAGGCCCAGTACCCCATGCTTGTCTCCTTATGGAGATTCCAGATCAGAATAGGCCCAGTACCCCATGCTTGTCTCCTTATGGAGATTCCAGATCAGAATAGGCCCAGTACCCCATGCTTGTCTCCTTATGGAGATTCCAGATCAGAATAGGCCCAGTACCCCATGCTTGTCTCCTTATGGAGATTCCAGATCAGAATAGGCCCAGTACCCCATGCTGTTATCTGACTTGGCATGACATTGTAAGCCAGCATCATGGCACGTTGAACATTCTGTAACCATGGAATTGTCTGTCCCAAGCTTGATTATTTACCTGGCAACTTTTATTACTGATTAACATGTTGTATCACTCACTACATGTTACAGGCCAGCAAGGGCAGAAGGCAAAATAGGGCTCTTCTCTTTCCCATTGCTATGTCATGTTATGCTCTCTTCTCCAGCACCACATGTTTTCATTTCATGAATTTTTGTACCATGTGTAACACATTAAATTATTAAATACTTGGTTCTTAGGCAAGTGCTGTTGAAATATTGACAGGGGCAAGTGACCTTTGTGTTTACAACATTCTGTAAAATGTCTCCTTGTTTGAGTAGAACGTCATGCAGGCATGTTTTAACCACACCAATAGCCTGTTATAAATCAAGTATTATGAGTGATGTCACTTGTTAATGAAATTTTTCAACTGCTTCTGAATTTGAAAGCAATTATTACCAATATACTTATTAAGATGCTGAATGTTCAAGGCATATTGAATAGGTCATGTTTCTTTCTTGTGGCAGTGTTTTGCCAATTTTCATGTGATGTGTACATGTTGCCATGGTTACATGTATACGTGGAGGATCATTTTAGAACCTGATTATTACCTGCACAAATTGAAGGATGACTACCGTAAGCGACCATGTGTGCTTGGACTCTAGTGAAACTAAGTCATAACCATGTGTGATGTCGGCTACAGATGCAGGGTGAACTCATTGTTGTGTATTTTGTACATAGAAGTCAGCATTAAACAATGTTAAGATGTTTCCAGTTGTGTGTTGCATTGTGTATTGTTTGTTCTCCATTGGGATTTCTCATTGCTTGTCATTTCTGTGGGGACTTGGGGTGAGAATCTGTCACCAGCTACCTATATTCTGTTTGCTAGAGCCGACTTTTATGAATCAGGTACCAGTAATCAGCATCGGTGACCTATATCTTGGTCGTAAGGGACCGACCATTTAATATTATTGGGAGATTTTTATTTTGAAAAAAATATATTGTCCCAGAAAATTCTTTAAAAAGTATTCATGCTTCAAACTGTTGGGAAGTAGACAACAAAAAATATATTGTTGCAAAAGGTTATTCATATATTTAGGCTCATAGTTATAATTTTATAAAATATCTGGTTTTTTAGGTGTTGCTGAAAACATATCTCCACATGAAATCCCAGGCATCCCCAGCCCCACACACACACAATATTAAATGGTCGGTCTGTAAGAGGCGTCCAAGAAGTGGATCGGGTCGTCAGGCTCTGTGATTTTGTTGATAGCATGTGACTTTACCTGACAACATGGATCATTGTTCACATAGCTGAGTGCAGCTTTAAGCAGCAAACAAACAAACAAACAAACTCAATACTGGCTGTAAGAGGCAGCGGCGACTGAATTCGATGTCACTTGACCAGACTGGATGGGTATGACCTTACTGCGACAGATATAGGCATGATACAGCTGTGATATTGCTGACAATGCCATACACTTGTATGTAATCACATTTACAGTACTGTCATCTCTTATGCTCAATCACAAAATCCATGTGTCAGTTCTTGGTGTGTATATCTCCAGCAAACTCTGCTTGTCACAGACCTAAGGGCAGCTCAATGGACTGGTTGGTCAGGCTCTGTGACTTGGTTGATTGCATGTCATCATACCCTGATTATTTACAGGGGAAGTGAAAATGATTAACATCGCCTTCAAGATTATTGCACTCGTCTGTCTGTCTGTCTGTACTATTTGGGTTGGTTGATTTGTTGTTTAATGCCACACTCAGCAATATTACAGCTATATGATGGCAGTCTGTAAATAATCGAGTCTGGACCAGACAATCCCGTGATTAATATCATGAGCATCGATCCACGCATTTGGGATTGATGACATGCATCAACCAAGTCAGCGAGCCTGACCACCCGATCCCGTTAGTCACCTTTTACGACAAGCAAAGTCACCTTTTACGGCAAGCATGGGTTGCTGAAAACCTATTCTTCCCCGGAATCTTCACGAATCCTGTCTGTAGTTGGGACTAATGCTGATTTTATAGTGCTAGCCCACTGAGATTTTATAATAAATACCCCAATTAGACACAGTACATTCACCCCGAGCCGACCAGTCCTTGTTTTAGCCCCTTGATGCCACACACCAGGCTGGGTTACAGGTACCGTCTTTTAACGACTTTTAGTAGTCGCCGACCTTCCACTCTCCGGGCAGACGCTCTACCACTAGACCATGGAGGCAGTCAAGATTACCACCACCACTACCACATAGGTGGAATATTGCTGACTTTCAGTATTAATCGAACAGATCATTCACAAAATAAAACAATGCAACATATAATATACAATTTTATTCCAGCTCTTCTAACAAGACAACCGAATTGGTTCATAACAGAGACATACTAACAGGCAACAGGCAACAGGCAACAAAATAAATGCCTACGGACGGACATAACACTTTATGATGACATACAATAAATAAATCTGACATTGCTACTTCGATGAACACTTTACAGTAGATGGATGGATATCACAGACACTGGGTCAATTGATGATAGCTAATCACTTCTAAAACAAATAATCATGATAATACTAACATATTCTTCTGTTGAAAATATTCTTATTGTACTATTATTCTACTCATGTTATAGCTGTATAAGGCACAAATACAATTTGTTGTGATAACCCTTTAAGATCATGTACTACAAATATTTAAGGAAGCATTTTGAAAGGATACATTTTGGAGAAACAGTTTTGCTGTTTTGTTATGCAATTATTTTGTTCTCTTTCACATTCTGGGTTCAGTCGTAATGTTAATCAGAAACATTACATACATACAACATACAAATTTTATTTGACCTAAAATCCACATGACAGTTCTCGTGTGACAGGACTGCTAATAGAAGCCGGATATATATGTAAACAGGTATGCACAATAAAAGTGATAGATTAATATATCCATATGTATAATTTCAAAAACGTGTTTATGTACTGGATCTAATTTATAAATAATAGTCAAAAATGTAAAAGATAGAATGCCTGAGAAGATGGAATGTTTTGAATGTGTGCTGTAGGGAAGCGGACATTCACAACCATGCAGGGATCATTGCCAGTGATAGAACCTCATCCAGCATACGAGTGCTGTAGTTTCAGGGTAAAAATATAAAAAAGCAATTGCTTCACTGGCACTGATGTTTGTAAAACTGCTAGTGGGTGTGAAAATAGGTATTATTATGTTAATGTACTGAAAAAAGAACGTAACTGTACCTGCTCTACGATAATAGACAGCTGTGGTGTGGGACTAGATGGTTACAGGCCATATAAGGAAGTACCATACACATGCGAGATGGTTGTCACTTCACAGAATTACAGAGCGGATCTGTGTTGTGAATATCAGATGGAAGTGGTTATTGTTGCTGGAGACTGGCTTGTTTACTTCTTCTTGCCTGGAATAAACAAACATTGAGATGAGAACTAGCACAATAACTGATGAAAACAGAATGTTTCACAGAGTACATTGCATTGTCAATATTAATCAGATGATCCATGTCACGACACATGTTCCACAACAGTTTATGATGATCCCTCTTTACATAGTACCAGAACAACAGTTTGTCATGATACCTCTTTACGTAGTACCAGAACAACAGTTTATCACGATCCCTCTTTACATAGTACCAGAACAACAGTTTATCATGATCCCTCTTTACGTAGTACCAGAACAACAGTTTATCATGATCCCTCTTTAGGAAGTACCAGAACAACAGTTTATCATGATACCTCTGTACGTAGTACCAGAACAACAGTTTATCATGATACCTCTTTACATAGTACCAGAACAACAGTTTATCATGATCCCTCTTTACATAGTACCAGAACAACAGTTTATCATGATCCCTCCTTACGTAGTACCAGAACAACAGTTTGTCATGATACCTCTTTACGTAGTACCAGAACAACAGTTTATCACGATCCCTCTTTACGTAGTACCAGAACAACAGTTTATCACGATGCCTCTTTACGTAGTACCAGAACAACAGTTTATCACGATCCCTCTTTACGTAGAACCAGAACAACAGTTTATCATGATCCCTCTTTAGGAAGTACCAGAACAACAGTTTATCATGATACCTCTGTACGTAGTACCAGAACAACAGTTTATCATGATACCTCTTTACGTAGTACCAGAACAACAGTTTACCATGATCCCTCTTTACATAGTACCAGAACAACAGTTTATCATGATCCCTCTTTACGTAGTACCAGAACAACAGTTTATCACGATACCTCTTTACGTGGTACCAGAACAACAGTTTATCATGATACCTCTGTACGTAGTACCAGAACAACAGTTTATCATGATACCTCTTTACGTAGTACCAGAACAACAGTTTATCATGATACCTCTTTACGTAGTACCAGAACAACAGTTTATCATGATACCTCTGTACGTAGTACCAGAACAACAGTTTATCATGATACCACTTTACGTAGTACCAGAACAACAGTTTATCATGATCCCTCTTTACGTAGTACCAGAACAACAGTTTATCATGATCCCTCTTTACGTAGTACCAGAACAACAGTTTGTCATGATCCCTCTTTACGTAGTACCAGAACAACAGTTTATCATGATCCCTCTTTACATAGTACCAGAACAACAGTTTATCACGATACCTCTTTACGTGGTACCAGAACAACAGCTATCATGATCCCTCTTTACGTAGTACCAGAACAACAGTTTATCATGATACCTCTTTACGTGGTACCAGAACAACAGCTATCATGATCCCTCTTTACGTTGTACCAGAACAACAGTTTATCATGATACCTCTTTACGTGGTACCAGAACAACAGTTTATCATGATACCTCTTTACGTGGTACCAGAACAACAGTTTATCATGATACCTCTTTACGTAGTACCAGAACAACAGTTTATCATGATACCTCTTTACGTGGTACCAGAACAACCGTTTATCATGATCCCTCTTTACGTGGTACCAGAACAACAGTTTATCATGATCCCTCTTTACGTAGTACCAGAACAACAGTTTATCACGATCCCTCTTTACGTAGTACCAGAACAACAGTTTATCATGATGCCTCTTTACGCAGTACCAGAACAACAGTTTATCATGATCCCTCTTCACGTGGTACCAGAACAACAGTTTATCATGATACCTCTTTACATAGTACCAGAACAACAGTTTTTCATGATACCTCTTTACGTAGTACCAGAACAACAGTTTATCATGATCCCTCTCTACGTAGTACCAGAACAACAGTTTATCATGATCCCTCTCTACGTAGTACCAGAACAACAGTTTATCATGATCCCTCTCTACGTAGTACCAGAACAACAGTTTATCATGATACCTCTTTACGTAGTACCAGAACAACAGTTTATCATGATCCCTCTCTACGTAGTACCAGAACAACAGTTTATCATGATCCCTCTCTACGTAGTACCAGAACAACAGTTTATCATGATCCCTCTTTACGTAGTACCAGAACAACAGTTTATCATGATACCTCTTTACGTAGTACCAGAACAACAGTTTATCATGATCCCTCTCTACGTAGTACCAGAACAACAGTTTATCATGATACCTCTTTACGTAGTACCAGAACAACAGTTTATCATGATCCCTCTCTACGTAGTACCAGAACAACAGTTTATCATGATCCCTCTCTACGTAGTACCAGAAGAACAGTTTATCATGATACCTCTTTACGTAGTACCAGAACAACAGTTTATCATGATCCCTCTCTACGTAGTACCAGAACAACAGTTTATCATGATCCCTCTCTATGTAGTACTAGAACAACAGTTTATCATGATCCCTCTTTACGTAGTACCAGAACAACAGTTTATCATGATACCTCTTTACGTAGTACCAGAACAACAGTTTATCATGATCCCTCTTTACGTAGTACCAGAACAACAGTTTATCATGATCCCTCTTTACATAGTACCAGAACAACATCTTATCATGATACCTCTTTACGTAGTACCAGAACAACAGTTTATCATGATACCTCTTTATGTAGTACCAGAACAACAGTTTGTCATGATCCCTCTTTACGTAGTACCAGAACAACAGTTTATCATGATCCCTCTTTACGTAGTACCAGAACAACAGTTTATCATGATCCCTTTTTACATAGTACCAGAACAACAGTTTATCATGATCCCTCTTTACGTAGTACCAGAACAACAGTTTATCATGATCCCTCTTTACGTAGTACCAGGTACAGCTTCATGAACATGCAATAGAAAATGTTGTTATAGGTGAGGTGAATTTGGGTTTAACGTCACATCCAAGATTATTGCACTTATATAGCGACGTGCATGTACGTGTGTGTGTTTGTGTGGCTGCTTGTACTAGTCCGGACTGATGCCGATTTATAATGCTAGCTCACTGATATACCATGCCGCAGTTTAACATGAATACCCCACTCAGACACAGTATACTGATTCCGAGCCGACCAGTCCTTGTTTTAGCCCCTTAATGCCGAGCACCAGACAGGGTAACAACAAGTACCATATTTAAACATTTTTTGTATGACGCCCGAACCCCGGACCTTCCGCTCTCCGGGCGGACGCTCTACCACTTGACCACGGAGGCGGTCCAAATGTTGTAATAATCCTAAAATTATGTAAGATATGAAGTCAGACAGCCCACTTGCAGCCTGACTCTCCCTGCACTCACCTACACCCTCGTCGCGGATCAGAGCCAGCAGCATGGTCCGGTAGTCCCCGGACGTGTCATCCTGCAACAGTGGGGACAGAGTAAGCATGTGGAAGAAATACTTTACTTGTGGAAAATAACCTTCACTCCCTTCATAACAGTTAGCATTCAGACAAGTTCTATTGTAGTCTAATAAGAGCTGGTATTTTCGTCGTTAAATTATTGGGTTCATCTTGTTAGCGTGTAAGATTAGTGTCATGATTTCTGTTAATGTATCAAGGGAGAAATTAAATTCTTCCCCGTCGGGAAGTTTTTGCTGATGTGCCAGAGCCTCAGAAACCAGACAAGACAAATACATAATCTATCTTTATAATGAACACACTTATAACGAACTGATGGAGGAAACAAACTTTGTTTTGTCCATTTGCTATATATATGTGCATAACAAACTAAAGTCATAACAAACTAAAATTAGTGGTCCCTTAGAGTTTGTTATAACCATAGTTTACTGTATACAGAATTATGTCTAAACAGGTCCTGAAAAGTATCAATCCAATTAAATCAGACCTTTTACTCTGCATGATCTGGGACACCTCCACAGAGGTCGCTTAAGGTGAACTTTCTAATGAGCCCATCAACGTCAAGGCTCCTAAACGCTTGGTATGAATAACAAAAACATTCAGACCAGCATATCTGATTTCTGTGTCTCGAAAACGAACTAAAACAAATAGTTCTGAAAGTTGATGTTGTCATGGATATTTTATACACCGTGTCACTTCTGAGCACCATGGCATCTACATCCCAAAGGGAGAACCATTAAAGGAACATGTGTGTTCTGTAAGGGTTTTCTTATGTACAAACTGAAATTTCCCAATCTAGGTGGTAAAGAAATTAGGCTAAATATATAGCTTTAGAAAGCTGACATCTGACTGGCTAAAACCCATGCATCCTTCACTAGATTGGGCAGTCAAAGTTCACTCAGTGTTCACCTGACGCGACCTGACGGCGTCCTCAGATCTTCATGCAGAGAGGTATCAAATCACAGTAAAACATCTGTTTGCAAACACCTGGTGTCCTCACTGATATTCAGTGATCCATTCATATAATTTTCACTGCTATTTTGCTGTTAATGCCACATGGAATCTGTTGAGACTGATCGATCTCTGGCGTTGACATTTTATTTTTGATGAGATTGTGAAGAGTGTCCGAGTACTGAGAGAATGACGTCATGATCGTAAGTTAAGATAGTATTTTTGCGACAACAAGCAGTTTCTCACCTTGATGAACATTCCGAGAGTCTGTTTGAAGTTCCGCTGAAACTCCTCCTTGATCTGCACCATGTCCACCTCACACCGAGACCCGACTACACGGACCAGCGTGTCGTCATCCGTACCAAGACCCTTCATAGCCCGGTACAGTTCCGACGCAAAGTAGAAGGCTTTGTTGCGGATACACTTCACTAGAAGGGGAGAAATAAATTTTAATATTTCAGGTCCATAATTATGTTCTCATGGTTTCTAATTGATAAGTAGAACTGGCCTCTGTTATCTGAATCAGATATTCTCATCAGTGTAGACAGCGCCTCAATCCACAAAATGATTGTAGCGCAAACATTTTGTAATACCCATACTTTAACATAAACTTATGACAGTCATAGTGGTATGATGGCTTTGTGGTATGGTCCTGATATTTAAGGTCCTAGACAACCATTAATGTACTTTTAGAAAGAAGAATAATAATATTTCTCAGAAGTCCTGAATATATCTATTGCTTTCTGTTCCACTATGGGTAATATTCCTTGTGTTGTCTCACCGACTGCAAGGAATCCTTCCTTCAGGTCCCCGGACATTTCGCTGGTGATGGTGTCCTCGATGTCTTTGTTGGCCAGCTTGGCATACTCCTGGAACGTTGCTCTCAGCTGAGCGTAACTGCGGGAAACGAGGATCACGTTGAAGCGGGACTCATCCGTCCCCCACTTCTTCTCCCCAGCGTTCAGAAGCTCCTGAGCATCAAGCTTGGCCTGGTTGCGGTCAAATGTGGGCTCCTCTGGACGATTGGCCTGTAGACATGCCACCAGGAGGCGCTTGAAGTGACCAGACGTGTCAGAAGCGACATCTGCTTCCAGATCCTTGCTGAACACTGTGGAGTTGAATACAGCAGTCATATACAGGGGAGTCGGATGACAAATACTGGAACACTTTAGTAGGATGATGAGTGAGTGAGTGAGTTGTGTTAACAGCCGCTTTTAACAACTAGTATTCCAGTTATATCACGGCATTCAGCTTAATGTAGGAGGAAAGCCCAAAGTGATGCAGGTCTTAGACATTTACCAATTTGGTGAAACCCACGAGCACAGGTATGGTGCTGACACACCTAGAAAACATAATCGAGGCGAACCGAGATTCGAACCCACAATCATAGGTTTCTGACGTGCCCAAGGGACACAACTCTGCATAGCGAAATAGGATGATGAACGCGGAGGGGTATGATGAAGAGAGGGGAGTTGGGCGATGAACACAATGTGTGTTTAATATACTCCGAAACATTTTGCCAAGTTTTGCAAATTTGGAAAATGGCCCACACAAACAAATTAGAGTAGCTTCCTTGATGATTCCTATCTAAGATTGCATGAAGACAAAATATCAACATATCCAGATATAAGTTATCAAGAAGGATTACTGAAATGGTGACTATTGCTGCACTTACTTGTCTTGTATGTCTCCTTGATGGTTTTGAGCTGCTCATTGGTCCTGGTACAGATAATCTCCACAAGCACCTTCTCATCCGTGCCCAGGCCCTGTACAAGGTCACACACTCATTAGCACTGACCATCTTGGTGGGGGGGGGGGGGGGCTTATGCCCAGGCCCTGTACAAGGTCACACACTCTTTAGCACTGACCAGCTGGGGGGGGGGGGGCTTATGCTCAGGAGAAATTAATTTTGTTGATGCTTATCAGAAGGTGTAGATTTACATTAAACTCTACAACACAATACCTGTTCCTTTCTTTGGTTTGCTATTCATTTTATCCCCCATATTGAGAACTGTTTTCTTCACTTGTTGTTCTCAGTTTTTCAAAACTCGAAACATGCCAAATGTTTTGCTGTATTGTAATGTACCTGATTCATTGGCTGGAGCAATCATGTCCTGTTTGAGCATATTTGGTTGGGAATTTTGTGATTGGCCTTTCATCATCATAAATTATTAATGTGCTTTAGACATGAGAACAACACTTGTATTTGCTGAACTATTGCTTGGATTATGGTGCAATTGAAACAAGTTTTATGACAGGTTATGAAAGAGATCTTCCTGAAACTGGCTACAATTCATGTCTAAGTGTGGTCATGAATAACAATGTGACCAGCCATGAGATAAGGGACCTCATCGGTGAAAAATCACATTCTAATACTACAGCATCTCCGTAAGCCAAAAATACAATTCACAAGCTTTAATTCATATTTAAAACAGAGATACATGACATCACACATGTCAATCTTTACTGAAGTAAGTTGACAAACATCAAACATCTTTATGACGTCATAGCACAATTGTATCCTAGCACCCATAAGGTCCCCTTTCTCCTGGTGGGTCACAAATTACATGTAGATTTCAACATCAGAAAACAATTAATTAAAAATAAACAAATGGGGGTTTGCAAATGGAATTGTATCTATGGTATGTTAACTTGCGTTGTTACCTTAACAGCCTTGTTGAGTTTCTTGGCATCGAACTCGGCAGAGGACAACAACATGTCTGTGCAGAGGGTCTTGAAGTTCCCACTCAGTTCACTAGACAGCTCCTTCGACAATTCCTGGGCAAATGCAAAAAAACCATTTAAATTGGGTCTGGTTTGTTTAATACCATCTCTCATCATGAGATCCCCATTAATGGACTCAGTTCACTAGACAGCTCCTTCGACAGTTCCTGGGCAAATACAAAAAAAACATTTAAATTGGGTCTGGATCTCATCATGAGATCCCCATTAATGGACTCAGGTCACTAGACAGCTCCTTTGACAGGTCCTGGGCAAATACAAGAAACATATAACTTGGGTCTGCTTTGTTTAAATACATTCCAGGGGTCAATTGTAATGCTGGCCCATTGGCCCATGGCCACTTAAAATTACAAAGGGCTTGCTGAAACGTAAAGTAGATGGCGGTCTGGCTAGTCAACAATTCAACCCTTCTCCGTGTATGTTTAATATTTTAATTGGATGATTTCGGTAGAATGACAACCAGATGCCATTTTGTAATATTGTGCACAACAACTTCTTTATTTGCTCATAAGTCACCATGAAAGATTTGATCGCAGAGTGCAGAAAAAAACGTTTTAGGGGTGAGGAGTTCTAAAGTTTTCAGAGCCCTGCTAGGTGGCTACATGACCTCAGGTTCAGCCTCTTCATGGCCTCCACCAGTTTGGAGAATGGTCAGTAACTTTTGAAAGGAGCAAGCCGTGCTGGCTACATACATATATGTTGTTAAATCTACCCCTGCAATCTCTCATCATGAGATGACCATTAATGGACTCGCATCATTTGTGGCACAGGAGGATGCAGAGGGGTCTTCTATCATGAAGATACTTCATACAAAACAAACAAGTGTATACTGTGCATGATACATGACTATATAGTGATACATGTGATTGTATTGAGTGAGTGACTGTGGTTTAATGCTGCGTTTAGCAATATTCCAGCAATATTCCAGCAATATTCTAGCAATATCATGTCGAGGGACACTAGAAATGGGCTTCACACATTGTACCCATACAGCGAACACTTTAACCCCTAGGCTACCCCCCCACCCTGTATAAATGAACAGGGAATGCAGAACCTACCTTTCCAAACATCGTCTTGAACTTTGACGTCAGCTCCACCCTCTGTTCATTGGACCTGTAGGCCAGGATGTCGATAATAGCCTTCTCATCCGTGCCTGAAAGTACATCACACGACTGTCACCTTGGTCCCATCACATCCATATCAGGCAGCATGGTTACATGACTGTCACACAACACATCACACGACTGTCACACAACACATCACACGACTGTCACCTTGGTCCCATCACATCCATATCAGGCAGCATGGTTACATGACTGTCACACAACACATCACACGACTGTCACACAACACATCACACGACTGTCACCTTGGTCCCACCACATCCATATCAGGTAGCATGGTTACATGACTGTCACACAACACATCACATGACTGTCACACAACACATGACACGACTGTCACCTTGGTCCCACCACATCCATATCAGGTAGCATGGTCACATGACTGTCACACAACACATCACACGACTGTCACCTTGGTCCCACCACATCCATATCAGGCAGCATGGTTACATGACTGTCACACAACACACCACACGACTGTCACACGACTGTCACACAACACACCACACGACTGTCACCTTGGTCCCACCACATCCATATCAGGTAGCATGGTTACATGACTGTCACACAACACACCACACGACTGTCACACGACTGTCACACAACACACCACACGACTGTCACCTTGGTCCCACCACATCCATATCAGGTAGCATGGTTACACGATTGTCACACAACACAGTATCAGGTATGGAGAGGACAACTGATGTTACACGATTGTCACACTACATACATGGAACGCTGATAATGTGTCAATGAATGTTTGCGATGTGGTGTGCGGAAACTCACCGAAACCTTTCATGGCTTTACGTAGCGCCTCTGCATCCTGCTCAGCATTGAAGCCCTCGAATGGAGTGACTGTTGGGTCAGCCTGGAACAGAGATGTGCTTATAATCCAACAGTCTCAATCTTTCACAGGATGCACATTCAACTCAAGCATGTAGCTGTCAGAGGGACAACAGTGCTATCCAACATACAAAAACCACTTCCAACAATGAAACCACTGCACTACTAGTAGCTTTGACTGTGAAGCAAACAGACAGGGTATATCAGAATAGGATAATTTTGTAATATTCTGTATAACTACCCACAGAGTAACAGTGAGTGAGTGAGTTGGGTTTAACGCCACTTTTAACAGAATTCCAGTTATATCGCGGCGTGTCAGCTTAATGTGTGAGGAAAGCCCGAAGTGTTGTTCTCAGACGTTTACCACTTTGTTGAAACCAACGAGCACGGGTATGGTGCTGACAAACCTAGAAACATAATTGGGGCGAACCAGGATTCAAACCCACAATCATAGGTTTCTGGCGTGCCCTAGGGACGCAACTCTGCACAGCGAATCGCGGCGCCTTAGACGACTGGGCCACCCGTGCCCCCCCACAGAGTAACAGGCCTATGCAATGGCTGATCCTGTTGCCATATCACAGCAGGTGTCTACATGGCAGGTTAACCATAGTAATGTGACAGAATCAGGTGTTCTTTAACTTCTTTTGAGTAGTATATCTATCTATTACCTCCACTTTCTCTGTCTCCAGGCGAACCTCTTCATCAAGCTCCTCCTCAGTCTTATTCTTCACTGCCTCCACGAAACCCTTCCCCGCTGAAACACGTTACCACACAATCACACCAACCACCAGCACCAGGGAGTAGAACTCAGTGAAAGGAGGGCAACTACACTTCCAACACTATTTTAGTTAAATACTGAACAATTTTTATTTTTTTTTAGAAAACTGAGCACACAAATTCATACAATTACTGCAAGAAATATTCATGATCGATACGTTTGTTTGTTTCAGTATATATCAAGGAGGATTCTCTACAACATACTACATTTTGTTTTAAAGGGAGGGGTCCAATGTCAAAATCCTCTCTCAGTGGAGGTGGGGGAGATTGTCTACAACACACTCCTCTGAATCCGCCTATGGACACATAGATATATATCAGCCTTGATATGTTAAACTACTCCACACTTGGCTGAGAATCACTTATGAAAAATGACAGCATCTCATAATAGCTTGAATCTGAATTATCACAAACTCTTCACAGCGATAGCTCATTCGCAGAGCTCTCTATACTATCGCTGCCACCAGTCAAAACTCCCCACTGTCATATGTGGTCACAGCCATGCTTGGAGTTGAACTCGCAACAGACGGACCGTTATGCTTACAAACAAGCGATGACAGCCGTGACGCCGAATACTCTTACCCTAACAACATTATTTTCTTTCTTCGTCTATTTGAATTTCTATTTCATTTCAACTATCATGTAATTGGTATAGTAAGAATGCAAGGGGGAATTTGGGTGATTTTCCATTCGTCTGCAGTCTTGAACCAATCTGATCAGTCGTAAACCTTGTAAAAAATAACTGTATTGGCATTCCAAAAGTATATACGTTACTACATTTGGGTTAGAGGGCAAATTTCAAGATTCTTGTAATGGCCGCGCCCACACTGGTGGCAGCGATGTTACCGAGAGTGTTACGAAAGTGTCACACGCTGGGAAGGAGCTTGCTCAATTTAAGGCTAAGGGGAGTAACTCTGCACAGTGCATAGTGGTGCTTCAGAGAGCTGGACCACAACCCCACAAGCAGGACATCTCCAGAAATATGTTGCTGCATGTTGCTGATCACCCATGCTGTGCCATAACCTACAAGGTGAGTGTAACTAGGGTCTGTGTGAGGGAACAGCTACAACTTACACTGCACACTGGAGGCAGGAGGGGGGCCACCCGTCACCAGGGCCAGGATGATGTTACGGTAATCTCCAGAAATGTCATCCTGTCAAGTGAAAAATACAGTGAGTCAGAATTTTAGTACCTGAAGAAATCTAAAGTATCGTCAGATCATAGGTTTTTGGACGTCATACGTTTTCGAGCGGCCATGTTTATCGCAATTAGGTGCGCAATAACTGGGGGTGTAGCATCACACTGACATCGATAATACTCAGATGATGGCTTGTTTTGAAGAGAAAATTGTCTTTTAAAAGTGAATGAGATGTTTTACAGTTGTTAATGTGATTAGAGAGAAACCTATGAAAGTTTCTTAAGCGTCCAAAAACCCATAACACGGGATATTTGGTGAACACACTGCACTAACCCAAGCTCACCTACAGTAGATGATATGAAGGAGATGAGTATAGGAACTGCCCAGTGACTACCTACTGTTATATACTGTTGCAGGGTCTGTCCCGTCAGCTTCTCGAACTCCTCCTTGACCTGCACCATGTCTATTTCACACCGACTGACCACCACGCGGCAAAGTGTGTCATCGTCTGTTCCCATGCCCTTCATCGTCTTCTGCAGCTGCCGGGCGAAGTGGCCGAACTTGTTCTTTACACAGCGCACTAAGCAAGAACAGAAACACCACCATGAAACATCACCTGAACTGGAGGGACTGTTTGTTTGTTTGTTTGTTTGTTTGTCTGTGGCCGAACTTGTTCTTCACACAGCGCACTAAGCAAGAACAGAAACACCACCATGAAACATCACCTGGCCTTGATGGATTGTTTTGTTTGTTTGTTTGTTTGATTGTCTGTGGCCGAACTTGTTCTTCACACAGCGCACTTAGCAAGAAGAGAAACACCACCATGAAACATCACCTGGCCTTGATGGATTGTTTTGTTTGTTTGTTTGTTTGTCTGTGGCCGAACTTGTTCTTCACACAGCGCACTTAGCAAGAACAGAAACACCACCATGAAACATCACCTGACCTGGAGGGATTGTTTTGTTTGTTTGTTTGTTTGTCTGTGGCCAAACTTGTTCTTCACACAGCGCACTTAGCAAGAACAGAAACACCACCATGAAACATCACCTGACCTGGAGGGATTGTTTTGTTTGTTTGTTTGTTTGTTTGTTTGTTTGTCTGTGGCTGAACTTGTTTTTCACACAGCGCACTTCGCAAGAACAGAAACACCACCCTGAGACGTCCTAACAAACAATGAAGTTGCTATTCATAAACTCTCCTGTCTTCAAGAGTGAAAGGTTTCAGAAGCAATAAATTAGATTTCAGCTCAAAAACAAAACAGAGGTACTTTAGATAATAATAATATACTGATGCTAAGTAATAATAAGTAAAACATGACATTTGTACGAAAATACTCCCATCTTGAATGACACTGCTGGGAGAGAAGGGCTTTACCAGCTTTAAGACATATACTACTCACCATTTACTAAGCACCCATTTGACTAAGACTATTTCGAACCTTAGCAAACGTTGAATAGTACAAGTGTGTTTTCCTACATACCTATGATACCTCAGAATATGACACATGACTTAAACCTACTTTCCATACAATTTCTTGACTTTGTGTTAAAATCTTGGGTTTGAAGCTGCTTTGATCAGTATTATAAATTTTACAATATAATATTCCAAAAACATGTCTCCATAGTTTGAGAAGAAGAATGAAGTGGAAGGGGGAGGGGGGTCATGTGATTGTATCATGTAGGTCGCTAACCACAGGACTACAGTGCATGACCCATTTGCTAGGGAGGTGACCGTGGTGATGCTTGGATGTGTTTTGGTGATTTGTTTTAGAAGCTGGAAACATTGTTCAAGCATGTTTCCACATAGGATCGAAAATAGAAGGAAGAAATGCATAGTGCGAAATAGGATAAGTTTAAAATCTTTTATTTATATCATGGTGTGGGGATAATTCTAGGGTGGGACCTTGTGCTTTTAGACCCTAAATTTGAAACAGCCTACATTTTAAAATACAAAGGGGCATTTTAACATTGTGCAGTATGGGCGTACCTCTGGAATATTTGAAATTTTCACATAAAGGGCCCATGTCAGAATATTCCTACAGTCAACCTAGATGGTGTGTCAGTTTATGTTACAAGGAAAGCCCAGACTGACACGGGTCAGTTATCACTTCGGTGTGACCCACCAGCACAGATTTATATGCTCACTGCCAAAACAAATGTGACTATCATACATGTTAGTAACATAAGAAGACTTACTCATATTCAAGAAATATTAGATTGGTTCGATGCACAATCAAACGTAGTGGTATGTTGTGTGAACTGATACTCATGAACGTATCACATGTGACGTCATAGATCCATGACTCGAGATGCTCCATTGTCTCAAGCAGGATTAGCGTGTAAAGTTTGGAAGTTTGGAAACATATCGTAATATGAATATAGTACAGTGATCCCTCGATATACCGCTGTCATCGGGGACCAAGAAACCGACCCGCGTTCTAGGAAAGAGCGTTGTACAGATATTCATTGCTGAGGTTCACATTACGTAATGATGGTAGTGAATGGAACAGTGGCGCAATTATTTCACAGTGGCATGGGACATGTAGATCTATGTAACACTGATCGTGGACGATGATTCAAAATGCATGCGTGAAAAAATATAAATACTTTGTGTAAATCAGTCAAAGTACAGTGTATTATTTTACGACTGGATGTTATACATGTAGAATCTAAATAAGTGTAGTTAGTACTAAATGTAAATGTAGACACTCTGTGGTAACACTTTGACTGGTTGTTAGTTTTGTCCTTAAATGATTCACAATGGAAACATCTCTTCTTAACGTACAGACTTCTCTACATGTTTCTATGTTTTTTTTGGAGGTGAGAATACATACTCTTGACAATATCGTAATATTTGCAACTCTCTTCCCAACTTCAGGATCTGCACGAAAACATTTCCCCCAGACTGTATATCTACCTATGGTGAGCATCCCCCGGAGGATATCGCCCGACATCTCACTCTTCAACACATCTTCAATGTCCTTCTTGGAGATCTTCTTGTACTCCTCAAACATGGCGCGAAGCTGTGGGTAGCTCCGAGAGCCTAGGATGACATTGAACTTGGACTCGTCCGTCCCCCACTTCTTCTCCCCTGCCTCATACAACGCCTTGGCATCCTGGTGCGCCTTGTTTCGGTCCACCTCGGTAGCGTCGCTCCGACTGGCCTGGACCAAAGTCACCAGGAGGCGCTTGAAGTGACCTGAGGTGTCCCCTATGATGTCCTTCTCAAGGTCCTTGTTGAACTCTGGGAGGAAGATAGTGAGAGAGTGAGTGGAGTTTTAACACTGCTTTGAACAGTGAAAAGTGAGAGAGAGAGAGTTAAGCCTGATGTTGCTTTGTACAGTATATTGATTTTATGAGTGTGTTAAAAAGTGATGTGTCTTAGTTGACTAAAAATAGAGTTCTCACATTTCTGAGAATCAATGCAACTATAAAAAATATGAAATCAAGTTAATATCAGTAACAAATTGCAGAGATCAGAGTTGTCCCTCTTCATAGTATCTGACTCGTGTTTATTTTATTCATACCTTCACAGAATCAAATTTCTGAGGAAAAAACTGTTGCATATATACCGGGTAAGCTAGTGAAATTTGGAACTGGCTTGTAACAGTTAAGGCCAGCTAACCTACCTGCCCAGCACTATTTTGAGACTATTTCACACGTTGCACCCAAGATTTGTACAATAAAGTGTCCTTGGGAAGATGTGTGGAGGCTGACATGAGCAACCACACTGTCAGGAGCTGACACATGCATATCATGATCACACATTTTGTGTGTCTGATAATAATGTCCAGAAACAGATTTGTACTTATACTTGTCTTACTTTCTTTATACTTCTTCTTGATCTCCTGTATCTGGGCGTTGGAGCGTGTACACAGCACCTCGATCAGGACATCCTCGTCTGTTCCGAGACCCTGCAGCAACATGTATGATCTTAATGTTAATAGTACTGTGAGAGAACAGCAGGGTCTAGAAGCTAAACTAGGGATGAAAACCTGAGGTGAACAATAGGGCTGTAACGAACACCGATACCTACGACATCATCAATACTTAGGTTCATACGATACTTGAATCGTCAGTTCGTGAAATCGCGTTATGATATAAAGAGAACAGGAACTAATAGAGTTACCTCCAATAATGGCACAGGTAGCATAGCGCCACCTATAGGCATATCAGAACACAAGGACGCGTTAGCTGAGGATGTGCCGAATAACTATTACATTTAATAACCATCACCTACATTTCAAACGGTTCTTGTGGTTTTCTTTGTTAAAGGTTTTGAGATAACTATAAATAAATGCATGAAGAAAGAGGTTCTAGGGGTGTATTTCAGTGATTTCATCATTTCTTCCTATTTGATGTAGTTTATCATGATACCAGTAGTATGGTCAATCCGTATCGTGATACGAATTGTATCACAAGATACCAGGATACCATGCGATACTCAGCTCTAGCGACCCAGGTAGTTGACACTTACTTTCACCTGGCATCGATACAGAAGCTCACCTTCTGGTTTGTCTGGGAAACCAATCTCATTAAAATCAGATCTTAGTTCTCGCTACCGCTAAACAAAGATCTGAGGACATCCCATTACAGGTCACGTCAGACCGACCTTGCACGAACTTTGACCAACCAATGGCATGACCTATCAGAAGGCCGCTTTCTCGTGCTTTACGGCCCTTATTTCAAATTGGCGACTACGCTTCGAAACATATTTTGACAAATTCTCGAATATGAATTTGAAACCTGAACAAAAAGAACATTCTGGAATGGCTAATAGATGGTCTACATTGTATGGATTCAGTCGTTAAGCCCGTAACTATCGTTCGGAGTTAAAGTTTTCAAGGTGGCATGATTAGAAATCACATTCCAACTGTCACTTTCATAATCTGGTAAGCGATGGTCTGATTGGTCGGATGAAAGGTCGTTCTGACGTGACCCCTAATAGGATGTCCTGAGATCTTTGTTTAGCGGCAGTGAGAACTGAGGTCTGATTTTAATGAGATTGCTGGGAAACAAACCCACAATCAGCACATCCTGCTAGTTTGACAGTGCACAATTCTACACCGTGAGTTGCAATGACTAAGGTGAGGTGAAATGGGGCTTAATCTTGTGTTCAAGGTCATAGCACTTTTACAGCAACGTGCATGCATGAGTGTTGTGTGTGTTGCTGATTTTACTAGCCCTGACTGAAGCCTATTGCATAGTGCTAACCCTCTGAACTGCCAAGCTGCAGTTTTAACACTTATACTCAACTCAGACAATGTCAAGCACCAGGCAAGGTTACAAGGACTATCATTCAACAACATTTTGCTAGATGCAGCCAGGGACCAAACTCAAACAAACAACCTTCCACATTCGGGGCAGATGCTCTATCCACTAGGCCACAGAGGCTGTCTTACTTAGGACCAGTTTACCACCAATGGAGTGTGTGAGTGAATATGGTTTTACTCCGCTTTTAGCAATATTCCAGCAATATCACGGCGGGGGACACCAGAAATGGGCTTCACACATTGTACCCATGTCAGGAATCAAATCTGGGTCTTCGGCGTGACGAGCGAACGCTTTAACCACTAGGCTACCCGACCGCCCTACCACCCATGGCCAAGATCTAGCAGGGAAGTGTTCCTGAGTGACTAGATGCTTTGAACATTTATCAGGAGTACATAGTTAACAACTCCAGGTACACAACCTTGGTGCATATTCCATGACAGAAAACACCTTATCACAAACAGCCATGACATAATCACATCTGCTTTGCATCATTAAGTGGCAATGATAAAACCCCGATTTTAAGCCCATCACATTATTATTACATCTTTCACAATTTGATACTTCTCTTGAGAGAAGACCTGACAACTCTGCCAATCAGTGTCAAGGATTCTAAAAACCTCAGTATGAGTGTATGAAGATGAATTCAGACCAGAAGATATGTTTCTTGTATTTTTTAAAACAAAGTAAAAGGACCAGCGCCAACATTATTGTTTATGGTTGTTATAATGGCAAGTCACTGGAGTTATCTCCCTTGCCCGGCCTCTGTAATGTCTGCCATTAAACACTGAAGCCTTACAAGCGTGTTCATGGTGTGTATCGCATTGGGTGATAACTACCGTTTTTACTGGAGCAGTTTTACAAATAAATAATAAAAGCCACACCATTGTTGTGGATATTTTATACACTCTGTCATTTCTAAGCTCCATGGCATCTACATCTAAAAGGGAGTATGATCAAAGAAATGTTTGTTCTGTGTGGATTGGCCTTTCTGAACAATTACCGGATCAAGGTGGTAACTAACAAATTTAAGCCGAATCATATTAGAAATCTGAAATCTGATTGGCTCAATGACGCATGAATCCTTCATTTCAGACTGGGTTGTCAAAGTACAGTTCTTCCCACACAAAGATCTGATTGTAATGAGACTGAGTTCAAGCAAGCATTACCCAGCTGTCGTGGTACCTTACCTTGATGGCTTTCCGGAGAAGATAGGCATCAAACTCGGCTGGAGCCATGCACAGAAATTTGGCCACATCGCAGAATGATCCACTCAATTCCGACTTCAAGTGCTCTATCAAGTCCTGCAATTGTAGTTGACAAATCAATACTTTCATGTGACATGTTTTAAGTCGAGAACATGTTATTTTCTGGGTTTACAGATTTTCTGCGTCAACATGCAGAGGGGCATGCCCAGAGGCAGGTGGCAAAATGTAGGGCTGATTTGATGTTAATATATTGTCTGAGTTGATGTAAATATATTGCCTGGGTTGATGTAAATATATTGCCTGGGTTGATATGAATATATTATCAGGGCTGATTATTGTCAGGGTTGATTTGGGTTGATTACTGCCTGGGTTGATGTAAATATATTGCCTAGGTTGATGTAAATATATTGCCTGGGTTGATGTAAATATATTGCCTGGGTTGATGTAAATATATTGCCTGGGTTGATGTAAATATATTGCCTGGGTTGATGTGAATATATTATCAGGGCTGATTATTGTCAGGGTTGATTTGGGTTGATTACTGCCTGGGTTGATGTAAATATATTGCCTAGGTTGATGTAAATATATTGCCTGGGTTGATGTAAATATATTGCCTGGGTTGATGTAAATATATTGTCTGGGTTGATGTAAATATATTGCCTGGGTTGATGTAAATATATTGCCTGGGTTGATGTATATATATGGTCTGGGTTGATTTGATGAGATATATATTATCAGGGTTGATTATAGGTTAATTACCTTCAAAAAATCTCTTGAAATAAATTAATTATTAGGAAATATTGTAAAATAGGAATGGAAGTATACCTTTCCAAACATTGTTTTGTACATGGAGACAATTTCCATCCGTTGAGGGTTGGACCGGTAGGCCAGCACGTTGATGATGGCGTTCTCGTCAGTCCCTGGACACACCATGCACATTTTATAATCCAAACTACATATACCAAGAAACCTAAGGGACCATAGACAATATATTCATACTTTGAGACAAGTACAAGTATAAAATACAGGACAATATAGCTCATACAACAATTTAGTTTTCTCCTCAATGTCAAAAACAAATCCCCATAAACCATGAAATGCTTGAGAAGAGAATGTGAAGAGTCCCAATGATGTTTTCACTTTTCTCAATTGGAACAAAGTGAAACTACAAGTGAAACTCAGCTTGTTAGAAGTTCGTTATTCATAATAACATCAATCACCACTCCTACGTGACTACAACTTCATTAAAATCAGATCTTAGTTCTCGCTACAGCTAAACAAAGATCTGAGGACATCCCATTACGGGTCACGTCAGACCGACCTTGCGCGAACTTTTACCAACCAATGGAATGACCAATCAGAAGGGAGCTTTCTCGTGCTTAAGGGCACTAATTTCAAATTGGCGACTACGCTTCGAAACATATTTTGACAAATTCTCGATTACAAATTTGAAACCTGAACAAAAGAACATTCTGGAAAGGCTAATAGATGGTCTAGATTGTATGGATTCAGTCGTTAAACCCTTAACTATCGTTCGGAGTTAAAGTTTTCGAGGCTGCGTGATTAGATATCACAATCCGACTGTCACTTTCATAATCTAGTAAGTGACGCTCTGATTGGTTGGATGAAAGGTCGTTCTGACGTGACCCCTAATGGGATGTCCTCATATCTTTGTTAAGCAGTAGCGAGAACTGAGGCCTGATTTTAATGAGATTGAAGTGACTAGTGTTGGCTTCTGAATAAATAATATTATGTTAGACTAAACTGACAGTGTTGTGTCTCAGCTTACCTAGACCCTTCATTGCCTGCTTCAGAACTTCAGCATCTTGTTCCGCATTGAAGGCTGCATACGCAACCACCGTGCCCTCTTGCTGAAGGAGCAAACACACGGCACATCAGTACCATCAGAGACCATATAATAGATCTATTATATGGTCTCTGGTACCATCCCTCCAACTGTTCCATGACGTTCAGCTTGATTACCCATCAATTATCTCATGCTCTCAATATTCATTATACATACACCACAAGCAAATGGTCTGTTTTGGTAAACACCGGGTCAGTTTCAACTAGAATATTGGTGCATATCGCCAAAATTGTAAATCAAATTGTATATTTATATACTTATCCTATCTCAGACTATGCATTTCTTCTTCTTTTGATTATTGTGTGGAAACGTGCTAGAACAAAGTTTCCAGCTTCTAAAAACATTTCAACCGAACACATCCCAGCATCACTATGGTCACCACCAAAACAAATGGGTCACACACTTTATTCCTGTCTGTGTGACCTTACACGACTTGATCACCTGACTACCCCTGCCAACATCATTCTCTTTCTCATCGCCACGTTTATTGAGCACCAGAGAATAACTTTTTGTTTTTTTGTGTGAGAGCTTAGTTTACATTTGTTTCAACTTCTACGCCGTGCAGACGTACCTATCACTCAGTTGATTCACATGATCTTTGTTGCGATTCTCACAGCCTTTGCAAGCCGGACCACTGATGCTCGTACGTATTTACATAAATGTCGGGCGAAATGTTTTACGAAGCTGGATACTTTGTTCTAGCACATTTCCACACAAGGATCGAAAGAAGGAAGAAATTCATAGTGTGAGATAGGATAAGATAAAAAAATTGCCATCTTGGCACTGCTTTCACAACCGTTTTACCATTATACCTCCTGCATGATCGCGCCATAATGGGTTAAGATAGCTAACCTAGTTGCCAGTAGGAGGAATAGGAATACTCGTCGTACAAACCCTTTAAAGGGGGAAAAGGCTCAGCTTATCGTCTGTCCCAGAAAACTTGGTTCACATCCGCTAGCTAAAATTTTATGATATATTCCAATTTAGCAGTTAATGATAACCATCAGAGATAATGTTTAAGTTCCACACAACATATTAATTAAAATGTCTAGATGTAGGTGGAAAATGAGTACTGTCTCCCTATGTACAGAGAGTTAACTGAAACTGCTGTCTGTGGATTAAGTATTATTTAGGAGTGTTTACACCGTCTTACATTGAGATCCTCAGTTTCCATAGCGTAGTAGGGATCCTTCTTAGCAGGGGGATCCTTCTTCTTTGGCTTCTCTGGCTTCTCTGACTTCTTGGAGGAGTCGGACATGCTACCAGTCGGCTTCCAGGGAGGGTGGGTGGGTGGCGGTGCAGCAGCTGGTGGCTTCTTCTTCTTTACTGTACCCCCTGAAATAATGGACCAGTCCACTGCAAGTAGCACCAGCCTGCTCTGGTTCCAGTACGTCTGGTTATGATGATCTAATGTTCTGTGTTTCCGACTATGTATGAGGATTGATTGTTTTGTGTGTCGTAACTTTTATGAGGATAGATAGTTGTGTGTTGACTTCGGACAGTTATTTGAGGGCCTAAGGGCCTGTGTGTTTCTGACTTTCTGAGGATCTCGTGGTCTGTGTATTTCTGACTGTTTATGAAGATCTAGTGGTCTGTGTATTTCTGACTGTTTTCAAGGATCAAGTGGTCTGTGCATTTCTGACTGGTTATCAGGATCAAGCGGTCTGTGTATTTCTGACTGTTTATGAAGATCTAGTGGTCTGTGTATTTCTGACTGTTTTCAAGGACCAAGTGGTCTGTGTATTTCTGACTTTCTGAGGATCATGTGGTCTGTGCATTTCTGACTGGTTATCAGGATCAAGCGGTCTGTGCATTTCTGACTGTTTATGAAGATCTAGTGGTCTGTGTATTTCTGACTGTTTTCAAGGACCAAGTGGTCTGTGTATTTCTGACTTTCTGAGGATCATGTGGTCTGTGCATTTCTGACTGGTTATCAGGATCAAGCGGTCTGTGCATTTCTGACTGTTTATGAAGATCTAGTGGTCTGTGCATTTCTGACTGTTTTGAGGATCTAGTGGTCTGTGTATTTCTGACTGTTTTGAGGATCTCGTGGTCTGTGTATTTCTGACTGTTTTGAGGACCTCGTGGTCTGTGTATTTCTGACTGGTTATCAGGATCAAGCGGTCTGTGCATTTCTGACTGTTTATGAAGATCTAGTGGTCTGTGTATTTCTGACTGTTTTCAAGGACCAAGTGGTCTGTGTATTTCTGACTTTCTGAGGATCAAGTGGTCTGTGCATTTCTGACTGGTTATCAGGATCAAGCGGTCTGTGCATTTCTGACTGTTTATGAAGATCTAGTGGTCTGTGTATTTCTGACTGTTTTCAAGGACCAAGTGGTCTGTGTATTTCTGACTTTCTGAGGATCATGTGGTCTGTGCATTTCTGACTGGTTATCAGGATCAAGCGGTCTGTGCATTTCTGACTGTTTATGAAGATCTAGTGGTCTGTGCATTTCTGACTGTTTTGAGGATCTAGTGGTCTGTGTATTTCTGACTGTTTTGAGGATCTCGTGGTCTGTGTATTTCTGACTGTTTTGAGGACCTCGTGGTCTGTGTATTTCTGACTGGTTATCAGGATCAAGCGGTCTGTGCATTTCTGACTGTTTATGAAGATCTAGTGGTCTGTGTATTTCTGACTGTTTTCAAGGACCAAGTGGTCTGTGTATTTCTGACTTTCTGAGGATCAAGTGGTCTGTGCATTTCTGACTGGTTATCAGGATCAAGCGGTCTGTGCATTTCTGACTGTTTATGAAGATCTAGTGGTCTGTGTATTTCTGACTGTTTTCAAGGACCAAGTGGTCTGTGTATTTCTGACTTTCTGAGGATCATGTGGTCTGTGCATTTCTGATTGGTTATCAGGATCAAGCGGTCTGTGCATTTCTGACTGTTTATGAAGATCTAGTGGTCTGTGTATTTCTGACTGGTTATCAGGATCGTGTGGTCTGTGTTTCCAACACTTTTTTCAAGCAGCACAAATTCTCCAGCAAACGAAGCTGACTATCCTTTAGCAATATTCTGTCTCTGTCTGCAGTACACCAACTGACCATGTTACATTCCTCCACTACGCGAGTGTTAAGCCCTACTAAAATCAATCCAAGTATATAATCTTTTCATATGATGACACCTATAAAGCTGTATTACTGTCTGCTTATTGAATATTAGACGACATCAAAACACCATGAATTAAAACCATCCCAACTTGTTTCTTTGTTTTCTTCAGAGATAGTAACTGAACACAATCATGTCTGCTACCACATACTTTGCATAATCAAAGTAATATCAATTTGATTAACATTCTCACATTTTATCAACAACCTGGGCTTTCTTGTAAACAAATTTTGCTGATAGCATGGTTACTATGATGTCAAAACATCAACCAAGCACTGTCCAAGTAAATAAGAACAAAATAGACGTTTCAAGATATGTCTTTATTTCTGTACAGAAAAGTGGTACAGAAAACTGCTAGAATGTACAGAGAGATATCACAGATGGGTCTGTACAGTAAACATGTACAAATAAGGCAGGGAAAATACTCATAGAAAATTACTTTAAAATTATCAGTGACTAAATAATGAAGACAGAAAGCCCAGGATGTTTCTACAGATGTCCTATGTTACATGATCTATTCATTATTTCTGTTATATAGAAATACAATGTAAGCTACAAATTGATTATTCCATCTACCAACATTACCTTGCTATCATGATCCTTATTGCATAGAAATAACATGGGAAAAAATACTTTATATACTTTAAATAAATAATTCCTGATTACAGATATACAAGAAATATGAGAGTTGGGGTCCCCTTCAGTGACTGACCATAGCCCTAATACTCTGGAAACTCACATGACCATGTGACGTGCGGTGCTGTGAGTATAAGACTTCATTAACGTGGAATGGGGACTTGGTCTCAGACTGGTGGAATGGTAAACAGTTTAGGAAGGTCATGTGCCAACAATGTTGACTTGTCCCTCTAATGTTGGTTCTGAAGACAGATCTGATGTATTTCCAACCCCCATGTTTGACTTCCCAAAATACTGGTACAGTTAATACCATTAGTAACAATGCTGTTTTGACATACCAGTTAATGCCTTTTCATGTCATTTCGGGTTTCAAATTCATGTGTTAAATGTTTAAAATACACTGCCAAATGTGCCAGTTTGTTACACCTTTCCCAACTATCACATACAGATTGATCAGTTCTACAAGTGTTAATAATCAATCTCATTCAAATTAGATCTTAGTTCTTGCTACCGCTAAACAAAGATCTGAGGACATCCCATAGGGGTCATGTCAGAACGACCTTTCATTCGACCAATTAGAGCGTTGCTTACCAGATCATGAAAGTGACAGTCGGAATGTGATTTCTAATCTTGCAACATCGAAAACTTTAACACGGGGTATTCCGAACGATAATTACGGGCTTGACGACTGAATCCATACAATCTGGACCATCTATGAGCCATTCCTGAATGTTTTTTTTGTTCAGGTTTCAATTTTTTTATCGAGAATTTGTCAAAATATGTTTCAAAGCGTAGTCGCCAATTTGAAATTAGCGCGATAAAGCACAAGAAAGCTGCCTTCTTATTGGCTAATGTGGACTTCTTGTCAGTCATTTCATTGGTCGTTCAAAGTTCGCGCAAGGTCGGTCTGACGTGACCCGTAATGGGATGTCCTCAGGTCTATGTTTAGCGGCAGTGAGAACTAAGATCTGATTTTAATGAGATTGGTTAATAATGTACACATCATTTGCATAGAAGCTTCTCACAGCACCCTCTAGTTCAAGAAGTATATTTTACAGACATTGACTTACCCTACTCTAGAATTTGTAAATACAGGCAAACCACTTTCCAGTTGTTTTTCCAATTCCTGAACTATTTGTGATCAAGATTTCCAAGTGTGCAATTGTTGAAAGCAATATGTTACTGAAAGATTTCACAAGAACACTAACAAAGATGTATTACTCGAGGTCAGAGTACACCCTAGTGGCTGTAGACTGTGTGTGTCCTAGGTTATCTGGTCTGTGAGTTGTCTATCTGAGCTGTATTGTATGTCAGTCTGACTGAGAGCTGGACTGAGAGCTGGACTCACTCGGCACGCCTGGTTTGGAGAGAACAACCGTCAGTTTGTAGCCATCTCCCTCATCTTCCAACTTCCCCTCCAGTATCTGCAAATCAACATTGTCACATTGAAATATCCCTTCCAGTACCTAGAGTAAGTGCCGCACCGATGATAAAACATACACCGATCAGCATACCAGAGAATGAGTGAGTGAGTTGTGTTTAACACCACATCATGTGGGAGGAAAGCCTGATGTGATGCAGGTCGTAGACATTCACCACTTTGGTGAAAACTATGAGCACGGCTATGGTGCTGACAAACCTAGAAACATAATCAGGCAAATCTGAACCCATGATCATGCATTCCTGGCAGACCTAGGGGACACAACTCTGCACAAAGAAATGCAGCACCTGTCAATTGGGCCACCAGTGTCCATGTCAGTGCCAACAAATAAACACTGAAATGTTGAAATGCAAGCGATAGAAACTAACAGTTTTAGTCCACTGGTCCACATAATGATAACAAATGGCAAAACCCTTAGTCCTTATGATACCTTAACTATTCATCTTCCCGAGGCAAGAGAGTTAACTGACTCTAAAAGTCCAGTTTCCACCCTTGCCGAACTAGGCTGGAATTCCTGTGCTTGATCATAGCACCACCAGTGGCTATTACGAGTTATGTCCCTTCTCCCTCTCCTATGGACCAATCAGATTCAACCTCTCGAATCACTTGCATTTGCTTCAAACAAAACTGCGGTACCCAGTCAAAACGATCTGATCGATAATCAAGATCTATATACTGTGATAAAATGATAAAATGAGTCTTGCATCGCGATGTGCATCAAATCATGTGAGCACCTTCATTAAAAACATAAAAAGATGTAGAAAATATTTGTTGACAACGAGTTAGCGGTGCACATGTTTTGCAAATCCCGCAATCGACCCAAATCTGCATGACAGATTACGAACCGGATTTCGATTTTTGAGCGCGATTTTGATTGGACTATGCATAGACTTGTTAGTCCAGCCAAAATGTAACTCCATAATACCAGTAGTTCGGCAAGGGTGGAAAGTGGACTTTTATAGTCAGTTAACTCCCTTGCCTTGGGAAGATGTAACTATTGGGCAGTTTGGCAAGGACAACACTACTAGTGCCAATTTCTATCTCTGAATATTAGTTAGAAATTATTAAAAGGGAAATATACAGTACATTGCAGATCCTGATAGCGCAAATGACCCATTGTTTCTGACAATATTAATCATACTGACCTCCTGATCTTGTGTGAAACCTACATCCATGGTTTTCGAAAGTAAAGTTTACTTGATCAACAAGGTGTATAATCAACCTGAAGCTCTGTATGCTTCATTTATGTATTCATGTTTAGAGTTAACATAATCTTCATCATTAACAGCTTCAAGCCAAACATGCTACAGAAAAAGCCAACAGATAACAGTGGACGTCACCTACCTTCCCCATCCGTGGTTCTGCGACCCGCAGTCGGAAGTCACCGTTGTTTTTCGCATGTTCCAACATGTGGGCGTATATGTGGAGCAGGTTGCCCTTGAAGTCCCCTGGAGAGTTGAACATGATTGATATATGACATACATTCCCCTGCAGACACAGTTGTTATGTTCCATACCCCAACATGTTTAACTGTTAAAGGGCATGTGGAAGACGGAGCAGAGATGACAATACACATCTATATCCTAATGGCCGCTGTGTACTGGCTCTAGCATTGTAGAAGTCCCTGCCTGGACTACTGGTCAATCCTACTTCCTCTGATCATGTGTTTACATTTTTAGGTATCAAATCAGGGTCTAGCATTGTAGATGTCCCAGCCTGGACTACTGGTCAATCCTACTTCCTCTGATCATGTGTTTACATTTTTAGGTATCAAATCAGGCTCTAGCATTGTAGATGTCCCTGCCTGGACTACTGGTCAATCCTACTTCCTCTGATCATGTGTTTACATTTTTAGGTATCAAATCAGGCTCTAGCATTGTAGATGTCCCAGCCTGGACTACTGGTCAATCCTACTTCCTCTGATCATGTGTTTACATTTTTAGGTATCAAATCAGGCTCTAGCATTGTAGATGTCCCTGCCTGGACTACTGGTCAATCCTACTTCCTCTGATCATGTGTTTACATTTTTAGGTATCAAATCAGGCTCTAGCATTGTAGATTGGACTACTGGTCAATCCTACTTCCTCTGATCATGTGTTTACATTTTTAGGTATCAAATCAGGCTCTAGCATTGTAGATGTCCCTGCCTGGACTACTGGTCAATCCTACTTCCTCTGATCATGTGTTTACATTTTTAGGTATCAAATCAGGCTCTAGCATTGTAGATGTCCCTGCCTGGACTACTGGTCAATCCTACTTCCTCTGATCATGTGTTTACATTTTTAGGTATCAAATCAGTATGAAAACATACATCTTTATGGATAACTTCTGGTTTATTGCATTTAGCAATGTTTTGATGTAGATTCTTACACCATTATCAAGCATTAGTGCTTGATATTCAAACATCGCTTAATGCAATAAATGAAAAAGTTGTTATCCATAAAGTTGTATATTTTCTTATTTACTCAGATTCCTGCATTTAATACCCTTCCATAGGCTCAGATACAGGCTAAAGTTGTGAGGAGAAAAATACAAATCTGAATTTCCAGTTACATACAATATTGAAGGCAAACAGCACTGCTCTATCGCTCCACAAACTTTACATAGTGAGGCAGCAGGGTGACGCACCTTTCCCCGGACTGACTGGCTCTAGGGGTGGGTTCTTGTACACTGGCTTGTACTCTATAGCTGGCGCTGGGGCAGGAGTTGGGGCTGGGGGAGGCGGCGGCGGCGGGGCTTGGGTCCTACTGGCCTCCTCCATCAGATGGCGCAGCTCCCCGACTGTCACCGGCCGGTTAGCAGCATTCAGTTTCTGAAATCAGGGGCATCTCTGTGACGACCTCCATCACACAATCACATCTTACCTCCTCAAAGGTATCATCATAACAGTTAAAACTAAGAGTCAAACATTACCAATCCAGAAGTGGATGTGAAATTAATGAGTGATAAAATTTCACATTTTGTAATTTGTTTGTAAAATTGTATAAGACAGGTTATAGGCCTCATTCTAAACCTCAAAAAAAAGGAGGTTGGCTGATCAAAAACCAACCTTCTTTAAAAGCATTTGCAGGGACCCCGGTCAAGAGCATATAATGATGGAAATGTGCCACTGAATAATTTCACAGCCTGGTCCTATGGGATAGTTTCAATCAAAAAACCCTGTTTGCTGAATAAAGGCAATAATCCCATGATCCCTGCTCAGCATCACCAAGACTCACCTGTATCATCTGTTCTGTAAGGAAGCCATACTGGACTGGGTACGGAGGCTGAGGGTTGCCTCCTATTATTAAACTCCCTGGCTGTCCATTCATCATCCCCGGGGGTGCCCCACCCCACACATTTATCTGGGTCCCTGAGTAGTTGGTGGGGTTGAAGGGGCCATCCGGTATAGGTGGGTAGGCTGCAACATATCATAGACTCTTTAGCATGTTTAGTTGAGGTCTCTCTAATATGCGGTCGTCTCAGGAGCAGCAGTTCACTGTGCACAGTTGCTTTCCTTTGGGCATGCCACAAACCTATGATCATGGGTTCGAATCCAGGTTCATCCTGATTATGTCTCTAGGTTTGTCTGCACCATACCCGTGCTCGTGGGGTTCACAAAAGTGGTAAACATCAGTGACCTGCATCACTTTGGGCTTTTCTCCCACATTAAGCTGACACACCGTGGTATAATTGGAATAAACACAACCCACTCACTCACTCATTCTCTAGTAGGCTGATTGGCTGATATTTTATTATTGGTGCGGCAAAATGCAAGAATTATCAGTTCTTTGCACAAGCATGTCTCATTCTGTTTAAATATTGCCTCTTGTGCATGTTTCACTGGGACAAGGCAGAGCAGGGTGACCCTAGGTTTCTATCTTACAAGATTCTTTAACATGACAACAACTGATCAAACATATGAAATTTAGTACATTCAGATAATAATATTGAACTCTTTGTACATGTATAGTCTGTTTAATGTTATATATGAGAGCCTGAATGCCATGTATCTGGCCTCCTCCATGGTCTAGTCAGGGCGGTGGGGTAGCCTAGTGGTTAAAGCGTTTGCTCGGCACGCCAAATACCCGGGTTCGATTCCCCACATGGGTACAATGTCTGAAGCCCATTTCTGGTGTCCCCTGCCGTGATATTGCTGGAATATTGCTAAAAGCGGCGAAAAGCCATACTCACTCACTCACTCAGGGTCTTCTAGCGGAAGGTTGGTGGTTTGATCCCCATGCCATGTTATACCCAAAAGACATAAAAAGATGGTACTTGTTGTTACCCTGCCTTGTGTTCGGCATTAAGGGGCTTAAACAAGGACTGGTCAGCTCAGAGTCAGTATACTCTGTCTGAGCAGGATATTCATGTTAAATCTCAGTTGACTAGCTCTATAAAACTAGAATTAGTCTGGACTAGCTACACACACACACACATGCATGCACATCGCTATATAGGTCCAACAATCTTAAACCCCATGTCACCTCATCATGTCATAGCTATTTACCTGCATCCCCTGTGGCCCCAACTTCTCCCCTCTCCACGTCCCCTTCACTGGCCCACGCTTCCCGGGTCACATGATTGCGAGGTTTGCGTGTGGGAGATTTCTGCTGTGAGCAAAGAATCAAGATACAATACATCTCACCTCCATTCCAAATCACAGGCAAAGCATCTAACAGGTATGGTTACAAAAACATATTTTGCTTTTGCTACCGATCTGGTAGTTCATAAACTTATGAAACATTCTGTGTATGTATGTGTGTATATGTGTGTGTGTGTGTGTGTGTGTGTGTGTGTGTGTGTGTGTGTGTGTGTGTGTGTGTGTGTGTGTGTGTGTGTGTGTGTGTGTGTGTGTGTGTGTGTGTGTGAGTGAGAATGTGAAATTATGAAACATTCTGTGTGTGTGTGTGTGTGTGTGTGTGTGTGTGTGTGTGTGTGTGTGTGTGTGTGTGTGTGTGTGTGATAATGTTTCATAATTTCATGAACTACCAGAAATTTTAATACAATGTTATACAATGTTATATATATTAAAATTTCATTCTGACTGAAGTGTAAAAGGTATTAATTGACATGTGCATCTTCTGTTTTCTAATTTTGGCATTGATAAATAGTACTTCTAGTCCCTCCCTGAAAACAACAACCCAACTTACTCTTTTCTTGGGCTTGGATTTGGATTTGAGTGTAGACTTGGATGTGTCGGTGTCGGATGTTTCGAAGAAGCTGCTGTAGCTGCTGTAGTCATAGCCATCGGAAGTTTCAGGATTCTCCTCAATCAACTCACTCACGTTAAACGTCTTCGTCACAACAGCACTTTCCTGTAGTCCATCCCTGCATGTTATAAACATGGGTGAGTATGTGTGTGGGCTGTGTGTGGGGGTGGGTGGTTGTGGTATGTGTGGGGTACGGTTTTGGACGCATGAGTAGGTGATCGCATCTGCATTCAAGGACACGACATTGTGTAAGTTACATCATGACTCACAACATCAAGTGATACAGAATGAACATCTCATTATTAACAGTCCGATTTTGTTGAAATTTGACTTCCGCTACCAATGAGTTTACTAATGACTACTACACACAGGATTATTGACATTAGAGATTAGTCTTCCATTGACTTCTTCAGGCAGAGGTGATAAGAAGGTCAAAGGTCAAGGTCACAAGATAGAAATATAATCACCAAAAACGTTTGATTACACTTTCTCAAAACATAATTAAAACAATTACTTTTAAACTTGGTATGTACCTTCTCTGAGATTGGGCACTGCTTTGAAATGGTTTCGGGTCAAAATAAGAGAAATGTCTGTCAAGCTTTTTGTGTAACATGGTCATATATGTTTCAGTTTCTGAGGTATGCCTACTTCTCTATAAAGCATGAAACCTTTTATTTGAAAATATCTTTACAAATCTTATCTCATCCTGTGTTTAAAATTAAGGGGTGTTCTGTGATCCCTGAGTTTGCTCCTATAGTATTTGAGTCTCGGGTCATAGTTGGGACACTAAAACCTTGAACATCTAACATTAGGGTAATGCAGGCTTACAGTGACATCTAATGTTGGTGCTATGACTAAGCAAAGGTCAAAGACATCTCTGAGGTATGGTAATTGTGAAACATGGTTGTATCATTTATTGCCTGTTACTGGTGCCAGTTTACTGGAAGTAATGTATTTGGGCATGGTGGTATTTTAACACTTGAAGCTTTGAGGAAATGGCAGTGATGTCTGCTTCTGTTTTGCGAGTATTTGCAAACACTTCTAGTCAATCTTTGTAGCCTAACTAAAAGATCATAACTAATCTCTACCGAGAAACTACTGAATAAGCGGGGCACAGTTTGCATGACTTATTGGCTCATGTGGACGTTTGATGTCACAGATACAAGAGAAAGATGATATTGGTCATCCAATATATTATAATGACAAATAAACTTTTTTTAATGAAAAACAATATCTCTAACTGGAGATACGCAAATATATCACATTGTGCAAACTGGTATTGGATGATGTATATCCTTAATGTTTTAGAGCATCAATCCTCAAATAACCACTCCCAGTTACTCCATCATCCCCTTTCCACTGCAAATGAATACTTTTCTCTCAACCCCTCCCCCAAGAATGATGTCATGGCTCTCCTACACTGTGGGAGTCCAAGTACAGCGAGAGTGCATCAGAAAATTACTAACTTTCGTAGTTTACAAAATTAATAAACATAAGTTGTTTTCAGATTTGCAGGTACTATTATAATAATAGGCTATTTATATTGCACATATTTCCACACAACACAGGAGCATCCTCAAAGCGCTATTATTATCCCGGTCACTGGATCAGTGTGCACTCAACAATCATTCTCAGCTCCCTGAGGAGTATACAACCCAAGCTGCCTGTTAGGCACTGGAAGATAATAACAATCCTATCCTACCGGGTACCCACTCACTGCTGGGTGAACAGAGGCATATTTCGAACAAAGTCACTTGCCCAAGGAGACACCACATATGTTACATGTGCTTCAGTGTGGGGCTGGACCGAAGCCCTAGAAACTCTCAGGAGCCAAGCTGCCGAAACACGGTCAACCATCCAAGGACTCTCCGCAACCGACGTTGCTTAACTTCACCTGATGTGTGACCTGGGCACTGTGCACAGGACCACGTGCCACCACAAGTTGAGATTGAATATTTCATGCACAGAATTTGAACTTTTGAATGAATTTCTGGTACACTCAAGAACCACTGCAAATGTTTATGTGTCAAGAGGAATTCCTACCTGGTGGTACATACTGCCTTCAGTACTCTCTTCCCTGGTTTCAGTGTGAAGGGGGCAATGTATTTATATGTGACTTCCCGCCCTGCAATTTTCCGCTGGAATGGACATGGCTTGGTTCCATCAGTGGTGAAGAATATCTTACAGTTGTTACTCTCTGAAAACAAAACATTGATACATCAAACTAATAATTAAGAATTGATAAGTTAATGTTTGTTTGTCGTTTGCAGCAGCACCTAGCAATATTCCAGCTATATGATGGCACCCTGTAAATATTTGAGACTGGACCAGACAGTCCAGTGATTGATATTGTGAACAATGATCCACGCCGTCTGGCATATGATGACAATCTATCAACCAAGTCACCAAGCCTGACCACCCGAGCCATTTGGTCGACTCTTACAGCCAGCATAGGTTGTATTCTATTCTAACATTGGGATCCCCACATCATTGAGTTCCAGCACATCACCCAATTTAGTCACCTCATACGACATATACTTGTTCTAGTCCTGATCCCTATGATGTGTATAACCATGACTGTCTATGTACCTGTAGACAGCTCGATGAGGGAGTTGACATCGATATGGTTGACTGGCAGCTGTATCCTGTCGGGGATCCTCCTGATGGGGGTAATTTGGGGAGGACATAGTGCTCCTGCACTTGGCATCCTGAATGTGTTAGCTGCAATAAAATTTTACAATGTATATTCTGACAATGTCATATCCTTTTTACAAGTAAAACATTTTGACAATATGTCAGTCCCTTAAACAAAGTAATACGGCCTCATCTGAAGGTACTTTTTGAGGTTTTTTCCTTCAAACTGTTTTAGCACTTTCAGGTATGAATTAAAACAATGTGACCATTATTATGATTGATGAGGCGATACATTTAAGGATTGACTGTATTTTTATCGGTCCATTTATGTATGAATCGAAAAACTTATGTGCAAACTGTATGAATCTGCATATCGGATTCTTACAAAAGTTTGCACATCACTTTTCAAATTCATACTTCAGTGAACCAAAAAATATACACAGTCAATGCTTATGATTAAATTTGACTAGTAAAACATGTTTTGTCTACAATAGTTTAACTAAAAAAGTTGTATATATATCAAAGCAGACAAAAATGACGACATTGATGAACATTCCAGGTGTAAGAACACATACTGTGGCATGACGTGAATCAGTTGATCGTTTTATTTATGCACATAACTTGACACGCCTACAAAGTCAGAAGCTAATCAAAGGAGAGTAGGATCAAAACAATGTTCATAGGACCTGTTAATTAAGGCAAGAGGCGAGAAGAACTGCAACAGTCAGGCTGTAATGAACCGGAAGAAATTTGTACGAGAGAAGGCGGCTGTTTCAAATGACATGGACAGTTACCGCCAGATGTAAACATTCGTTCCCTGAGAATGGGAAGACGCAGGTGGAAAAATGCTAGTTAGAAATGAAACCTGAAGACATGACAGTTGTGGAACCAAAATGAGCGGGAAAAACAGGCAAGGGTTGGTTTGAAAATGAATATGCATGAATTTTGCTAAATGTCCTGAGCATGAAAATACACGTAAGCAGAAAGGAAACTGTAATATTGGGAGTCCCCGACATTATGTAGTAATAAAAGTAGTCTGTCTCGGTGGGCGTGGCTTAATTTTTTACATCCATTTGGAAATGAATGCAATAACATGTGACCAATTCAGCTAATTAGAATGCAGGAATTTCAATGAACAAAACGAAACTTTAAATATTTCAAATTAAAATTATTGGTTCTTTCAGCTTAATTTTTTTTTAATTAAAATAGTCTGTCTTATAGATTTTTTTATTCAAAACATGTATTATCGAAAGATTTGGGATGTTATGATCCTCGAACTGTTTGATTGGCATTCTAGAAGTTGGTGAGTAAATAAGAAAATGGACAATATTATGGATGACAACTGCTGGTTTATTACATTGAGCAAAGTTGTTATGATCCTCTTTGGTAAATAAGTCTAAAGCTCCCTATGTTATCATGATTAAGTCCGACAACTATCTCCCTGGCAAAATGGTCTGGATTATAGCCGCAAGATCACTGGAGCACTACAGATAACAGAGAATCTTTTCTTAAACCAACATTGTGAAAAAATAAGATTTCATTTTCAACTTATGATTAAGTACAAACAGTTGAATTTGTGTTTTCCATCAATTCAGAAGTTTATAAAGAAAACTAATCAACAGAGTATGATATTTTGTCAAAAGGATAAAAATATTTCTGTTTGCAGCGATTTGGTGTCCTGAAACTTGAAAATGATTGTATCATTTTTATATTAGCACATTTCCGAAGATCATTATTAACATTATTCTTCTAATAGAGCATCAAGGAGTTGACAGGGTACATAATTTAAAGAGTGAAACCTTGCAGTATTTCTTTGAATAATCGGTCATTGTAATTTCAGTAGGCATAGTTGTTGGTTGCAAACTTGATCTGACAAGTCCAAATTTGGTCTTGGTACCCGTCTTAATCTGTTGCACTAAACGTGATGATATTTTATCTAATGTAAAACCATACTTGTGCGGTCATTTCTAATAACTTACGGTAATGGTATGGAAAGAAAATACTCAGAAAATGGACATTACCTGGACGACATATAAATGTGATGGCAGATTCTGTTGTCAGGCGGCCATATCAAAACAATGTAATACATATTAGCAATACACGACTATCATTAGCACATATACACCGATACACAAAAATAATAATGTTTTTAATTCTAATTTGTACATATCTTATACAAGTATTTCTTACATGCAACAAAAAATAGTTTAATTATCATTATATAGTGAAATAGTGTCATAAAATCAGAGTACTATTCAAAATATGATTATAGCAAATAGCTGTTGTCTTGACAGTAGTTTACTCTATTTTTAGCGCACCTGCCGGAAATAACCTCCGCTATGCGACCTCTTCCGCCATCTCCATTTCGGGAAAAGACGACAGTGACATGTGAGTAGTCAAATCCGCGTTTTATCGAACAAATTATCCACCATCCCGACAAATATAACGACGATTTGCTTTCTTTGATGTTTTGATTTTTCATTTCTACTTGTTGTTTTATCTTAGTTGTTAATTTCTTTACTTTTCCGATAATTGTTCAAGCAAGCATTGGGATGCTGTAGTAAACAAAGTTGAATATATCCATGTACTCGGATTCTGGAATTTCCTCAGGGAATGATTTACGGGCTAGTATCTGAACTTTATCATTAAAAAGGTACGAATGTGAATTGAAAAAAATCTACATTTTAATAATTTGGATGTGGTACGAAATTTGGGACCGTGCGATTTTTGAAACCGATGCCAGGTGAAAGTTATGCATGGAACTAGGACCCTTATGCACAGGCAGATGTTTTAAGTGTGCAATTGTAGATAACTCCTCATGTAGTATTATTCTACAATATGATATCCAAAATAACGGACTGAATAAAATCAGAGATTACATAATTAATACTTGAATCTCATTCCTCAGAATGCCTACCGAGGCAGTAGAAAAACCTGTCGAGGAGACGAAACCTGAAGACTCAGGGTCTGCAACAGATACTGATGGGGACGATGATTCCCCACCCGAATTGGAGGACCAAGATGCTTCGATGCAACAGCAAAGCCAGGTTTGATTCTTTTTGTTGAGGTCTGAGATTGTAACCACTGGCCTGAAGCTAAAATGTCCTGTGTATAGTAACCTCAGCTCATGAAATAGCCCATATGATAATAGTGTTTATGTGGGCTATGTTACTTAGCCTGTGTTGCCTAAATATTTTAAAGGTAAAATACTTGGATCTGTTCTACAAATCTTGTATTCTTCACCTTGTAATTGTTGTTTTTGTTTTTAGGTGGCACAGGCAGCAGGTATTCAAGAGGAACTTGTCAGCAAGTCGAAACAGTCACGTAGTGAGAAGAAAGCCAGAAAGGCTATGTCCAAACTTGGTAAATTACTTTAGAATTCAATTACCTGTTACCATCTGAGCTAATGATGACAATATGTGCGATTTCATTTGATATTTGAAGAACTTCACCATGTTCACCAGCACTCAATAATATATTTGCTCATAGTGTATGTTATCAAAGTCTATTTTCACCTGGAACATTCCCACATGATTATCAATAATGTATGAATAATATGTTTATGGTGCATTAATTTGTAATTGCATATTTGGTCAGTGAGAAATCCTACATAGAAGGGAATAAATTGTGGTTATCAATTCATGCAAGCAATGATGAAAAACATTTTTGTTTCTAATAACATAAATTAAATTTGTAACAATAGTATACACCATTTTCTTTCAGGTTTGAAACCCGTCACAGGAGTTACCAGGGTAACAATAAGGAAATCTAAAAATATTCTGTTTGTAATCAACCGACCAGATGTATACAAGAGTCCAGCTTCAGATACATATATTGTATTTGGCGAGGCAAAGGTGGGTATTTAATCAGTCTGATAGATGGTTATTTAGTAGATTAATGAACTTTTATGGTCGACTTTCGAACTTTGACATTAACATTTATTCAACAGTACTTATCCCATGACCCTCAGTTCACCATGGGTCCCCAGGGCCTACATTTCTCATATCTGACCAATCAATTTGCAGGTAATAGATCACTGGTCCCATAAGTGGTATTGTCAGTCTTGAAACTGTCCCAATATTATTTCCATGATACCTGTTTTGCACCGTCTGAGAGTGCTGAAAGTTGATAGCGTCCGGTGCCTATGATGTATACTTTTTTCCCCGGCTTATCGATAGATGCTGAGAAACATGCATTTCATGCCAGTTTAGCTGAGGCACCGTTGATTGTAACCATTTATGTCCAGCTTCAGCTGTTACTTTATACAGTGGGGCGGTCGGGTAGCCTAGTGGTTTAAGCGTTCGCTCGTCGCACCGAAGACCCGGGTTCGATTCCCGACATGGGTACAATGTGTGAAGCCCATTTCTGGTGTCCCCCGCCGTGATATTGCTGGAATATTGCTAAAAGCGGCGTAAAAACATACTCACTCACTCACTACTTTATACAGTGCTGGTATGTAGTATGCTACTTGAGATATGTGAAGTTTCCGTTGTCATTGCCCATACTTTGGTTAGGTTATTCCCTTTTCAAAAGATGTGAGTATTTAACTTTAATTCTGGTTATGTCTGTTGGGAAAACATTGTGGAAAATGTTATTTGTAACAATAGATCCATGCATTATGTTAGGGGTTCATTTTCATTATCTTTGTTACTCGCTATACATTCTAAAGACAGGTTGATGTATCTCCGAAATAGGAAAGTATAGGTTTCATTGATACTTACAATGTGTACCATTTAGATCATTCCATCAAGATCTTTGTCAACAAAGCAAGCAATTTATTTTTCCAAAGTTAATGTCCATTGTGAACTATCCTCAGATACACATGGTATGGATTGATTCGTTTTACTTCACAAAAGACTGGTGCTCTCGCTGTCAGTCATTGGTTTCTCATCCAGGGTTTATAGAAGCATGCTATCTAAACTCGACATTATCATAGAAGTTATTGTTGCCTATGATGTATACTTTTTTCCCCGGCTTATCGATAAATGCTGAGACCCTTGCATTTCATGCCAGTTTAGCTGAGGCAACAATCTTCGTATATTGATATAATTGTCGAAATTGGAAGCCCTTCAAAACAAGAAAGAAATATCAGACGTTTCTGTTATTTTAGCGAATTTGATAAGACATTCGTCTATACAATGACCAAAATGGAAAACTGTCTTCAGGACATTACTGATAAGTCATGTCCTAGAAAATGAACTCGTCTGAAACCCTGACTTCCATTCAAAAGACCCGTGGCTCGCCACAACTGGGCGTCTTTTGAATGGAGGTCAGGGTTTCAGATGAGTTCATTTTCTAGGGCTTGCCACAACTGGGCAACCCGTGAAGATTCCAGGTTAGAATAGGTCTTCAGCAACCCATGTTTGCCCTAAAAAGCGACTATGCTTGTCGTAAAAGGCGACTAACGAGATCGGGTGGTCAGGCTCGCTGACTTGGTTGAAGCACGTACATGTTATCGATCCCAATTGCGTGGATCGATGCTCATGATGTCAATCAATGGATTGTCTGGTCCAGACTCGCTTAATTACAGACTGCCGTCATATAGCTGGAATATTGCTGAGTGCGGCATTGAACAACAAACCAACCAACCACAACTGGGCAGTTGTGCAGTGTAGTGGTTATAGCTTTGGCTCGTAACATGACTTTTCTTTGATTCCCCATGTGGTACAGTGTGAATGTGTCCAATATCATGGATTGACTTGAGTGGTACTATGAGCTCCTTTAAGCCAAAAATGTCTCTTCAATCTGAAGTTCCTGTTATTTGTTGGGGAAAGTACCTGCATTTGGAAAACTGACTTGACCGAGGAAATACCTTAGTTTTTTAGAGTTACTTAAATCAAATTTGTAATCGGAAGCCAGTTCAAAGGCTGATCGTCCAAATAATTTGTGAATCTTGTACACTGAAGGACAGATTGTTGCCTATGATGTATATTTTTTTCCCCGGCTTATCGATAAATGCTGAGACCCCTGCATTTCATGCCAGTTTAGCTGAGGCAACAATCTTGACCTTCAATCAATACAGTTCCTCATATTCTGTTCTTGTTTACCTTTGCCTCATAATTTTCTGTGAGGGACAGGGAATTCTGTTACACAATCGAAGTAGCACTCATCCTATGATAGGGTTCCAAGCAGTGAAATTCTAATGATTGGACATGTAGCGGTGTTTGACCCTGTTCAAAGAACTCATTGAGAGCTGTGCAGAAATGTATTGAAATATGTAAATTTGCACATACAAACAGCATTAGAAATTGGCCCCAGTCCTGTAGTCCTTGCCAAACTGCCAAATAGTTAAGGTATCACAAGGACTGGTAGAAATTTGCAGTTCTTAGGATTTTGCTATTGATCATTAGGACTAGCGTACTAAAACTGTTAAGTTTCTATTGCTGACAGACCACCTGAACATGAGCTTCATGGCTCTCAATGGTTAAAAAGTACATTACGTTATTTGTAGTCATTTCTAAATTTTTATTTAGTTTCGTTTGTTTTTCAACTTTTCTTGACATTCAAGGGCCACCTTCTGAAAAGAGCCATCTTGTTTATCTTTCCCAAAACTTCAAAATGATGCCACAGTTCAAACGTTGGATGAATTATTGTTGCCTATGATGTATACTTTTTTCCCCGGCTTATCGATAAATGCTGAGACACCATGCATTTCATGCCAGTTTAGCTGAGGCAACATTTCAAAAATATAAGACCGGTGTGAACTGCTGGTTCAGGTGTATGTTCAGGGTCAGATGTTATACATGTCAACTTGTGCCCTTTTCCATTTTGCTGCAAAACCATTAGGATTGTCCACGGTTCAAAATCAACACAAGTCCGCTGGTCAGAGACTAGTAAGATTCAGGTGACATTGTCAGTAGAACTTATTTCAATGTCTGGGTGCACCGGTGGCCCAGTCTAAGGTGCTGCAAGTCGCTGTGCAGAGTTGTCCCTTTGGCACACCAGAAACTTATGAGTATGACCGTGGGTTTGAATCCAGATTCGCTGATTGTTTCTAGGTTTGTCACACCATACCTGTGACTAAGCTTTGTGTTGTCTTTATTTCAGATTGAGGATCTGAACCAACAAGCCCAGATGGCAGCAGCCGAGAAGTTCAAGGCTCCAGAGAACCCTGCTGGTGCTGGGGAAGGCGGAGTCCAGTCCACCATCTCACAGCCCATCCAGGAGGAGTCCGAGGAGGAGGAAGATGTAAGCCTCCTTGTTACTGACCCCTGAGATTCCGGGTTGGAATCAGTCCATGTTGTGAGAGCAAACTAAAATATTGGATCACGAGGCAATATGTGCCTGATCGAGTGAGATCAGTCTGCTGATTAGATGGAGCATTGCCTCTAGGACTCCCTTGCTCAACTATTTGCTTAGTGATTTGAGTGATTTATAATGAGCATGGCAGTCTCAAAACATTTAGATAATGACAAATATTTGATATGCTAAAATGGTTTTCCTTTGATCAATGAATATCAACTAAAGACACCATTTATTATAATACAGTTTTATATAAAGTTATATACTGTAGTCATGAACGAGGCCAGGCTGCCATTCCACATTGGTTCTGAGCTTTAGATTTGCACATCCAGCTTGCTATGATGACAATTTTTTCCCCGTCTTATCGATAAATGACGACACATTGCAATTATTTGCCAGTACGTCTGATGCAAGCTTGAAGAGAAGTTACTCCTTTTTAGTAGAAAAGATACAATTTCAGTGGAAATTTCTTATTTTGATATTTGTGCATTGTTTTCAGGTTGACGAGTCTGGAGTTGAAGCTAAAGATATTGAGTTGGTCATGTCGCAAGCCAACGTCTCGAGATCAAAGGCAGTCAAAGCCCTCAAAAATAACAATAATGATATTGTTAATGCTATTATGGTGAGTTTCAGTGGCCAAGTGCATTGTCTAATATTTTACACACACAAGGACAAAGAAATGATGACAATGTGTCTGGACTACTGATAATTGTTGAAGATACACCTTGAGTTCCTGATCTTTGTCTGTGATGTGTAAATGTCAAGAAAGTCCTGTTCATCTAATAATTATAATTTCTAGAGCCCATGGGAATAATTGTGCACCTCCATTAATATATCTTGCATACTTTGTAGGGGTGTCAATATTCACCAAATGTTAAATGCATCACAAATTGACACTTGACCGTATGATACACGATAGTGTTGATTCATAATTTAATTCTCAAACATTTTAATACCCCGGCCTGATAGTTACTTGGGCTAGCATTACTTTACTGCCTTTCTTGAAATGTAATGTTCAGTCTTCTGGTATGATGGTAATAGAACGATCCTAAATTAAACAGTGAAACAAATTGGTTGATGGCAACCAGGCCACTGGAAATATGGAGAATTTCACACAAAGACCTGCTAATTTGGTATTGTGATTTGTATTGTGACTAAGTATCACGTAATGTATTGATATGTGAGGTATGCAAATGGCACCCCTAATACTGTATGACTTGTTCATCTCTCATTTCAACCTTATCGTGGAGCCATGCTTAGTCTTGGACTATTTTGGTGTCTTGGACTATTTTGGTGTCATTTGTGTTGTCATCAGGACTTTGTTATGAAAATAAGGATTCTGAAAGTGTTCTTCATTTTCTTTGTTTCACAATTTCCAAGTTCTTTCAAGTTTGAAACAGTGTTGAAGGACAGATTGTTGCCTATGATGTATACTTTTTTCCCCGGCTTATCGATAAATGCTGAGACCCCTGCATTTCATGCCAGTTTAGCTGAGGCAACAATCTTTTATGTCTTCACTGCTCTATTTCCCCAGTAAATCTAATCGATATATTGCCTTTCCTGTTGTAATTAATTGTATAGGTTCGGCATAGGGAGTTGTGTAACGCCTTCAAAATCACTTGACATGGACCATCCATCTTTGCAATAGGTCCTGGGTGTTCTTGGTTCCAGAAATAGTAGTTGTACAAGGAGAACATGTCCCAGGCTGAATTATTTAGGTCATGGTGTCGTTATTTAGATTTATCTTTGACTCTTGTCCTAGGGGAAGCTGTTATGAATCCTGTAGGCTCTTTAGTATGGCAGTCTTTATACTGACTGATATCAATAATTATACCTCTGTCAGCATGGTCAGAGTATTGTTTTTGTTGCCTGTGATGTATATTTTTTTCCCCGGCTTATCGATAAATGCTGAGACCCCTGCATTTCATGCCAGTTTAGCTGAGGCAACAGTTTCTGTAATTATTGACAACATTAAATGTGTGTATGCTATTCAGAGGCCCACGTATTGAGAAGTGCATTTAGCTTCATCCAACAACTAAACTTATTTTTTCACCATAATATACATGATAAATTTGGCCTCTTTTGTAGTTCATGTCTAATTTTCATTTCTAGTTTGTCATTTATCTCAACATGATTATGTACTTATTGATCCCTTATCTTGAAGTTGTTGCCATTTTCTGGTTTAGCCAATTAAGTTTGAATACATATCTTACAACACATACAAGGACAAAGACATGATGACAATGTGTCTGGACTACTGATTAATGTTGGAGATACACCTTGAGTTCCTGATCTTTGTCTGTGATGTGTAAATGTAAAGAAAGTCCTGTTCATCTAATAATTATAATTTCTAGAGCCCATGGGAATAATTGTGCACCTCCATTAATACATCTTGCATACTTTGTAGGGGTGTCAATATTTACCAAATGTTAAATGCATCACAAATTGACACTTTACCGTATGATCATGATGATACACGATAGTGTTGATTCATAATTTAATTCTAAAAATCTTTAATACCCCAGCCTGATAGTTACTTGGGCTAGCATTACTTTACTGCCTTTCTTGAAATGTAATGTTCAGTCTTCTGGTATGATGGTAATAGAGTGATCCTAGATTAAACAGTGAAACAAATTGGATGATGGCAATAACCAGGCCACTGGAAATATGGAGAATTTCACACAAAGACCTGCTAATTTGGTATTGTGATTTGTATTGTGACTAAGTATCACAACTAAGTATCACATAATGTAGTGATATGTGAGGTATGCAAATGGCACCCCTAATACTGTATGACTTGTTCATCTCTCATTTCAACCTTATCGTGGAGCCATGGTTAGCCTTGGACTATTTTGGTGTCTTGGACTATTTTGGTGTCATTTGTGTTGTCATCAGGACTTTGTTATGAAAATAAGGATTCTGAAAGTGTTCTTCATTTTCTTTGTTTCACAATTTCCAAGTTCTTTCAAGTTTGAAACAGTGTTGAAGGACAGATTGTTGCCCATGATGTATACTTTTTTCCCCGGCTTATCGATAAATGCTGAGACCCCTGCATTTCATGCCAGTTTAGCTGAGGCAACAATCTTTTATGTCTTCACTGCTCTATTTCCCCAGTAAATCTAATCGATATATTGCCTTTCCTGATGTAATTAATTGTATAGGTTCGGCATAGGGAGTTGTGTAACGCCTTCAAAATCACTTGACATGGATCATCCATCTTTACAATAGGTCCTGGGTGTTCTTGGTTCCAGAAATAGTAGTTGTACAAGGAGAACATGTCCCAGGCTGAATTATTTAATATGGGGTCATGGTGTCGTTATTATGGGGTATAGAAACGGGCTCCGTCCGTCCGGAGCCCGTGGGATATAGAAACGGGCTCCGTCCGTCCGTCACGTTTCATTTTCGGAGCTTAACTCAGAAACTGTTCAATATTTTTTCATGAATCTTGGCAGGTTTGTAAGGTATATGCTGAACTGGTGCCTTTTGCTATTTAGAAATTTTAGAAGTTTACATATTTTACGTTTCCATGGCAACAAGATGGACTTAGGTTCCAAACTCTTCTTTTTTTTTTACAATTTCCATGACAAGTTCCACCTCGGTTAAAAAAGGTTAGGTTTTGTTTAGATTTAATTATGTCATAAATTCTGCAACAGGGGCGGGGTCTATAGCCACGTTAGTGGCAAACTCTTATATAGATTTATCTTTAACTATTGTCCTGGGGGAAGCTGTTATGAATCCTGTAGGCTCTTTAGTATGGCAGTCCTAATACTGACTGATATCAATAATTATACCTCTGTCAGCATGGTCAGAGTATTGTTTTTGTTGCCTATGATGTATACTTTTTTCCCCGGCTTATCGATAAATGCTGAGACCCCTGCATTTCATGCCAGTTTAGCTGAGGCAACAGTTTCTGTAGTTATTGCCAAAATTAAATGTGTGTATGCTATTCAGAGGCCCCCGTATTGAGAAGTGCATTTAGCTTCATCCAACAACTAAACTTATTTTTTCACCATAATATACATGATAAATTTGGCCTCTTTTGTAGTTCATGTCTACTTTTCATTTCGAGTTTGTCATTTATCTCAACATGATTATGTACTTATTGATCCCTTATCTTGAAGTTGTTGCCATTTTCTGGTTTAGCCAATTAAGTTTGAATACATATCTTACAACACACACAAGGACAAAGACATGATGACAATGTGTCTGGACTACTGATTAATGTTGGAGATACACCTTGAGTTCCTGATCTTTGTCTGTGATGTGTAAATGTAAAGATTACATGTGGAATGAAAGTCAGAAATATTATTGTCAGATATTGATGTCAGTTGGGTAGACTAGGTCTCCTTACATGGAGAATTTAATGCAAAAACAGCTCAAATTAGGTGTGGTGACATTTATCATGTCACGAATCCAGTAACGATACATGAGGTAGGATTTTGAAGGCCCAAACCCCTTGTATGGTTGTATCTGCCTAACCATGAGTTCTTTTGTGCTGCCATCTTGATTCATTTGGAGCTCACAAGATTTGTCATGAAAAAAGGGATTCTGATTGCTTTCATTTTGTTGTTATCACGTTTAGACAATGTTGAAGGACAGATTGTTGCCTATGATGTATACTTTTTTCCCCGGCTTATCGATAAATGCTGAGACCCCTGCATTTCATGCCAGTTTAGCTGAGGCAACAATCTTATGTTATCTGAAGGTTCGTTGTGGACTTTGAAGACCTGTTTTGGTCTTGTCTCACAATATAACTGCTAGCATACATACTGCATAACATGTGTTGTCATCTCCTCAATGATGCTGCTGTTGTATGCTTGAAATAAGGTGGGAAGTAGTTTGGGGTGAACATTGCTCTTTATGTATTCTGTTATTCATTGTCTGTAGAGTGGATGAGGTGATGAGTTCATGGATTTTGACAGCCATTTTCTTGTGTTTCAGGAGCTGACAATGTAACCAGCGCTGAATCATGCTGCCGTTGTCCTGTAAATTTGTTTCCTCTTGTTTATTTACTGTCGCCTGTACATCTGTGTGTATAAAACCCATCATGGGAATAAAACATTTTGATAAAATGTTGTTTTAGTCTTGATTCTCAACACCCGATACCCTTACTTTCAAACCCATTTGGATCACCGATCTAGTTTCCTAGAGTAGACTTGTCAGGGTTGAATGGACATGTCACCACGGCAAGGCTTGTTGGCTATGTCATTAGCAAATCATTCGCCTGGTCCAGACCTGTATTTAGTTTTTTTACAGGCTGAGACCATTGTTACCAGGGTTAGAAACTAACAGTTTTCGTCCACTAGTCCTTATAATGATAACATAAAGAAAAACCCTTAAAAAGGGCAAAATTCTGCTAGTCCTTATGATACCTTTACCATTGGGCAGTTGGCAAGGACTAAAGGACTGGTCCCAATTTCTAACGCTGGTTACATTCGTCCTTGATAAAATATGGAATAGCTTCACAGCACCCTTTGTTTGTAAGAGCAGATTGATTGGAGTTTGACACTGCCTCTAGTACGAAACTGGTGAAAATCTAAAGGGACCATCCCCAAATCTAGTAACAACATAAAACCACTGGCCTGAAATAGCTGTGGACAAGTTTTATGTGACAATTGTCTACCACTGCTTATGAGGATCGGGTGGCTACAAAGTGGTTCAGATGGTGTTTAGGCTATGGCATGGATTGTTGCCGACTTCCCAGTTCCAAACTTGATTTTGTAATTTACAGACAGCATCAGTATCAAATTGAATTGCGAGGTTCATAACCTAGACATATTCAGATGTTTTATGTATTGGTTAGAGCACGAGGACCATTTCAACGATTAGACCGCATGGTCCAAGTTCCTTCGTCACCACTCGCCCCTTTCCGTAACCTGTACGAAGACTCGTCCCCCCTATCGCTGAATGTTATGTGCGAAAATATGACATCAATCAACGCGAGTATGATTTCAAGTTCTTCGTCAAAGAATCCCTAAGAAATATTTTTTTTATTTTACATGTCTTGCATCTAAAAAATCTCAAGGCACAGTTAAATGTGTTTAATCATACTGTTTAATTCTGGATGTGCTTTAAATTACATTTGAAATATATACTGAACTGCAAAAGAAACATCACCATGGATAGAAAAATGAGAAACCTGATTTGTCCTAACACTGTAAACATACTTTGAGACATATTAAAAAGATGAAACTTGAAGGTCATAGGCACTTGAGCCCACACTCTGAGAAACGCTGGACCCAGTTCAGCTGCAGTTGTCGGCCTTGGTCGGACGTCATTCAGCCATCTTTGAATCTCATCCCACGTGCTAAATGGGATTTAAATCTGGACTGTGGGCAGGCCACTGCATGGTTCTGATGCCATTCTGCTGGAGGAAGTCTTGTTCTAGCAGTGTGGGCACAGGCGTTATCATGATGAAATTCGTGGCTGTGGCGATGTGCCAATGGAGGTCTGGCGTGTGGTCACAGACTTGATCAATGTACTGAGCTGTGACACCATTTCCTCTCCAAGGACCGATGTTCTGGAAGAGGGGCGGTCGGGTGGTCATAGTGGTTTAAGCGTTTGCTCGTCACGCCGAAGACACGGGTTCGATTCCCTACATGGGTAAAATGTGTGAAGCCCATTTCTGGTGTCCCCCGCCGTGTAATTGCTGGAGTATTGCTAAAAGCAGCGTAAAACTGTACTCACTCACTCACTCTGGAAGACCACAGGGCCGACCCTCTGTGCAAGACCAATTTCCCCCCCTCCCTCTCCCCACACCATGATGCTCGGACCACCCCACGAGTCAACAACACAAACATGCGAATAACGTTCCCCACGGCGTTGCCAGACTCTCTCTCTCTTCCATCTGCTGTTGAGGTACAGTAACGGCTCTCGTCTGAGAAGAAGACTCTTCACCACTGCCGGTGGTGCCAATGCGGGTGCTGTGTTGCCCACTGAAGACGGTGCCTGGCCTGTGACACTGGAGGTGTCTGTTTGTCAATAATCGACGAACGGTATCCGCACTAATATGTCACTGGTGTGTCCCCCATGGTCTGTCGAGCAGTTTCCACAGCAGTAACAAAGCGATCCTTACGTCAGGTGGTGACCCTTGGTCTTCCACTACACGGTCGGTCATCTGTAGTGTTGGTGGTCTGGTACCGTTGCTGGAGCCTGTATATGGTCCTTATGTGGACTTGAAATGCATTGGCTTCTTGCCGGGCGGTATGTCCAGTTTGCAATCGTCCAAGGGCTTGGTGTGGCTGATTTCTTGTCAATCTTGGAATGTGGTAGCAATTCAATAACGAATCAATGTTATCTGATATGGGTGGAATTTTTATAGGGCAAGAAATGGGGGAACTCGCATGCATCAGGTTACTAAGGCCTTTGCCGTGATGCGCTTTGGCGATCGGTTTTATTGTCATCTGCTTTGTTTTTTTATCATCAAATTTCATAATTCCGGGCATGGTAATGTTAAATTTTAGAAACTTTGACAAAAATTACCCAGATATTTAAATGACAACTTTTCATGCAATGCTGAACTCCAGGCTGGGTAACAACAAGTACCATCTTTTAAAGTCTTTATGTATGAGATGCCTGGGATTGAACCACCGACCACTCCCCGGGAAGACGCTCTATCCACTAGACCATGACTGCTGTCCTGAAGAACATGCTGAACACTCAAACAATGATCACAAAGAACAGAATTCATTGTACACAAATATATTTTAATCACTAATGATAATGTACAAGTAAATGAATCATTTATTTATGCAACTGTTAATGCTGAAGGCAAATATGTACAAATTGACCAGATTGACAAATTTCAAATGTATTTATTTATGCATATCAAAAAAGCCAATCGAGACCTGTCCACGGCAAAGTTAGAGGGTATCTCTTTGAAATACAGCAAGCACTAGCGTCATCTCCTTAACTGCATGATCACTGGAGGTATAACAATATAGTCGGGTTGCGATATGGATCATGATACTACAGGTGCGATATGATTCGTATACCGACACAGTACTTGTTGGTACCGTATTCGACGTAATAAGCGCCCAGGGCGCTCTCAAAATTAGAAATAGGGGGCTCTTATTAGAATATTATTTTGGTGAAAAAAAACAGTTGAAAGATAAATTTCATGGTTATGCTGACAGCCTGAAATGTTTATGTACGACAGATATATTTTTCCAGAATTTTATTGCCATTAAGGGTGCATATAGCACACGAGTGCGTATTATACGATAATAAATTAGTCTTGTGTACATTGATCAATCGGAAGGGGTGCTAATTGGGATTGTTCACCAGCCAATATATCAGCAAATGTCACCATGGGCGCTTATTAGAGCGGGGCGCTTATAACGTCGAATACGGTAATCTATTCTTTTGCAGGTGAAGCACAACCCTGGATCATTTGTTCTTAAATTTCGGAGATTGAAGATAGGATATTGTAGAGCAGAAACAGGCGAGAGGGCACAGTGAAGGTTCTGTTGGAATCTGTGTAAGATGGATGATGAACAGTTTGTTTGCTGTATCTGCATATCGTTACTCCACTAAAGATCACGAATGGTCTGGACCTGGGCCCACTTGCACAAGGCAATCTTAGCACTAAGATGATCTTAACTCCCATACTTTAACATAGGTCTACAATTGTCTTAGCGCTTAGATCGTTTTGTGCAAGTGGGCCCAGAGCAGATGCATCTTAGAGTGAATGACTTATTTGGAATGAAATTGATATGCTTAAGCATGGCTGTCTATATGACACTAGCGCCATCTCCTTCACTGCATAATGGGGAATGGTCATGATCTGTGTAGATGCAACTTGATGTATTATAAATAGAATCTCTGTCTTTACGCTTGGCTGTCCACATGGTCAATTTCCAGGTGAGATGTCATCACATCCTCTTCCGGCTGGTCATGGAAGTTAGGATTGGTAAACCCGCCATCCTTGTCTTTTGACAAAACCTTCACCTTGAATGACAAGAACATGATCTAAATAACGCAGCTTCAGGAGACAAACCACAATTCTTGTGCCTAAGGGCTGTGTATTGGCAAAAGAATTGTGTTGCAAAAAATTGCAATACAGGTATCTGTCATGTTTGTATTGGTAAATATGTGGAGGTAAAGTGTAACTGACTGACACTGATTGTACATGTAGATCCTACATCATGTAATGACTTGTTTGTTTGTTGTTTAACGCTGCACTCAGCAATATTCTAACAATATGACAATGGCCTGTAAAAAATCGAGTCTGGACCAGGGAAACCACTGGTTGATATTATGAGCAATGATATATGCCAACCCATTAAGTCAACCCTTACAACATACGAGGAGCGTTCAATAAGTTTTGCAACTTCAATATAAGACTAAGTCGCAGAATATCTTTTGCACTTTTATTTTTCAATATAATGAATGTGATGTGCGAAAATACGACAAACCAATCAGAATGCGCGTATGATTTCAAGTTCTTTGTCAAAGAATCCCTCAGAAATAATTTTTGATTTTACATGTCTTGCATCTAAAAATATACCCATGACACAGTTAAATGTGTTCAATCATACTGTATCATCTTTTGGTCTGATGCAGCTGGGATCAAAGCACCAACGTTCCGCTCTCTGTAGATGCTCTCTCCACTACCCTACCGAGGTGGTAAGTCAACATGGCCTCCAGAGGTGAACTAAGACTGCAGCTTCATGTACCTCATTGTCTTCGTATTTGACTGGAGAAGTTGGAGCATTCTTGAGTGTCCGTCGCCTCATAAAGAACCCCATCCCTACGATGGCTGCCACCAGCACAATGAGGAAGGCAATGACGATACCGATCACCTGTCCAAGACTTAGGGAGAAATCTGAAACAAAGGAGGACAGAATGGAATGCACAGGTTGTCATGGCAGCACCATTTCCTCTCCCGAGGCCCCTGCTTTACAAGAGTGACTGCTGATGTCAGCACATCTCTAAGTAGAATGTGTATGTGTGTGTGTGTGTGTGTGTGTGTGTGTGTGTTTGTGTGTTTGTGTGTGTGTGTGTGTGTGTGTGTGTGTGTGTGTGTTGTTTAATACCACACTTAGCAGTATACCTGCTATTTGCTAGTGTAAATAATCAAATCTGGATCAAATAATCCAGTGATTGATATTATGAGCAACGATCCACTCCGTTGATGACACGCCATCAACAAAGTCACCAAGTCTCACCCTCCAATCCATTTGGTCTCCTCTTTCGCCCAATAGGTAAGTGAGGACCAGATCTAGCCTGGAATCCCCAAAGGTGAATTTGAGTGTGTTAGGACTGGTCATACAAAGGGCAATAGTTTTCTCTAACTTTAATGTTAATGAGCCTTCGCCAATAGTGTTGGCTGGTTATTAGCGTGGTTTTCGAAAATAAAACCTCTCGCAACCGAAAAGCCTCTCCATCTTGTGTCCCAATCGTCAGTGGTCTAAGAGTGTCTGTCAATCCATACTGGCGTTTGTTTGCCCGCAAATATACAAAATCTAGACACAGGCACATAGTATCCAGGTAGTTCACTATTCCAGAAGGAAGCAACACACCACCACCCAGTTTACTATCCCAGGTAAAACACACCACCACCCAGTTTACTATCCCAGGTAAAACACACCACCACCATGTTTACTATCCCAGGTAAAACACACCACCCAGTTTACTATCCCAGGTAAAACACACCACCACCCAGTTTACTGTCCTAGGTAAAACACACCACCCAGTTTACTATCCCAGGTAAAACACACCACCACCCAGTTTACTATATCAGGTAAAACACACCACCACCCAGTTTACTGTCCCAGGTAAAACACAACACCACCCAGTTTACTATCCCAGGTAAAACACACCACCACCCAGGTTACTATCCCAGGTAAAACACACAACCACCCAGTTTACTGTCCCAGGTAAAACACACCACCACCCAGTTTACTGTCCCAGGTAAAACACAACACCACCCAGTTTACTGTCCCAGGTAAAACACACCACCACCCAGTTTACTGTCCCAGGTAAAACACACCACCACCCAGTTTACTGTCCCAGGTAAAACACACCACCACCCAGTTTACTGTCCTAGGTAAAACACACCACCACCCAGTTTACTGTCCTAAGTAAAACACAACACCACCCAGTTTACTATATCAGGTAAAACACACCACCACCCAGTTTACTGTCCCAGGTAAAACACACCACCACCCAGTTTACTGTCCCAGGTAAAACACACCACCACCCAGTTTACTATATCAGGTAAAACACACCACCACCCAGTTTACTGTCCTAGGTAAAACACACCACCACCCAGTTTACTGTCCCAGGTAAAACACACAACCACCCAGTTTACTGTCCTAGGTAAAACACACAACCACCCAGTTTACTGACCCAGGTAAAACACACAACCACCCAGTTTACTGACCCAGGTAAAACACAAACCATACAGTGAATCTCCCAGAACTATTAACAAGCCTCTTTCTGAACATGAAGTTGTGTCCCACCCACCGAATTGGTTTTGGCTGCTCCTCAAGTTCTGACCTTGACCTGTCATGCAGTTGTCTCCCATCCAGCCCAGGACACAGTTGCAGCGACCCTTTAAACACAGAGTTCAATGCTTTTATATACGTGTAACTGAAATATAGACTTGGACCTATTTGTCATGAATGGTTAGACAAAGGGCGAGACATAAGGGGCTTCTTTTGCCAGGAACCAGCCGGCAGTCTCATGATTGTCACACCACAATCTCATTAAAATCAGATTTTATTTCTCGCTACCGCTAAACAAAGATCTGAAGACATCCCATTAGGGGTCACGTCAGAAAGACCTTTCATCCTACCAATCAGTGCGTCACTTACCAAATTATGAAAGTGACAGTCGGAATGTGATTTCTAATCATGCAATCTCGAAAACTTTAACATGGGGTATTCCGAACGATAGTTACAGGTTTAACGACTGAATCCATACAATCTAGACCATCTACTAGCCATTCCAGAATGTTTTTTGTTCAGGCTTCAAATTTGTAATCGAGAATTTGTTAAAATATGTTTCGAAGCGTAGTCGCCAATTTGAAATTAGTGCCGTAAAGCACGAGAAAGCTGCCTACTGATTGGTCATTCCATTGGTCGGTCAAAGTTCGCGCAAAGTAGATCTGACGTGACCCACAATGGGATGTCCTCAGATCTTTGTTTAGCGGCAGCGAGAACTAAGATCTGATTTTAATGAGATTGGTCATACCAATATTTCTTTTCCATAGTTTAAACATTTGACATTTCCAGGGACCCACGGGGCTGTTAGGACATCTCTACCTTTGCTGTTCTGTTCATGTTCAGTTCTTGTGAAATGACAAGGTGGTTATGTATCACTGAGAACTGACCGATCCTTGACTCTTCACTAAAATATGGTGTAGGCCTACAACTTTTATACTGCAATAAAAAGTTAATGCTGTAGACGGCTTGTCACTAAAGGGTGCATAAGTGAGTTGAGTTATATTCCAGCAATACCAGAGCAGGGGACACCTTTGGCATGATGATCAAACGCTTGAGCCACTAGGATGACCACAGAGGTGAGTCAGGGGAGGATTAGCTTTGAACACTGTTGCAGCAACATATCACGGCGGGGTCTTCATAATTTGTAGGCAATGTAGGACTGGGCTATATACCCTACAGAAGTGTTTGACTGATGTTTTTTGTTGGAATGCCCGAATGTTGTCCAGATTTATCATAGCTGCCTTTGGTAATGGATCCTTGGCAACTAAAAACAGTGTTGAATAGCACCTACAATCACCTAGATGACAGTATCACCTCCGGGATCCCGTTCCGCAATGGACTAACGGGATCGGGTGGTCAGGCTCGCTGACTTGGTTGATGCACGGTCATCAATCCCAATTGCGTGGGTTGATGCTCATGATATCAATCACTGGATTGTCTGGTCCAGACTCAATTAATTACAGACCGCCGTCATATAGCTGGAATATTGCTGAGTGCGGCGTTAAACAACAAACCAACCAACCAACCATTCTGCAATGCCATCGTAGCGCTATGGCTGTCTTAAGTTTATGTTAAAGTATGGGAGTTACGATCATCATTGCGCTAAGATTCCTTTGGGCCTGGTCCTTATTTTAGTCTAATGACATGAGTTTGGCATGGGACCCCCCACAGGGTTCTTCCATCATTAAACTACTACCCCCCACCCAGCTCTGGAAGCTGTGTCATTAAACATGAATTCAGAATTAGATGAGTGTGTTGGGTTTAATGCTGATAAGAACAATATTTCAGTTATAATGTCCATTTACCACCTTGGCAAATCAAGAAACCTAATCAGGGCAAATCTGGGCTTCGAACAATGATCATAGGTTTCTGGAATTTCTAAGGGAGACAACTTTGCACCATGACTTACAGCACAGGATAAATGCAGCTGTGCGTACATTCTACTTCTGCTTATCCTATTCGCTGTCTGTGAAATTGTTTTGTGTGTTAGTAAGAGTGAAACCACATGCGGATGACAGAGATGATATAGATTCTACACATTATCTTAAGTGTCATCAGGTCTGAGCAGTATGCTTTAACAAGGTTCCGCAATATCTGGTAACTGTAGAATGACGAAGATAAATCTCACATCCTTGCCACACGTTCCTCCATTCTGGCATGTCCACATCTGGCACCGGCAGACTCCAGTGTCTGCCAGACAGCTGGCGGCACACAGGGACGAACACTTCTGTCTGCAGCCATCTCCCCATGTCCCTCGCGCACACGCTGCAACATGGCGGGGAACATCTCACATAGTGCTGGCATGAATGGACAGTAGCTACTAGGGCTGGGACAGGTAAGTTGGGTACTTGGGTCGGGTGGGTCCTGAGTAGGTCACGTAATATATTGTTTACGTACAATAACAATAAAAGTCACTTTTTTTAGTTTGCATTTATTTATTTCTATGCACACATTGTTTCTGATTTTTATACATTTGAGAAAAGCTATAACTGTAGTTGACTTCGGTGTATGCATGATCTGATTGTTTTATACGTGCATGTAAATAGCATTTGCCAGCTCATAACAATAATAACAATTCCCAATCTGACGTGATGTACCTAACTCTTGATACCTACAGTGGGTACCCAGGGTAGGGTCGGGTAACAGGAAGTTGAGTACCCAGGTCATAAATTTTGACTCATCCCACCCCTGACAGCAACTTTTGATAAACTAATTGTCACTGAATCAACTCAGCACTTTACAATAACAAATTGACAAAATTATAACTTATAAAAAATATATTTTCTACATGTTGTTGGGGGATACTATTCTTTGCATACTTTCTGTAAATAATTTTTTTTAAAATGGGACTCATTGATGTTTTGGATGTTATTGAAATTCCAAATTTTAAACAAAAAAAGTATTTAGCTAGAGATTTAACCTTGGTGGCATCAAGATGCCACTGCTGGGGCAGTCATGGAAATATGTTGGACCAAAAGTTTCAGAGAAAATGTTGAAAACTAAAAAGCGTGTGACAGACATGGAGTGAATGACACAATGGAGACACAATGGAGACACAATGGAGACATAGTGGAGACACAATGCAGACACAATGTTCCTGACATTACCACCAAGTAGCATTACTATCTCTCACATTGTGAGCAGTTGGTGCCCATGTACCCAGCGGCACACTGGCACGTGCCAGTCGTGTCACATGACGCTCCGTTCATACAGTTACAGGTCATCGTACATCCGTCACCATAGCGACCACGGGGGCACTCTGAAAGACATCAAGGGTACACCTGTGACAGTCACCATTCCTTCGAGGAGGTAGTGGAATGTTTACAAACTATTGTGCAGCAGTCTTGAATGATACAGACACTGTGCCTAGGACCTACTCAGCCTTGTAGACCATCTTTCCACCTTGAGACTATTCGTGATGCAGTGGGAGAGATAATCCATAACTTTCACCTCATCAAACAGGAAGCCAAGGCCGGATCCATGATATTAAAAAAGTAGGGGTACACATTACCCAAAATAATGAGACAGGTCGACAGATATCTGAAGAACAGACTTGGAATCAGTACTCTTTAGAGGAGAGGGGTCATAATTTGAATATGAACATCGGTTGGTGGTGGATGGTGGATGGTGGTTGGTGGTTGGTGGTCGGTGGGTGGTGGGTGGTGGGTGGTGGGTGTTGGTTGGTGGTTGGTGGGTGGTGGTTGGTGGGTGGTTGGTGGTTGGTGGTTGGTGGGTGGCTGGTGGTGGGTGGTTGGTGGGTGGTGGGTGGTGGGTGTTGGTTGGTGGGTGTTGGTTGGTGGGTGGTGGTTGGTTGGTGGGTGGTGGTTGGTGGGTGGTGGTTGGTTGGTGGGTGATGGTTGGTGGGTGGTGGTTGTTGGTTGGTGGCTGCTGGTTGGTGGGCGGTGGGTTGTTGGTGGTGGTTGGTGGTGGTTGGTGGGTGGCGGTTGGTGGGTGGTGGGTTGTGGGTTGTGGGTGGTGGTTGGTGGGTGGTGGTTGGTGGGTTGTGGGTGGTGGTTGGTGGTTGGTGGTTGGTGGTTGGTGGGCGGTGGGTTGTGGGTGGTGGGTGGTGGGTGGTGGGTGATGGTTGGTGGGTGGTGGTTGGTGGTTGGTGGGTGGTGGTTGGTGGGTGGTGGGTGGTGGGTGGTGGGTGATGGTTGGTGGTTGGTGGGTGGTGGTTGGTGGGTGGTGGGTGGTGGTTGGTGGGTGGTGGTTGGTGGGTGGTGGGTGGTGGGTGTTGGGTGGTGGTTGGTGGGTGGTGGGTGGTGGGTTGTGGGCGGTGGGTGATGGGTGGTGGGTTGTGGGTGGTGGGTGGTGGGTGGTGGGTGGTGGTTGGTGGGTGGTGGTTGGTGGGTGGTGGTTGGTGGTTGGTGGGTGGTGGTTGGTGGGTGGTGGGCGGTGGGTTGTGGGCGGTGGGTGGTGGGTGGTGGTTGGTGGGTGGTGGTTGGTGGTTGGTGGGTGGTGGTTGGTGGGTGGTGGTTGGTGGGCGGTGGGCGGTGGGTTGTGGGTGGTGGTTGGTGGGTGGTGGTTGGTGGGTGGTGGTTGGTGGGTTGTGGGTTGTGGGTGGTGGGTTGTGGGTGGTGGTTGGTGGGTGGTGGTTGGTGGGCGGTGGGTTGTGGGTGGTGGTTGGTGGGTGGTGGTTGGTGGGTTGTGGGTGGTGGGTGGTTATTTTGTCAATGTTATTGGGTCTGTGTGGCATTTGGCTGATCCACCTCAAGAACCTCCCCCAACTGATGGACAACAGAGACTCTGACAGTGTTAACAGACTTACTTTGGTTGCAGTAATCTCCGGACCAGCCTTGTGGACAGTGGCAGGTGCCGGTGACAGGGTCACACGCGGCACTATTCTTACACTGACATGTCTGGGCACACTGCAGGCCAAAGTGGCTCCCATCACAGTCTGAAGAGAAGTGAAGGAGAATATTTCTTCAACTCACAAGAAAATAGCATCAGTTGCATTACAGCCCACTTCAGAATATTCACTGGAATGTTTGTGAACATATCACTGCCAACTTATGATTAAATAAAAGCTATGACAAAATGCATAATACTGACCACAGCATCAAGCGTATGGTTCCATGTCAAGGGAATGACTGGTACAGATAATGCTTGCAGGCAAGTCAACAATGGATGTTCTTTCCAGGAACTTGCAATATTCCCAGGAGCACATAGTGTTTAGAAAAAGAATAAAAAGTAAACAATGTCCACTTACTTTTTACTCCTTAAAAAACATAGAGAAGCTCTTAAAGTGTCATATTTGAACAAATTGAAATTTTGTGTACTGTGTTACCCTGTTGACAGTTAGCTCCAGTTTTTCCAGCCGGGCAGTCACATGATCCAGTCACATGATCACAGTGGTGACCATTACAGTTGCACTGGTTGGCACAGTTCTTCCCCCAGAAGACATCTTGCTTACACGCTGAAATAACAAAATATTCCATCTGATTTCAAATCAAATCAGGAACAAAAAGGAATATCACACATTATTATCTCACATCTGATGTTTTTACTTCTCCCAAAAGTTGAACTGTAAGTTGAAACTTGAATATATTGTCTTATGCACTGTGTTTCTCAAGTTGTGCTGCAGATATATATTCTTATAATCAAATCTGGAAATACATAGCCTTAACATGGTCTTGTAGCAAGTATATGTGTATCAGAAATCCTGTTTGACAGGAGCGACGTTTCGGTGTAGGTTTTCTAACACCGTTATGAAGCAAGAGCTCGAAGTGCGATCCTGCATGGAAACGTCGCTCCTAATTGTAAAAAAGAAGTTGTTCATCCATATATCTCATCCTTAATAAGTACTCCAACTTTGAAATACCTCTCAAAAAAATTAATTGAATTCAAACAGCAAGTTAACATACGTTGAACACAAGTTGCACCCATGTAGCCTGGCGCGCAGTCACAGACGCCGGTGGTGATGCTGCAGTTGCCTCTGTTGGAGCACTCACAGTCCTGGGTGCAGCCGTTGCCCCACTTCCCCACTGGGCATGCTGTGAACAGAGTGAGTGAGTGAGGGAGGGAGGGAGCGAGAGAGTCATGGCAGGTACATTTTTCATAAACGCCTAAAGTCAGGCAGGCTGATGTTTAAACCAGTCAAATGTATAAGCATGGGTAAGATGGTGACAGATCAAGGACATAACCAGGTTTATCTAGGATTCAAACCCATGATCAGCTGATCCTGGTACAATTAAGGGGAGTAATTCTCCACAGTGAACTGCAGTGTTTAACATGCCTGTAAGTGCCTGTGCTCAGGCCCCTGTTGCATAATATCTATATTCCGAGAAATCTTTGACTGAACCTGGCCCTCTTCTATTCATCAATACACTCGTAGGTCCTTTCAGTGGGATTTGCCTGGGGGTGGGGGAGAGGTGTGGCCTTCTATACTCACGCTGGCTACATGTGGTGCCTTGATATCCAGCAGTACACTCACAGGAACCGTCGAGAGGGCTACAGCGAGACTTGCCAGCAGCACAGGAGCAGGTGAGGGAGCAGTTGGCGCCGTAGTAGCCGGAGTCACAACTCTGACGACATTTCACTGAAGACCAAAAAAAGCAACGTTATATAAAATCTGAAACTTGTTAAGTTATCGGTAAGTATGTTTTGGACAATAACAACCTCTCATTGTCTTATATATCACCAAGACACCAAGACCCATCTCATAATACAGACAATTGAAGCACCTCTATGGTATCTACTTTGTTCATCACATAATCTAACTCCCTTGGGTTTTCAAAGACTAAACACAAAAATTTCAAAACATGAAAACATTTTCCATTCCCCCAGCACAATAAAATAGGTGAGGTAAGGTGAAAAGGGTTATAACGTCGTGTACAAGATTATTTCACTCAAATAGTAATGTGTGTGTGTGTGTGTGTGTGTGTGTGTGTGTGTGTGTGTGTGTGTCTCTGTGTGTGCATGTCTGTGTGTGTGTGTGTCTCTGTGTGTGTGTCTGTGTGCATGTGTGTGTGTGTGTGTGCATGTGTGTGTGTACGTGTCTGTGTGTCTGTGTGCATGTGTGTGTGTGTGTGTGTGTGTGTGTGTGCGTGTGTGTGTGTGTGTCTGTGTGCATGTATGTGTGTGTATGTGTGTGTGTGTGTGCGTGTGTGTGTGTGTGTGTGTCTGTGTGCATGTGTGTGTGTGTCTGTGTGCATGTGTGTGTGTGTGTGTGTGTGTGTGTGTGTGTGTGTGTGTGTGTGTGCGTGTGTGTGTGTGCGTGTGTGTGTGTGTGTGTGTGTGGCTGCTTGTTTGGACTTGTTGGTTTTATAGTTCTAGCTACTGAGAGTTCAAGCCAGAGATTAAGATGAATACCCCATTCAAACAGACTACACAAACTGGGATACCAAGCTGCCTTGTTTTATCACCTTAATGCAGAACACCAGGCAGGGTAACAACAAGTAACATCTTGTAACACTCTTCGTATGACAACGTCACCGGATCAGAAAACCGACCTTTCATTCTCCCACAGTGAAACAGTGATGAAAACAGATGATAGAATGACAATAATGACACAAAATAATATTAATATTTCCAAAGTGACCATGCACGTGGCAATAGTCAACTGATCCTAGGGTTGGCTATCGATACACATCATAGAGATCGGTTTTCGTTAACTTACTGTCAATCAATTATCGATAAATATCGGAGAAGTAACTTTGAGGAAATACACAAAACAAATTCTGAAAGAAATCGACATATTTGACTCCACTGGTGATTGGTGGCACATTTATGTAGGGATTACTTTGTGGACATTTGAGATGTACACGTAACAAAAACAGTTACTTTCCATCCTCGACAATTGACATTATTGACAATTACAAATCTGTTTCGGTAAATCTAAACTTTTATTTCATCACAATAATTTATATGAGATATTATCGATGACACACTTTCCATATCGATAATCGTTAATATTTCTTCCCACCGATTATCGATCTGTTTTTTGCCAGGCCTAACTGATCCTGTGAACATTGTTGCCTACCTCCCTGGAACCCGGGGTTGCAGATACAGAATCCCATGGTTTGGTCACAGCGAGTTGAGTGTGGTCCACAGTTACACGAATTGATACAGTTACCTCCCCATGTTCCATCAGGACACTGCCATGCAAAGACATATAAATGAATGTATAACTTAAAAAAACCTTATCTTTTGACTACATAAAATATCACATTAATCTTTTTGAGTGGAAGTTGATATTAAAACAGTATTCTTCAACACACACAAAAATTACCATGTTTTAATAAAAACAATTCCTTAATGACAATTACCTTAAATATGACCTTGTACATGAAAGTGTACATTCCTAAAGAAAACAAAAGGAAGCTCTGCACGGTTTTATTCTATACCACGCACCACATTCAATTAGAAGATAAACATTATGTGCTTTTAGATTTGTGAGCATCATTGAATAATCAATGGCCGGAAATTTCATCTCAAACCAATGATGCAAGCTGGAATGTTCAATTTTTTCAATTTCCAGGAATTTGTCAATAACACCTGCAAATCTAAAAACACATAATGGTTATCAACTTTGTACATACAAAAAGATTTCGGTAATTTTTTAATGCACTCTTTCTACAAGCTGCTCAACATCAGATTGCTGGTAGTTATAAGAGGAAATACGGTACATGAGGGAGTAACTTGCTGTGACTTACCGCCTGATCACACGCAGTGCCTGTGTAACCAGGGTTACACGTGCAGTTCCCAGTCACCGTGTCACAGGCACCGTTCACACAGCTGGAGTATAACACAAGCCAATGTCATAAACATCCACATAAAATGTCACAGTATTTGTCACAGTATTTGTCACAGTATTTGTCACAGTATTTGTCACAGTATTTGTACAGCAGTTACTTATATGTTGGCAATGTTATCATATTTGATAGCTATCATATTTGAAAGACGGCAAGTTGAGCACTGTTGCTGTTTAAACTTGAAACCTCTTATGGACAACTGTTCATTGTTTTTAGATATCAATTATTTTCTCCATAGATTTAACCTTTTTTTTAACAAATGGATCTATGGTAAAGTTTCATGTTAGAGACAAAAACTTACTTTTGCCAAAATGGCAGTTGATACAATGGCAGCTATTAAAGAAGTTGATTAAAGAAGTCTGTTAAAGAAGTTTCTAATGGCAATTACCTACACATATGTTCAGATCTTTGTGCCTGCAAGGAGATTCTTTAACATTGCTTTCTTAAATTTGGAAATTTTAGAGAATTCAAAACCTTACTACCTTTAATATCATAGCATCATTTTCTTTTCAATTTGAAATTTTAATCCTATTAGCCTCCAAAAGTTTAATCCCAGTTTTGAGAAGCTGAGAGTTAACGTAAATCATTAGGATCTCTGTCCTGGTTAGGAGAAGTGGGGTAGCCTAGTGGTCAAAGCATTCCCTCAAAATGCCAAAGGCCCCGGTTCAATTCCCCACATGGTTACAAGGTGTGAACCCCACTGTGATAATGCTTGAATAGTGCTAAAAACAGTGTAAGAACTCTCACTCACTCACTCACTCACTCACTCACTCACTCACTCACTGTCCTTGTCAACCGAAAATGTGGTCTTTTTTCAACTAATATAGACAATGTCTTCTCACATTCACATGTTGATGCTCAAACAATCGTTATCTTTGGACCTGATGTAATGCCGCAAGGAAGTACCAATAACTACCCAATATGACATGGCAATATCCTGTATACCTACTTGCATGTTTTACTACACTGGTCACCATACTTCCCCTGTGGACATGGCTGGTCACATGACAATCCAGCATAGCCTGTGGAACACTGGCAGATGCCAGTCACAGGATCACAGCCATACGACCGCGACCCACAGGATGGGCAGGGCAGCTGGCAGTTGGGTCCGAAGGTACCATTCTAGAAACATAGAACTGACATGAGGCCTTGGGTTTCCCTGTAGCTTTCTGGAAACATAGAACCAACATGAGGCCTTTTTTCCCCACTACTTTCTGGAAACATAGAACTAACATGAGGCCTTGGTTTCCCCGTAGCTTTCTGGAAACATAGAACCAACATGAGGCCTTTTTTCCCCACTACTTTCTGGAAACATAGAACTAAGATGAGGCCTTTTTTCCCCATGGCTTTCTGGAAGCATAGAACTTAGATGAGGCCTTTTTTCCCCATGGCTTTCTGGAAACATAGAACTAACATGAGGCCTTTTTTCCCCATGGCTTTCTGGAAACATAGAACTAAGATGAGGCCTTTGTTTCTCCGTAGCTTTCTGGAAACATAGAACTAAGATGAGGCCTTTGTTTCCCCACTGCTTTCTGGAAACATAGAACTAACATGAGGCCTTGGTTTCCCCATGGCTTTCTGGAAACATAGAACTAAGATGAGGCCTTTGTTTCCCCACTGCTTTCTGGAAACATAGAACTAACATGAGGCCTTGGTTTCCCCATGGCTTTCTGGAAACATAGAACTAAGATGAGGCCTTTGTTTCCCCACTGCTTTCTGGAAACATAGAACTAACATGAGGCCTTTTTTCCCCATGGCTTTCTGGAAACATAGAACTAAGATGAGGCCTTTGTTTCCCCACTGCTTTCTGGAAACATAGAACTAACATGAGGCCTTGGTTTCCCCATGGCTTTCTGGAAACATAGAACTAAGATGAGGCCTTTGTTTCCCCACTGCTTTCTGGAAACATAGAACTGACATGAGGCCTTGGTTTCCCCGTAGCTTTCTGGAAACATAGAACTAAGATGAGGCCTTTGTTTCCCCACTGCTTTCTGGAAACATAGAACTAAGATGAGGCCTTTGTTTCCCCACTGCTTTCTGGAAACATAGAACTAACATGAGGCCTTGGTTTCCCCATGGCTTTCTGGAAACATAGAACTAAGATGAGGCCTTTGTTTCCCCACTGCTTTCTGGAAACATAGAACTGACATGAGGCCTTTTTTCCCCATGGCTTTCTGGAAACATAGAACTAAGATGAGGCCTTTGTTTCCCCATGGCTTTCTGGAAACATAGAAATAACATGAGGCCTTGGTTTCCCCATGGCTTTCTGGAAACATAGAACTGACATGAGGCCTTTTTTCCCCATGGCTTTCTGGAAACATAGAACTAAGATGAGGCCTTTGTTTCCCCACTGCTTTCTGGAAACATAGAACTAACATGAGGCCTTGGTTTCCCCATGGCTTTCTGGAAACATAGAACTAAGATGAGGCCTTTGTTTCCCCACTGCTTTCTGGAAACATAGAACTAAGATGAGGCCTTTTTTCCCCATGGCTTTCTGGAAACATAGAACTAAGATGAGGCCTTTGTTTCCCCACTGCTTTCTGGAAACATAGAACTAACATGAGGCCTTGGTTTCCCCATGGCTTTCTGGAAACATAGAACTAAGATGAGGCCTTTGTTTCCCCACTGCTTTCTGGAAACATAGAACTGACATGAGGCCTTGGTTTCCCCGTAGCTTTCTGGAAACATAGAACTAAGATGAGGCCTTTGTTTCCCCACTGCTTTCTGGAAACATAGAACTAAGATGAGGCCTTTGTTTCCCCACTGCTTTCTGGAAACATAGAATTAACATGAGGCCTTGGTTTCCCCGTAGCTTTCTGGAAACATAGAACTAAGATGAGGCCTTTGTTTCCCCACTACTTTCTGGAAACATAGAACTGACATGAGGCCTTTTTTCCCCATGGCTTTCTGGAAACATAGAACTAAGATGAGGCCTTTGTTTCCCCACTGCTTTCTGGAAACATAGAACTAACATGAGGCCTTGGTTTCCCCATGGCTTTCTGGAAACATAGAACTAACATGAGGCCTTTTTTCCCCATGGCTTTCTGGAAACATAGAACTAAGATGAGGCCTTTTTTCCCCATGGCTTTCTGGAAACATAGAACTAACATGAGGCCTTTTTTCCCCATGGCTTTCTGGAAACATAGAACTAAGATGAGGCCTTTTTTCCCCATGGCTTTCTGGAAACATAGAACTGACATGAGGCCTTGGTTTCCCCACTGCTTTCTGGAAACATAGAACTGACAAAAGGCCATTTTTCCCCACTGCTTTCTGGAAACATAGAACTGACATGATGCCTTTTTTCTCTAAAAATAACAATACATTTTTTACATGACAACACAAGGTACCCGGATGTGGCTGTTGTTACTTACTTTTAACACTGCATTGTCAAAGGTCTAAGCACTGTGGGTTACCCTTCATGAAGATCACTCACCGCACAGGACATGGCACATGTTGGTCCTGTGAATCCATCTGAGCAGCTGCATGAGCCATCTGTTGGATCACACATAGAGTTGACACATTTACATGGACTCCCGCAGTTCGCTCCATATGTCCCTGTATAAAGACAGCAACACCTTTCATAAGACGATATACCTACCTGTATATATACCCGAGGTGCATTCTACAGTGACCTACCCCAGGTGCATTCTACAGTGACCTACCCTAGGTGCATTCTACAGTGACCTACCCCAGGTGCATTCTACAGTGACCTACCCTAGGTGCATTCTACAGTGACCTACCCCAGGTGCATTCTACAGTGACCTACCCTAGGTGCATTCTACAGTGACCTACCCCAGGTGCATTCTACAGTGACCTACCCTAGGTGCATTCTACAGTGACCTACCCCAGGTGCATTCTACAGTGACCTACCCCAGGTGCATTCTACAGTGACCTACCCCAGGTGCATTCTACAGTGACCTACCCTAGGTGCATTCTACAGTGACCTACCCCAGGTGCATTCTACAGTGACCTACCCTAGGTGCATTCTGGGTACTTGCTACCCACCCTGGGTATATATTACTATACTGGGTACACACCCTGGGTATATCTTACTATACTGGGTACACACCCTGAGTATATATTACTATACTGGGTACACACCTTGGGTATATATCACGATAATGGGTACAAACCCTGGGTATATATTACTATACTGGGTACACACCCTGGGTATACATTACTATACTGGGTACCCACCCTGGGTATATACTACTATACTGGGTACCCACCCTGGGTATATACTACTATACTGGGTACACACCCTGGGTATATACTACTATACTGGGTACAAACCTTGGGTATATATTACTATACTGGGTACACACCCTGGGTATATATTACTATACTGGATACACACCCTAAGTATATACTACTATACTGGGTACCCACCCTGGGTACACTGGGTCTGGCACATGGTGCCTGTCCACCCGGCATCACACACACATGCTCCAGTCTGAGAGTCACATCCTCCATGGACACAGTTACAAGGACTACTGCACTGTGGCTTCCAGAAGCCCTTCGGACAAGTGCAGGTGCCACTCTGAAGCAAGGAGAACATCCTGACTGAAGTGATTCAAGTGATCATAGTTTTACAAGTACAGTAGTGGTGCTGCATGTTTAGCTTCTGAACTGACTTGTTTTGGGTATCAAGAGTCAAACATAAGTGTATGTGAAGCAAGATGAAATAAGATAATTTCAAGGGATTCTCAAGTTAAGGCAAAGACATAGTAGAGATCAAATCTATGTGTACTTCCTAATAGTAAGGTTAAAGCTGAAAGGAAAATCTCAGTACATTATATGCCCCCTTACCTGAGATCCATGAAGATCCAGGGTAGAATAGGTCATCAGCAACCCATGCTTGCCACAAAAGGGGACATTGTTTGTTGTAAGAGGCGATTAACGGGATAGGTTGGTCAGGCTTTCTGACTTGGTTGATGCATGTCACCGTATCTCAATTGCGTGGATCAATGCTCATGACATCAATCACTGGATTGTCTGGTCTAGACTCGATTATTTATAGACCGCGGTTTTATAGCTGGAATATTGCTGAGTACGGCATTAAACAACAAACAAACAAACAAACAAACAAACAAACAAACAAACAAACCTTACCTGGCAGATACAGGTGCCATCTGCCTTGCTGCACACACCTGCTGAACATGTTGGGCAGGTCAGTTTACATCCAGCTCCGTATTTCCCTGCTGGACAAGCCTGGTTACATGTGGCGCCGATGAGCCCTGGGATACACTGACACTGGCCACTGACCTGAGAACAGGGCACACAGGCTCTCAATGATTCATACAATAACAGGCAGACAAGCGACCGAACAATACATCAACTGAGAATAAAGGGGATAAAATTTACCAATACACAACAATAGTCAGATGTTATGAAGATAATAATAATGAATGGATATTTGTAATGTGCTGTTGTCCATCCATTGAAGACCCATTATTTACCCCGGTCAATGGATCAGTGTGGACTCGATGTTCCTCCTCAACTCCCTGGGGAGTATACAGCCCAAGTGCCCATGAGGAGCAAGAAGATTCTAAATCACATTACCATCTCATCCTACCGGGTACCCATTCACTGTTGAGTGAACAGAGGCATATTGCAAAGAAAGACATTTTTCAAGGTGACACAACATGTGTTCAGTGTGGGACAGGACCGAAGCCCTAGAATCTCTCAGGAGTCAAGCTCACTCATTCCAAGTACTCTCCACGACTAAGATTATTGCACTTATATAGCGACATGTATGCATGTACTAGTCCAGCCAAATGCTGGTTTAACAGTGCTAGCTCACTAACATAGCCTGCCACAGTTTAACATGGATACCCTCCTCAGACGTGTGTGCTGAGTCAACCAGTCCTTGTTTTGTCTCCTTCATGCCGAGCTCCAGGCCGGGTAACAAATAAATGTTTTTTTGGTGTAGCTCTGCTACCAAATGTAGCGGCCATAAAATTTTCGAGTCCCATGATGGGATTCGAACCACGGACCTTCTGATCCGAAGTCGGACGCCCTGTCCACATGACCAAAGAGGTTAACCCTGTCAGCAAGCTGACAAGGTAAGGATGTCATCTGTGGGAAGACAGGCATCCAACAATGACCTTCTGGTCTTCTGATAGATGCACTGTCGACTAGACCATGGAGGTGGTCAGAAAACAAAGAACATGACTATGCAGCATAGCTATATGTCATATCTTTTGCCTTTTCATAACCCATGAGAGGTTACATGTATTTTGTATTGTATTCTTCTGTTGTTTGGCTTGTAATAAATAGTTGGACCCAAGGTTGAGTTGTGATACAAGTCAAATACATGTGAGACAGAGCTTAAAGCCATAAACCAAAACGATTCACGAATTCCTAGAAAAATTCCTTTTTACTTAATAATTCCGGGCCCAAGAACATGAAATGGTTGGCCCCAAAGGTCAAGGTCTCTGAGGCTAAGGTCAAGGCCTAATCGCAATTCCAGGCAATTCAAATGCTGACATACCAGATGAAGGACCCAATCAGTGTATGACTTTCAAATTAATCTCAACTGCTCATATTGGGAAAAGTGTTGAGGTTGCAATGTATTACGAACTGGGTCACACGGAGATCCTCCCGAACAGGCGCACGTCTGCTTGCAGCCAGGACCGTAGTACCCACTGGAACATGGCAAGCTGCAGTTACGTCCCCTGAAACCTGGCTTGCAGTGACATCTACCCAAATCAAAGTCACAGGAAGCGGTGTTGGCTTGAACACATGAACAGGTCTGAAGGCAGTCCTGCCCATATCTGAAAAACAAAAACGTATACTATGCTGGTGGCTCAGAAGAGGAACTTGTGTGATCATAAACTCATAGCTGTTGCATTTCACATAAACCTTGACATGATACCAAGTTGTGCAATGAGTACTGAACGACATGACTAGCTTCAACAAGTAGAAGCTAAAGTCAAGCTTTATTAAATATTGTTTTGAATGAATTATGCATTGTGCTATCAGATGAGAGTTGCTCTGCCCAGATGGACTTTGTGGTCGGTGTGCTCATGCTATTATTGTAATCACAGCCACTGGGGTAGTTTCTGCCAAACAAAGGGGGTGGTCCGTTGGCCTAGTGGTTAAAGCGTTCACCCGTCACGACAAAGACCTGGGTTCGATTCTCGACATGGGTACAATGTGTGAAGCCCATTTCTGGTGTCCCCCACTGTGATATTGCTGGAATATTGCTAAAAGCGGCATAAAACCATACAAGCTCACTCACTCACTCTGCCAAACAAGGGGTGGTGGAATAGCTTGTCCAGGTGGACTGGTCAGTGTGCTCAACTGATACTTTTGTTATTAATGCAAAACAGCTACTGGAGTGGTTTCTGGCAAACAAGGGGTGGTTACACATTGTGGGTACAAGGGGTGGTTACACAAAGTGGGTACAAGGGTTGGTTACACATTGTGGGTACAAGGGGTGGTTACACATAGTGGGTACAAGGGGTGGTTACACAAAGTGGGTACAAGGGTTGGTTACACATTGTGGGTACAAGGGTTGGTTACACATAGTGGGTACAAGGGGTGGTTACACATTGTGGGTACAAGGGGTACACAAAGTGGGTACAAGGGTTGGTTACACATAGTGGGTACAAGGGGTGGTTACACATAGTGGGTACAAGGGGTGGTTACACATAGTGGGTACAAGGGGTGGTTACACATAGTGGGTACAAGGGGTGGTTACACATAGTGGGTACAAGGGGTGGTTACACATTGTGGGTACAAGGGGTGGTTACACATAGTGGGTACAAGGGGTGGTTACACATAGTGGGTACAAGGGGGGGTTACACATAGTGGGTACAAGGGGTGGTTACACATAGTGGGTACAAGGGGTGGTTACACATAGTGGGTACAAGGGGTGGTTACACATAGTGGGTACAAGGGGTGGTTATACATAGTGGGTACAAGGGGTGGTTACACATAGTGGGTACAAGGGTTACACATAGTGGGTACAAGGGGGGGTTACACATAGTGGGTACAAGGGATGGTTACACATAGTGGGTACAAGGGATGGTTATACATAGTGGGTACAAGGGTTACACATAGTGGGTACAAGGGGGGGTTACACATAGTGGGTACAAGGGATGGTTACACATAGTGGGTACAAGGGGGGGTTACACATAGTGGGTACAAGGGTTACACATAGTGGGTACAAGGGGGGGTTACACATAGTGGGTACAAGGGGGGGTTACACATAGTGGGTACAAGGGGGGGTTACACATAGTGGGTACAAGAGGTGGTTACACATAGTGGGTACAAGGGGGGGTTACACATAGTGGGTACAAGGGGGGGTTACACATAGTGGGTACAAGGGTTACACATAGTGGGTACAAGGGGGGGTTACACATAGTGGGTACAAGGGGTGGTTACACATAGTGGGTACAAGGGGGGGTTACACATAGTGGGTACAAGGAGTGGTTACACATAGTGGGTACAAGGGGTGGTTACACAAAGTGGGTACAAGGGGTGGTTACACATAGTGGGTACAAGGGGGGGTTACACATAGTGGGTACAAGGGGGGGTTACACATAGTGGGTACAAGGGGTGGTTACACATAGTGGGTACAAGGGGTGGTTACACATAGTGGGTACAAGGGGGGGTTACACATAGTGGGTACAAGGGGGGGTTACACATAGTGGGTACAAGGGTTACACATAGTGGGTACAAGGGGGGGTTACACATAGTGGGTACAAGGGGTGGTTACACATAGTGGGTACAAGGGGGGGTTACACATAGTGGGTACAAGGAGTGGTTACACATAGTGGGTACAAGGGGTGGTTACACATAGTGGGTACAAGGGTTACACATAGTGGGTACAAGGGGTGGTTACACATAGTGGGTACAAGGGGTGGTTACACATAGTGGGTACAAGGGATGGTTACACATAGTGGGTACAAGGGATGGTTACACATAGTGGGTACAAGGGGTGGTTACACATAGTGGGTACAAGGGGTGGTTACACATAGTGGGTACAAGGGATGGTTACACATAGTGGGTACAAGGGATGGTTACACATAGTGGGTACAAGGGGGGGTTACACATAGTGGGTACAAGGGGGGGTTACACATAGTGGGTACAAGGGGTGGTTACACATAGTGGGTACAAGGGGGGGGTTACACATAGTGGGTACAAGGGGTGGTTACACATAGTGGGTACAAGGAGTGGTTACACATAGTGGGTACAAGGGGTGGTTACACATAGTGGGTACAAGGGGGGGTTACACATAGTGGGTACAAGGGGTGGTTACACATAGTGGGTACAAGGGGTGGTTACACATAGTGGGTGCAAGGGATGGTTACACATAGTGGGTACAAGGGGGGGTTACACATAGTGGGTACAAGGGGGGGTTACACATAGTGGGTACAAGGGATGGTTACACATAGTGGGTACAAGGGGGGGTTACACATAGTGGGTACAAGGGGTGGTTACACATAGTGGGTACAAGGGGTGGTTACACATAGTGGGTACAAGGGGTGGTTACACATAGTGGGTACAAGGGATGGTTACACATAGTGGGTACAAGGGGGGGTTACACATAGTGGGTACAAGGGGGGGTTACACATAGTGGGTACAAGGGGGGGTTACACATAGTGGGTACAAGGGGGGGTTACACATAGTGGGTACAAGGGATGGTTACACATAGTGGGTACAAGGGGTGATTGGGCGGCCTGATGGGGAAAGCATTTTCTCAAATAGGCACAATGTTCTTGGTGTTCCATGACATTAATGGAACTGTGTTAAAGCTGATAACACCCCACTCTGGCCTCACTGTACCCATGAAGTGTAAAGGGTCCAGGTTTGACGACTTACTTCCACTGAGTACACTTGGTGCCACAGTCAGAACCTACATAGCCTGGAGGACACTGACAGAGCCCCGTGGAGCCATCACAGCCAGCGTTCTGCTGACAGGAGCAGGTCTTGGCACAACTCTGGCCATACTTGCCGTGGGGACAATTCTGAAACACAAACACACATGGTGGTTAACTCCAGACACATTACAGCATGGCTCCTAGGCCAGGGCGGATCCATTAGTTTTAAAAGGGGGGGGCCAAATATTTAACCTCTCTCATCTCAGTCAATTTTACTGCCTTCAACATACTACATTTGGTTTTCAAAAGGGGGAAGTCCGGGTCCCCTGGACCAACCTATCCCCCTCCCCCCCTCTGGATTTGAACTAGTCCGTATATTCGTACTGCACATGCATTCTGATCATTGGAGCCAGTACATTCATAACGCAAATGCTTAGGATTAATGCAGGAGTTTAAAATGTTCATTGCAGAAAGAAGGTCAGTCAACTGTCAATTCATAACAGATAATCTACAGCTGAAACAGTAGCGTGACATCACAGCTGTACTTTAAGCGGGAATAAGCTCAAAGTGATGTTCACAACTTGGGTGAAGAAGGTGTCATTCTGCTAAGGAAAGCATGGTTACCGGTACGTCTCGGACGTCATGCCTACCTTCTGGCACTTGTCACCAATGAGACCCGGTCCACACTGGCACACTCCGGTCTGGTAGTTGCAATCCTGGTAGTTACAATCACAGAAGAACAGACAGCTCGGACCGTACGTTCCCGGATCACACGTCTCTGCACAGAAAGCTGCACGCAGACAATGAAACATGAGATCATGTATCACTTTGGTGAAATGGTTTAACTTTGATTTGTTTGTTTGTTTGTTGTTTAACACCACACTCAGCAATATTCCAGCTATATGACGGCGGTCTGTAAATAATCAAGTCTGGACCACACAATCCAGTGATTGACTTCATGAGCATCAATCCACGCAATTGAGATACAATGACATGCATCAACCAAGTCAGCGTGCCTGACCACCCGATCCTGTTAGTCGCCTCTTACAAAATGCATAGTCGCTTATTACGGCAAGCATGGGTTTCTGAAGACCTATTCTACCCCGCATCTTCATGGTCACTTTAACTTTGAACAGCTCTTCAGTTACATCATGTCAGCTTAATGTAGGAGTTGTCCACTTCTTAGATGTTTACCATTTTTGTAAAATAAACAAGCAGAATATGGTACTGGCGGAGCAAAAGTTGTGGTTGTTTTTTATCTGGGATTCAAACTCTCAATTGACCAGCCAATCCTGGCAACTAAGCGAGGCAACTCTGCACCTTAGACCACTGGGCTACCCATGATCCCAAGAACATGTTCAAGCAATTACAAGTAACAATTTGACCAGTCTGATGATAATCAGGTCCTACTCTCTCCAGAATTCCAGAATCAACAGTCTGTGGAAGCATCATAGGATTAATCACTATTGTTCAATTTCAAACAATTACATCTTCCCAAGGCAAGGGCGTTAACTGACTAAACAGAGTCCACTTTCCACCCTTCCCTAACTACATGTATGTCTGAAATTCATAGCTCGATCATAATGTCACCAGTGCCTATTACGAGTTATGTCCCTTCTATGTCCCACCTAGTGACCAATCGGATTCCAACTCTCATAACACTTATGCTTCAAACAAAACGGCAGCGCCTAGTCAAGATGATCTCATTGATAATCAAGATCTATATTGTAAAAAAATGGGTCTTACTTCACGGAGCGCATCAAATCATTTGAGCTCCTTGATTAAAAACATGAAAAGATTTGGAAAATATCATTCAACACCCAGTTGACGGTACAGATGTTTTGTAAATCCTGCAGTCGACCCAAATCTGCACCTTGAAATCCATTATGTGATTATGAATTGGATGTCTAGTGTGTTACACAATTTTGATTAGACAATGCAGAGACTTGTTAGTTCAGCCAGCATGTAACTGCAGAATTCCCCCCTAATTCGGCAAGGGTCGAAACTGGACTTTTATAGTCAGTTAACTCCCTTGCCTCGGGAAAATGAATAATTATGGCAAGATGAAAATGTTAATTTCTCATTCAATTTGTTTGTTTGTTTGTTTGTTGGTTAACACCACTCTCAGCAGTATTCCACCTACATGACTGCGTTCTATAAAAAATCAAGTCTGGACCAGACAATCCAGTGATTGACATCATGAGCATCGATCTATTGGGATATGATGACATGACTCAACAAAGTAAGCAAGCCTGATCCGATCCTGCTAGTCGCCTCTTTCGACAAGCATTGGTTGCTGAAGACCTATTTTAACCTGGATCTTCACAGATATGTCATTCAGTAAACATAACAAAAAGTGACAGCCACTATCATTCCCCTGACAACTATATATGGAATGGGTACCTACGTAGCATATATCCCGGGTCACAGTTGCAGGTACCATCTTCCGGAGAACACGAGCCATGGTAACAGTGACACTTTTGAGTGCAGTTGATGCCATATTGCCCCGGGGTGCATGGAATGTTACATCGGGGACCCGACCATCCTGCCTTGCAGCTGGATATTAGAGAGCTTAATACAAATATATGAAATGTTTTGGGCCTAAAAATATTTTGATTGGTCAATAACTGCTGGAGGAAAATTTAAAAAAAATGACATGTGTTATCAGGATTGAATTGAGCTTAATTTTCTTTCAAAACTTTAAATATAATTTTTATGCAAAGATAAAAACACATATTTTCAATCAAACATAGCATAAATTTAAGGTAGGCTTATCTATATTGATCTGGTCTAAAAAAAATAATCTTCTCGTTTTGCAGCCTTGAAGAAAGGAGATTCAGATGACAAATTCAAATTCAATTTTACATGACCCTGTTTGTTTAAGAAGGTCAGAAGCTCTTGGCATGCTGTTGCCATATTTCTATGTGATCAGAAAGAAATTGGAACAGAGTTTTACATACATGCAGTTTCCTGTACGAGAGTCACATGTTGCTGTCTCAAGACAATTGCACTTTCCTGGAAACATAAATAAATAAGACATTATACAACTAATCACACTTGCGACTGGAGATGCAGACATACTGAAACAATAGGAAAACACAATACTTGTTTGACATAGTTACCAATGTCAGGGTAATGTATTACTTGTTTGACATAATTACCAATGTCAGGGTCACGTATTACTTGTTTGACATAGTTACCAATGTCAGGGTCACGTATTACTTGTTTGACATAGTTACTTATGTCAGGGTAATGTATTACTTGTTTGACATAGTTACCAATGTCAGGGTAATGTATTACTTGTTTGACATAGTTGCCAATGTCAGGGTCACGTATTACTTGTTTGACATAGTTACCAATGTCAGGGTCACGTATTACTTGTTTGACATAGTTACCAATGTCAGGGTCACGTATTACTTGTTTGACATAGTTACTAAAGTCAGGGTAATGTATTATTTTGTTCACTGTTCATTGACTATGTAAAACAAGTAATACATTACCCTGACATTAGTCACTATGTTAACAAATACTATTTTAAACTGACATTAGTAACTATGTAAAACAAGTAATATATTACTCTGACATTAGTTATTATGTAAAACAAGTAATACATTACCCTGACATTGGTAACTATGTAAAACAAGCAATATATTACCCTGACATTAGTAAATCAAGTAATATATTACCTTGACGTTAGTGACTACATAAAACAAGTAATATATTTAGCTGACATTAGTAACTATGTAAAACAAGTAATATATTACCCTGACATTAATAAAACAAGTAATTTATTAACCTGACATTAGTAAAACAAGTAATATATTAACCTGACATTAGTAAATCAAGTAATACATTACCCTCACATTGGTAATTATGTAAAACAGGTATTATATTAAGCTGACATTAGTAACTTTGTAAAACAAATCATATATTAACCTGAAATTAGTAAATCAAGTAAAATATTAACCCGACATTACTAACTATGTAAAATCAGAAGATGACAAATCCCCAGGCCCAAACAAATCATCAGACTGTTACTTCAAGTCCAACTTGATGAGAGAATTTCTATCTAAACTGTCTGTCTATGTACAAAAGAAGTTATTGAGCTATCAAAACAATACCATGCAATTGGGATTTGAAACTTTGTATTTCAGGTACACACCAAACTGGTTGCCATGGAAACGGAAAAAATATAAATTCTTAACACTCCTAAGAAGCAAAAGGCACCATTTGACAACCTGGTCTTAGAGTGTGATATGGTCTGGACAAACACATCACTATGAACAGAGTCAAAGTCAAACTTGTTGCCATGGAAACAGAACTTATTTCAAAAAAGAAATTTCTGAAATGGCAAAAGGCATCATTTCAGCCCCTGATTAATACATGCACCAAGTTTGGATTTATAATGTTGAATAGTTTTTCAGTTCTGCCCCGGAAATGACACCTACCTCTGTTTCAGCTGAGTCCATTGAAACAGGGGAATACAAAATAGCAAGAGGTACCACTTCAGCCATTGGTTAATATATGTACCAAGCTTGATAGAAAAGTCTTTCACGGTTTTCAAGTTGTGCTCGGGAATCAAAATCACCTATCCACTTATCAGACTAAGTACAAATTGTCTCCATGGAAAGTGAGAAAAATATAAATGCCAAAAATAAAAAAATAGCAAAAGGCACCACTTCAGGATCTGTTTGATGTATCTGCCAAGTGTTGTTGAAAAATATTGAACAGTTTTCGAGTTGTGTGCTCTGGACATGAAATGATTATGGACGGACAGAAAGACAAGGCGTCATAATATGCCAGGGGGAGATCAATGTAAAACAACTAATGTTTAATGTTTTACATTGGTAACTATGTAAACTAAGTAATATACCGGTACATTTCTAGTTTACCTTGGCAGTTGTCCCCAAAGGTTCCGTTGGGACATCTCTGGTTGCACTGAGGCCCAGTGAATCCAGGCTTACAGTTACACTGTCCATCGTTGCTGTTGCAGTTGATGATGTTGGTAATGTTGCAGTTACAGGGATTGCGGCAGTTGATTCCCCACGTTTTGTTGGTGCAAACCTGCAAATATCAAACAATAGTTATCATTGTGAATAATTCTAGGAATTATCTGAGTGGCTCTTGCACGAGATGAATAGACGTCTTTGACGTCAGCAATGTGGATCAGTGGCTGTCAGATAGAACTTGAGAGCTCGTATAGGACAAAGGAGGCGCCAAGGTGGGAATAGTTTAATGTCTGTGACCCAATGGACAAGTAGCTGTGAACTGATTCTTGGCTATAAAGTCCGGTAAGGACCGCAAATGATGGAGGTCCAGTTGGGAGCGTGAGTGAGACTGAAATAGTCGAGAGTGTGGAGTTCAGAAACTCTAGCTGCAGAAGCCATGGCTAGTAAAAATACTACTTTACAGGAATTTTGGAGAAGGTTTAGTGTTTCCAAGAGGTTTGTATGGAGCAGTTAGTAGAGCAGACAGGACGACTGATAAATTCCATTTTGGGAAGAACCGGGAAATGTGAATATCCTCGCTTGAGTCTGTTAAGCACTGGATGTGTTCCAATCATCAATCCATCGAGGTGGAGAACAGAATGGAGGGCGGATCTATATCCTTCAATAGTTCCATGTTAGAAGTTATTATCCTGTCGTAGGTGTAGAAGGAAGTATGCAACTAGGGAATGTCCACTGTGACATTTGTTAGACCACATCTGTGTCTCCACTGGACGAATTTGTCCCATCTGTTGTGATAAAGTTGGGGTGGATGACGATCTCCATGATCTTGCGACAGCAGTAGAGGCAACTTGAGGGAACCCGGAGGCCTGCATTCTCTGCAAGATACTTTCCAGGCGGTGAGATGGAGGTTGGGACGATTGGAGTAAAATAGGCTCGACCTGGGCTGAGGCAGGAGTGGAAGAGTGAGGGGCTCATCCATCAGGAGTGATAGTAGTCTGGGAGTTGGAGTTGGAGTTGGAGCGATGAGGATGACTGTACAATCTGTCACTTCCAACTTCATTATGACCTTCATGACGGATGATTTGATGAGGCGATCTTTCCAAGTCTGGAGTTTATGTGTAGAGCTGTTTCCGTCTCGGTCCATAAACCCTGAACTTGGAGGTTATCCATGTGAGCTGAATCCGACGCATCTGTGAACAGGTGGTGTTCGGGAGCTGGTAGGGTGAGAGGAATCCCTGTCATTGCATGATCTTGGTGAGTCCACCAGATTAGATCTTGACATAGGTGGAGAGGTATCCTGTGTATACAGGGTCTGAGATCGTAGGCAAAATTGTAATCAGCCTCTTTGAGTTATATTTTGTAGAGAGGACATCGTTCCCATGGGAGACATCCACCTTTTGATCGATCTGGTAGGTTGGTCTCGGGGCTGCGTTGATCATGGCGATGGACTTGTTGAACTGATCATCCAGGGGACAAAGATATCCTGTGCATAGGGGAAATCTGGCCCCAATGTAGACTATGTCTTGTACTGGACAAATCTCCGTCTTGGTCGGATGGATAAGGAACCTGAGATAAGACATGAATTGGGTGAGGAATGTCACATCCTGACGCAGCTGGGTGTGTTCCTGATTGGCGGCTGGAAATCATCTAGGTAGGTAAATGGGCGAAGTTGATGACTGGAGCCGTTATTCTGGTAAATAACCAAGGGGCTATTGATATGCCGAATGGTAGAACCTGGAATTTGTAACGTCAGTCGTTTACTCCGAAACGGAGGTACTTTCATGACATGCAGTGGATTGGCACAAGAAGATATGCCTCCTGAAGGTCGAGGCTGATGACCCAATCTCCTGTTCCGAGTGATGAGTGTAGTTTCCCGACTGATTCCATCTAATATCTTGGAGGCGGGACCAAGTACTTCTTGTTGAGAGTTTTGAGATCTATGATCATTCTTATCTCTGTGGAGTTCTTTTTTGGTACTAAAGACACCAGGGAGTAGTACTTCTTGTTGAGAGTTTTGAAATCTATGATCATTCTCATCTCTGTGGAGTTCTTTTTTGGTACTAAAGACACCAGGGAGTAGAACCCCTGAGTTTTGTTGGTATCCCGCAACCTCTGAATGGCCTATTTGGTGATAAGACCCTTGATGGCAAGGTCGGATGCGTCCAGTTTGGCACCCTTCAGGTGAAACCTGTTCCCACCGGGCGGGAAGGCGAGGGCGCTTGGGAAAATGTAGCTTGTACCCATGATGGATAACGTCTAAAATCCAGTGGTTGTTTGCAATGTGCGTCCAATTTTCAGCATATGACAAACGACACCCTCCCACTGGACCCTGAGATGGTGTTATGTTGAATGGCGAAAGTCGTGTATCGTGATCCGTAGACAAAGCCATGGATCGATAGGATCTGAGATGCTTGGAGGGGGGAGAAACAAGTCATCTTCTATCCCCGCGACCTCCGGACTTGAAACCTCAATGGCCAGATCCGCGGCCTTTGGAGTCTGAGTTCTGAAAAGAGTCTGGCAATGGCTTGGATGCCTGGTAGGATTCTTTTCCTGATGGGATGTACTTCTTTTGTGGTGGTTCTTGGAAAGAGGAAACCCTGGCCCGTTCTCATGCTCATTTAGACGGGAACCGTGATCCATGTGGCCTGGCTGCCCGGTTGATCGAAGACACTTGGAATCTCTCTGTCGTCATGCCCAGCTTGTTGTTTAAGATTGTCGATGATGTGACTGGCTGTGACATGACCGTCTGCTTGGCAAGCTTGGAGACAGCCCTTGATCTGACTTGGGACAGGAGTTGTTGACGCTGAAGCCATAGGAGCTGGGAGGCAGTCCAGACCTGCGTAGATAACATGTCCTCCTGCATGCGGGCAATCGCATGATGAGTCCCATTTGGGCCATTCGGATAGACATCAGGGTTTCTGCCGGGACATCATCAAAAGACCTTGGTAGAGGTGGCAACCCCAGTATACTTACGCATCCAGCCAGATCGTAACCAAATAGTATAATATTTCTGAAGAAATTAATTAAACAGTGTGACTACCTATACCAAGTGCTAGAGCGAAAACAAAAAAACAGGTGTTGACTCTAGCACACACAGAAAAGAAGTGACGTTTTGTCCGTCTTTTTGCACAGAAGAGCTGAGGAGCTACGTGTGCTATTAGGGGAACAACTAGTTGTATGTAGTTGACAGTGAAGAGGACTTCTGTTGAAAATCTGAAGATTTAGTTATAGTGTGTCTGCAGGCCAATTACAGGATTTATGGCTCTGATGTAATAGAGGTAGAGGATTTGCAGGAATTATGTTGGGTTTCACAAATAAACATGAGTGAGTGGTTGTAATATGTTGTCTTAGTGAACGGGGTACATGGTGAGCGTACATGGTCTCAGTGAAAGGGGTACCTGGTCCCACTGAATGAGGTACCTGGTCTCAGAGAATGAGGTACCTGGTCTCAGTGAATGGGGTACCTGGTCTCAGAGAATGAGGTACCTGGTCTCAGTGAAAGGGGTACCTGGTCTCAGTGAATGAGGTACCTGGTCTCAGAGAATGGGGTACCTGGTCCCACTGAATGGGGTACCTGGTCTCAGTGAATGGGGTACCTGGTCTCAGTGAATGAGGTACCTGGTCCCACTGAATGGGGTACCTGGTCCCACTGAATGGGGTACCTGGTCTCAGTGAAAGGGATACCTTGTCTCAGTGAAAGGGGTACCTGGTCTCAGTGAAAGGGGTACCTGGTCCCACTGAATGAGGTACCTGGTCCCAGTGAATGGGGTACCTGGTCTCAGTGAATGAGGTACCTGGTCCCACTGAATGGGGTACCTGGTCTCAGTGAATGATAATAATTCGTTAACCACCTACTCCTATTTGAATGACAAGCTTTAGAAGGTGAACATAAAATGAAATGAATATGGCAATCTGACAGGACCAAAATACTTATGTGATGCCTCTACCTTTAGAATCAAGCACTGTGTAACATCAGGTTAGATCAAATATGTTTTCGTGAGTGATGATTTAAGGCTTGATGTAAAGAAACAAATGTTTGAAAAGAAATTGAAACAAGAATAAAGGTATCAAAAATAATATTTTTTAAGCCTTTTTTTAAGCATTTTTTTATTACTCTTACAGAATTTTCAAGAATTTAAAATGGTCTGGCCTTACCATTCCTATAAAGCCATGAGATACATGATATGTGACTGACCTGGTCACAATTTGAGCCAGTAAAACCTGCTGGACATTCACAGTGGACATTCCATGAGGTGGACGTCAGACTCCTCAGATCACACACTCCCCACTTGGGCTGGAACATACATAGCATGTGTCAGCTACAGTGTACAATGTGTGCCTCCATAACTTCCTCTTGGGCCTTATTTGGCATGACGGTTAGTTTAACAGTCCAATCAAATTACACTCAAGAATGATAGAAATCAGTCTAAGAAAGGAGAGATAGGAATGGTGACATCCCTTCCCAAATGAATCTACAGTGGCTAAATAGGTCCAGGATACTTATCAATATAGACTGAGATATAATACACTGAATAAGAACAGTTTTCATGTTGCTGAATTGCCAGGAACATTTAAGATTTTGTTCCCTTTGTAATATTTCAAAACACTGCAAGTTTACCCGAGATGGTGAATACGTATCTGATCATGATTGGTGTATGGTTCACGCTCTACAAGCTAAATATTTGTTTTATTTCGGATCATGGAGGATGTCTGCAATCACCTGACTGGAGAAGGCGTCTGCTGTGGCGCACCATGGCTGACAGGAGGATGCCACGCCGTTCTGACCCTCGCCGGGGATGTAGGGTCGGGGGCCATACACTGCCAACCGATAGGAGGCACCGCAGTATTGTTGAGAGTCACCTTTACATGGCATCCCGCAGTCGCTATGGAAACAGGCATACTGATTGCATCACAGTTGATATTCCCACCTTCAGGGATTATAACAGAAACAAATCCAGCAATTTGATTGGCTGATGAGATAAACAGTTTGTGTTAATACCTTTCAGCCATGCCCCAACTCCTACTAATATATTCACCATGTTGCATGTCATGAGTGTTTTCTGTTTGATAGCTCTTTAACGCCACACTCAGCAATATTTCAGCTTGGTGATGGCAGTCTGTATATAATGGAATCCGGAATAGACAGTCAAGTGATTGATATCATGAGCACTGATCTATGCCTCTTTCGACATGTATGGTTTGCTGAAGACCAATTCTAAGCAGGATCTTCACAGGGTGTGACAATCATTATTAACAAAATACAAATGCACAGTAACAGGTACACAACATTTATTTGATCTCTGACCCGTCAAGATCCGGGTTAGAATAGGTCTTCAGCAAACCATGCTTGCTGTAAAAGGCGACTATGCTTGTCGTATGAGGCGACAAACGGGATTCGGTGGTCAGGCTCGCTGACTTGCTTGATGCATGTCATCGTATTCAAATTGCATGGATCGATGATCATGATGTCAATCATTGGATTGTCTGGTCCAGACTTGATTATTTTACAGACCTCTGTCATATAGCTGGAATATTGCTGAGTGCGGCGTTAAACATTTTGATCTCAACTAGGTAGGGCGGTTCAGCAGTGAGTACACATGGATATCCCAGTGATGTTGGAATCAAGTTTTGTTACATACACAGTGATATATATGTATGTGTATATATATGTATGTGTATATGTTAATAATTATATATATATATATATATATATATATATATATATATATATATATATATATATATATATATATATATATAATAATCAACATTTTGACACAGCATATTTTTTAAAAATTGGATAGGCCTTGATCATGTAGGATCGAGCAAGATGTTCTGGCATGAAAGTTGTTAACACCATATTTATGAGCAATCATAGAAAGATAAGCTAATAATAAAAGAATAAACAATTGTTGGAATCAAGTTGGCCGTGTAATGTTCACCTGTCAGGTTTCTTCAAGCCCCAGTTAAAGTTGTTGTCACAGTAACACTCCGATCCATACTCGACTCCAGACACGGTGTACCCCTTTTGTCTGGAAACATAGGAACAGTATACATATAGCCACACAGAGTGAGTGAGTGAGTGAGCTGAAGTTCAATACTCATTCATACTACGTCATGACAGTTTAATATACTCCTAAAATTGAAACGTATAACCACCTTAGAGCTTGGTAATTAATTAAGGGTGGTGGGGATGGAGGGTCGGTGAGATTGTACTTTGGACTGTATCCAATCTCATTAAAATCAGACCTTGGTTCTCGCTACTGCTAAACAAAGATCTGAGGACATCCCATTATGGGTCATGTCAGACCGACCTCGCGCGAACTTTGATCGACCAATAGAATGACCAATCAGACGGCAGCTTTCTCGTGCTTTACAGCACTAATTTCAAATTGGCGACTACGCTTCGAAACATATTTTGACAAATTTTCGATTACAAATTTGAAACCTAACCAAAATAACATTCTGGAATGGCTAGTTGTATGATTAGAAATCACATTCTGACTGTCACTTTCATGATCTGGTAAGCGATGCTCTCATTGGTCTGATGAAAGGTTGTTCTGACGTGACCCCTAATGGGATGACTTCAGATCTTTGTTTAGCAGTAGCGAGAACTAAGGTCTGATTTTAATGAGATTGGACTGTATCATATTTTGCTGACACCCCATTTATGCTGAAAGCTGTTGCAGTGTTTGTGGTTCAGGATACTGCTGTCGATCTAACTTGTCCCAACTCGTCCCATAGGTGTTCTGTTGAACACCTTGGCTTTAGCTGACTGCAACTCTCCTGCTTTTAATTGACAAAGTTGTTCCGTTGTGTTTCTGCTGGTCGTGGCATGACTTGACATGACAACTGTTGCTAACAGACAATGTTTGGGCAACAGAGAGCCCACCACTTTTGTAGACCTATGTGCAGCGTTTTGTATGCACTGGCATCAATCCAGTGGTTCACATATCATGTCAGTTTTCTGTATTGTTATGCTTAAATAATGCATTTAGTCAGTGCTGCATTTTGATGATTCCAGGAATGTCATCATTAATGTGGTACCAAATGTCATCATTCATGCTTCAAATAGTGTAAGTGTGCAAACGTCTTTCATATATGACAAATCACCATATCAATATGACGTATGCATTTTTCTTTTTGAGGAGTTCTTGGATATTAGCAGTAATGTTTTGTATCATGTTATGTTGATAAACAATACATGATTAATATGATGTTGTGAGATGAGTGAATCATACAACCAATGCAGGGTTGTTACAACATTCCATAATAATTAAATTTTCCTTGTGTTCGTTGAAATTCCTGCATTCTGATTAGCTGAATAGGTCATGTGTTATTGCATTCATTTCCCAATGAATGTAAAAATTAAGTCTTGCCCACTGAGGCGGACTAGTTTTATTACTACGGAATGTCGGGGAATCCCACTATTACAGTCGGGGGAATTCCCTTTCTGCTCACGTGTATTGTCATGCACAGGCCATGAAGCAAAATTCATGCATATTCATTGTCCAAACAACTCTTTGAGACCAAGGTAGAAGGAATGAAACAGCAAACATGCAGGCTCTCTCGCCTCTTTTTTCCCACTCGCCTCGGTTCCACCACTTTAAATTCATGTCTTCGGGTTTCATTTCTGACTAGCATTTTTCCAACTGTGTCTTCCCGTTCTCAGGAAACTAATGTTTGAATCTGGCGGTAACTGACCATGCCATTTGAAACAGCCGCCTTCTCCCCGACATATTTAATTAAAAGCATTGACTGTGCATTTTGGGGGGTTCATTGAGGTATGAATCGAAAAACTGATGTGCAAACTTTTGTGAAAATCCGCTATGAGGATTCATACAGTTTGCACATCGGTTTTTCAATTCATACCTCAATGAACCGAAAAAAATGCACAGTCAATCCTTAAATGACAGGATACATATCTCCATAATAGTCAGATTATGAGTACATTGCATGAAAGGAGGACTCACTCACTCCCTCAGAAGATCAGGGAGTGATCAGTGCTCTCAGGATGAGGTGAGGCCCTCCCTCCCCTACTCACTCACTCACCCACCTGCACATCGCCATACAGAAGTCAGGTGTGACCTGTGCTGTCTGCTGTTGAGACAGAGATACACGGTAGACAAAGTGACGGCTTGTTGTGCTATCCAGGAAGCAGCCCCGGTAAATCTCATTTCCGATCACGGTGGTTGTCGGGTCAATCATTTTCTGTCCTGTAATGCTGTAATCCTAAAATAACAGATTGACAAAAACTTGTCACAACTGCAATAAAATCTTCCTCCATACTGACCACTTTCTATCAAGCAACCTGCCAAATAGATACAGAAATGTTTACTGTGCTATTCAAATTGTACTTGATGTTTTAGCGAACACATTGTTCAACAAGTTCAAGTGGGAGACTGTCCCACTCAGAAGCAGCTGCAAGAGAGACGGCCATAGATGACAGTCTTAGTTATGGTACAAAGAGGAGTGTCAGACCTTAGGGTTCATGCTGGTGTGTAGATCTTAAGAAACAGACGTTCAAACCTGAAGGGTCATGCTTGTGTTTAGATTTTAAGAAAGTCACGTTCAGACCTGAAGGTTCGTGCTGGTGTGTAGATTTTAAGAAAGTCACGTTCAGACCTGAAGGGTCATGCTGGTGTATAGATTTTAAGAAAGTCACGTTCAGACCTGAAGGTTCGTGCCAGTGTTTAGATTTTAAGCAAGTCACATGTGAGTTTCAGTCAATGGTCAATGGTCAATGGTCATTATAAAATAACTTTTTGTATTTAACAATGTTACTAAATCTATTATAATGATGTTGACTTATTGATTGTGTTAAGGATTGAAAACCAAATAGCGAACTTTTATTCCAATCAGCATCATAGACTCATACCACTTGTACATTTATAATAACTAATAACTCTTCGGGATTATAGATAATACTAGTCAACCTATGAATACCTAAAGGTTTTAAGTCTGGTCCCTTCCACTGCAATCAGTCTGAAGAACAAATCCTCTATGTAGCAGAAGACAATGTCAGTACAACAAACCTATTTACAAGTCTTTGTGTAAGGCACACAACTCCATACCCAATGCCTGCTCAAAGCACTGCATTATCATTACCCTGGTCAATGGATCAGTGCGCACTCCATTATTCATTCTCAGCTCCCTGTATACAACCTAAGATGCATGTCTTGCACTAGAAGGTTAACATTCACATAACCATCTCATCCTACCGGGTACCCATCCTCTGTTGGGAAAACAGAGGCATATTTGGAACCAAGTCCAATCTCATTAAACCAACCTTAGTTCTTCTCGCTACCGCTAAACAAAGATCTGAAGACATTCCATTAGGGGTCACGTCAGATCGACCTTTCATCCGACTAATCAGAGCGTCGCTTACCAGATTATGAAAGTGACAGTGAGAATGTGATTTCTAATCACGCAACCTGAAAAACTTTAACAAGGGGTATTCCGAACGATAGTTACGGGTTTAACGACTGAATCCATATAATCTAGTCCATATATTAGCCATTCCAGAATGTTCTTTTGTTCAGGTTTCAAATTTTTAATCGAGAATTTGTCAAAATATGTTTCGAAGCGTAGTCGCCAATTTGAAATTAGTGCTGTAAAGCACGAGAAAGCTCCCTTCTGATTGGTCAATCCATTGGTCGGTCAAAGTTCACGCAAGGTCGGTCTGACGTGACCAAGAATGGGATATCCTCAGATCTTTGTTTAGCGGTAGCGAGAACTAAGATCTGATTTTAATGAGATTGAACAAAGTCACTTGCCCCTGGAGAAACAAGATGTGCCACATGTGCTTCAGTGTGGGGCAGGACCAACGCCCTACAAACCTTCAGGAAATTGCTGAAGTCTTAAGTCATAGCTATGCACACTTGAACTTCCAAGTAAACAAATAAACTTACTATATACTGCTTGGTTGCATTGTTGGTGTTGATGTGCCCATAGGCTGAGGAGACATGGCCTTTAAAGATGACTGCGTTGATCTGGATTCTGCCGACTCCTCCATCTCCACCGCATCCCCCCACGCCACCGTATCCCCCCTGCCCCCCATTGCCCCACAGACGGTTGTGACCTACAACACACATGTTTAGTAAGGGAACAAACATTTGGTCTTAAAGAGAGAGCTGAAGACTTTGCTTACAAACTCTGTCCCAGATTGTTAGGGGGCTACACAGTTAGATAGAAGCAATAAACTTAATGTACAATTCATTCTTTTTGGGATTAAGTGACACATTGTGGGTTTTGTGGTGCTGCAGCACTCATCTTGACCTGGGGCCTCATGCTCCCATATCTTTGTTTGCATCACTGATGATGATACTAAACCTCACCAAGACTGCAGAACACAACAAACATCTGTCACATAAGGACTTGAGTTATATGTAGGATAATGCACATCCGACATTCTAAAAAGCTTATCAGCGCCTCTGTAGCCTAGTGGTACACTCACTGGGCTACATATACGAAGGTTGCGTGTTCGTTCCTCGGGAATATAAAGAAAACATTCTGAACGGAAGTTGTACTAATAAAATACCCAGGATATTATAACACATTATACAGCAAATAAGTCTGGATTATCCCATAAAATCCCGGGGACATTGCAACATCCCTGTTTATGATATTTAACCCGACTGACTTCACTAGAGGTTTATAAGTGCAGTCATAAACTTTGTAAATATCTCCATGGCCTGTATGCTTCTGTCAACTAAGGTACATAGAGACCACAGGCCTATATCACATTTTAGATGTTAAACCATTACTGGTTGGTTGAGAATAAAAATCACGTACCGACATCGACAACATTTCCTGTCATGTACATGCTACCGCCACTGCCGCCGCCTCCTGGACCAGACATGTCCCAGCAGGCACTTGTGCTGCTGCCAATGCAGTGACTTGGGTTGGAGGCTTTACACGATGCGGGGCATCCCTTACAACTGCAGCAGACATTATCTGTTGTTTGGGTACTTAGGAATTGACATCAATATAATGCATTTATGGAGATGAAAACGTATACACTGGTGTTTGTTTGTAGTTAATCCCGCACTCAGCAATTTTCCAGCCATATGACGGCGGTCTGTAAATAACCATCTTCCCGAGGCAAGAGAATTCACTGACTTTAAAAGTCCAGTTTCCACCCTTGCCGAACTTGGCTGGAATTCCTGGGCTCGATCGTAGCGCCACCAGTGGCTATTACGAGTTATGTCCTTTCCATGCCTCTCCTATTGACCAATCAGATTCAACCTCTCGTATCACTTGCATTTGCTTCAAACAAAATGGTGGCGCCCAGTCAAGACGATCTGATTGATAATCAAGATATATATTGTGATAAAACGAGTCTTACATCGCGAAGTGCATCAATTCACGTGAGCGCCTTGATTAAAAGCATGAAAAGATTTAGAAAATATCTGTTGACAACGAGTTAGCGGTGGACATGCTTTGCAAATCCTGCAGTCGACAGAAATCTGCAAGACACTTTACGAACCGGATTTCGATTTCAGTGCGCGATTTTGATTGGACTATGCATAGACTTGTTAGTCCAGCCAAAATGTAACTCCATAATACCAGCGTAGTTCGGCAAGGGTGGAAAGTGGACTTTTATAGTCAGTGAACTCACTTGCCTCAGGAAGATGGTAAATAACTGTTACTGACCCTGATTGAGTGAAACTGTCCCCCTGTCCAGCCTCCCCGGCCACTGAGATGGACCCAGTCACTTGGATGTTGCCAGTTGAATACAGCACTATGGCCGCTCCACCATTCCCTCCATGGCCACCTGGTGGACAAAACAGGAGTCTGTCAGTTGCTGCGAACTGTCCCAAGAATCAACTATTGAACATTCTTTTTAGGGTGAACTCTTTCACCACAATGTATGACATTACGTACCCACTGGTCCAGCCTGCTTGCAAACATGTTAGCAATTGTGACCTATCGCAAAGGTTCTGGGCCATGTTCCACAACCTGATCTTAGCGCTATGACCATCCTAACTCCCGTACATTAACATAGGCTTACGATAGTTGTAGTGCTGAGATTGCTTTGTGGAATGGGGGCCTGGTCAGTCGGGCTCTGATGAGTACTCAAGTTTATTACCCATAACGTTAGAAATAACCGAGTTCATAAAAGTCACATAGTGCAAATATCTCTAAGTACAGGTAAGACTCACCTGGGGGTGTGTGAGTACAGGTAAGACTCACCTGGAGGTGTGTGACTGAGTACAGGTAAGTCTCATCTGGAGGTGTGTGAGTACAGGTAAGTCTCACCTGGAGGTGTGTGACTGAGCACAGGTAAGTCTCACCTGGAGGTGTGTGACTGAGATCCTTGGCATTGCCGCCACTTCCTCCTCCAGACCCCATGTATACTGTTGACACTGCATTGTCTCCGTACACCGCACCACCAGAACTCCAGCCATTGCCCCTATTAGATCTCTTCACTGAGCTCATCCTACAGGTAGACACACAAACACACACCTGTACAGCACTCGTTATTTCCACTTTCCATAGAGGTATTACAATCAATGTGTCGAATCCCAGGTGGTGTCGAACTCCTGACTGGCAAAATCTTATCCTGTTTATCCCCATATTAACCCATATTTGTCAAACTCTCAGTAGTCTCAAACTCAAGTTATAGTACTAGTGGTACAAAGTAAGTTACCCTGATAATTCGATTTGATTAAAAAAACACAAATTTATAACAGAAGTTGTAATTTGTATCAATTTAGGTATGACAAGCTTGTTTCTTGTTATTATATAAATGTTACTGACGTAACATGCATGCTTTCTATTGGCTGATGGCTAGGTCATATGACAATAAGGTCAAGTCGGATGTGTTGAACCTCAGATAAGTCAAACTATTTCTCTGATCTGCAGGAGTTTGAGTCAATGGGTACAACTGTATATCAATTATCAACTTAATAGGAGGACTATCTATCATTGAAAGCAAATATTTCGTTGTGTTGTAGAATTATGAAGTATTCTGTATAATGATCATAATTACCACAAAACATGCAAGAAGTGAGATCAAATTTAAATTTTAAAAAAAAAATCAATATTAAGGACAGTTTGGCAAAGCAATTGCTAATGTCATCAGCAACAGCCCAAGTTGTGAGGTTAAGATAAAACACAATCAACCCACAATACACACTGACCATCCAATCCCCAATTCTGTCAGCTCTTATAACAATCACATGGGACTGGTCTATCCTGGGATTGCCAACAGAGCAGTTATTATTGGAAAATCTGAAGCCTTCCTGGTAGAAGTTCGTTCCACTGACCAAAATTATTGATTGATGAACCCCATGGACATGACTTACCCTGCGGTGCCATACCCTCCTCCGGCGCCGGGTCGACCATACCCCTGGGAGTCAATATGGCCGCCACTGCCACCTCCACCACCTCCCTTGTTGGCTCCTGTGCCCCTCTTGCCGACTCCTGTCACAACAATCAACTGTCATCAAGCAGTGGCCATAAAATTGTCCTGTGATAGGAATCAAACCAGGGGCTTTCTGATCCAAACTTTGACGTCTTGTCCACATGACCAACCCAGTCAGCAATTTCTCTGGATGCCATCTATGGAATGACTCCATGCCCTACATGAATCATTTGCTAATATTTTGTGCAACTTTGTGCATCCCAAATTGTAACATTAAGACAACTTCCACATCTGTATGTAAACAAGCATAGCGGGACTTTTGTATCACATTGTATCAGCTAAGACCCAGTGGCAAATGCCATTGTCCAGATTTGGTCCTTTCGGTGGCGTGGCGTTGACGTCATAATCTCACGATTTCATGCTCTTGTTGCCTAGCGAGACCGAAACAAGGTCACCTCCATAAGATGACTGAAGTATTTCGTGACTTTTTCCTCCTAAGTTAGAATTAATATATTGAAATATATTGAAATAAATATGAAAAATATGATGTGTTAGTTAGTTTTGGATTGGAGTATTCCTTCAATATATGGGGCTCTTTAAAACATGCCCAAACCTCAAAACATCAACTGGTTTAGATTTCAATCATGAACAAACAAAATCAATCATCAATTTCAGAAGCGAAATTTGACATTTTAATGTAATGGCACAGGGGAGTAAGACATAGTTGTGACCAATCACCCGATCCCGTTAGTCGCCTCTTATGACAAGCATGGGATGCTGAAAGGGTTGGGTTGGGTTTAATGCGGCATGTCAGCTTTTTGTGGGAGGAAAGCCAGAAGTGATGCAGGTCTCAGACGCTTACCACTTTGGTGAAACCCACGAGCACGAGTATGGTGCTGACAAACCTAGAAACATAATCGGGGCAAACTTGGATTCAAACCCACAATCAGAGGTTCCTGGCATGCCCAAGGGATGCAACTCTGCACGGCCAATTGCGGTGCCTTAGACGACTGTGCCAGGCGTGCCCCCACATTGTGATACAGGGAAATATCTAAGATAAGGTAGTGATTCAATGATCAAGTTGTAGGATCAGCTTCTATAAATACCCCATGCTCTAGGAGCTGGAGCTGCAGCTAGTATATACCTACCATTTATAGATTCTCCTTGCATGCCATCTTGATTTGGGTAGGCGTCACCCCCTGCTGCACCACGGTAACCAGCACCCATCCCATTCAGGTAGCCGTCAATCTGTATACTCTGTGTACACACAAGCATCTATGATCACCACCACACCACTCACATATCCAATCACCACCACCCATACCAATCACATAGCCAATCACAACCACCCATACCACTCACATAGCCAATCACCACCACCCATACCAATCAGAGAGCCAATCACCACCACCCATACCAATCAGAGAGCCAATCACCACCACCCATACCAATCAGAGATCCAATCACCACCACCCATACCAATCAGAGAGCCAATCACCACCACCCATACCACTCACATAGCCAATCACCACCAACCACACCACTCACATAGCCAATCACCACCACCCATACCACTCACATAGCCAATCACCACCAACCACACCACTCACATAGCCAATCACCACCACCCATACCACTCACATAGCCAATCACCACCAACCACACAACTCACATAGTGATTATTATTTAATGATATGAAACTCTGAGAAAAAAAAAATCATCATCAAGGATATGATGTTTATTTTATCTCAAAAGTCAATAAAAAATATGTCAAATAGTTTGATGCTAAGTACATGAATAAATATACTACTTACAACAGAGTACATACAGTTTTTTTGTACCCTCAAATACATGTACCATTGTTTCATGTCCCTGCCTTCCCTCAAATAAATTACCAGTCCCAAAAAAATATTTAAATGTATAACTTTTTTGTACACAAAAAAATATTTTTTCATGCTCCTCCCCCCCTATCTTAGTTGGGATACAATTTCATGACCCCCTCTTTTGCTGTCATTCCTCCCCACCCCTCTCAATCCCTTGTTATCGACAACAACACACTTCATCCACACATCCCCTTCCCCCATAACAAATGACCAGCAGTCCCTGAGCTCGACCCAAAGTAAAAGTATAGCTACTTACTTCAGAGTACACTTCAAAGATGCCCCCTGAAGTCCCATCATATTTCTTGATGAAGACTGTCACTCCCTTTGGGATGAAGAACTGACTTACATTGCAGTGGGAACCTGGAGGGGTCAACATGTGAAATGTAAGACAACGTGAAACATCATGCTCGTACCATAGAGAGGATCTAATTGTCTCATGGAAGATAAATACCTCCATGTACGCATTGATTTAAAATACATGAGGCAACAAGTTTGTACTTGTAGTTTACATATTCAATCATGGAGTCAAAGCCACAAAGAATAGAAATAGTTCAAATATATATTTATTTGCCCCGATTGATTTACTGTACTAGAAAAAGAAAAATATACCTCTACAAAGACCTAAACAACAATTCTGATAATTATTATATAAAACCAGTATGACAGACACAAATGTAATCATATCTGTTTATAACATTGCTTGCATAATGTCATTGCTGACATGTAATATCCTGTGTTTATACCATACTATATATGTAATAACATCTGTTTATCACATACCAAACAGAATGTCATTTTGGGCGACAGTCCAGTCGTCGCCCCCGTGGTCGATACCATTACACGGCACCTTGATGCCCTGCCCCAGCTCATAGTGTGCCACCAGACCATTATATCTCGCCTCAATCTGACAACACAAACCACTTCATTTACCAGGCACACACGGTGAAAAAATGACATCAGTCCACTGGTCTAAGACTGGGAATACAGTAAAGGAATCAGTGGTACTTGACATTTCTAATTACACCATGTAATTCCAAAAGTGGATGAGTGGATTTCAAATTGGTGTCTACCCCCTGAAGATAAACTAAAACATTTTTAAAACATATTAAATGTACTGCGGTTTTCATGTCAATTTATCCTCTAAATACCAGTACATGTGGGTTCGAATGGTTCACCACGATTATGTTTCTAGGTTTGTCAGCACCATACCCATGCATGTGGGTTTCAACAAGGTGGCAATTAAACGTCTAAGACCTGCATCACTTCTGGCTTTCCTCCCACATTAAGCTGACACACTGTGATATAACTGGAATACTATTAAAAGCGGCATTAAACCCAACCCACTCACTTACTGAGGACTACACACTCAGCTGGCACTGATGCCAATGATGTCACATTCAATCTGTTAGGGCTGGGAGGAGTCCAAATTCACTACCTGGGTACCCACCCAACTATTGCCTGATCCTACCCGGGTACCCACTGTAGGTCTCAGGAGATGTCTCAAAATGTCCTATTGGGAACATTTTTAGCATAGCCCTGGCAAAACTTATTTAGACACGTGATAAAATAATCTGGTCATTCATACACTGAAGTTAATTAAGTTTTAATGGTACATAGTCAGAAAGAAATGCGAACATTAGTGACTTGTAGTGTAACCATAGATACTTTTTGTCATTGAACAATATATCCCGTGACTAACCACGGGTCCGGGTAGTCATGTGGGTACCCGGGTCCTACTCAGTACCCACCCCACCTGGGTACCCGTGTTACCCGTCCCAGCCCTACAATCTGTAGCTAGCCACACACAGCCCATCAGTATCCTCTACTGCACAGAGTAACAAGTAAACAGTCCAGTTTCATCATATCACCTTCACCATCCAGGACCAAGCTTGCTCAGTATCTAACTTGATCAGGTTTACATAGAAAGTACTTCATTGAGAGGCATTTAGAAGTTGGAGTACTAAGAACTTCGTTATTACAATTAGGAGTGACGTTTCTGTGTAGGTTCTAACACCATTATCAAGCAGTGAATGAGTGAGTGAGTGAGTGAGTATGGTTTTACGCCGTTTTTAGCAATATTCCAGCAATATCATGGCGAGGGACACCAGAAATCGTCCTCACACATTGTACCCATGTCGGGAATCGAACCCGGGTCTTCGGCGTGACGAGTAAACGTTTTCACCACTAGGCAACCCGACCGCCCCTCATCAAGTATCACTTGATAACGGTGTTAGAAACTACACCGAAATGTCTCTCAATATTGTAATAAAGAAGTTGTTCATCCATATTTCTTATCCTTACACAGAAAGTACTAAAATTGTTTTTAAATTCCAACTCTATCAGTTTATATTTCTTACAAGACCGACTAAAAGTGATTAAGCTTTTTGATTGTCCAATTTCATCATCAGCTTTTTGTGCCATGATGTTTGTCAAAATGAAATGTCAACAAAGAAAATGACTATGGTCTAAATTTCATGTTAGTGTTTTGAAATAGATTTGATGTGAACATTTGACAAGCCCTAATTATTCCTGACAGGTCTATTTGACCTTGACCCAGCCCCCGTGTATATCTGACAAGTCCATTTGACCTTGACCCAGCCTCCGTGTATTTCTGACTAATCCATTTGACCTTGACCCAGCCCCTGCGTATTTCTGACTAATCCATTTGACCTTGACCAAGCCCCCTGTGTATTTCTGACAAGTCCATTTGACCTTGACCCAGCCCCCGTGTATTTCTGACTAATCCATTTGACCTTGACCCAGCCCCCGTGTATTTCTGACTAATCCATTTGACCTTGACCCAGCCCCTGCGTATTTCTGACTGATCTAATCCAGCTGAATACTTACTGTTGAGTTGACACTGCCGACCACACTCATGCTTTGAGTGATCTCATCTATACCTAGGCTTCGTTTCCAGACCTTCACCGACTTAAACAAATAATTTCACTCATAAATTACATTTTCACTCATCAAATATAATACATTATTATTACAGCAACGTGTAAGTAGGTGTAGAACCTATATTGCTATTCCCTATATTTATGATGCTCAAGAATTACAAATACATTTATTAGTTTTTGTGATTATTTATTTTTTTCTGTGTTCATTCCATGGCAATATAATGGATGGATGGTCAGGACTGGTGAATGCATGTCACAATACCACCTGAGTGAATTGATGTTCATAATATTATCAATCAATCACAGGTATGTCTGGTAGGATGAGATGGCAATGTGGTTGTTAACCTTCTAGCACCTAACAAGCAGCTTGGGTTGTATACTCCCCAGGGAGCTGAGAGTGTGTTGAGTGCACACTGATCGAGTGACCGGGGTAATAATAGCATTTTGAGCATGTCCCTGTGTGGTGTGGAAATATGCACAATATAAATGGCCTATCATCATCATCATCATCATCATCATCATTTACAGGGTGCAGTCACATAGCTGGAATATTGATGAGTTCAACAAACAAACAATTATTTGTCCTATGACAGGATTGTACTAGTGTTGTGTGCCAAATGCAATCACATGAAGTTAAATCTATAGGTACCCCAGCTCTACACTGTAAAACCAGCATCCCCTCATGCTTCAATACTTGCCTTGATCATTCCCTGGAAGTTCTCCCCCTTACAGCATTGAGAGCTCCCGATCCGGAAGCCTGATGTTGTTGGAAGTGAATATGGACGATTCTGACAACAACAAAATCTGATGAAATATGAAATAGTTTGATAGCTTGATGTTTTCAATGTGGAGCTAGGTTACCTGTAGATTTAGCCAAACCAAATACAACATTTGAAATCTCACAATGTGTGTTCCAAATTGAATTTAGCTCAGTTAAATCTGCAGGTAACCCAGTCCCACATTGAAAACACATCATACTTTTATAGCAGATGTCAAAACACCAGTATCCTGTCATCTTCCTGAGTCAAGGGAGTTAACTGACTTTAAAAGTCCAGTTTCCACCCTTTAAAAAAAAGGCATGAATTATGGAGTTATAATTTGGCTGGACTAATGAGTCTATGCATAGTCCAATCAAAATCGAGTAACAAAGTCGACATCTGGTTCGTAAACTGCAGTGCAGATTTTGGTCAATTGCATGTGCACTGCCAAATTAGCGTCAAAAGATATTTTCCTAAACTTTTAATGTTTTTAATCAAGGTTTAGTTCGTGAAGTAAGACTCTTTTTATTACAACATAGGTCTTGATAAGCAATCAGATCGTCTTGACTGGGCGCCACTATTTTGTTTGAAGCAAATGCAAGTGATATGAGAGATGGAATCTGATTGGTCAAGAGGAGGGACATAGAAGGGACATAATTCGTAATAACCACTGGTGGCTACTATTGAGCCAGGAAATTCCAGCCTAGTCCAACAAGGGTGGAAACTGGACTTTTACAGTCATTTAACTCCCTTGCCTCATGAAGATGGTATCCTCTTGGCTAATTTATAACCTTGTCTTTCATAAACGTCCAGACCAGGAGCATGATGCACTGGGAAGCCATCCTGCTCTAGAATGTCCATAGGTGCTGAGAGAAATGAAAACATGCCCTCACCTTGGCTGTGTTGACCTGCTTGCCGTTCAGGTAGAAAAATGTGTTGGTTCCATTATTGGCAACAGCCAGGAGATACCATTTCCCCTTGGTGTAGGGAGTTGGTGCAAACAGAGAGGAAGTGCAGTGTCTCCCTGTAGTAGGATAGTAGTAGCTATTGAATTTGCCTCCCTGCATTGCTAGACCAAAGTCTCGACAACCAGCCACACCACCAACAATAGTCTGTCAACAAAAATACATGATTGAACCAGATCAACTTCAGTAGATGTGAGTGTTAGGGATTACAGTTATTTGATGAGAAAACTCACAGATTATTCCAGAAATGTGCCATTTCAGTTGCAAAGATTTCCTCATCATTTTACAAAGGTTAACCAAAACCCCCAAATCATTTTTTTCTGCCCCTGAAAAAGGCCAAATAGAAAGACTACATAAATAAAACAGAAAAGGCCAATAAGAAAACTCAATATCACATAAAGGTAATAAAGAAAGAAATCGAGCCTGACATTGTTTGCTGGTTAATTAGAGGTGTAACAATATGTAGAGGTTGCGATACGATACATATCCTGATACTCTTGGTGCGATACGATTCGTATCCCGATATAGTACGTTCATTTCACAAGTTGATATTCTTTCTTTTTGCAGGTGAATGATAACCCTGAATCATTTGTTATTAGTGAGATCAAAGATGGGATATTGTATGTATTGCGATACATGGATTGTAAATTTATGTGTTTTATCATGGGCCTCGTATCCTGATACAGCACTGTATTGCCATATTGTACACCTCTAGCCTCAATCATGTACAATAATGATTGATAGTTGGAATAGCACATTATGAACTCCGTCTCAAATTGAAAGAAAAAAGTTTGCTAGAAATCCCAAGATGTCGACATAATTCCTGAAAAAGTGTCTAGACATAAAGAAATGTAAAAAAGTGTTTTAGGAAATGGAGCTGAAAGCATTATGCTCTTCTGTTTTGCTACAGACATGATAATAAAGTTCACATGACACTGTAATCTGACGTCAAACATGATGGACTGTTAGGCAAACCTTTTTATGTATTTTCTAGTATGTAAAGAAACAAATTATGAAAGAAAGTTGACAGACATGATTGGAGTTTCTAAACAAATCTTGAAATAAAAAGTTTTCACCACAGACAGTTGTCTGTGTTTAAGACATTCATTTATACATTATAGCAGTATATAAACAATTGCCCACTTATTACAATTAGTTACGAGAGGACACTTACCCTCCTCCGTGAGTCTGAAATTGTTGGGTACAGCCATGCTGCAATTGTGTACACCGTTCCAGGGTTCCATTGTCCCAGATCAATAAAGTCATTGTTTCCGTCAAACTTAGCTCCACATGCAAAGGGGGGTCCAACCTACCAAAGCATAAAAACAGAGTGAGTGAGTGAGTGAGTGAGTGAGTGAGTGAGTGAGTGAGTGAGTGAGTGAATTGGTGGGTGAGTGAGTGAGAGTGGGTGAGTATGGTTATACACAGCTTAGCAATATTCCAGCAATATCACGGTGAGGGACACCAGCAATTGGCTTCACACATTGTACCCATGTCGGGAATCGAACCCGGGGCATGATGAGCAAACACTTTAACCACTAGGCTACCCCACTGCCCCCATAACAACAGAAGATACATGAGACATATAGCATTGAGGGATGGATTCAGATCATTAAGCATCAACACTAAGTTCAGAGCCAGTATCCACAGTTGAATCAGTCATTGAATTGACCACGAGTAGTTGAAACATGTAGGATTAAAAAGTCATCTCTCAATGACTAGCATCAAGATCATGGCTAATCACAATTGTTTAAGAATGGAGTGGCCCTAGCATCAAGCTTCAGGCAGCTGTGTCACTGGTATCGTACAATGCATGGTGTTGAATCAAGGTACTTTCTTGACTTAGTAGACAGTTGCAGTTGTGTTTGGAGACATGAGTGCTTCCAGCAGTGAACCACAGCACAGCATGGTGATATAGTGGTGGCACAGTGATGGTGTGGGCTGCCGACAAGGGAGCTTTTACAGGAATCTACTCACCTGGATGCTGTCGCTGATTACCTGGATGCTTTTGATACAAGTGAGCCCTGTGTAGGTCAACTTACCTGGTTGCTGTTGATACAAGGGTGCCCTGTGTAGGTCTACTTACCTGGTTGCTGTTGATACAAGGGTGCCCTGTGTAGGTCTACTTACCTGGTTGCTGTTGATACAAGGGTGCCCTGTGTAGGTCTACTTACCTGGTTGCTGTTGATACAAGGGTGCCCTGTGTAGGTCTACTTACCTGGTTGCTGTTGATACAAGGGTGCCCTGTGTAGGTCTACTTACCTGGTTGCTGTTGATACAAGGGTGCCCTGTGTAGGTCTACTTACCTGGTTGCTGTTGATACAAGGGTGCCCTGTGTAGGTCTACTTACCTGGTTGCTGTTGATACAAGGGTGCCCTGTGTCAGTCCACTCACCTGGTTGCTTTCTATACAAGAGCTGAAAGTGAGCCCTGTGTAGGTGAAGGGGAACAGACAGTGGTCTCCAGCGTTGTCGCCACCATAGGTGTGGACTGAGTGCTCTGGCACTGCCAGGCAGGTTCCTGCAGGTAACAAGATTTTAATAACTGTTTAATGCTGCTTTTAGATTTGCTCCTGCTATTTCAAGGTCTGGTACAAGAAGAACTAGCTTCACACATTGTACCCAGGTGGGGAATTGAACTAGGATCTTGCAGGCGACAAAAACCCAGTAACTGTTTTATGGTGCTTTAAGACATGTTCCATCCATTTTTCAATAACTTAATGTCATCATATGTGATCTTAATTTCCCTGCAATGGCTGACAGCTAAAACATGGTTGGTATCACTCCTCCAATATCTCAATAACTGTTTTATGGTGCATATTCCAGCGGTTTCTCAATAACTCAATAACTGTTTTATGGTGCATATTCCAGCGGTTTCTCAATAACTCAATAACTGTTTTATGGTGCATATTCCAGCCGTTTCTCAATAACTCAATAACTTTTTTACAGTGCATATTCCAGTGGTTTTTCAATAACTCAATAACTGTTTTATGGTGCATATTCCAGCGGTTTCTCAATAACTCAATAACTGTTATATGGTGCAAATTTCAGCCGTTTCAATAACACAATAACATCAGTATCTTTTTCCTTTTTCTGCAATGGCTGACAGTTGGTGTCCTGTGAGTGACTACTCGGTTACCTGCTCCGCATGCAGTTCTGTTGTTGTGGTCCTCGTAGTAGCTGCAGTAGTCGAACAGTTCACAGTGGTCCCCGAAGTAGGCTGCCGGACAGGTACACGTCCCAGTCACCCTGCTACATGTGCCGCCATTCAAACACCCACACATGTACTCTGGAGGGACAAAAATCCTCTTGTTAGAAAGAGGGATGTTGTTTACAACAACTGAGTAAACAATCATATAATGCTTGCCTGTAAATAATCAAGCCTGCACCTGTCAAACCATGCCATCATTGGTTGATTGGGTTAACAACGTTCCAAACTGTCAGGGTACAGAGACACAATCAGGGATCAGAGAAACACAATCAGGGACCAGAGACACACAATCAGGGATCAGAGACACACAATCAGGGATCAGAGACACACAATCAGGGACCAGAGACACACAATCAGGGGTCAGAGACACACAATCAGGGATCAGAGACACACAATCAGGGACCAGAGACACACAATCAGGGATCAGAGACACACAATCAGGGACCAGAGACACACAATCAGGGATCAGAGACACACAATCAGGGATCAGAGAAACACAATCAGGGATCAGAGACACACAATCAGGGATCAGAGACACAATCAGGGATCAGAGACACACAATCAGGGATCAGAGACACACAATCAGGGATCAGAGACACAATCAGGGATCAGAGACACACATTCGGGGATCAGAGACACACATTCGGGGATCAGAGACACACAATCAGGGATCAGAGACACACATTCGGGGATCAGAGAAACACAATCAGGGATCAGAGACACACAATCAGGGATCAGAGACACACAATCAGGGATCAGAGACACACAATCAGGGATCAGAGACACACAATCAGGGATCAGAGACACACATTCGGGGATCAGAGACACACAATCAGGGATCAGAGACACACAATCAGGGATCAGAGACACACAATCAGGGATCAGAGACACACAATCAGGGATCAGAGACACAATCAGGGATCAGAGAAACACAATTGGAGATCAGAGACACACAATCAGGGATCAGAGACACACAATCAGGGATCAGAGACACACATTCGGGGATCAGAGACACACAATCAGGGATCAGAGACACACAATCAGGGATCAGAGACACACATTCGGGGATCAGAGACACACAATCAGGGATCAGAGACACACAATCAGGGATCAGAGACACACAATCAGGGATCAGAGACACACAATCAGGGATCAGAGACACAATCAGGGATCAGAGAAACACAATTGGAGATCAGAGACACACAATCAGGGATCAGAGACACACAATCAGGGATCAGAGAAACACATTCGGGGATCAGAGACACAGTTCTTGTTTTAGCTCCTTAATGCCAAATGCCAGGCAGGGAAACAACAAGTACCATCTTTTAACATATTTTTGTATGACGCGGCCGGAATCGAACCCCAGATCTTCTGATCTCCGGGCAGACTCTCTACTACTAGACCATGGAAGCAGTCACCTTTCCAAAGTAGGATCCCATACAAAACCAAAAGGTATATACCAAGTTTAATGTTATATGCATTGATACTTTTTGAAAAATGTGTAACCACAATCTTTTTGCTAACAATATCATCAACATCATCATCTTCATCAATATGAAGTGAACAGTCAAATTTGTTACTGACGTTTACATCGTGCTTGCACTGTACAAGAGCCGCAACCAGAGATTGAGCACTTCCTGTTGGCAACGTCCATTGTTCCAGCACCTTGTCCATGATTGTGGTGGTTGCTGAGACAGGAAACAAACATTGTTATCAAATGTTACAGTGGTACATCTCAGTACTATTGTGAAAGTTATACTGAGTATAGCTGAGTATAGTATTCATAGATTTCAACCTCACAACAAATGTTGTCTTGAAACATCAGTTTTGAATGCAATGGAATATGTCCGATAACGAAAATGCCTCTAGAATCTGTAAGTACCATTGGCACCATTAGAGCAAAAAGTCACTGTAACCATGGTAACAAAGCAGTGTCACAGCTGAGAGCCACTTTGTTTGTTTGTTTTCTATGCTGCAATCGGGAATATTCTGGCTATATGACAGCGGTCTGTAAATAATCGAGGTAATTCAGTAATTGACATTATGAGCATCGATCTACGCAATTGGATGGATGACATTCATCCATTAGATCAGCGAACCTGACCAACCGATCCTGTAAGTCACTGCTTACAACAGCATGGGTAGCTGACTCACGACTTTCAACCCAGATCTTCTGTCTGTGTACATGCGTGTGTGTGTGTGTGTCCATGTTTACATGCATGTGTATCTATGTGTACATGTGTGTGTGTCTATGTGTACATGCGTGTGTGTGTGTGTGTCCATGTTTACATGCATGTGTGTCTATCTGTACATGTGTGTGTGTGTGTGTGTGTCCATGTTTACATGCATGTGTATCTATGTGTACATGTGTGTGTGTCTATGTGTACATGCGTGTGTGTGTGTGTGTGTGTGTCCATGTTTACATGCATGTGTGTCTATCTGTACATGCGTGTGTGTGTGTGTCCATGTTTACATACATGTGTGTCTATCTGTACATGCGTGTGTCCATGTTTACATACATGTGTGTCTATCTGTACATGCGTGTGTGTCTATGTGTACATGTGTGTATGTATGTCCATGTTTACATGCATGTGTGTCTATCTGTACATGCGTGTGTTTGTGTGTCCATGTGTACATGTGTGTGTGTCTATCTGTACATGCATGTGTGTCTATGTGTCCATGCATGTGTGTCTATCTGTACATGCGTGTGTTTGTGTGTCCATGTGTACATGTGTGTGTGTCTATCTGTACATGCATGTGTGTCTATGTGTACATGCATGTGTGTCTACCTGTACATGGGTGTGTGTCTATCTGTACATGCATGTGTGTCTATGTGTACATGTGTGTGTCTATCTGTACATGCATGTGTGTGTGTGTCCATGTGTACATGCATGTGTGTCTATGTGTACATGCAAGTGTGTGTGTGTCCATGTTTACATGCATGTGTATCTATCTGTACATGCGTGTGTGTCTATGTGTACATGTGTGTCTATGTTTACATGCATGTGTGTCTATGTGTACATGCGTGTGTGTCTATGTGTACATGCATGTGTGTCTATGTGTACATGTGTGTGTGTCTATGTGTACATGCGTGTGTGTGTGTGTGTCCATGTTTACATGCATGTGTGTCTATCTGTACATGCGTGTGTGTGTGTGTGTCCATGTTTACATGCATGTGTATCTATGTGTACATGTGTGTGTGTCTATGTGTACATGCGTGTGTGTGTGTGTGTCCATGTTTACATGCATGTGTGTCTATCTGTACATGCGTGTGTGTGTATGTCCATGTTTACATACATGTGTGTCTATCTGTACATGCGTGTGTGTGTGTGTGTCCATGTTTACATGCATGTGTGTCTATCTGTACATGCGTGTGTGTGTGTGTGTCCATGTTTACATGCATGTGTGTCTATCTGTACATGCGTGTGTGTGTGTGTGTCCATGTTTACATGCATGTGTGTCTATCTGTACATGCGTGTGTGTGTGTGTGTCCATGTTTACATGCATGTGTGTCTATCTGTACATGCGTGTGTGTGTGTGTGTCCATGTTTACATACATGTGTATCTATCTGTACATGTGTGTGTTTGTGTGTCCATGTGTGTGTGTCTATGTGTACATGTGTATGTGTCTATGTGTACATGTGTGTGTTTGTGTGTCCATGTGTGTGTGTCTATGTGTACATGTGTGTGTATCTATCTGTACATGTGTGTGTTTGTGTGTCCATGTGTGTGTGTCTATGTGTCCATGTGTGTGTGTCTATGTGTACATGTGTGTGTTTGTGTGTCCATGTGTGTGTGTCTATGTGTCCATGTGTGTGTGTCTATCTGTACATGTGTGTGTTTGTGTGTCCATGTGTGTGTGTCTATGTGTCCATGTGTGTGTGTCTATGTGTACATGCGTGTGTGTGTGTGTGTCCATGTTTACATGCATGTGTGTCTATCTGTACATGCGTGTGTGTGTGTGTGTCCATGTTTACATACATGTGTATCTATCTGTACATGTGTGTGTTTGTGTGTCCATGTGTGTGTGTCTATGTGTCCATGTGTGTGTGTCTATGTGTACATGTGTGTGTGTGTTTCCATGTTTACATGCATGTGTGTCTATCTGTACATGCGTGTGTGTGTGTGTACATGTGTGTGTGTCCATGTTTACATGCATGTGTGTCTATCTGTACATGTGTGTGTCTATGTGTCCATGTGTGTGTGTCTATCTGTACATGCGTGTGTTTGTGTGTCTATGTGTACATGTGTGTGTGTCTATGTGTACATGCGTGTGTGTGTGTCCATGTTTACATGCATGTGTGTCTATCTGTACATGCGTGTGCATGTGTGTCCATGTGTATATGTGTGTGTGTCTATGTGTACATGCGTGTGTGTGTGTCCATTTTTACATGCATGTGTGTCTATCTGTACATTCGTGCATGTGTGTCCATGTGTACATGTGTGTGTGTCTATGTGTACATACTTGTGTGTGTGTGTGTGTCTATGTGTACATGCGTGTGTGTGTGTGCGCTGACACTCACTTGTCCCAGACAGAACAGCCCACAATGTCGGAGCCCACAGGACATATTGCTGTCTGTTTGGAGGTGCCGGTTGGTGCCTGATTGTACAGCAACACGAAGCCAGGGTCACCATAGCGACATGTAACTTGTGGCTGGAATACACCATGATCAAAGGAATTAGTCAGGAGAAAACATTAGGTGTTTTTCAGATTAGTATTTACATTGACCAGGAATTTCATCTGCAGCAGATCCCATAAGCCAGGGGTTTCAAATGTTAACATGCTGGACACAAAATCACTTTACGAAAGGTATGTCCATAGTTTTCATGATCTTTCCAAACACTGTATTGAACAATCCTCCTCTGACCACGCCATGTCATTTTCCATTTTGCTGATTGTAACAGGTGAACCCAATGTCCAACTGCGGATACATGTTGTGGCATGCAGCAAACAAGCTCCAGGGCTCCCTTGAGTCATAGGCTTCATAAAGTCAGTCTCTATCTCATTAAAATCAGATCTTAGCTCTAGCTACTGCTGAACAAGGATCTAAGGACATCCCATTAGGGGTCACATCAGAACGACCTTTCATCCCACCAATCAGAGTGTTGCTTACCAGATCATGAAAATGACAGTCGGAATGTGATTTCTAATCATGCAACTTCGAAAACTTTAACACAGGGTATTCCGAACGATAGTTATGGGCTTAACGACTGAATCTATACAATCTAGACCACCTCCTAGCCATTCCAGAATTTTCTTTTGTTCAGGTTTCAAATTTTTAATCAAGAATTTGTCAAAATATGTTTCGGAGCGTAATCGCCAATTTGAAATTGGTGCCGTAAAGCACGAGAAAGCTGCCTTCTGATTGGCTAATGTGGACCTCTTGTCAGTCATTACATTGGTTGGTCTAAGTTTGTGCAAGGTCGGTTTGATGTGAGCCATAATGGGTTGTTCTCAGATCTTTGTTTAGCGGTAGCGAGAGCTAAGATCTGATTTTTTAATGAGATTGAATCAGTCTCTTAGAAAGTTTTTCATGGGAGATAACCCCTCAAAATAGATTTTGAAATTATCTGGACCAAACCATCATCAGAATTGCAAGATAAGCTAGGGGGCTGATGGGCACACATGGATCAAGGATTTTGGAAAAAGGGAGAGCACACTACCCAAGTCATGAAGTGAATAAAATTGGAGACTGACATAGGTTGACATGTGGATCGTTGTGGTTAGTAGCATGACCGGTGCAGGTCTACCTTGACACAGTGACTGAGTGAACTGGGTTTAATGCCGCTGTATGTCAGATTAACATGGGAGGTAAGCCCAAAGTGATGCAGATCTTCGCTGTTGACCACTTTGCTACCTTACACCACAGGCAGGAGAATGACACCAAGAATGGACTTCCCATGTACCAATGTGAAGAATCAAAACCCAAGTTTTGATCTGACAGTAAACGCCTGTCGACACCAGCACCAGGTGTGTTTATAAGAGCAGGTTGCTTCCCACTGAATACAGTTACATAACTTGCAGTTTCCCTGTGCAGAGCTACTCCCCTTACTCACCCCAGGATAACCTGTTAATGGGTTCAGATCCGTGGGTGTGGTGCTGACAAACTCAGAAACCAGATTAGGGATTCATTTCTAGGTTTCTGGCATGTGTGTGTGACGCATTCTGCACAGCAAACTACATCTTCCCAAGGCAAGAGAGTTAACTGACTTTAAAAGTCCAGTTTCCACCCTTGCCGAACTAGGCTTGAATTACTGGGCTCAAACTAAATAGCGGCGCCCAGTCAAGACGATCTGATCGATAATCAAGATCTATATTGTGATAAATCAGGTCTTGCATCGCGAAGTGCATCAAATCAAGTGAGCACCTTGATTAAAAACATGAAAAGATTTGGAAAATATCTGCTGACAACGAGTTGACGGTGCACATGCTTTGCAAATCCTGCAATCAACCGAAATCTGCACTACAGTTTATGAACCGGATTTCGATTTCGGTGCGCGATTTTGATTGGACTATGCATAGACTTGTTAGTCCAGCCAAAATGTAACTCCATGTAACCAGCCTAATTTGGCAAGGGTTGAAACTGCACTTTTACAGTCAGTTAACACCCTTGCCTCGGGAAGATGTGAGATAAGAGACTTTATGGGTGAAAAATCACATTTTGACTTTTCATTATATTTTAAAACTACAGTATCTTTATAACCCAAAAATATAATTCAAAAGCTTCAATTCATATTTATTACAGAGATACATGACATCACACATGGCAGTCTTCACTGAAGTAAGTTGACGTCGAACGTCTTTATGTCGTCACAGCAAAATTGTATCCTAGCACCCATAAGGTCCCTATTCTCCTGGTGGGTCACATATGGTGTGACTATTCAAAGCAGCTTAAAACCCACTCTGACATGAGTGGTACCCTCGCTCACCTCACTCTCAAGATAGAGAATTCAAATAAAATGACCTTTGTCAAATGATATCTTGGAAAATAGACACCTTGGAAGAATGTGGAACCATGATTTCTTACAGGAAAACACAGATCGTACAATTCACAACATGGCCGACTACATTGTCAGTCTCACCTTCCCGGATGATGTGGTGCAGCTGTCGGCCTCGAAGCGGGCCCCGGAACACGTGGAAGAACAGGAACACTGCTCTGGCTGCATGGCCGCGGGGCAGTCCGACCCGTCCACATTGATGAAGGCTGGACAAAAGGACAATTTGCAGCAAAGTATCATCCAGCTCAATGCATGGTAAAGCCATTAATAGTATTTATTTGAGCTGTCCTAAACCTACGATGGGGACGGATGGCCCAGTCATCTTAGGCACCTCAATTCGAAACGTATGATCATGAGTTCGCCATGATTAAGTGTCTACACTTGTCTGCACCTAGACTAACATCTAGTCTCTGAAATGAACTATTTTTTAAACAAAAAATAACAGCTGTTAAATTTGAGTTATAAAACATAAAAAAAAGGAGCCCAGAGACTTTCTTCATTTTCAGATTTTCATTACCCGGTATTGCCAATTATTATAGACTTGCACAGGCTGTATTGGACATATTTGTTTCAGGGTCTGTACGACAGACAAGTCAGCACCATACCCATCAGCTCATGGGTTTCACCAAAGTTGGTAAACATATCAGACACGCCCTGTTGTAACTGGAATACTGGTTTATGGAAGCATAAATGCACAAATAATTGCTATGTTAGCCAATCAAATGACATGGAATCACTTGCAATTTATTAATTCCAAGGTAAATCTGTACTTTTATTGAGTCCTCTCATTGTGTACAGTGGGTGATTTGCATAACCTAACACATGAGAGGAGGTATGGAGGTATTTATTTGGGAATTGGAGGTACCCATTTGCATGGAACGTTCGTCGGGTATCGGTACACAGGCATACAAGTATGTTCCTGAGGTGCCTTCTAGAAGTACCTGTTCCACCAACAACCCAATCAGTGTTTCCTCACTGCCTGCTCCACACGGGGATTCTAGATTGTGGATTGGGTGGTCAGACTCAGTTACTTGGATGTAGCGTGTCATCATACTCCAATGGCATGGATAGTTGATTATAATATCAATCTGTGGTCTGCTCCGGATTCGATTATTTACAGCCCACCGTCATATAGCTGGAATATTGCTCATTGCGGATTTAGGCAACAAACAAAATAAATATATAACCTATGACACCCTTCTATGTTTTATTTGAACACCAAGACTCCTTAATGAAATATCATAACTTACACTGCAGCTGATCGCAGAGCGGTCCCACATATCCGTTCTGGCAGATACACTTGAAGCCCAACTCCGACACAGCGACACAGCTAGCCTCGTTCCGACACACACCACTGAACAAAATATTCCATAAATCAATTCCATGGCCAAAACGTATCGAAATGTACAGATTTTTCAGGTTTGAAAACACTGGTAGGTTATTTTTTGGGAGAACAACCAATATGGGATTAAATGTAATTACCGTATTCGACGTAATAAACGCCCCGGGCGCTCTCAAAATTAGAAATAGGGGGCTCTTATTAGAATATTATTTTGGTGAAAAAAACAGAGTTGAAAGATAAATTTCGTGGTTTATGCTGACAGCCCGAAATGTTTATGTACGACAGATATATTTTTCTAGAATTTAATTGCCCATAATTAAGGGAACATATAACACACAAGTACGTATTATTCACGAATAAATAAGTCTTGTGTACATTGATCAATCGGAAGAGGTGCTAATTGGGATTGTTCACTTGCCAATATATTAGCAAATACCGCCGTGGGCGCTTATTACAGCGGGGCGCTTATTACGTCAAATACCGTAAATATTAGCTCCCAAACACCACAGACTATTCCTCCTTGGACTGCTGGGCATTTATGAACATTTAGTTATTTATATATGCTTATAGATCAATATCTTCAGATGTTACATATGTAAATAAGGCAGAATTGTGTCATGGGACATATCATACAAATTGCACCCTCCAGCGTGTTGACCTAAATGTATGATGCAGATGTCTATAATGGCATGATAGGGAAATGATAACAAGACATATTAATCACCAAATACACATAGTGAAAATGTGTTTTCTTCCGGATTGGTTCCTCTCTTGAAAAAACATGTATACCAGCATTTTAGAGGGATGTCAGGAGTTGATAAGTCATAGGCACCAGATTTATTTGATTCATAAATCAATAGATGTATACAGAATCTCACCCAACTGTCTTTTGATATAACATATATCTACACGAGTCGATAAACGTTTATACTCTGAGGCCTGCTGAAGAGTTTCTGAACTTTTATTGACGAGTGTTGATATGTTTGATATCAAAAGACACATGGGTGAGATTCTACTGATCATTCTTTGATCTGTTCCAGTTTGTAAACAGTAGTAAGCAGTGTCTTAGTGTAAAACATACTGCTAACAAGAGAGATTTGTAATGAGGTCACAATGGAATACAATTTCAATGCAGCTATGTCTCATGGGAGAGGTGAGGTGAGGTGAAATTGGGTTTAACGTCGCGTCCAAGATTATTGCACTTATAAAGCGACGTGCATGCACGTGTGTGTGTGTGTGTGTGTGGCTGCTTGTACTAGTCCGGAATGATGCCGATTTATAGTGCTAGCTCACTGAGATACCATGCCGCAGTTTAACATGAATACCCCACTCAGACACAGTATACTGACTCCGAGCCGACCAGTCCTTTTTTTAGCCCCTTAATGCCGAGTGCCAGACAGGGTAACAACAAGTACCATCTTTTAACGTCTTTTGGTATGACGCAGCCGGGGATCGAACCCCGGACCTTCCGCTCTCTGGGCGGACTCTCTACCACTAGACCACGGAGGCGGTCCTCATGGGAGAGATTGTTTGATCTCATCCAAGCGATATCTCCTGTGGAAACTAGTTTTGGATGAACATATTCTACCTTATAAATCTTTATAGATTCATTGTGAGCACATTTGATCCCAAATATAATAACTCCATAATTTTTTAATTTTTTGTTTCACGGCCCCGCCGCCCCTAAGAACGAGCGGTCCAAGAAAAAATGAAACATAAAAATATTTATCTTTATTGTTATTTATAAATAAATAAATATATAAAAATAAATAAATACAGCATCAAAAGATATTGTGAAGCTTACTTGAGGCATGGATGCTTGCTGACAAGTGCAAGTTTTATGCCCTTGAGCGTCAGTGATGACTTGAGAGCGGGGAAACATGATCCGGGCATCCCACCACAGCTTCCCTGGGTTATCTGGTCTTGTGCTGAAGGTCACAGTTCAAGGTTGCCAGTCAGAAATACAGATAATTATGGGCGGCCATTCGGTAAAAAAATACAAAGTTGAAAAAAAGGACAAAAGTACACAATAAAGGTCAAATATTAAGAATAAAGAACTAAATGTTACTAATAAAGGGTCAAAATACAAATAAACAGGCGCTGGTTAAACAAATACAAAGTTGAAATAAAGGTCGAAAGTATTGATATTAATAGTCAAATGTTATGAAAAGACGTCATAAGAAAAGAAAGAACAATGTGTTCGAAAGAAGGCAGTGAGCACGAAAGAACGTTTACAATAGAGAACGCCAGTGAGCACGAAAGGACGTTGACAATAAAGAATGCCAGATGGCGCTGCAATTTGTAAAACATTCAGAGTTTAATCGGCTTGTTCCGCCGTGTATATGATAACTGCATGCATGCCGAGGTGCACAATGTATTACGTCACTCCTCATGCACTTACCATCTGACGTCACAGTCTTTCACACACAGCCGCGATACATACATCCCTGAATTACGCGTACATTTCAGCATCAACTAACAACTTGTCTTTGTCACAAATATAAACAAGCGAAATAAATCTGGTTTGAAAATGAACGCTGGTGTCTAAGAGGAAAATCGCTTTTCTTTATTTATGGCAAGTTATTTTTCCTTACGAATGTGTAACGTTATACATATGCATACAAATCTATTTGATATTATTTCTGACGTTCAGATATTGGGCAGCATTTTGTTCGCACACAGTTTCCGAAAAGCTGTTACATAAAACAATTCTCGCACAAAGTTCACTGTTTAGATGTTATGACAATATGTGTGTCTGACACAAGACTCGGCATCATAGCACCCTCGGGTTGCACCAAGCATGAACAGTTATTGGATCATTGTAGATTAATCCTAGTTTAGCGTTAAATGAATGTTTATTGTAGGTTGTATACAAAATACATGTACAAATTAGGCAGATGTCGGATTACACAGTATACTGTATTTAAGAAAAGGCCCTCAGCCGGTGACGATGCTTAAACATAATATGTATATACACAATGTGTACATTATACATTATACGTACATACATTACATACATAAATATATATGACGTCAGACGGTGAGAGCACGAGGAGTGACGTAATACATTGTGCACCTCGGCATGCATGCAGTTATCATATACACGGCGGAACAAGCCGATTAAACTCTGAATGTTTTACAAATTCCACCGCCATCTGGCGTTCTTTATTGTCAACGTCCTTTCGTGCTCACTGACATTCTTTATTGTAAACGTCCTTTCGTGCTCACTGACATTTTTTCGAACACATTGTTCTTTCTTTTCTTGTGACGTCTTTTCGTAACATTTGACTAATAATATTGCGTACTTTTGACCTTTATTTCAACTTTGGATTTTTTTAACCGGCGTCTGTTTGTTTTGTATTTTGACCTTTATTAGTAACATTTAGTTCTTTATTCGTAATATTTGACCTTTATTGTGTACTTTTGTCCTTTTTTCTATGTTTGTATTTTTTAACTGAATGGCTGCCCATAGATAATGTCAACAAGCTTATAGTCGAACAAATGAAAGTATCATGCATAAATGCAAGAAATAGTATTTGGAATCATCATACAAGAAAGTCGGTATGTTGTGTAGAGGACACTTTTTGGTCTACCGATGAACTTTACCTGTAGCATACACAGATATCCTGTAAGCACCCCCACAGGTCTGGGCGAAGTCTCCCTGACACTTGGAGTTACATTCTGTCTCCTTAGAGGCCAAGGCATAGCGGGTGTGGCTGTCTCCACAGAAGCACTGGTTTGTATACTGAAATCGGAACACAGATATCAGACTAGGCCAGAGTCTTGAACCCTCACAAGAGTCCTACCATGGACCTGAACCCTTGCATGAGTCCTACCATGGACCTGAACCCTTGCATTAGTCCTACCATAAATCTGAGTCCTACCATTGACCTGAACCCTCACATCAGCCCTACCATAGACCTGAACCCTTGCATGAATGCTACAATGGATCTAAGCTCTACCATGGACCTGAACCCTTGCAGCACATCCACTCACCTCTACTCCAGCATAACGGTAGCCCTGCTGTTTGCAGTGACTGATGCAGACATCAGGAGTCATGGAGGAGGATGTCATATACGCAGATGGTAGCAGACGAACACGACCATCTATGAAGCATCCAATGTAAGCTGGAACAAGTATATGGAATGAATGTGGTACCCATCAATAAATGATCAAAAGAACAATAAGAGAGAGAGAGAGAGAGAGAGAGAGAGAGAGAGAGAGAGAGAGAGAGAGAGAGAGAGAGAGAGAGAGAGAGAGAGAGAAAATGGATGTAAAATTCTTTATTATGGGGAACACAACTTTTTGGAGTATATGCTTACTCCTTTTTCTGGTGAATGAATTCAAGGATTCAGAGAGTATATATCTGTACATGTAAATGTCCCAGTCAGCTCCAAGACTGGCTCAAACAACTGGCTCCAAACGGCAATATCAATTATCTCCGCCATCAGTTAATAGACACAATCAAGAAGCCCCCACACCATGCTAAAACTTCTCCACCCAAGAGACAAGCCATGACTGAACTCCGTTAGGATAACACCATCACCATAACAGAAGCTGACAAAGGCAAAGCAGCTGTCATCATGAACACCCCAGATTTCCTGCAGCTCTTCAACAACACCCTCTCTGTCGCGACCACCTATCTCACTATCCAGAAAGACCCTACTGCTAAACTAGAACGTCAACAGATGACCCTGAAAGATCTCCACCAGAACAGAGAGGTAACCAACACCATCTTCAACCATGGGACCCAATCAATTCTGAAGCCCCTTATTAAAGTGTGACAGTCATGTTCCACAAGAACCCACCAAAAGCCAGAATACCAGTCCTCTCGAGAGGACCTTTGTTCTACAACACTGCCCATTACCTCTCCCGCCTTCCAGCCCTTAGGCAAAGATGGCAAGTCCTACATCAGCCATTCCTCCTCCTTCATCAACCAGTGTATAGAAGCAAACCTCACAGGCACCATGATAAGCTATGATGTGATCGCCCCCTTCACTAACATCCCTCTACAAGAAGCCCTTCACATCCTCCACAAGCTACAAACCAGAATTGACGACCTCGACACAAAACTGACCATAGACAGCATCATCAATCTTACCTCTAGCTGCTTGACACCTCATATTTCACCTTCAACAACAAGATCTACGAGAAAATCCACGGACTGCCCATTGGTCCCCTGTCTCCACTCATCACTGAAAATCTTTATGACCTCCTCCTACAACTCCTGCCACCATTCCCAGATAAAACAAGCCATCATGCCATCATCACCAGACATGCCAAAACCATTTACCACCCTGATGCCCTCAGCAGTGAACTGAACCATCTAAAAAAAAATTAACTGAACAGTTACCCTGCCCACCTAGTCTCCAGAACCATCAACAAGACCCTCAAGAACTCCGAGACCAGACCAAAACCTGCCCCATCACCCATCAGAATCTCCATACCATACCTCCTGTCAGCCATCAGATTTCCTGCCTCATCAAGGAAAAAGCTAACATAGATGTCACCTTTTCCAGCAGCAAGACCATCAAGACCCATCTGCATGCCAATGGCTGAGGCACCAGCAGCAAAAGTCCCAACCCTAGAAGATTTATATACCAGATCCCCTGCAGCTGTGGCCACCAATACGTTGGAGAAACCCTCAGACCTCTCCACACCAGACTCAAAGAACATCATACCTCTGTCAACACACTAGACCCGAAATCTGCAATTTCCGAACACATCATAAAGAACCAAGACCATACCATCATGTGGTAAGCTTCCTAAGTCCTGTTCACCAACAACAACTGGCGTCATAGGAAACTACAAGAGGCCATTGACATCAGGCGATACCAGCCAGCCATGAACCATGACCAGGGAACATCTGTCTTGTGCTTGGGACTCACTGATTCATAAATCTATCTGAAGCATTGTCTCTGAATCAAGGCTAAATAATCAAGTTGGTTTCCATCCAATTGGCTTCCTTTTGTCCGTTGCTTATTACTAATCTGTGCTTTTATTACAAATCAGTTCTAAGCTAACTCCTGTCTTCCAGTGCTTACTTAACTCCTGGCTTCCATTTGTCCTTCAATCACCTATCAGCACTAGTTACTGAAGTTGGCAATGAAGGCCTGTCCCTGGTGTGTGTTACTTGCTGTAGTTGGCAATGAAGGCCTGTCTCTGGTGTGTGTTACTTACAGTAGTTGGCAATGAAGGCCTGTCCCTGGTGTGTGTTACTTACTGTAGTTGGCAATGAAGGCCTGTCCCTGGTGTGTGTTACTTACAGTAGTTGGCAATGAAGGCCTGTCTCTGGTGTGTGTTACCTACTGTAGTTGACAATGAAGGCCTGTCCCTGGTGTGTGTTACTTACAGTAGTTGGCAATGAAGGCCTGTCTCTGGTGTGTGTTACTTACTGTAGTTGGCAATGAAGGCCTGTCCCTGGTGTGTGTTACTTACTGTAGTTGGCAATGAAGGCCTGTCTCTGGTGTGTGTTACTTACTGTAGTTGGCAATGAAGGCCTGTCCCTGGTGTGTGTTACTTACTGTAGTTGGCAATGAAGGCCTGTCTCTGGTGTGTGTTACTTACAGTAGTTGGCAATGAAGGCCTGTCCCTGGTGTGTGTTACTTACAGTAGTTGGCAATGAAGGCCTGTCCCTGGTGTGTGTTACTTACTGTAGTTGGCAATGAAGGCCTGTCCCTGGTGTGTGTTACTTACTGTAGTTGGCAATGAAGGCCTGTCTCTGGTGTGTGTTACTTACTGTAGTTGGCAATGAAGGTGTGTCCCTGGTGTGTGTTACTTACTGTAGTTGGCAATGAAGGCCTGTCCCTGGTGTGTGTTACTTGCTGTAGTTGGCAATGAAGGCCTGTCCCTGGTGTGTGTTACTTACAGTAGTTGGCAATGAAGGCCTGTCCCTGGTGTGTGTTACTTACAGTAGTTGGCAATGAAGGCCTGTCCCTGGTGTGTGTTACTTGCTGTAGTTGGCAATGAAGGCCTGTCCCTGGTGTGTGTTACTTACTGTAGTTGGCAATGAAGACCTGTCCTGGTGTGTGTTACTTACTGTAGTTGGCAATGAAGGCCTGTCTCTGGTGTGTGTTACTTACTGTAGTTGGCAATGAAGGCCTGTCTCTGGTGTGTGTTACTTACTGTAGTTGGCAATGATGACCTTTCCTGGTGTGTGTTACTTACTGTAGTTGGCAATGAAGGCCTGTCCCTTGGCTTGGCCAGGCTTGCTGTACTGCCCGTTCCAAGTCCATTGAACGTCTGGGCTGATAGCAAATGGTGTCTCAGACAAGTCAATCTTGAAGTTCCCATGTGGTGTGCAGTTGAGAGAACTGGAGAAGCTGTCCCCAGCACATCCATAGCTGTAAGAGTGAGTCATTCTTTAACAGAGGAATCATGACATCGGTTGCATCATGGCATGTCAGTCAAATGGAAGAGGAACATCCAAATGGTTAGTGGTATAAACAAAATTCAAAAGTTTGCCAAATAGCGCTTACCATATATGGTTTGGTCCAATCTGTTTGGTGAATGTATAGTCTGTGATGTCTACATTAAAGGTGTCAACATGCAGTCTGATCTTGGTGAACTCCGTCCGCCCCCATTGGCTGTATAACTGTGCTGGGGACATGCTCCCACAGCTGTCAGTTCCTGTACAGACATCAGTCACATCCTACACAAACATCGGTCACATCCTACACAAACATCGGTCACATCCTACAAAAACATTGGCCAGATCCTACACAAACATCAGTCACATCCTACACAAACATCAGTCACATCCTACACAAACATCAGTCACATCCTACACAAACATCGGCCAGATCCTACACAAACACCGGCCAGATCCTTCACAAACTTCTGTCACATCCTACACAAACATTGGTCACATCCTCCATAAACATCGGCCAGATCCTACACAAACTTCTGTCACATCCTACACAAACATTGCTCACATCCTCCATAAACATCGGCCAGATCCTACACAAACATCAATCACATCCTCCACTAACATCAGCCAGATCCTACACAAACATCGATCACATCCTACACAAACATCGGCCAGATACTACACAAACATCGGCCAGATCCTACACAAACATTGGCCAGATCCTACACAAACATTGGCCAGATCCTACACATATATCGGCCAGATCCTACACAAACATCGGCCAGATCCTACAAAAACATTGGCCAGATCCTACACAAACATCGGTCACATCCTACACAAACATTGGTCATATCCTTAACAAACAACAGTCACATCCTTCACAAACATCGGTCACATCCTACACAAACATCGATCACATCCTACACAAACATCGGTCACATCCTATACAAACAACAGTCATATCCTTCACAAACATCGGTCACATCCTACACAAACATCGATCACATCCTTCACAAACATCTATCACATCCTACACAAACATTTATCACATCCTACACAAACATCGGTCACATCCTACACAAACATTGGTCACATCCTAAACAAACAACAGTCACATCCTTCTCAAACATCAGTCACATCCTACACAAACATCGATCACATCCTACACAAACATCGATCACATCCTTCACAAACATCTATCACATCCTACACAAACATCATTCACATCCTACACAAACATCCGTCACATCCTTCACAAACATCAATCACATCCTACACAAACATCGATCACATCCTTCACAAACATCGATCACATCCTACACAAACATCATTCACATCCTACACAAACATCGGTCACATCCTACACAAACATCGATCACATCCTTCACAAACATCAATCACATCCTACACAAACATCGATCACATCCTACACAAACATCATTCACATCCTACACAAACATCGGTCACATCCTACACAAACATCATTCACATCCTACACAAACATCGGTCACATCCTACACAAACATCATTCACATCCTACACAAACATCGGTCACATCCTACACAAACATCGATCACATCCTTCACAAACATCGATCACATCCTACACAAACATCAATCACATCCTACACAAACATCATTCACATCCTACACAAACATCGGTCACATCCTACACAAACATCATTCACATCCTACACAAACATCAATCACATCCTACACAAACATCGGTCACATCCTACACAAACATCATTCACATCCTACACAAACATCGGTCACATCCTACACAAACATCATTCACATCCTACACAAACATCGGTCACATCCTACACAAACATCGATCACATCCTTCACAAACATCGATCACATCCTACACAAACATCGATCACATCCTACACAAACATCAATCACATCCTACACAAACATCATTCACATCCTACACAAACATCGATCACATCCTACACAAACATCAATCACATCCTACACAAACATCATTCACATCCTACACAAACATCGGTCACATCCTACACAAACATCATTCACATCCTACACAAACATCGGTCACATCCTACACAAACATCATTCACATCCTACACAAACATCGGTCACATCCTACACAAACATCGGTCACATCCTACACAAACATCGATCACATCCTTCACAAACATCAATCACATCCTACACAAACATCGATCACATCCTACACAAACATCATTCACATCCTACACAAACATCGGTCACATCCTACACAAACATCATTCACATCCTACACAAACATCGGTCACATCCTACACAAACATCGATCACATCCTTCACAAACATCGATCACATCCTACACAAACATAGGTCACATCCTACACAAACATCGGTCATATCCTACACAAACATCCGTCACATCCTACACAAACATCGGTCACATCCTACACAAACGTCATTCACATCCTACACAAGGATTGGTCACATCCTAAACAAACAACAGTCACATCCTACACAAACATTGGTCACATCCTACACAAAAATCAGTCTCATCCTACACAAACATCGGTCACATCCTGAACAAACAGTCACATCCTACACAAACAGTCACATCCTACACAAACAGTCACATCCTACACAAAGGTCAGTCACGGCTACACACAGCTACACACAAACATCGGTCACATCCTGCATAAACATTGGTCAGATCCGAGACAAAACATCATTTACATCCTACACAAACATCAGAATGTTTTGGACGTCATTTACAACTGGGCTTTTTCATTTCTTACAAATGACCACAGGTGAAACCCTGAAACACAAAAATGGAGCTGACCAATGTTTACACTGACAACATTTCTGACTGTGTGCTGCAAACCACTTACCTTTATGTTTAGAGTAGACTGCAAAGTTGTTGCTTCTCCCTGCCTTGAGAGTGAGGTATTCCTTAGGGGAGTTGGTGTTCATACCTGTACCAGACACACAGTGATACTTGTTGAAAGACAGTACAGCTGTAGACTGTCATACTGTTCACATACCTTACTGTATATTACTGGGGGAATCGGCCATATCCAGTGTCAGCCAATACCCTGATAGTATTAAGTAATACTTTTATTTAACAGTTACAGTACAAATACTTGTAACAAGAATAATTTCTCATAATGTTTCACTATCTTTTTCTTTTTGACTGAAATATCTTGGTGTCAGTTATATTCCTAGTTAAGCAGTCTTCAAAATGAGAGTTCACTGAAGCTGCAGAAACAATATGACATAGTTTCAGTATTTCGATCCCTGGGGACAACATACATGCCACAAGCCAGTTTTTATTATCAATTACATGGTTAAGAGTTCATCTGATCCAAAATTTCACAAATTTGGTATTTAGAAGAAAGTAGGACAACACAGGAAGGAAGCAACCCTTTAATTCTCATTAGAAAGCAAAAATTCCTTCAAGAAATCACTTATAAATCATGTCTTCTGAGGGTGGGCGTTATTACCTGTATATCAGTATATTGAGGTTCACTAGTTTCCACAATAATTTTATCACAATATCATTTTTTAACGCTCAGTATATCGGGTGATTTCAAAAAGAGATTTTTATCATGTGTTTAATGTGAAACACTTGCTAAATACACAGAGCGTGCATCCGTGCATTTTTATTAAATGAGTATTCAGCATTATGGCAAAAAAAGATTTTTCAAGTATTATATGCAGGAGAAAATGACATCGTATCCCTTCAGCCAATTTCATTTATCAACTTCAATTCATACACTGATATTTCAAATTGATTATGAATTCAAATTTTAGAATTATACAATATATTGTGATATGTATCGCAATACAGCCTTGTGCATCATAAATATTATGATACACTTTAAACCTCAAATACCCATCCTTAATGTGATCATTTTTTAAAATTTTGACCAATGAACTAACTTTTTGGTAAAAACTCTGGAAACAAAGTTATTAATAAAAAGAAGTCGAGCCTTGCCAATTATTGACACAACTACTTCTGGTGATAATAATTCTGCCTACAGTGAGATTGAGTGAATGACTGTCTCGGAAGATACCGAGAAGTATATGTATTGTATCACAGTTCTGAACGCCCAATTGTGAAGCTGTTATCACCGGTATCCCTTTGGGACTGTCACTATCCACACCTACACCACATACTATCTACATGGCCTTGACAGTGAACCTTGAGTTTGTGTGTCAGTAATGGTGGGTTCTGCATGTGTTCCGAGTGATGCTGCTTATATCCCGGCTTATTAGCAGTTCTGACATGTGATGAAGGTCAAGGACGTTTATGCCCTTACCGAAACTCTTGATCATCGTAAGCAATAATGGTAAGATTCTGTGAATAAAGTGATACTAATGCAGGTCATAATTTGCATATGAATAATGAAACTAAAAAAACAAAGCAAATACCAATAAACAACCCTGACATTTATCGTGAGTGAGTGAGTATGGTTTTACGCTACTTTTAGCAATATTCCAGCAATATCATGGCGGGGGACACCAGAAATGGGCTTCACACATTGTACCCATGTCAGGAATCGAACTTGGGTCTTCAGCGTGACAAGCGAATGCTTTAACCACTAGGCTACCCGACCGCTCCGAGAGGCTGAGAGATTTGGCTGTGAGAATGTTACTGGTCAAGTCAAAGTTTCAAAGAGTCATGATCAGAAAAAAAAACCATGTGTTTTTCCAGGTACTATTCTCTAGCTTCGCTTTGATATTTATACAATTAGATATTTATACAATTTCAGTTATTAATGTCTTCAAATGAAGCAATTTCATTGGAAATTCATACAAGTCAGAGGTGATGCCAACAGTATAATTTGTTCATAAGTAATGACCTTGACTTTCAAAGCAATCAATATGCCAGAATAATCATTTTGAAATATATTGGGTTGTTTAAGTTCACTTATCTCTAACAAGTACAATAATCATAAGGTAGACACTATTAGTTAATCACCTGATCACAAACACCCTATTTCTGATCACAAACACTCCATTTCTAACAAGTGTTGTTAAAACAGGTATTAATCTTGCAAAAGTAATACCTTACTCTGTTGGTAAGAAGGATCTTATGAACATCCTTTGAAAATTTGAAAACAGTGCATTATTATGATAGTTTCTTACAGGAAACTATTTCATCCATTTGTTGTTAAAATATGTCAAAAAGTCAAATATTATTCAAATTATACACAAGGTACTAATGGGACTGGTGCCTTCAGCATTAAAAAGGTCTCAGTCAGTGTACACTCTGGAATAACAGGGTCTGGATTAACAGGGCCTCAGTGTACACTGTACTGTCCCGATTAACAGGGTCTTAGTGTACACTGTACAGTCTGGATTAACAGGGTCTCAGTGTACACTGTACAGTCTGGATTAACAAGGTCTCAGTGTACACTGTACTGTACCGATTAACAGGATCTCAGTGTATACTGTACACTCTGAAATACCAGGGTCTCAGTGTACACTGTACAGCCTAGATTAACAGGGTCTCAGTGTACACTGTACTGTATTGATTAACAGAATCTCAGTGTATACTGTACACTCTGGAATAACAGGGTCTCAGTGTACACTGTACAGTCTAGATTAACAGGGTCTCAGTGTACACTGTACTGTATTGATTAACAGAATCTCAGTGTATACTGTACACTCTGGAATAACAGGGTCTCAGTGTACACTGTACTGTCCCGATTAACAGGGTCACAGTGTACACTGTACAGTCTGGATTAACAGGGTCTCAGTGTACACTGTACAGTCGAGATTAACAGGGTCTCAGTGTACACTGTACAGTCTGGATTAACAGGGTCTCAGTGTACACTGTACAGTCTGGATTAACAGGGTCTCAGTGTACACTGTACAGTCTAGATTAACAGGGTCTCAGTGTACACTGTACTGTACCGATTAACAGTACTCAGTGTATACTGTATAGTCTGGATTAACAGGGTCTCAGTGTACACTGTACAGTCTAGATTAACAGGGTCTCAGTGTACACTGTACTGTATCAATTAACAGAATCTCAGTGTATACTGTATAGTCTGGATTAACAGGGTCTCAGTGTACACTGTACAGTCTAGATTAACAGGATCTCAGTGTACACTGTACAGTCTGGATTAACAGTGTGTCAGTGTACACTGTACAGTCTGGATTAACAGGGTCTTAGTGTACACTCTGCAGTCTTGATTAACAGTGTGTACACTTCACAGTCTGGATTAACAAGGTCTCAGTGTACATTCTGTTGTCCTCTTCCAGAAAGAAGGCATGTTCCTTGTGTGTCCAGGTTTTACTTATTTTACATATTTGCTCAGGAACTATTGAGTGTTCATATAGTCTCATTACCTCTGAACATATATCATTTAAAGAAATTCATAAATCATTTAGTTTTTGTCCAAAAAATGCTAAAATTGTGTTGACATTTAAAAGATACTCTTTTCATGCGGTACAGTGAGTGAGTGAGTTTGGTTTTACGACCGTTTAAGCAATATTCCAGCAATATCACGGCGGGGGACACCAGAAATGGGCTTCACACATTGTACCCATGTCGGGATTCGAACCCGGGTCTTCAGCGTGACAAGCGAACGCTTTAACAACTAGGCTACCCGACCGCCCCTCATGCGGTACAGTATTTGTTGTCCACATACGAAGATGCAGATGCTGCTGATCAAACTGCTTGAAGTGATAGTCACAACCAACATACAAACAGATGTTTAAAATACATATGTTTAATTGAAAACATAAATTGTTCATTTTTGACTTCTGCAAATCTTGAGCAGGCTTCTCCATAGTTTAAATATAACTGACTGTTCAAACTAATAATAAAATAATAAAACATAAACAAAATACCAGAACAGTTGAAAACATGCGATAACTCACCTGTAAGGCATATAACTCACCTGCACAGTATATAACTCACCTGCACAGTATATAACTCACATAACTCACCTGCACAATACAGTGAAGCTCCAGTATTTTGTTGCAGATACAAGATATATTCCCCGTCAGATGCGTTTCCAGTCTGTTGCTTCACATCCACGCAGGAATGGAACACTCCATGAACATTCAAGACAAATAGTACAAAAATAAAACATTCTTCCAAACAGTTTCTCTTCATTATGATAACACAGCGTCTGTCAGTTATACTAGGGTTGAGAGTCGACCTTGGAATAAATATAACGAAGCAAGTTCTCCTATTCACAAATTCTTTCCTGAACCAATTGTCCCTCTGACATGATCTACTCCAGGCTACTCATTGTCACATCTGAGAACTCTAGTAGGACTGCTCACGACTTCCAGCGATGGTATCCTGTTGTGTAATGTCCCTTCTGCCACTTCAGGCTCTCAGTCTTTGAATCAACAAATTATAATTAGCAAAGATAACAATTCAAATTTGTCAGCTGGGAGAACGACTTGCAAACTTATTTATGATCTAAGTCCACATACAACGGACACACAACATCACACTGTGGTGTCTTTGATAAGCTATCACAGCTATCACTGTCTGATATCTGTCAGTAGGCATTGTGGCTGAAAATGACTACAATCATTATCTGCTCTGATATGACATACACAGGGCAATAAGCAGTGAAATAACTAATGATAACAATTCATTGTTAACAGATATATTATGTATACAGTTTATAGTAGGTATTTACAGATTACTGATTATTAACATGGTGTTAAAGATAGATTAAGGGAAAACAATCTACTGTCCCTTTAAAAAGTCTCACCGCTTGCTCCAATATACAAGTACTTGCAACTGTCTATAGACTTATGACTGGTCTCTTGGGTCACCGACTTTAAATAAAAGTTGGCCTTCATCTGCTGGTCAAGAGGCCATGCTACCAGTAAGGATGACCCTGAGAGGGGGTAGCTTGCTGGTCAAGCCAGTCATGCAGCAAACAACAGAACATAGGAGCAAATTTGGGGAGCGTGGTCAGGGAAGTGTGAAGCTTGGTTGTATAGTGAACTGGACCTAGAGTCTGTGATCAGGGTGTGAAGCTTGGTTGTATAGTGAACTGGACCCAGAGTCTGTGATCAGGGTGTGAAGCCTGGTTGTATAGTGAACTGGACCCAGAGTCTGTGATCAGGGTGTGAAGCCAGGTTGTATAGTGAACTGGACCCAGAGTCTGTGATCAGGTTGTGAAGCCTGGTTGTATAGTGAACTGGACCCAGAGTCTGTGATCAGGGTGTGAAGCCAGGTTGTATAGTGAACTGGACCCAGAGTCTGTGATCAGGGTGTGAAGCCTGGTTGTATAGTGAACTGGACCTAGAGTCTGTGATCAGGGTGTGAAGCCAGGTTGTATAGTGAACTGGACCCAGAGTCTGTGATCAGGGTGTGAAGCCTGGTTGTATAGTGAACTGGACCTAGAGTCTGTGATCAGGGTGTGAAGCCAGGTTGTATAGTGAACTGGACCCAGAGTCTGTGATCAGGGTGTGAAGCCTGCTTGTATAGTGAACCTGACCTAGAGTCTGTGATCAGGGTGTGAAGCCTGCTTGTATAGTGAACCTGACCTAGAGTCTGTGATCAGGGTGTGAAGCCTGCTTGTATAGTGAACTGGACCTAGAGTCTGTGATCAGGGTGTGAAGCCTGCTTGTATAGTGAACTGGACCTAGAGTCTGTGATCAGGGCATCTTCCCGAGGCAAGAGAGTTACCTGACTTTAAAAGTCTAGTTTCCACCCTTGCCGAACTAGGCTGGAATTACTGGACTCGATCGTAGCGCCACCAGTGGCTATTACCAGCTAAGTCCCTTCTAAGCCTCTCCTATTGACCAATCAGATTCCACCTCTCGTATCACTTGCGTTTGCTTCACACAAAGATCAAGATCTATATTGTGATAAAACGGGTCTTACATCGCGAAATGCATCAAATCACGCGAGCACCTTGATTAAAAACATGAATAGATTTGGAACATATCTGCTGACAACGAGTTGGCGGTGCACATGCTTTGCAAACCCTGCAATCGACCGAAATCTGCACGACAGCTTACGAACCGGATTTCGATTTCGGTGTGTGATTTTGATTGCACTATGCATAGACACCTTAGTCCAGCCAAAATGTAACTCCATAATACCAGCCTAGTTCGGCAAGGGTGGAACCTGGACTTTTATAGTCAGTTAACTCTCTTGCCTCGGGAAGATGTGATCAGGGAGACGTGAAGCCTGGTTGTACAATGAACTGGACCCAGAGTCCGTGATCAGGGAGACGTGAAGCTTGGTTGTACAGGAACTGGACCCAGAGTCTGTGATCAGGTTGTGAAGCTTGGTTGTACAATGAACTGGACCCAGAGTCTGTGATCAGGGTATGAAGCCTGGTTGTACAATGAACTGGACCCAGAGTCTGTGATCAGGGTGTGAAGCTTGGTTGTACAATGGACTGGACCCAGAGTCTGTTATCAGGGTATGAAGCTTGGTTGTAAAGGAACTGGACCCAGAGTCTGTGATCAGGGTGTGAAGCCAGGTTGTACAATGAACTGGACCCAGAGTCTGTGATCAGGGTGTGAAGCTTGGTTGTAAAGGAACTGGACCCAGAGTCTGTGATCAGGGAGACGTGAAGCTTGGTTGTACAATGAACTGGACCCAGAGTCTGTGATCAGGGTGTGAAGCTTGGTTGTAAAGGAACTGGACCCAGAGTCTGTGATCAGGGAGACGTGAAGCTTGGTTGTAAAATGAACTGGACCCAGAGCCTGTGATCAGGGAGGTGTGAAGTTTTTCATTTTGGAGGAAACCTGGGAACACTATCTGAGACAACATATCTTTTTTACTTCACAACAATATTTTTCTGGACATCCAGAATGACAAATGAACAATTTCATTTATTTATTTTTTTAAACCTGAGGCACGATCCATTTTTTTCAGGTACAATTCTATTAAAAAAAATATATATATATGTATTGCGAAAAACAAAACATCAAATCCGACAACTAACTAAACAAATCTCACATTCCCTTACATCCTGTATGAGAATGGCAGACAAGAAGCAAACAATAGTGTTTTCAATTCAACTCCTGTAACCTCTTGAGTGAGTGAGGATGGTTTTACTCCGTTTTTAGCAATATTCCAGCAATATCACGGCAGGGGACACAGAAAAGGGCTTCACACATTATACCCATGTCGGGAATCAAACCCGGGTCTTTGGCATGACAAGCGAACACTTTAACCACTAGGCTACCTGACCGCCCTTGTAACCTCTTGAATAAATTCAAGCGACATCATTGGTGGAACAAGCATGTGATGTTCTTTCTTCACTGGTCCAGTGGTTGTTGACAAGATTTTACAACCGACAACGCACAACTGACAAGAGTCGGGGAATCAAACACAGACCGATGGCATGATGAGCCAAGGATAATACAAGGCAACCCCATAAGGCAAAAAAGGTGAGGTGGTTTAACGCCGCACTCAGCAATATTCCAACTATATGACGGCGGTCTGTAAATAGTCCAGTCTGGACCAGACAATCCAGTGATTGATATCATGAGCATCGATCCACGCAATTGGGATAGATGATATGCATCAACCAAGTCAGCGAGCCTGACCACCCGATCCTGTTAGTCGTCTTTTACGACAAGCATAGTCACCTTTTACGGCAAGCATGGATTGCTGAAGACCTATTCTACCCCCGATCTTCACGGGTCGAGGTGAAAAGGGGTTAACATTGCATACATGGTTATAGCACTTATATTAAAACAAGCAAGCACTCGTCTGTGTTCTTGTACGGGTCCTGACTAATGCCGATGATTACTGCTAGCCCAGTGAGATGTCATGACACAGCTGCTCTATCCACTTGACCATGGAGATCTCCACTGTCCCATGTAGCCATATGGGGAATCAAGTACAGGCCACTGAGCCAAGGGTATCACCATGAGGCTCTCCTACCCATCCAGAGTAAACGAAGTGGGTGATCTTGATTGTACACTGCTTCTAGCCATAATCCAGCAATATCTCAGCAGGGGACAGCAAGAATAGGCTTAGGCTTTCTACATTGTGCCAAGAGGAACAGACCTTTGAAGATTCCGGGGTAGAATAGGTCTTCAGCAACCCATGCTTGCCGTAAAAGGTGACTATGCTTGTCGTAAAAGGCGACAAACGGGATCGGGTGGTCAGGCTCGCTGACTTGGTTGATGCATGTCATCAATCCCAATTGCATGGATTGATGCTCATGATATTAATCACTGGATTGTCTGGTCCAGACTCGATTATTTACAGACCGCTGTCATATAGCTGGAATATTGCTGAGTGCGGCGTTAAACAACAAACCACCCACCCACCCAGAGGAACAAAACCTGTGTCTTTGGCACCAAAACCACGAGGTTACCCTTCTTGGCCTTGGAGAGAAAGGAAGTAAATGAATTTACTTTCACACTGCCTACAGCAATACTCAGGGCATATATATCACAGCAGCGGACATTGTTATTGACTGATATTGAGGGATAGTAACTGATTGGCTGCTTACTAACAAGGTGGCACAGGACATCATGTTTCCCACTTAGGTGAACGCTATGGTAATTCATTTGGTAAACAATGCATCAACTGAAAGAAGAGTCATCAGATGACAAATCCCCCCGGCTCTCACAAATTCGAAAGAACAAAACATCTGACTGTTGCTTAAGTCCAACTTGAGAGAATGTCTATCTGATCTGTGTCTGTATGCAAGAGAAGTTATTGAGCTATCAAAACAGTACCACGGATTGGGATTTGGAACTTTGTATTTCTTTTGACAATAAAGATACCACTATGCAACAATACTCAACTGTTATGAATAAAGTATCAAATGTTACAAATAAGGTCATTATATGAATATGGATAATGACATTAAGAATTCAAAAAAAATAAAAATGATCAACCTTGATATATATATATATACAGTAAACTACGTTTATCACGAACACGCATATAATTAACCGACAGATATAACAAACTTTGTTTGAGTCCCGTCAATTTGCTGTATATATGCTGTACATTTGCTTAAAACGAACTACAGTTATAACGAACTAATATTAGTGGTCCCTTGAGTTTGTTATAACCGTAGTTTACTGTAGGTAGCAAACAAAAGACACCATATGAAACAAAGAACATGTTCTAAAGAAAGTCAGTGCACACAAAAGGACACCAGATGGCTCTGATATCTGAATAACATTCAGAGTACGATTGGTTTATTCTGCTGTGTATGACACAAGCATTCAATGCCCCACTATGACCCTAATAACTAACATTTAATACTTTAATCGTAACATTTGAGTATTATTGCATACTGCTGACCTTTATTTTTTTACTGAATGGTAGCCATGGAAACCAACAAGCACAGATATCTTGATCAGGTTGTAGCTGGGTTTCAACCAGAGGTGAGGTGAGGTGAGGTGAAATTGGGTTGAACGTCGCGTCCAAGATTATTGCACTTATATAGCAACGTGCATGTACGTGTGTGTCTGTGGCTGCTTGTACTAGTCCGGACTGATGCCGATTTATAGTGCTAGCTCACTGAGATACCATGCCACAGTTTAACATGAATACCTCACTCAGACACAGTATACTGACTCTGAGCTGACCAGTCCTTGTTTTAGCCTCTTTATGCCGAGCGCCAGACAGGGTAACAACAAGTACCATCTTTTAACGTCTTTTGGTATGACGCAGCCGGGGATCGAACTCCGGACCTTCCGCTCTCCGGGCGGACGCTCTACCACTAGACCACGGAGGCGGAAAACCAGAAAGAACAAAGTAAGTCATTGATGCTGTACAAGATTTCTCATGTTTTATTCATAAATAAAACTATAAAGACAGTGGAGATGTCTTGATTTATGTCAAATAAAGGCTCTTCTTCATTCTGAATCTGAAATTAAGTATTGCATACGTCAAGCTCACACATACACACATGAACATAACTATTTCAGTGTTGTCAGCACATACACAGTACCTGTAATCAACCTATAACAGCCATTGCCATGGCACTGGTCTACCTATTCATAACACTACCTGGCACCTCATAATTATCTTATTGTTTAAAGCTTGGACAGCTAATATAAATGTTAATTTCTTTTTTCAATTCACTAAAATATTAACATATTATTATTAAGTTCTTGACTTCTTATTTTGGCTGCAGATTTCTACTGGCATTGAAATATCTAAAGCTCCTGTATTTTGTCTATTTCTTGCAACTGCTACTTTCAGTATTCTTGAATGTGGAAAAGAAGAGTCACACGGAGCCACATAGCATTCGCTTCAGACAAAGCTGACGCAAAGCACCAATTACCAGTAGTGTCTAACGTCAGGCGTGATATCTATTTTTGGCTTGGTTTACAGATCTGCTGTTCTAAAAAATAGAAAATTCAGAAAGAAAATATCAGAATGACAAGGTTGTTTAATATTGTTGATGCTAAAGAAGGCTCTGAAAATAAATATAATCCAAGGGATTTTTATATGACATTTCTTTTCCAATGATAAATGTTCATTGTTTTTTTCATCACCAACCGATCTGTATTGAACCTTAAGATGAATAAAAAATCCTGTACAACGTATTCTATTTTTATTATTATTTTGTCCTACCAATCAAATTTTCACAACCAAGTCCATAAACCAAACAATCAAAAGAAGTCTGGCCTTAATAACCACAATAGGAGTCTTTAGACTGAAAGTATAGGTTGTGTAATAAAAATACACAAAACACTTGTACCAATAACAGTGGAAGACTATTCAGTTGTTTCTTAAAAAAGGACCGATGATGAGATACACTATGATTCAATTCAGAAACAGCTGTGGAACATAAATGGACCTTGTCAATGTGGTGTTGGTGATGCGGGTAGTGTCTGCAACTCAGCAGTGAGTGAGTGAGTGAGTGAGTTGGGTTTAACGCCGCTTTTAACAGTATTCCAGTTATATCGCGGCGTGTCAGCTTAATGTGGGAGGAAAGCCCGAAGGGATGTAGGTCTCAGACGTTTACCACTTCGGTGAAACCCACGAGCACGGGTATGGTGCTGACAAACCTAGAAACATAATCGGGGCGAACTGGGATTCGAACCCACAATCATAGATTTCTGGCGTGGCCAAGGGACGCAACTCTGCACAGCAAATCGCGGCGCCTTAGACGACTGGGCCACCCGTGCCCCCGCAATTCAGCAGAGTAAACTAAGAGCCTTAAGGGCCAGTACATTTAAAAAACTCCGCCCAGTGGAAAAACTGTAGGCCCAAATATTTTAGCTGATGCAGGGAGACATACTCTTGGAATAAAAATTGCAAAACACAACCAGTCAACAAGAAGCTTTCCTGCCTCATGGTGGTTATAGATGAACCCTACATTTATGAGGAAATTATCAGCTTGTAAAACACGACTACATGTCATTTGAAAGGTATAATCCTACTATTTAAATATATATGAAGGTATTGATTATCACATTACTTGAATAATTACGTAAATAAACTGCAAGCAATAAGGGCCTCCTGAAACTTACAACTATCAGCCCGAGGCAAATCTGTTGGCCTACGGACCGATGTCTATTTTGACCACTGGATGTGGGCCTTCTGACAAGTAAGACAATTTTCATGGTAATAATTTGTTTATTAGCCTAAACCTAACCCTAACAATTTATACAATTTATACAATCATGTACAATTCTGATGGTGACTGTATAGATATATTTTGAAAATGGATGTATCACGTGTATCATTACACCTCTTCTGCAGAACAACACAAATGTGTCCATGACAAACAGTTTATTTCTTCTTGCCCTTCTTCTTCCCACCCCCGATTGTCTGGTCTGGGTCCAAACCCTGAGCCACGGCAAGCTGACGTTTCAGATCCAGGAGCTGGGCAACAGCGGCATCAATGGCCGCTTTGTCTCCCTTCTTTGTCTTTAGCTCTCGTACAACGGTGCCCTGCAATATGACAAAGAAACATAAACAGTCTTGTCCAAACATATATAGCAGGGTCCAATTCAACAAAGTGATCTCAGCATTATGACTATTGTAACTTCCATACACTAAGGTCAGCTAGCTTTGAGGAATTGGGCCTGAGTATGACTGAGTAAGCGTTTAACCTTTCATACCCTTTCATGTGGGTGCTGTTACTGTGGTGTTGCTGCTGTGGGTGTTGCTGTTGTGGGTGCTGTTACAGTGGTGTTGCTGCTGTGGGTGTTGCTGTTGTGGGTGCTGTTACTGTGGCTGTTGCTGCTGTGGGTGTTGCTGTTGTGTGTTGTTGCTGTGGGTGTTGTTACTGTGGCTGTTGCTGCTGTGGGTGTTGCTGTTGTGTGTTGTTGCTGTGGGTGTTGCTGTTGTGGGTGCTGTTACTGTGGCTGTTGCTGCTGTGGGTGTTGCTGTTGTGTGTTGTTGCTGTGGGTGTTGCTGTTGTGGGTGTTGTTACTGTGGGTGTTGCTGCTGTGGGTGTTGCTGTTGTGGGTGTTGATATGGTGGGTGTTGCTGTTGTGGGTGTTGCTGCTGTGGGTGTTGATACTGTGGGTGTTGCTGTTGTGGGTGTTGTTACTGTGGGTGTTGTTGCTGTGGGTGTTGATACTGTGGGTGTTGCTGCTGTGGGTGTTGATATGGTGGGTGTTGCTGTTGTGGGTGTTGCTGCTGTGGGTGTTGATACTGTGGGTGTTGCTGCTGTGGGTGTTATTACTGAGGGTGTTGCTGTTGTGGGTGTTGTTACTGTGGGTGTTGTTGCTGTGGGTGTTGATACTGTGGGTGTTGCTGCTGTGGGTGTTGATATGGTGGGTGTTGCTGTTGTGGGTGTTGCTGCTGTGGGTGTTGATACTGTGGGTGTTGCTGCTGTGGGTGTTATTACTGAGGGTGTTGCTGTTGTGGGTGTTGTTACTGTGGGTGTTGTTGCTGTGGGTGTTGATACTGTGCGTGTTGCTGCTGTAGTGTTGCTGCTGTTGGTGTTGCTGTTGAGGGCGTTGTTACTGTGGATATTGCTGCTGAGGGTGTTACTGTGGATGTTGTTGCTGTGGGATGCTGCTGTTGAGGGCGTTGTTACTTAGGATGTTGTTGCTGTGGGTGTTGTTACTGTAGGTGTTGTTACTGCGGGTATTGCTGCTGAACTGCTGTGACTGACCTGTGCAGAGACCTGTTCAGTGAGTCTGTCAATCTCTCCCTGGTCCCCAGAGGGTGTGGCTGGAGTGGGTGTGGCTGGAGTGGGTGTGACTGCTGGGGCTGGTGTCGACTTTGCATCACCCTTCCCCTGCTACAACACAGAACAAGTCATCTGCAGCAGTTGATGCCAATAATGGACATCAACATCTCTTTGTGGTGTTCCTTATTATCCTTCATTCAAACACAGATTTGACCGCCTCCGTGGTCTTGTGGTAGAGCGTCAGCCCGGAGAGCGGAAGGTCCGGGGTTTGATCCCCGGCCGCGTCATACCAAAAGACGTTAAAAGATGGTACTTGTTGTTACCCTGTCTGGCGCTCGGCATTAAGGGGCTAAAACAAGGACTGGTCAGCTCGGAGTCAGTATACTGTGTCTGAGTGAGGTATTCATGTTAAACTGCGGCATGGTATCTCAGTGAGCTAGCACTATAAATCGGCATCAGTCCGGACTAGTACAAGCAGCCACACACACACGTACATGCACGTCGCTATATAAGTGCAACCCAATTTCACCTCACCTCACCTCAAACACAGATTTGGATCCAGTCTATATTTGTCATCAAGTTTCTGATCTATCTTCATCAATATAACAAAACATGTCAATATAACAATATTGTCTCTCATTTATTTTGTCTTGGTCTGAGTCACCAAGTGAGACATTACTTGTTACAACAAAGCAACAAAGCAACAGAATCACTGTGGCTTGTAATTACCCAAGTCTGGGTCAGTCTTATCAGTAACTAGTGACATGACCAACTCTCCACAAGTAAAGGTAGAAACACATGAACCAGCTAGTCACACATAGTAACCACACAAAGTACATTACAGTCTTCCTAGGACAAGCATGGGTTACCATGCATTGTGACAGAACCTTGACCGATACAACGGCAGATCTAACCTTGCCCTATACAACCGCAGGTCTAACCTTGCCCAATACAACGGCAGATCTAACCTTGCCCAAAACAATGGCAGGTCTAACCTTGACCGATACAACAGCAGATCTAACCTTTCCCTATACAACTGCAGGTCTAACCTTACCCTATACAACTGCAGGTCTAACCTTGCCCTATACAACTTCAGGGCTAACCTTGACCGATACAATGGCAGATCTAACCTTGCCCTATACAACTGCAGGTCTAACCTTGCCCTATACAACTGCAGGTCTAACCTTGCCCAATACAACTGCAGGTCTAAACTTGCCCAATACAACTACAGATCTAACCTTGCCCTATATAACTGCAGGTCTAACCTTGCCCTATACAGCTGCAGGTCAAACCTTGCCCTATACAGCTGCAGGTCTAACCTTACAACATACAACTGCAGGTCTAACCTTGCAACATACAACTGCAGATCTAACCTTGCCCAATACAACTGCAGATCTAACCTTGCCCAATACAGCTGCAGGTCTAACCTTGCCCTATACAACTGCAGGTCTAACCTTGCCCTATACAACTGCAGGTCTAACCTTGCCCAAAACAACAGCAGGTCTAACCTTGACCGATACAACAGCGGTTCTAACCTTGCCCTATACACCTGCAGGGCTAACCTTGCCCTATACAACTGCAGGTCTAACCTTGCCCTATACAACTGCAGGTCTAACCTTGCCCTATACAACTGCAGGTCTAACCTTGCCCCATACAACTGCAGGTCTAACCTTGCCCTATACAACTGCAGGACTAACCTTGCTGTATACAACGGCAGGTCTAACCTTGCCCTATACAACTGCGGGTCTAACCTTGCCCTATACAGCTGCAGGTCTAACCTTGCCCTATACAACTGCAGGACTAACCTTGCTGTAAACAACAACAGATCTAACCTTCCCCTCTACAACTGCAGATCTAACCTTGCCCTATACAACTGCAGGTCTAACCTTGCCAAATACAATGGCAGGTCTAACTTTGACCGAAACAATGGCAGGTCTAACCTTTCCATATACAACTGCAGGTCTAACCTTACCCTATACAACTGCAGGTCTTACCTTGCCAAATACAACAGCAGGTCTAACCTTGCCAAATACAATGGCAGGTCTAACTTTGACCGAAACAATGGCAGGTCTAACCTTTCCATATACAACTGCAGGTCTAACCTTACCCTATACAACTGCAGGTCTTACCTTGCCAAATACAACAGCAGGTCTAACCTTGCCAAATACAACAGCAGGTCTAACCTTGCCTTATACAATGGCAGGTCTAACCTTGCAACATACAAGGGCATGTCTAACCTTGCCCCATACAACTGCAGGTCTAAACTTGTCCTATACAACTGCAGGTCTAACCTTGCCCCATAAAACTGCAGGTCTTACCTTGCCCTATACAACTTCAGGTCTAACCTTGACCTATACACCTGCAGATCCAACCTTGTCCTATACACCTTAAGATCTAACCTTGTCGTATACAACTGCAGGTCTAACCTTGCCCTATACAACTGCAGGACTAACCTTGCTGTATACAACTGCAGGACTAACCTTGCTGTATACAACTGCGGGTCTAACCTTGCCCTATACAGCTGCAGGTCAAACCTTGACCTATACACCTGAAGATCTAACCTTGTCGTATACACCTGCAGATCTAACCTTGTCCTATACACCTGCAGATCTAACCTTGCCCTATACAATGGCAGGTCCAACCTTGCCCCATACAACTGCAGGTCTAACCTTGCCCCATACAACTGCAGGTCTAACCTTGCCCTATACACCTGCAGATCCAACCTTGTCCTATACACCTGCAGATCTAACCTTGCCCTATTCAATGGCAGGTCTAACCTTGCCCTTTTTCTTGCCAGCTGCAGGAGGTTCCCCTCCCTGAGCCTTGGTCAGCTGCTTCTTCAGGTCCAGGAGTTTGTTTACAGCAGCTTCTATCAGGGCCTTCTCCGCCTTCTGGCCCTTCAGCTCCCTCACCTCATTACCCTAAAACACAAACGTCACTGTCAGAGTTGACGAAACAGAGGCTGGTCACTCTCATAGTGGAGGAATCACAGGTCGGTCACTCTCATAGTGCATGAATCACAGGTCGGTCACTCTCATAGTGGATGAATCACAGGCTGGTCACTCTTATAGTGGAGGAATCAAAGGTCGGTCACTCTCATAATGGATGAATCACAGGTCGGTCACTCTCATAGTAGATGAATCACAGACTGGTCACTCTTATAGTGGAGGAATCACAGGTCGGTCACTCTCATAGTGGATGAATCACAGGTCGGTCACTCTCGTAGTGGAGGAATCACAGGCTGGTCACTCTCATAATGGAGGAATCACAGGCTGGTCACTCTCATAGTGGATGAATCACAGGCTGGTCACTCTTATAGTGGATGAATCACAGGTCGGTCACTCTCATAGTGGATGAATCACAGGTCAGTCACTCTCGTAGTGGAGGAATCACAGGCTGGTCACTCTCATAGTGGATGAATCACAGGTCGGTCACTCTCATAGTGGATGAATCACAGGCTGGTCACTCTCATAGTGGATGAATCACAGGTCGGTCACTCTCATAGTGGATGAATCACAGGCTGGTCACTCTCAAAGTGGATGAATCACAGGTCGGTCACTCTCATAGTGGATGAATCACAGATCGGTCACTCTCATAGTGGATGAATCACAGGCTGGTCACTCTCATAGTGGAGGAATCACAGGCTGGTCACTCTCATAATTGAGGAATCACAGGTCGGTCACTCACAAAATAGATGAATGCTGTTAAACATCACTGTAGATTTGTGGACCAAAAGTTATGTTTCATCAAGCTAATCTGAATTATTAAAAACAACACTACCTCTTTCATAGAACCGATCCATTAATAGGGTAGGTGAACAAAAAACGAACAAAATTTACTCAAATTCAAAATACTTTCTGTAAGCATTGTAAATAATGCACCTGTTTCCATGTAAGAATTGTCAGAAATGTACCTGTTTTGCCACCTCCTGTGTCAGTCTCTCAATCTCCTCAAGGCTGGCTGCTGATGCAGGCTTGGGCTATAAACAGAAGGCACAGACCTTATTGACTATAATAAAAGGTGTCATGTATTCATGTTCTCTCAACTTCTAAATGGCTATCAAAAACTTCATGTCATCAGTGATCAAATACACTTAGGAAGTAACTGTACCTGTCCCGAGGCAAGAGAGTTAACTGACTATAAAAGTCCAGTTTCCACCCTTGCCGAACTAGGCTGGTATTATGGAGTTACATTTTGGCTTGACTAACGAGTTTATGCATAGTCCAATCAAAATCGCGCACCAAAATCAAAATCCTGTACGTAAACTGTTGTGCAGATTTCGATCGATTGGAGGATTTGCAAAACATGTGCACCGCCAACTTGTCAGCAGATATTTTCCAAATCTTTTCATGTTTTTAATCAAGGTGATCATGTGATTTGATGCATTTCGCGATGTAAGACCCGTTTTATCACACTAAAGATCCTGATTATAGATCAGATCGTCCTGACTGGGCGCCACCATTCTGTGTGAAGCAAACGCAAGTGATACGAGAGGTGGAATCTGATTGGTCCATAGGAGAGGCTTAGAAGGGACATAACTGGTAAAAGCCACTGGTGGTGCTACGATCAAGCCCAGTAATTCCAGCTTAGTTCGGCAAGGGCGGAAACTGGTCAGTTAACTCTCTTGCCTCGGGAAGATGAGGCAAACCAAATCAGCCAGAATGTGAGCAGTGATCTTAAGGGTACTATCAGTGGTTTCTACGCCTACTAAAAGGTCTTATCACCATAACTCAAGTGCTGACATGTACAGGTTTTTTACCCTTTTTATACTACGGGTTTATGACGATTAAAGAAATAAATACAAACATCTTTTCGAAGTCGTTATAAGGGACATCAGTCAGAGTCTCACCTGAGCGCCTGCAAATCTCTGCTTCAGCTCCTCGATCTTGGAAGCTTCTATCTTCTGGAACAGTGGGCTTGGCTGGAATGGAAGGAGATCCATGTTTAATCAACAAGAACCATGTTAAATACAATTTATTTTGAAAATTACAATTACAATTTGAACAAAACCTTTGAAGTAGACACCAACTCTTCTATATGACTGACTTGTCACCGGATCAGATATGGTGATAGGGTCAAGTACTGGTTCATACTTTTCACCAACAAGCCACTACCAGATGCAGGGGAAGACTGGATGAGACCATTCCATCAGAGACAACAAATCATTGAAACAATAAACACTCTTACTTGACACCAAATCTGGAACTGTGTCTCAAAATTCACAGGCCTCAAATTTGAAAATTGGTCACAAAAAGAGCTGTAGCAGTACAAATGCGACAAGTTCTACATTCTAAAACTGTTGTTGAACTCTAACACAAAAGATGCTGGACTTTCCTAATTTGTGTTTGAGGCCTCTGGGTCTCATCACACTTCTCCACACAGAGTTGTTACCTTGCCAATCTTGTGTCCAGATTTGAGCTGACAGGTGAAGTTACTGACGATGATGTTGCAGTCTGCAGGGGCGTTGAGCTGCTCCTGTATGATGCCGCTGGTGACGGGCAGGTAGGGCTGGAGTAACACGGACAGCTGGCACGCGATGTTGGCAGACAGACTCACAACACATCCAGATCTGGCCCTGTGGACCACACGACAATAACCACATATATGAGATTACTACGCGATAAATTGCAAAGGACAATGAAGAGCAAGGGTTGGTTTATTTCATGACAAAACATTGTTCTATCATGACGTCATTTCGGAAGACTCGCAACTTGATGACACTGTATATTGGAATGTCTAGTGAGTTGTTCCCCATAGATGTAGCTTGGCAATGCAGATAAACGCGATGGCCGAACGATCACAGGAGAAAGTCGGAGAGATATGAAAATCGTTACTGAGAGAAAAACTCGGGTAATCGATGTGAGGATTGTGAGAATATGCAGGAAATACCCACCTGTGCATAAAATAGACTTGTCCGACAATGCCGCGGTCGGATTCTATTGAGGGAGTCATCATTATTGAAATACGGGTAAATATCTTCAATGCTTGTACATTTTATCCTCATACGTAAAGAGTGAGTGAATGAGTTTGGTTTTACGCCGCTTTTAGCAAAATATTCCAGCAATATCACAGCAGGGGACACCAGAAATGGGCTTCACACATTGTACCCATGTCGGGATTCGAACCTGGGTCTTCGGCGTGACGAGCGAACGCTTTAACCACTAGGCTACCCGACCGCCCCTCATACGTAAAGAAGCTGTAAATAATGGTGATATCTCATATAAGAAATAAATGACTTGTGGTCATTATTTATCATACAACAATGCAGGGAGAAAACAACATTCTATTTCATGACAAACTACGACCACAAGTCATTTATTGTCCCCTTCTTCATTGTCTGGCACAACCACATATGACCAACACCACCTCACCCTCACCCTCAGCCATAAAAGGCACTCAAGAATATAATGGAATATGATTATATTCATATTACCTGTTAGAGTGAGTGAGTGAGTGAGTAATGTTTTATGCCGCTTTTAGCAATATTCCAGCAATATCACAGCGGGGGACACCAGAAATGGGCTTCACACATTGTACCCATGTCTTCGACGTGACAAGCGAATGCTTTAACCACTAAGCTACCCAACCGCCCCTTACCTATGAGAACATCAGGATCATAAATAATAAACATAAATAATCTATGTGTCATATATATAGGTCATGAGATGCATTACTGTTGTTCATTGCTGATCATGATGACATTGGGTCAGTCACTGGCTCACCTCAGCCCCTTGTGTTGTAAATAGAACAAGCGCATAGTTGACAAAGTCATCTATATCCCCCGCCCATTTTAACACGTTATGTTCCCAAACCAGGTAACTGACCCAACATTTCTCTTAGCCCATCTCAAAATAGCTGCAATGGAAATTCTAAAATAAACATTTCTAAAACTCCTTAATATCAAATGGCACTAGTTCAGTATGCGCTTTATATATAGACATGCAATGTTTGGCAAGGAAATATTTAACAGTTTATTTGTTATACTACTTAAGTAAACCAATCCTATATTAAAACTTAAATCCAACTTGTTGTCATGGAAACATAAACAATAAAAATTTCTAAAAGTGCTATATATCAAAAGGCACCAGTGACCAGTTCAGTATGTACCTGGTAGACATGCAAAGTTTTGTAAGAAAGTATTTAACGGTTTTTGAGTTACACTCTGGAAACGAACACCACCCCTGTAGAACTGAAGTCCAACTTATTGCCATGGCAACGTGAAAAATAAGAATTTAAAAAATTCCTAAATAGCAAGAGGCACCAGTCCAGTATGTGTCTGTTAAACATGCACAGTTTTTGTTGGAAAGTATTGAATGGTTTTTGAGTTACGCTCCGGAAACGAACAGCACCCTTATAGAACCTAAGTCCAACTTATTGCCATGGCAACGTGAAAAATAAAAATTTTAAAAATTCCTAAATAGCAAAAGGCACTAGTTCAGTATGTGCCTAGTAGACATGCAAAGTTTTGTAAGAAAGGATTGAACAGTTTTTGAGTTATGCTCCGGAAACGAACACCACCCTTATAGAACCTAAGTCCAACTTGTTGCCATGGAAACGTAAAAAATAAAAATTTATAAAATTCCTAAATAGCAAAATGCACCAGTTCAGCATGAGTCTGATAGACATGCAGAGTTTCGTAGAGAAATATTTAACGGTTTCTGAGTTATGCTCCGGAAACGATTTCGGGATGCACGCACGCACACGGACGGAACCCATTTCTATATCCCCCGCCAACTTCGTTGAGGCGGGGGATAATAACTCTGGTTACGTACCTTTCCTGTGGAGTCCCTTTGGCTAGCACCCATGGTTTGTTTGCCTGCATGTACTGGTTCCCCAGGCGTGAGATACTCAGAATATTGCGAATAGAGTCTCGTATCCTGCAGCAAAATTACAAAGAAAACAAAATTTCATGTTCGGCAATCGATTGCAAAGTGTAAAAGACACAGTTCATCACATCACCTGAGCAACATCTACAAACTCACATGTGGCAGTTTACAACACCAACGATGCAAACATATGTGACACCTCACCCTTTGTGTGTCCGACCCTGAGTTCCAAAACCTGTGTTACCCAAATCCAGTATTACCCAACCCTGTGTTCAAAATGCTATTTTACCCACTCTGTCTTCCTTGTGTTGCCTTACCCACTGCTATCACTCTGTGTTACCCCTGTCAGTGTTACCCCACCCTATAACCCCACCCTATGCTCCAACACCGTTAACCCCTCCTCTGCACCCTGTCCCACCTGTCCTGTCACCCACCTGACACTCTCCATGTTGTCAACGTATGTGGCCAGCTCCCTGTTGACGAGAGCAATCAACTTCTTGTCTTCCAGAGAGAGATTCATGTCCTGGATGGTCCCCTCAAAGCAATTGGACACAAACATCAGCGCCCTGAAAACATCACACAATTATCATAAGTCTGCCGACATTCAGAAGCAGGGGTGGTCACATGTATTCCTCCACATCAACTCCAGGAGTTATCAGCAGTCAATACAAACCTGTACAACCAAATGTACATTCTTGGAGTTACTGTCATTGACAGTGGTTTCATTATCTCACACGCATGGTGTCAAAAATGTGTGGCAGCAGCAGTCAATTTCAGAGAAAACCTAAAAACATCTCCATTTATATTGAGCTCCCCAAATAAGTATCACGATAAATATCACAACCCAAGAATCACAATTTTTAACAATAGATAGTTAGTCTTATCGCGGCACCTCGGCTATCTTTGCTGAAGCAGCAGAAAAACTTGATAACATATTTCTCCCCATAAGACAAGTTATTGTTTGTTTGTTGTTTAGCGCCGCACTCAGCAATATTCTGTCTATATGACGGCGGTCTGTAAATAATCGAGTCTGGACCAGACAATCCAGTGATTGACATCCTGGACATCAATCTACACATTTGGGATACAATGACATGCATCAATCAAGTCAGCGAGCCTGACCACCCGATCCCGTTAGTCGCCTCTTACGACAAGCATAGTCCTTTTACAAGCAATGGGTTGATGAAGAACTATTTTACCCCTTATCTTCACGGGTCCATTCATCCTCATAACATACATGGGTAGCTTGAAGATAAATTCTAACCCAGATCAAAGACAGGTTACAGTGAAATGTTTATAATACCAACTTATTAAACTGGCACAACTGACACATTCTCTACCGTATTATTACCGGCATATCTATGTGTGTACATCTTGACTTACTTCAATGTACAAATTGATTCTATCCCTACAGATCATCAGCACCACCTTATTGCCTTTATGTCCAAACACCCTTAATAACAGAACTCTGTAGTCCATACCTGTTGATGAAGTTGCCGATGTTGTTGAGGAGTTCGCTGTTGTTTTTCAAGAGGAAGTCATCCCAGCTGAAGGCAGAATCCTGGGACTCTGGTCTGACATAGAGGAGGTAGAATCGGTATACGTCCGGCGCGATGCCGGTGTCCCGAGCCTGGTCCCCGAACACACCGACACCTCGGCTCTTGGAGAACTTGCCATCCTCGTAGTTGAGGTACTCTAGAGGAAAGTAGATCATGAAATCACACTGAGCGATAATCAGTTTCAAAATGTCAAATCCCAACTGTCAACTCTATAATTACATCATATCAAATGAACGTGATTGTTTATAATGCAAAACGAAAGAAAAACATGGAGTTTCACTTGAAGATGTCACCAATTCCTCAAACAAGCTACATAGTCCGCTGTGTGGTGAGTACCAGCACCAACATGACCAGTAACATGAGTGAGTGAGTGAGTGAGTAGTGGGTGAGTGAGTGAGTAGTGAGTGAGTGAGTGAGTGAGTGAGTGAGTGAGTGAGTGAGTGAGTGAGTGAGTGAGTGAGTGAGCGAGCAAGCGAGCGAAGAGTACTTCAGTTATATCATGGCGTGTCTCAGCTTGGTGTTGGAGGAAAGCCCAAAGTGATGCAGGTCTCGAGACATTTACAACTTTGCCAAAACCCACATCCACGGGTATGGTGCTGACAAACCTAGAAACATAATCGTGGCGGACCATGATTTCAAACCACAATCCCAGATTTCTGGCACATCATGGGACACAACTCTGCACAGCGAACACGGCAGGAACAATCAATGAAGCATTGAAACAGTCAAATGGACCAAACACTAGTATAAGCCGAACAAGAAACTACGACGGCTTGAGCACAGGTTCATGATGACACACAGCCGTGCACACATTGTGACCACCCAGTCCTCATTAGTCAGCTGCCCCGTCAACATCTGGGCTACAATTGGCCTTGAGCATCCCATGCCTGTCACACCCCATCAAATTCCAGGTTAGAATTGTTTTTCAGCAACCCATGCTTGTCGCAAGAGGCGACTAACGGGATAGGGTGGTCAGACTTGCTGACTTGGTTGTCATGATGTCATTCATCATATTTTAATTACATCGATCAATGCTTATGATGTCAATCACTGGTTTGTCTGGTCCAAGGTCGATGATTTACAGACTGTCGCCTCATAGCTGGAACATTGCTGAGTGCGGTGTTAGACAACAAACAAGCATTAGTCAACTCCTATGACAAGTATGGCATCCTGGGGCCATCTTCTGCCCTGAATCCCCATAGGGGACTTCTTACTGAGAATACTTGACTTTATACAAGAAAATCCTATCAATCTAGAGAATAAACACCAAACAATCGAACACAGCCCTTGTGACAAACACCTCATGTAACTTGTTTGATAGGCATTACTTAGAAGTTGACGGATGACAAGATAGACACAATTTTATGGATAACAACTTCTTTAATACTGTGAAAAGCGGCGTTTCAGTATACCGAAACGTCGCTTTTCTCAGTATTAAAGAAGTTGTTATCCATAAAATTGTGTCTATCTTGACCTCATGTAACCTGACCACACTTCAGTGTTGGTCTACAGACAATACCCACCTGTTGCCAACATGCTGTTGACGATGGTGTAGTTGTCGTCAGCTCCCAGCAGGGTGCAGGGGAAGATGACGCTGTGGAAGGGAACGTTGTCTTTGCCGAGGAAGTTGTACATCTCCACCTACAGACAGTACAGTCATGAATTCTACATGTGGCAAGCGTAAAGCCCAGAGACTTGTAGGACATGGTAGGCTTCATAGTCCTCGAAGTTTCTGGATGGAACAGTTTCTAGTAGGCTGACTGAACCAGATCGACAAGAGAGCACTTCAAGGCCTGTTTCAACTAGACTGGTTTCTACTCTACAGGTCAAATGCAGATTGGATGCCTATTCAGAAAGAGCGAATTCCTGCTAGCTTCCAACTTTATTTGAGCCCCTTATGGTTTATTCTCCCTGCAGTGTTTTATTGTACGATAACTAACGACCACGAGTCCTTTATTTCTTATATGAGATATTAATATTATGTACAGCTTCTTTAAGGAAGTTAAAGAAAGGTAGAAACTTTAAAAATATTTACCGGTACCCGTATTTAAATAATAATGACTCCCTGAATAGAATCCGATATTGGCAATGTTGGATAAGTCCATTTAGGAACAGGGAGGTTAAATTTGGTCGTTCCCGCACATTCTCACAATATTCATGTCGTTTATCTGTACCTTTTCTCCCAATAACGATTGTCATAGCTCTGCCACTTTTGGATACGATCGTTAGAGCATTGTGTTTATCTACGTTGCCCAGCTACATATATGGGGAACAACTCCCTGGTCACTTCCCTCTCAAAACTAACGTTGTTCAATTTACGTCATCAAGTTGCGAATTTCCCGAAATGACGTCATGATCAATATTTTATCATGAAATAAACCATGCTGTGTTCTTAAATGTTCTTTGCGATTTATTGCATAGCTATCTTATATTGTAGATTCAAGACTAGAGACTGTCCTTTCTCAAGACATTCAACAGTGACAATATTCTGAACTTTCCCGAGAGGTGAGACATAAATACCAGTGTGAATGAGTTGGGTTTAAAGCCGCTTTTAACAGTATTACAGTTATATCGCGGGTTGTCAGCTTAATGAGGGAGGAAAGCCCGAAGTGATGCAGGTCTCAGATGTTTACCACTTCAGTGAAACCCACAAGCACGGGTATGGTGCTGACAAACCTAGAAACATAATAGGGGCGAACCGGGATTCGAACCCACAATCATAGGTTTCCGGCATGCCAAGGGAGGCAACTCTGTACAGTGTTTCCCCTGGCCCTACATAAGTACTAGAGCCCATTACTTACCGGTATTGCTTCTATCACTTATTTGACCAATTGTATTGCCATTTTGATTGTAAACCTAAAACTGTGGGTTTAAATATATCTTATTTCCGACACCATATACATTGACTCATGACCATCTAGGCACCGGTACTACTGTTACCTTGTCTGGGTTCTTCCACCACTTCTTCCACTCCTTGGTGTAGTTGGCGGTGATGGAGATGTAGCCGATGGGAGCATCGAACCACACATAGAACACCTGCAACATCGTCACGTCAACACCATCAGCCCCAACGTCACGTCAACACCATCAGCCCCAACGTCACCATCTCGTTTCACACTTGCAGTCAATGTCACGGAAACAATCTTGACACTTCAGTCTTATAATTATGCTTAACCTTGTGAGTTAGATTATTTTGATAAGACAGTCCTTATTAGATTAACTAGAACTACATGGAGAATTGAACGTATTGATGAATCTCCTATATGCAAGAAAACAATATTTTTTACTTGACACTGCAACATCCAATGTTCCAAGCAACGTCTGACATCTGAGACGCCTTTAGCAAGGTCCGCTAAACCAAAGCACTTCGATTATGCGTTCACAAGAGTTACTAAATTGGGAACAAGTGAAGCAACTGAGCTGATTTCAACATGGCATCCCCCTTCGCGATACAGTGTGTGGACATCACAAATAGCGACTTGACCACATCCACCATCTTTGCCTCCTCATCAGAGTGCGGGTATGCTAGAGGGCAAACGCAGCCAGCGGCTTGTTCATAGGGAAATATTCCGATGATCGCTGGTACATCAGCACTCCTAGGGTTATTGAATTCGCAGCTGCTCACCTTATCAGTGTATCCTTCTAGCGGCACAGGCGTCCCCCACTTCAGATCGCGGCTGATGCATCGAGGCTTCAAGCCGTCCCTGATCCACGATGATGTGATAACTTGTGCGTTGTGTGTCCACGTTCCCGTCTCAAACACTCTGTCTAAATGCTGACGCAGCTGGGGTTCAACCTGGGAAGAAGCCTTTATGTTCACAACACGGTCACAGAATTCAACATTCCACGTTGAAGTAAAAACAGCGGAAGTGTAAGTATCTGTAAGTGTGTGACTTCTCATCTTCATCAGCTCGATACCATAAGGCCAGGCTGAGGGCAACCAATGTCATCATATTGTACAAGGGGGGTCACTGATTGGAAATTATGGTTCTGATATATTGACTCACACGTATCACGCTATATCAAGTTGTATAGACAAGAATTACTCAGGTAGACCTGCAGTTAATTAACTCAATGCTAAACTTCTGCTAAAAATGAATTAGGCTGATCCATTAAATTTTCTTTTCATGGTTCATCTTAACCATGGTAATCTAAATAAATGTAAACATTTCAGTGGAAGTAAATCATTAAATTAGTGTGGATAATGATTATTTTGATATGCGATGACATCGTATATTGTACACGTTTAAAAGAAACAGTGAATGTTTTCTTACACCAGTTAGCAATTCAGGGATTCACCAACGATCCCATTTCATGGTTGTACAATTACTAAACATCAGGCTGATCAGAAGATACTCTATTGAAGTCAGCTACTAAGACAAGCAGCAATCCCATGAATGACCAGTGCCTACCTTGGGCAGGTCCAGGAAGAGATGCTGGGACGTCTTGATGACGGGGGTGCTGCTGCAGATCTTACACTTGGGCTTCTTCAACTCCACGGCGTTGATGAGTTTGCCACAGCCATCACACTGGTCCCCTCTTGCATCATCGTAGCCGCACAGTGGACATGTCCCTTCCACGAACCGATCGGCCAGGAACCTGCACAAGAAACAAATGTCTCAGAACTTCTTTCTGTTCATTCTGCAGCAAGTGCCTATGTGCAAGTTGTTGTTTTAATCAGAGTGTGTTTTCTTTTAATGAGCTTTTTAAGCATGTTGCATATAATTTCTGTTCATCCCTCAACCTTCAGCACTCTAAAAGGGTGTCTGAGCTGGGACAAAATGGCAGTCTCAGCACTTTTGATTGAAACCCAATTTTTTTTTTTTATTTTAATTTTTATTCAGTCATATACTCAGGATACAGATGCACTCGAAAAACAGTACAGCTTTATGAATACAGGTACTTCTCAAAAGGATGTGGTACAGAGGAGGCCTAAGGCATAATCCACAGCATGGTACAGATGAAGGCATATTTATGTATACAATTAAGAAGATGCGTTATTTATGGTACATCAAATTATGTTGCAAGCATCAAGTGAATAAGTTATTTTGCAGTTTGAGTAAACAAAGCCCATTTTCTATTAAAGGCAGAGTTGAAATCCAATTTTGTCCGTTTGCTTACACAAATACACGACATAGATCCATCTATCACCTAGTTATCAGCACATAATACAGAGACAATGTCTGGGAAAATGTCTCAGTTTCACACAGGGCAAGACTGCATGTTCCATCTCTACACTTAGTACCATCTTATCCCTAATACTTAGACTGCATCTGAAAAACAATGTTCTCAACAATATCTCGCAAGGATCAAACACAATAAAATGAGATATGCGTACCTGACACACTTCTGACACTGAAGCTGGTCTACACTGTCCTTGAGGATGAAGCCTTGATTGTACAACTTCCAGAATATATCCTGAGCAATTCTAGAATACAACAGTTGAGTCAGCACAGTGTGAAGTGTAAAGACTAGCAAACATGGTACTCACACTCATCATCAAAACCATTATCCCTTGTATTATGTCTCCAGGCTGTTGCCACTGACCCCCTGAACCCATGTGACACCAAGTCGGGGGTCAGCAGTGACGTCATCTCCATCTGACTTAGGGACAGGTCATTTATCATAGAGATGGGATGAGGGATGGGGTGGGGGGTGGAGGGTTTCATGAAATATTGACACAACAACGAAAGAGGGGGTTCACCAAATTTAAGAGGAATCAATGAGAGTTCTAATTTTCAAATAAAAATGTCACAAAATTGAACACTATACATGGACTGGTTGTTTATTATATGGAATGGGGAGTGGTGGGGGAGGGGGAGGTCATGGGGAAATGTTACTTGTATTTGGGGGCGTGATACGTTACACATAATGGGTGTGTCAGGAAATTATTAAGGCCAAGCTAGCCCTTCCCAAACAGACCCATCCTCCCACATAAATGAATATCACCAATTCAGCACTGAATTTCTCTCACAGAAAACCTTGAAACTGATCAACAATCAAAATGCTTCTGAATCCCCCTATCCAACCGCAACCTCACTCACTCACTCACCCACAGTCACTCCAACAAATCAGATAATTCCTACACCTACTCAGTTTGTTCTTTTGTCGTTGTCCTGCCAAAGTAGTCAAAGTCGATGTTGAGCCACTGGTAGATCTCGGAGTGTAGTTTGTTGTATTTATCACAGATCTGTTGCGGGGTGAGGCCTTCTTCCATGGCCTTCGTCTCAGTGGCAGTGCCGTACTCATCAGTGCCACACACATATAGCACATTGCGGTTCCGCAGTCGACAGAACCTACAAGACAATTCAAACATATCATGCACTCATACACTGACTATCCCACAGATATCATCAGGGTTAGAAACTAACAGTTTTCGTCCACTAGTCCTTATATTGATAACATACAGCAAAACCCTTAAAATGGGCCAATTTCTACTAGTCCTTAGGATAGCTTTACTATTGGGCAGTTTGGTAAGGACTATAGGACCAGTGCCAATTTCTAACGCTGTATCATATTCTTATCTATTACTCGCCCTTTGAAGATATCGCTGTTTAATAGCAAAGAGCATGCTTATGTTATGCAGGAACTAGTTTCACTAACAAATACTGAAAACTCTCAACATCTCTGGGCTTATCTAATCACATTGCATGTGGAGATGATGGATCACTGAGAGGAGCTACGCCCACTCGATGACCCCAGCAACCCTGTCACGATACTGACATCACAGGGCATTGTTTTGCTGGTGTATCTTGCAACAAAATTTCACAAATTACATCATAGGGTTTTGTGATGTGTTTGGAACCTTTGAGGTGCTGAATTCTAAAGGTAGGCCATATCCACACAATTGGGATATGATGACCAACCAAGTCAGCAAGCCTGACTACCCGATCCCGTAAGTCGCTTCTTATGAAAAGTATAGTCACCTTTTACAGCAAGCATGGGTTGCTAAAGACCTATTCTACCCCGGATCTTCACGGGTTACCGTCAGAAGTAATAACTGTAAATGTGAGAGGATACTGCAGCTCACCTGGAGAAGACATCGCCACTGAGTACACAGCCGATGATGTTGCCGAGGTGAGGGACGTTGTTGACGTAGGGCAAGGCACTGGTTATGAATATATTCTTCTCCCCCTCACAAGGTAATCTGAATGCACATCACAACAATAATTAGGCAGGTTCTAACATAGTGATACTCAATTACTTTCACTATTATAAGGGTAACGCTATTTTTCAGGGCATTATCATTTGCAGAAGCCCGAGGTCTTCCATTAACTCTCCGACGAAGGAGGGCAGTTGAAAAGACCGAGGGCTTCTGCAAATGATAATGCCTTGAAAAATAGCGTTACCCTTATTATAGCTAAAATGGATGGAATTTTTTATCAAATAAAAAGAAACAACAATATCGGTTCTGAAACACTTACTGCAATCAACACGAATGTCACTGACCCACTTTTACAAATATGGAAACGTCATAGAACAAACCAGATGGCGTCACTATTCAACGTGACATCACTATCCCTACCCTATGATGTCACCTAACGACGGGCATGATAATGGCCCGTCGTCAAGCAATATGAGGGCATTATCAAGTTACAGTGCATTATCAGTTTAATGATAATTCTATCCATTTTAGTGATAAAGAAATATAATAAGAAACCAGCTGAAGAGGACAAGAAGTAACCAAATGTTGACATATACTTCAAGGTCATAGTATTCATACACCATAACTTTCACAGGGCACGGGTGGCCCAGTCGTCTTTGGTGCCACAATTCATAAAAATCTGGGCTATGTTACTGATAAGGGAGATGAGAGAGATGTGATGTGAGTCCTGAAATGAAGCTATGGAGGTGAATGGGGACAGGTTTTCATCATAAAAGGATGGAGGTACAATACACAGGATATAAGAGGAAGTAAGATGTGTGATAGTCTCACATTGGGTGTTTGCGGAGTCTTGGTTTGGGGCTAGTGCTGGCGCCGGACAGAAAGGACTTCTCTCCTGTTGCAAGCTCCTCCGCCGTGATAGTTTTCTCTGGTTGCAGGAACTGTGGGATAGACATAATGTTGTCCTTATCAATGTTTGAAACAACACAAAGTATTCGTTGTTAACAAATAGTGGGATATCCATAATGCTATCATTGTAATGGTTGGATATAACAAAAAGTTATTCTTGTAATGGTGGGATATAGCACAAGGTATTCGTTGTAATGTGGGATATAAAACAAGGTTATCCTTGTAATGGTGGAATATAACACAAGGTTTTCGTTGTAATGTGGGATATAATAAAAAAGTTATTCTTGTTATGGTGGGATATAGCACAAGGTATACGTTGTAATGTGGGATATAACACAACGTTATCCTTGTCATGGTGGAATATAATACAAGGTTATCCATGTAATGGTGGGATATAACACAAGGTATTCGTTGTAATGTGGGATATAACACAAGGTTATCCTTGTAATGGTGGAATATAACACAAGGTTATCCGTGTAATGGTTGGATATAACACAAGGTATTCGTTGTAATGTGGGATATAACACAAGGTTATCCTTGTAATGGTTTGATATAACATAAGGTATTTGTTGTAATGTGTGATATAACACAAGGTTATTCTTGTAATAGTGGGATATGACACAAGGTATTCCTTGTAAAGGTGGCATATAACACAAGCTATTCCTCGTAATGGTGGGATATAACACAAGGTTATCTTTATAATGGTGGGATATTACACAAGGTTATCATTGTAAAGGTGTGATATAACACAAGGTTATCCGTGAAATGGTGGGATATAACACAAGGTATTTGTTGTAATGTGTGATATAACACAAGGTTATCATTGTTAAGGTGGGATATAACACAAGGTATTCCTTGCAATGGTGGGATATAACACAAGGTCAGGTCAGCTGAGCAAAACAGGTGATACACAAAACAGTTGTTTTCCACATGGTTTGATGAAGCATGATGTGTCCTCTAGGTGGTGTGATATGACATGATCTTATCAAAGGAGAGGAGTGATGCAACACGGTATCCATGTCACAGAGAAGCTTGTTTTCACCTGAAACTCATCTACCGGGGCTGCAGATTTGGCAGCCTGTTGAGCCCCTTCCGCTGTGTGGCCCTGCATCCCCTTGTACAACTTGGCTGTGTCGATGTTGGCTGGAGGGGGCACCGGTTGGGCCAGCAACGACGCCTGCAGGAGGAAACATGGCACCAGTAGCTGGAGTTTCTATGTTAGCAGCATCAACTTACAGTATCCAGGGACAGACATGTAGTGTTTTCCAAGCGATCCACAGGGGACTCACTAAGACATCTTGGTGTGCCCTTCGGAATTTAAGTGAAGGAGAATACTTTTGATTCATCTTCAAATTCAGTGAATGTTTTTTCATCATGAGCTACATAATAAACAGATGTAATTTAGACAGTTCCATTTCATTTAGATCGATATCATCCAACCTAATTTCCCAGGTCTACTTTATGAAGTAGAATAATACTGTGGGGGAAGTATTCGTGTGTTCTTTTTACAACCTTGTCCAGATTACCTTTGTGAAATAAACAAAAGGTGTGCCCATCTGCAGGAACATATTTTAACAGTGCCATTGGCAATAAAACACAAGTAATTTCCTATCCTAGTTTGTACTATGAAAGTTGTATAAATCTTACCTTCAGAGATTGTACATTCCCCCCTTCTGTGACCTGTCTGAGCGCCCCCTCGACCTGCGTGAGATCTGCCACGGTCTGCCCCCACGCCTGGATGGATGGACACTCCTTCACACTGTCTGTAGGAATCGGAACACTCGCAGTAATGTATTGGAAGATAATAATGGGTATGCCATGGTGGCTAAAACAAATTAACTACATTGTTGAGTTGGTCTGGGACGTTGGTCCTGAGTAGGACCTGGGTACTCGCAGGACTACCCGTACCTGTGGTTAGTCAAGTGACATATTGTTTTATGACATTAACAATAGAACTCCATGGTTACACTACAACTCAATAATGTTTGCATTTCTTGACTATGCACGCATGCCTTCTGACTTTCATTTGTGTAAAGATAAAGCTTAAGTTAACTTAAATGTATGCATGGTCAGATTTTTTTATATGTGAATAGTATTTACTTGGGACCTGGTAAAACAATTCTCAATCAGACATTTTGTACCCAACTCTTGAGACCTACAGCGGGTACCCGGATAGGGTCGGGTAACAGGGGATCAGGTACCAGGCCTACTTGCACAAAGCGATCTTAGCGCTAAGATGATTGTAACTCCCATACGTTAACATAGGCTTACGACAGTCTTAGCGCTAAGATCGCTTTGTGCAAGTGGGCCCTGGGTAGTAAGTTTGGACTTGATCCAGCCCTACTTCTGAGGGAAATAAAGTACCACCTTCAAACAACAGGTATGCTTCATATTAACAAAATAAGGTGTAAATCTGTTATAGTAATACTGTTGAACTACACAGAGGAACAATACAGGGATCATGAAATATCTACCTTTTGCAAGATTACCCAGCAAGACTGGAAACAGGGTACCAAACACGATGATGTCAGCTGAAGACACTCTAGACTGAAACATAAACAACGCCTATGTTCCACAAACCAATCTTAGTGCTGTGACTGTTGTATACTTTAACATGGGCTCATGATTGTCGTAACTCCCATACTTTAACATAGGCTCATGATTGTCGTAACTCCCATACTTTAACATAGGCTCATGACTGTCGTAACTCCCATACTTTAACATAGGCTCATGATTGTCGTAACTCCCATACTTTAACATAGGCTCATGACTGTCGTAACTCCCATACTTTAACATAGGCTCATGACTGTCGTAACTCCCATACTTTAACATAGGCTCATGATAGTTGTACCTCCTATACTTTAACATAGGCTCATGACTGTCGTAACTCCCATACTTTAACATAGGCTCATGACTGTCGTAACTCCCATACTTTAACATAGGCTAATGATTGTCGTAACTCCCATACTTTAACATAGGCTCATGACTGTCGTAACTCCCATACTTTAACATAGGCTAATGATTGTCGTAACTCCCATACTTTAACATAGGCTCATGATTGTCGTAACTTCCATACTTTAACATAGGCTCATGATTGTCGTAACTCCCATACTTTAACATAGGCTTATCATCATTAGTGTCGGATAAAGCCGATTGTCGGATTGACGAGACTTGCCTGTACTTAACATTGGCAAAAAACTCTTTCTTGGCCAAACAACCCTGCAATTTGTCAAAAGTCAAGACAGAATTAATTCATTTAATGAAGAAGAAACCGACATGATAAAAGCACAAACAAACTCACCCCGACCAAGAACTTCTTTCCTTTGAGTTTTGCCTCCAGATACTTGAGTAGAGGCTGGAGAGTCTTTTCCTGGGTCTTGTCCTGCTTGCCTTGGCCAACTGCGCTCACCAGGAGGGGCACCACAACTGGCTGAAGAGAAGAGTGAGGGAGTTTTGACTCGAAAGCTACCTTTGATAGCATATGCATCAATACCATGCAATGGGGGTTACGATCGATCGTCTTAAGAGCTAAGATTGCCTAGCAAAACAGGGCCCTGATAGTCATCTGTTACAACAAGTATAGTGTACCGGATACCGATTCTGCTGGATTCTAAGGGTGCAACAATCTGGTTATACATCAGGCTTTGGGTTGACACTTCCAAGATTCTAAACTGTCTTAAAACAAAAGATTTCCCCTAAAAAAACACCAAGACCCTGACACTTGACACCTGACATTTATTTTATTGTAACCAACATGAAGGATACCAAAAAAGAATGTTCCAAACTAAGGACTTTTCTATTTTGTATTAATTCATCATTTATTCTCTCCCACTCCTTCCTCCTGTTTTCCTGCTCCACCCACCTCCTCTCCCACTCCACCCACCTCCTCTCCCTCTCCACCCACCTCCTCTCCCTCTCCACCCACCTCCTATCCCTCTCCACCCACCTCCTATCCCTCTCCACCCACCTCCTCTCCCACTCCACCCACCTCCTCTCCCTCTCCACCCACCTCCTCTCCCTCTCCACCCACCTCCTATCCCTCTCCACCCACCTCCTATCCCTCTCCACCCACCTCCTCTCCCTCCATCCACCTCCTCTCCCTCTCCACCCACCTCCTCTCCCTCCATCCACCTCCTCTCCCTCTCCACCCACCTCCTATCCCTCTCCACCCACCTCCTCTCCCACTCCACCCACCTCCTCTCCCACTCCACCCACCTCCTCCACCTCTCAACACACCTCCTCTCCCTCTCCACCCACCTCCTCTCCCTATCCACCCACCTCCTCTCCCACTCCACCCACCTCCTCTCCCTCTCCACCCACCTCCTATCCCTCTCCACCCACCTCCTCTCCCACTCCAACCACCTCCTCTCCCACTCCACCCACCTCCTCTCCCTCTCAACACACCTCCTCTCCCTATCCACCCACCTCCTCTCCCACTCCACCCACCTCCTCTCCCTCTCCACCCACCTCCTATCCCTCTCCACCCACCTCCTCTCCCACTCCAACCACCTCCTCTCCCACTCCACCCACCTCCTCTCCCTCTCAACACACCTCCTCTCCCTATCCACCCACCTCCTCTCCCTCTCGACACACCTCCTCTCCCACTCCACCCACCTCCTCTCCCTCTCCACCCACCTCCTCTCCCTCTCGACACACCTCCTCTCCCTCTCCACCCACCTCCTCTCCCTCTCCACCCACCTCCTCTCCCACTCCACCCACCTCCTCTCCCTCTCCACCCACCTCCTCTCCCTCTCGACACACCTCCTCTCCCTCTCCACCCACCTCCTCTCCCTCTCCACCCACCTCCTCTCCCTCTCCACCCACCTCCTCTCCCACTCCACCCACCTCCTCTCCCTCTCCACCCACCTCCTCTCCCTCTCCACCCACCTCCTCTCCCACTCCACCCACCTCCTCTCCCTCTCCACCCACCTCCTCTCCCTCTCCACCCACCTCCTCTCCCACTCCACCCACCTCCTCTCCCTCTCCACCCACCTCCTCTCCCTCTCCACCCACCTCCTCTCCCACTCCACCCACCTCCTCTCCCACTCCACCCACCTCCTCTCCCTCTCGACACACCTCCTCTCCCTATCCACCCACCTCCTCTCCCTCTCCACCCACCTCCTCTCCCTCTCCACCCACCTCCTCTCCCACTCCACCCACCTCCTCTCCCTCTCCACCCACCTCCTCTCCCTCTCCACCCACCTCCTCTCCCTCTCCACCCACCTCCTCTCCCTCTCCACCCACCTCCTCTCCCTCTCCACCCACCTCCTCTCCCACTCCACCCACCTCCTCTCCCTCTCCACCCACCTCCTCTCCCACTCCACCCACCTCCTCTCCCTCTCCACCCACCTCCTCTCCCTCTCCACCCACCTCCTCTCCCTCTCCACCCACCTCCTCTCCCACTCCACCCACCTCACCTCCCTCTCCACCCACCTCCTCTCCCACTCCACACACCTCCTCTCCCTCTCCACCCACCTCCTCTCCCACTCCACCCACCTCCTCTCCCACTCCACCCACCTCCTCTCCCTCTCGACACACCTCCTCTCCCTCTCCACCCACCTCCTCTCCCTCTCGACACACCTGCTCTACCTCTCCACCCACTTCCTCTCCCTCTCCACCCACCTCCTCTCCCACTCCACCCACCTCCTCTCCCTCTCTACACACCTCCTCTCCCTCTCGACACACCTCCTCTCCCTCTCCACCCACCTCCTCTCCCTCTCCACCCACCTCCTCTACCTCTCCACCCACCTCCTCTCCCTCTCCACACACCTCCTCTCCCTCTCCACACACCTCCTCTCCCTCTCCACCCACCTCCTCTCCCTCTCCACCCACCTCCTCTACCTCTCCACCCACCTCCTCTCCCTCTCCACCCACCTCCTCTCCCTCTCCACCCACCTCCTCTCCCTCTCCACCCACCTCCTCTACCTCTCCACCCACCTCCTCTCCCTCTCCACACACCTCCTCTCCCTCTCCACACACCTCCTCTCCCTCTCGACACACCTCCTCTCCCTCTCCACCCACCTCCTCTCCCTCTCCACCCACCTCCTCTCCCACTCCACCCACCTCCTCTCCCTCTCGACACACCTCCTCTCCCACTCCACCCACCTGCTCTACCTCCACCTCCTCTCCCTCTCGACACACCTCCTCTCCCACTCCACCCACCTCCTCTCCCTCTCGACACACCTCCTCTCCCTCTCGACACACCTCCTCTACCTCTCCACCCACCTCCTCTCCCTCTCCACCCACCTCCTCTCCCTCTCCACCCACCTCCTCTACCTCTCCACCCACCTCCTCTCCCTCTCCACCCACCTCCTCTCCCTCTCCACCCACCTCCTCTACCTCTCCACCCACCTCCTCTCCCTCTCCACACACCTCCTCTCCCTCTCGACACACCTCCTCTCCCTCTCCACCCACCTCCTCTCCCTCTCCACCCACCTCCTCTCCCACTCCACCCACCTCCTCTCCCTCTCGACACACCTCCTCTCCCTCTCCACCCACCTCCTCTCCCTCTCCACCCACCTCCTCTCCCACTCCACCCACCTCCTCTCCCTCTCGACACACCTCCTCTCCCACTCCACCCACCTGCTCTACCTCCACCTCCTCTCCCTCTCGACACACCTCCTCTCCCACTCCACCCACCTCCTCTCCCTCTCGACACACCTCCTCTCCCTCTCGACACACCTCCTCTCCCTCTCGACACACCTCCTCTCCCACTCCACCCACCTCCTCTCCCTCTCCACCCACCTCCACCCACCTCCTCTCCCTCTCCACACACCTCCTCTCCCTCTCCACCCACCTCCTCTCCCACTCCACCCACCTCCTCTCCCTCTCCACCCACCTCCTCTCCCACTCCACCCACCTCCTCTCCCTCTCCACCCACCTCCTCTCCCACTCCACCCACCTCCTCTCCCTCTCCACCCACCTCCTCTCCCTCTCCACCCACCTCCTCTCCCACTCCACCCACCTCCTCTCCCTCTCCACCCACCTCCTCTCCCACTCCACCCACCTCCTCTCCCACTCCACCCACCTCCTCTCCACCCACCTCCACCCACCTCCTCTCCCTCTCCACACACCTCCTCTCCCTCTCCACCCACCTCCTCTCCCACTCCACCCACCTCCTCTCCCTCTCCACCCACCTCCTCTCCCACTCCACCCACCTCCTCTCCCTCTCCACCCACCTCCTCTCCCACTCCACCCACCTCCTCTCCCACTCCACCCACCTCCTCTCCCTCTCCACCCACCTCCTCTCCCACTCCACCCACCTCCTCTCCCTCTCCACCCACCTCCTCTCCCACTCCACCCACCTCCTCTCCCTCTCCACCCACCTCCTCTCCCTCTCCACCCACCTCCTCTCCCACTCCACCCACCTCCTCTCCCTCTCCACCCACCTCCTCTCCCACTCCACCCACCTCCTCTCCCACTCCACCCACCTCCTCTCCCACTCCACCCACCTCCTCTCCCACTCCACCCACCTCCTCTCCCTCTCCACCCACCTCCTCTCCCTATCCACCCACCTCCTATCCCTCTCCATTCACCTCCTCTCTCACCAAGCCCACCTCCTCTCCAACTTCGTTCATCACCTCTCCCTCCACCCACCTCCTCTCCCACTCCACCCACCTCCTCTCCCTCTCGACACACCTCCTCTCCCACTCCACCCACCTCCTCTCCCTCTCTACACACCTCCTCTCCCTCTCCGCCCATCTCCTCTCCCACTCAGGCCATCACCTCTCCCACTCACCAAGTCACCTCTCCCACTCAGCCCATCACCTCTCCCACTCAGCCCATCACTTCTCCCACTCAGTCCATCTCCTCTCCCACTCAGCCCATCTCCTCTTCCACTCACCCCATCACCTCTCCCACTCACCCCATCACCTCTCCCACTCCGCCCATCACTTCTCCCACTCCACCCACCTCCTCTCCCTCTCGACACACCTCCTCTCCCACTCCACCCACCTGCTCTACCTCCACCTCCTCTCCCTCTCGACACACCTCCTCTCCCACTCCACCCACCTCCTCTCCCTCTCGACACACCTCCTCTCCCTCTCGACACACCTCCTCTCCCTCTCGACACACCTCCTCTCCCACTCCACCCACCTCCTCTCCCTCTCCACCCACCTCCACCCACCTCCTCTCCCTCTCCACACACCTCCTCTCCCTCTCCACCCACCTCCTCTCCCACTCCACCCACCTCCTCTCCCTCTCCACCCACCTCCTCTCCCACTCCACCCACCTCCTCTCCCTCTCCACCCACCTCCTCTCCCACTCCACCCACCTCCTCTCCCTCTCCACCCACCTCCTCTCCCTCTCCACCCACCTCCTCTCCCACTCCACCCACCTCCTCTCCCTCTCCACCCACCTCCTCTCCCACTCCACCCACCTCCTCTCCCACTCCACCCACCTCCTCTCCCACTCCACCCACCTCCTCTCCCACTCCACCCACCTCCTCTCCCACTCCACCCACCTCCTCTCCCTCTCCACCCACCTCCTCTCCCTATCCACCCACCTCCTATCCCTCTCCATTCACCTCCTCTCTCACCAAGCCCACCTCCTCTCCAACTTCGTTCATCACCTCTCCCTCCACCCACCTCCTCTCCCACTCCACCCACCTCCTCTCCCTCTCGACACACCTCCTCTCCCACTCCACCCACCTCCTCTCCCTCTCTACACACCTCCTCTCCCTCTCCGCCCATCTCCTCTCCCACTCAGGCCATCACCTCTCCCACTCACCAAGTCACCTCTCCCACTCAGCCCATCACCTCTCCCACTCAGCCCATCACTTCTCCCACTCAGTCCATCTCCTCTCCCACTCAGCCCATCTCCTCTTCCACTCACCCCATCACCTCTCCCACTCACCCCATCACCTCTCCCACTCCGCCCATCACTTCTCCCACTCACCCCATCACCTCTCCCACTCCGCCCATCACCTCTCCCACTCAGCCCATCACCTCTCCCACTCAGCCCATCACCTCTCCCACTCCGCCCATCACCTCTCCCACTCAGCCCATCACCTCTCCCACTCAGCCCATCACCTCTCCCACTCCGCCCATCACTTCTCCCACCTCCTCTCCCACTCAGCCCATCTCCTCTCCCTCTCCGCCCATCTCCTCTCCCACTCCGCCCATCTCCTCTCCCACTCAGCCCATCTCCTCTCCCACTCAGCCCATCACCTCTCCAACTCAGCCCATCACCTCTCCCACTCAGCCCATCACCTCTCCCACTCCGCCCATCACTTCTCCCACCTTCTCTCCCACTCTGCCTACCTCCTCTCCCACTCAGCCCATCTCCTCTCCCTCTCCGCCCATCTCCTCTCCCACTCCGCCCATCTCCTCTCCCACTCAGCCCATCTCCTCTCCCTCTCCGCCCATCACCTCTCCCACTCAGCCCATCACCTCTCCCACTCAGCCCATCTCCTCTCCCACTCACCCCATCACCTCTCCCACTCAGCCCATCACCTCTCCCACTCAGCCCATCTCCTCTCCCACTCACCCTATCACCTCTCCCACTCACCCCATCACCTCTCCCATTCACCCCATCACCTCTCCCACTCACCCCATCACCTCTCCCACTCACCCCATCACCTCTCCCACTCACCCCATCACCTCTCCCACTCACCCCATCACCTCTCCCACTCACCCCATCACCTCTCCCACTCCGCACATCACCTCTCCCACTCAGCCCATCACCTCTCCCACTTCGCCCATCACCTCTCCCACTCCACCCATCACCTCTCCCACTCAGCCCATCACCTCTCCCACTCAGCCCATCACCTCTCCCACTCAGCCCATCACCTCTCCCACTCAGCCCATCACCTCTCCCACTCCGCCCATCACTTCTCCCACCTTCTCTCCCACTCTGCCTACCTCCTCTCCCACTCCACCCACCTCCTCTCCCACTCCACCCACCTCCTCTCCCACTCCACCCACTTCCAAAATTCTATCCCTCCCCTCTTATCATCACTAGTAACTAGTACCCACCAACAGTTGGGAGCTCTCCCACTCCGCCCATCTCTTCTCTACAGCCTCATCAACAATCTTCTTGCCCAAGCTCAGCAGATACCTAAACACAAATATGGTAGAAATAGTTTGGTCCCTATGTTACTAAACAGCCTGGTCCTTAACTCACAAAGCAACTCTTCTTAAGCCAAAATTCTTTATAAATGTGATTCCAGGTTTGCCTTATCTGGAGTCCCTAAACGTGTTCCTTGTTTTTCTTAAATTGCACCATACCTTTTATCACAATTACATTCCATGAGCGTAAATTTGTTGTGCTTCAAGATGGACAAACATAGCATTATCTTATTTTGAAAGAAAGTTTTTACTTGACATGCTGCAAATTAAGGATTTCCAAAGAAAAAGAAAAAGGTTTAAAATAATACCTGACCCACCTACCCTACTATCTATTTAATTTGTTTTGTCCTGAAGGGATGGGTGTTTTCTACCCACTCACTTTGACAGAATACTATTAAAAATGCACTATGTTTCTTGCAAATAATGACTGTGACAGTGCTTTCAACATCAACCTTTTTTTCTTTGTTAACATTTGTTAAAATAAAGCATATATATACCCATGGTTCAAATTGAGTACGGGGTTTTATGTCATTTATTTTTATTCTTGCAATAACACGATGGGGACACCAGAAAGGGGCTTCACATTTTGTACCCATGCAGGGAATCATCATGGGTTTTCTACCTGATGGGAGAACACCTTAACCACTAGGTTACCTCACCCCCTGGTTAGATTTGAAATGCACCACAGAATTTGGTTCTCAAATATCCAAACCTTGTTGCTGCATTTGGTGAGAAGATGAACTCCCCGCACTCAGGCTCCAGCACCGGCAGTTTGTTACAGGTGAGATATGGAACCACCTTCGCTGAAAAACATATGAATACCATGGAGACGAGATTTCACAGAAACCATGAAGAGTTGGGCGATATTGCATGTGACTGAAGACAGAACACTGCCACCTTATTGTTCCAGCATGTTCAGTGAGCGATATTAGTGTTGGGATTTTATCATCATTCATTGGACATGAAGTAGACAAAGAATTTTATGGATGATAACTTCCTTATTATACTGTAACTGCGACATTTTGGTACAGATCATATACTGTTGTCAACATGGTCAAGCAAGACCAAAAATGTTTACCGAAACATCACAATTACAGTAAAATAAAGAAGTTGCTATCAATAAAATTCTTTGTCTGCCTTGTTATCCGTCAACTTCTAAGAAATGCCTATTAAACAATTCATTGGTCATAATCATCATTCATCCTCAGATATTATTTTCAAGAAACTGCATGTAACAGAGCCTGAATTTACCTTGATGTGAATGTTAAGAGTCTTATTCCATTAAAGAAAGCACTTGACAAGATGCATATTCATACTTGTATAAAACTCATTTAAAGATCTGATGAATGGATGAACAACGAAAAATTAAGAGAACTGCTATCGATTAGGGGCACTAATCTCTGGCTTCTTCTTGGCTGTCTCACACTGCCTGCTAGGGCTCACTAGCTGCCGTGAGAAGATTTGCTCGCTAACACAACTGAGCATGACAAGAGACTGGGCTACCGTCTGTAAAGACAGCGTAAATAAACTTAGAGGAAATATTTGATTTACGCATTTTTGAACACTGATTGGTTACCCGTGATCTATGAAGATTTCGACAAAGGGCGCATGTTAATTAATTTCTTAAGCCTAAACAATCAGACAAAAAGAACGGCAGCAGCTCTTCGGATGTCGTTATTTGGAAATACCCCTGATGGTTATAGTTTAATAATAGAAAAGTATCCCTGCAGTGAAAACATTTTCGGATTTCGGATTGCGTGGATAATATGATTACTACTCCCTTGTTGTCATCCACGTTTTCTGGTATTACCTTATACTTGTGTATTTGTCGTCATTCACTTGATGCTCAATTAGTGAACTTATTACAAGTATAATTAGTGGCAGCACCACTCAGATTACCAATAAAGGTTCCCATTTGGCCTTTGTTGTGTCTTGGGTAATTATTCAATCTAAATCCAGGTTTGAAGTGAGGTGAAATGTGTGTTATGTAATATGCACGTGGCAGCACAGCAAGAGATGAATGATCAGTTGATTTACCTTTTTGTAAATCAACGGATCATTCCGAGCCATCAAAGGATCAACCAAAAATACATTGATTGATTAATCACTGTTATCTTGCACAGTGGATATGTCAAAAGTAAGTGTTTACTTTACATGTCTAGGTTTACTAAAGCAAAGGGAATACACTCATATCATGGCGTGAGGTGCCGATGTAAGAACAACATACTATGTTCAAAGGGTGATCATTATAAAAATAGTTGTCACATGGGCTTTCTCAGCTGACCTTTGAGATATGACACCTATGTAAAAAACACCTGAAGCAAACTAAGTGATCAGTTGAGAAACGAACACAGGTCATAATATCCCGAAATGATATTTGCATTTTGTTTTCCTTCATTTGCTGTAGCAGTGAACAGATTCATTCTTGTTCCTCTACGACTTGGTTGGGAAGTTCTTCGATAGATGTTGTTTTCAGCCTTTTCCTTTGTAAGCGTGTATATATTACAGTCAATTTGTAAAATGTGATTCACTCAGGCAATTTATAAAATGTCTAAATATTTCAGTAATTTTACATATTGAATGAAAAATCTGTCCATTTGTTTAACAGAAAGACTAAATATAATTAAGACGGTCAAAAGGGCCTAAAAACATTATAATAGATTAAATATGCTAGGATTTTAAGTCAAACAATATAGAAATGTACTTTTAATCCTAACATTTTCAGTTACTTGGTGACGATATTAAACATTTTAAAATTTTAGAATTCGTTGTCATAATAATACAGATGGACATATTTTTCAGTCAATTTGTAAAATAACTGAATATTTAAGCGTTTTTATAAATTTCCTAAGTGAAAATTTTGCACATTTTGACCGTAAAAATATAAACACGATAAAATAAGCAATACTCAGGAGAAATATTTACTTTGTGTTGCAAGTCAAAATAGTGTAAACGAAAATCTCACAATTACCAAGCAAGTGACTTATCAAAACTTCGTCACCATTGCCGATGCTACCCACAAAGATACCTAGATCTGCATTTCCTTATTATCTCAAACTGCATGTATTTTATTTTGTTTATCAATGTGACCATATGGTCTTATACTACCAATAAAAGTGACAAATGCGCTTACGAATGGCGCGGCAGAAGTCACGAACTACTCTAGACTTCTGCCATATCATCCGGGTACTCACAGGGAAAAAATAATAACAAAGGCAACAACCAGTGCTGGGGAATTGCTTTAGATCAGTGCCCCCTTAAAGGGGCACTAATCTAACGCAATTCCCCGGACTGGTTGTTGCCTTTGTTATTGTTTTTTCCCCCGTGAGTACCCGGATGATACGCAACGCAACTGAGCGTGACCAGAGACTGGGCTACCGTCTGCAAGGACAGCTAAATAAACTTGGAGGCTGGAGGCAATATTTGTTTTACGCATTTATGCATAAACACTGATTGGTTAACTGTGATCTATAAAGATTTCGACAAAGGGCGCATGTTAATTAATTTCTTAAACCTAAACAAACAGACAAAAAAAACAGCGGAGCTCATCAGATGTCGTCATTTGGAAATACCCCAGATGGTTATAGTTTAATACTAAGAAAAGTATCCATGCAAGGAAAGCATTTTCGGATTTCGGCTTGCGTCGATAATACGATTACTTTTCCCTTGTTGTCATCCACATTTTCTCGTATAACCCCTACACTTGTGTATTTGTCGTCATTCACTTGGTGCTCAGTTAATGAATTTATTACAGGTACAATTAGTGGTAGCGCCACTTAGATTACCTGACAAAAGTTCCCATTTGGCATTTATTGTGTCTGGGGTAATTATTCAATCTAAATCCAGGTTTGAAGTGAAATTGAAATGTGTGTTATGTAATATGCACATGGCAGCCCAGCAAGAGATGAATGATCAGTTGATTTACTTTTTTTTGTAAATCAACGGATCGTTCCTAGTCATCAAAGGATTAACAGAAAATACGTTGATTGATTAATCACTGTTATCTTGCACAGTGGATATGTCAAGAGTGAGTGTTTACATGTCTAGGTGTACTAAAACAAAGGGAATACACTCATATCATGGCCTGAAGTGCAGATGTAAAAACAACATACTTTGTTCAAAGGGTTAACTGATAATACGTTGATTGATTGATCATTGTTATCTATCACTCAATGGATTTTTTAGGAACCGTGGACGTAAGTTGTCACGTGCGCTTTCTCAGCCGTCCATTGAGACTTGACACCTATCTAAAACACCTGAAACAATCCAAGTGATCAGTTGAGAAATGAACACGGGTTATAATATCCCGAAACGATATATATCTTTTAAAATATAATTTTTGATTGTTACTGAGACACGTGACATCGAATAAGTTTCTTTGTACAGCTACAGACAAGTGGGATATTGTTGCTTTGTGTGGATATTCACGGATACATTCCTCGAACAAAGAAGCTACCTAAAATTTATACATGTACACATAAATTTGGTAGGTTGTAATTATGAAATTTGCATTTTGTTTTCCTTCATTTGAACGGATTCGTTCTTGTTTCTCTACGTCTTGGTTGGGAAATTCTTCAATGCGCGATAGACGTTGTTTTCACAGGTCTTTTCCTTTGTAAGGGTGTATATATTACCGTCAATTTGTAAAATGTGATTCTCTCAGGCAATTTATAAAATGTGTAAATATTTCAGTCATTTTGACTAAAAAATCTGCCCAGGTTGATTAAGACGATCAAAAGGGCCTACAAACATCACAACAGATTATTATGTAGGATTAGAAGCCAAACAACATAGAAATGTACTTTTCAACGCAACATTTTCAGTCTCTTGGTGATGACATTACACATCAAAATGTTTGGAACTCGTTATCATAATAATACAGATGGAAATGTTTTTCAGTCACTTTGTAAAATAACTGAATATTTCCTTATTATCTCAAAAAATGTATTTCATTTTGTTGATCAATGTGACCATATGCCCTTATTACTACCCATAAAAGTGACTAATGCGCTTATGAATGGCGCAGCAGAGGTCGCGAACTAGTCTAGATTTCTGCTATACATCCGGGTACTCACTGGGAAAAAACAATAACAAAGGCAACAACCAGTCCCGGGGAATTGCGTTAGATCAGTGCCCCTTTAAGCTGCAAAACACTGGTAAAGTATATATGTAGAATATACAAACTCTTGGTAAAGCTTCTTTCTTCTCTTATGAGACTGGGGAAAAAATTAGTTTTTTATGCATGTCAAAATTTAGGCGATCGTAAAATTTGTCAATCACTAAATCAGCTGATAACTTGACATGGGTGCAGTCCCGCTGTAACGCAAATACAATATGTAACCTATCTTCACTTATCTCATTAACCTATTCTATCTGGGTGCCGTTGTACATAACAACCTTAGCGCTACGACTGTCGTAAGTTTATGTTAAGGAATGGGAGTTACGATCACCTTAGCGCGGAGATCGAGTTACTGTCACCCATAGCAAAACAAATATGGATGGTTCTCGTACGATGTAGAAAGTGTTAGACTATTTATTAGTATTTAACGTTCGAACCGTTTCGGCTACCACATAATCTACTTTGCCAGTGTTAACAGTTTATATTGTTATTCGCAACGCTAAACATTTCATTTATAAAATCACACACATATGCAAGAAATACAGCATCGTTTTTACCATTAATTGTCACCACCACTTCCACATCCACGCCAGCTGTAGCAGCTGCAGCCAGTAACTTTACGGTCTGAAAATTCCCAACGTCCGTATAGATTTTCATCTTTGGGGAAATGTCTTCCCTGTTTACTGTCTGTCAAACTATATACAACGAATCACCAATTACAGTTAGATTTCATCAGCTTGACTCGTATAACCATTCACAACATTAATGGCCGCGCCCACGAAACACATGGACAAAGGGAGGTAATTTAGTTACGGGCGAGTTACCTAACTTTACTGATACCCTTGTTCCGTATTTCTGAACTTATGCGTTGTTAATATTATGTACATTGATCCTCTCTTTGTCACAGGATAGGCTACATACACCGTACTATGTCAAAATAAAGGTTAATGTTTTAAATATGGAAGATTGCAGTTGACATCTATTTCAGGATCTTTCAGAACAAAACCAGTTATAGCGAATAGGTACATTACAATGAATAGGGTTATAATGCTGCATGGATGTATCCTAGCTATTATGAAATGTTGTACAGTTACACCTTACAATATGCACTTGCATATATATTTGCATAGAGACACATACCTATAACAGATTCATGCAATGAAGTTGACTGAAGCTTTATATCTATTCTAACATATAAAAGTAAGAAGGAATGCATGCATAGTCAGAAAGAAATGTGAACATGAGTGACTTAAGTAGTGTAACCCAAGGGTGTATCCAGCATTTTTAAAAGGGAGGGGTCCAAAATATCTAAATTCTCTCTCAGATAATTTTAGTGCCTACAATATACTACATTTAGTTTTCAAAAGTAGTTGTGTGTGGCGGAGTGGGGTAGGGGGGTGGGGTAGGGGGGTCCCATCCCCCTGAACCTCCCTCTGCCTATGTAACCATGGATCGAGTAAAAAAGATAATTTTTGTCATTAACAAATAACAATATATATCATAAATGTGACTAACCATGTGCAGGTTTGTGTGTTTGTGTGTTGTTTATGCTGCACTCAGCATCATTCCAGCTACATGACGGTGGACTTTATATAATCAAGTCTCGACCAGACGATCCAGTGATTGCATGATATCATCGATCTACACAATTGGGATACAGGTCCAGGTAGTCCTGTGGGTACCCAGTCCTCAGTACCCACCCCGTTTCCCACCCCAGCCCAAGCCTCCACATTGTCTCAGTTCCAGACAGTGCACTAATCAAAGTGTCACAACCTTGCGTGGGCACCAGAGCATGTCTCACTAACTTGTTTACACTTACCTCTCTCAGCGGGTATTATGCAGGTATTCTTTTGGTATTGCTTTCTGAAAAGCCATTCACATGATATATAGGCTACCTGTCAAGTGGAAATTGTGTCCTGATGCAGGAGGTATACAGCTATACTGCAGCAAAGGAATAATACCTTTACGACTAAAATGTAGGATGCGATTTGGATATGGAACGGACACATGTTATGCTTCATTCCATGCAATAATATGCAAAAGCGACATGGCAGTGCGTGCGTGTGTGTGCAAAGATATATATTACCACAATGTCGCAATGGTTATGACATGGTTTAGACAGTGGGTGTTCAGTCTTGCAAAACAGATCAATTGCAATAAAATGATCTTATATCAAAATGACCCATTGACCTACTCGAGATGTATTTGGACACATCATTGTCAATATGAATTCATCTTTTAAGAAAAATGGCAATTCCGTCCCCACAATTTGAAAAAAATACTCCATTCAATTAATCTGCAACTGTTTGTAATTAAAGGGTTCCTGTAAACATCAGGGTCATGACAGGGACCCCTTGACTTTATTGCTTAATTTTGAATGCTGTAAAATAATAAGTTACATGTACTTGTTGAACAATCTTTCCAAAATTCTATTGTTCCAGAACTATCCATTTGAAATCTCCATTGTTGTGCAATCTTATTAAAATCAGATCTTAGTTCTCGCCACCGCTAAACAATGATCTTTGTCTTAGTTCTCGCCACCGCTAAACAATGATCTTTGTCTTAGTTCTCGCCACCGCTAAACAATGATCTTTGTCTTAGTTCTCGCCACCGCTAAACAATGATCTTTGTCTTAGTTCTCGCCGACGCTAAACAATGATCTTTGTCTTAGTTCTCGCCACCGCTAAACAATGATCTTTGTCAGATCTTTGTTTAGCGATAGCGAGAACTAAGATCTGATTTTAATGAGATTGCATTGTTGTGTGGTCTATTTTCCACATTTTTACCTGTGATTATATTAGTGTCTTATTATATTTTTATGTACATATATTAATATCATATATTTTCTTTTTTCATACTTTAGTGCTAATCAACTGTGCAATATGAATTTCCCCTGGGATAATAGTTTTATCTTATCTTATTGTTGTGTGGTCCATCCACAATGTATGTGGTGACCATTGTATTCTTGTTTCATCGTCAACATGTTCAAATCTCACAAATTTGCAAATATATCCATTTTGATATAAAATGTATAACATGATGAGGGTTGAAAGGTTCACCACATCTCACAGGGGCTGTATCAAACTGTAGCTGTGCAGGTTTGTGAGGTCACCTCCTCTAACAGGGGCTGTATCAAACTCTAGCTGTGCATTGTTTGTGAGGTCACCTCCTCTAACAGGGGCTGTATCAAACTCTATTTGTGCAGGTCTGTGAGGTCACCTCCTCTAACAGGGGCTGTATCAAACTCTAGCTGTGCAGGTTTGTGAGGTCACCTTCTCTAACAGGGGCTGTATCAAAATCTAGTTGTGCAGGTTTCAAAAGGTCAGCTGGGTGCCGTTGTACAAAACAACCTTAGCACTACGATGATCGTAAGTGTATGTTAAAGTATAGGAGTTGAGATCACCTCAGTGCTGAGATCTCTTTGTACAACAGCACCCTGCTCTAACAGGGACGGTATCAAAATCTAGCTGTGCAGGTTTAAAAGGTCACCTCATCTAACAGGGGCCGTATATAAATCTAGCTGCATGTTGATTGTTGGAAAGTCACCTATTCTCACAGGGGCTGTATCAAATTCCAGCAGTGCATGTTTCAAAGGTCACTTCACCTCATAGGGGCTGTATCAAATTCTAGCAGTGCAGTTTTGAAAGGTCACCTCAACTCACAGGGGCCGTATCAAAATAATATATATAACTGCAGGCCTCCAAACACTCGACTGATTGCCTCACTTCCAAATATTGATAAGACCCTGTGCTTCATTCAAGGTTCTTGCTATTGATATTTGTCTTGGCAAAAAACAAAGCAAAGTGGTGAAACTTTATTTATTCAACATATACATGGAAAAATACATATGTGGGTATCATTGCACAATACTGACTTGGATTCGTGTACATCTTGATTAATACATTGACATGTGCGAATAAATAGAACTGTCATACATGAGATGTGTGTCCGGGTACCCTTTGGGGAAATGTCAAAACAAGAACGTGATTGTAGATCTGATGCAGAGACTAGCGATAAAACAAAGTGAATAATGTTATACCTCATGCATGAAAATATTCTTTAAAAGTATACATGGTAAATGACAAATGCCTCTGACATACTCTGTCACAACTCCTTACAATACGCTGGAGCTGTTCCAGAGGTGAACCAGATCTGTGTAACTGTGATAGCATAATTAGAGTGAGTGAGGATGGTTTTACGCCGCTTTTAACAATATTCCAGCAATATCACGGCGGGGGACACCAGAAATGGGCTTCACAGGTTGTACCCATGTTGGAAATCGAACCCTGGTCTTTGGCGTGACGAGCGAACGCTTTAACCACAAGGCTACCCGACCGCCCCTAGCATAGTTAGAGAATAACCAATAATGAGCTGCTAAGAATTCTGGATAATGTCCCGTGTGAACGAATCATGTTAATCCATACCAATTGGTGTGGGACTTACAGCATCCAGAAGGGACAGATAACTCTGTAATTCCAAGTTACGAGTAGGTTATTCTATATATTACTCATTGACATTTTTTAGGAGAGAAAACGAAGAAAAAACCTGTTTCAAATATCAACGAATAGAGAAACTTCAAGGAAGGCAGCCTACTGTTCAGATGACATAATGTTATAAACTTGTGAAATCATGAAATATGGATGACCTCATATATTTTGCACTGTGCACTGTGATGTCATATGGCTTCAACTGACCAAACAGCATTGAAAATGGCTAAAATACATGCACGTGTGCAAATATCTGAAAGTTATTATACATGTTCATTCTATCCTTATTGGTTATTTAAGATGGTTCAAATGTTTTCAGAAACAGTTTCTCACAGCTAGTTGCCCCTGTAATGGAAAGACTCTGCAACCTAAATGATGTTGGTGACAAATCCCAAAAATTACATTTTCAAAAAACATTATTTCAAAGACCTACACAATTTGTATATCCTTATATATCAAAATACCAAAAATGTCATAATTGAAGCACTGTTTCAAAGTAAGAACAGTGTTCAAAAGAACTAAATTCTGTGCAAACATTATCAAAACTGAATCTTCTGGTTAACCACTGTCTGACAATCATGTACATGTTAACAGTTGAACCTCATGCCTTGGCTTGACCTAAATAAACATCAGCCTTCATCAGATGAATCAGTGTCTGACATAACTCAAATATGTTACCATGGTTACCTTCCAGATGGACCAGTAGTTTCAACTGTATTACTATTATCCTACAGCAAAGATCACCAGCCAATATAAAATGTTTGTTGTTTATCACTGCACTCAGCAATATTGAAGCTATGTGACGTCAGTCTGTAAATAATCCAGTCTGGACCAGATAATGCAGTGACAACATTATGAGAATTGATCCATGCAATTCAAAACATCAAGCCTGAAATTTGATCCAATTAGCCAACTCTTACAACAAGCCTAGGTTCCAAAAAGAAACCATGAAAAAATAAAGATTACTGATTTCATAAATAAGGATTAAGATTCAGTGTCAGTTTACCAATACACGTAGAAAGTTTCTGAGGAAATATAATCCCAGACCAACAGAACACATGAATGATTACAGCCCGCTGTAAAAGTTACTAGCCACAGGACAACAGGCCAGCAGCTATGTTGCATGCTGGGTACAAGCACAGTGAAGTATATATCTGTATGAATTCATGAATATAATCTGACAGGGTCTTAACATGACTAATGAGAGTTCCTTCTACAAATATGTTATAAACAGGGATTAATATCTGGCCATGAGTATTTTGTGTTTCATGATTTCTAGCTAAATACATACAAACAGC